CTAGTGGATAAGTTCCTGCCATAAAATGATAACAAGATTCCTCTTTTTTTCCATACAGCTAAAGTAAAAACAAGAAACATGTGTCACAACCTTTTGAAGCCATAACATGAAAAAGTTCTCCCTTTCTTTAAAGTAAAATAACTTAGTATCATTTGTTCGCTGATAAAATGTAAGTGGCAAACAAATTGTGGTTAAGAAATCCGAAATCCATGCAAGGGATGTGGGTTTCCTTATGAGGATGTTTTGGAATATATCAACGATTCTTATCTTGGGCTAAAAAATGTTTGGAGTGGAAGGAAGATCTGTCATTTGGCTGTCTGAAAATGACAGGAAAAAGCATTAATGGTTGTTTTATGAGCTGGTATTGTCAGATATAAATTCCATATGTGCCCTTAGGAAACAGATCACTGGTTTGAGGTGTTAGGAGTGAGATTAGGAGATGAATAAAACATGTACATGTACAAACCATCAAGCAGAACATGTATTACCATGACAATAATCAAATACAGGAACTTTTCAGGACTTTTAAGAGCTAACAACAAATGAGTGTGAAACACTTGCACTAGTTTTTTTGTATAAAAGTAGTGAAACCATAATGATTAAACAAATAAAAATCTATGATTATGAGTTAAAAAATCCTAAAACATGAGGAAAAAAATACTGAATAAATCAGATTGCAAGAATGTTTGTGCATTGCCTGTGTTGGAGAAACTGTCCGGAATTGCTGTCATTTTTCAAATTGAATTTTGTCCTTCACTGAATGATACAATGGTATGTACAAGATAATATTAGCCCTTTCTGAAAACATCTAGTCCCTTGATACCTCTTGGTTTGGACTCAGATTCCTCCATGATTACCAGGACATAAATATTCTTGAAAATTCCAGTTGAAAAGTGCTCAACAAAGAAGTGAATCTTGTAAATTTCAAATTAAAAAAAATATGTGACGAAAAGAGCAACAGCATATTCAAATATTTAGCTTAACTGGTTACATTTTTTTTTATTTGAGAATCAGTGGCTCTCTGAAAAGTTTACTAGCAAACAGTCCCTCATACTAGAATTCTGGTCTGTCAACTAAAAGTCAGTGGTTGTATGCTGTAGTGGATGTGATTAATATCTATGGTGAATTGATTTCACCAAACGGTTCCTGTTTCCTTTCCCATTCTAGGTTACTGTCTGAAAATGTTCCACCCTCTAGAAACCACACAATTTCAAAAACATTGATCTTCAAGAAGATCAATGTTTTTATCCAAGTGGAAAGCTATCCAAGTGCAAAGCTTTCTGCAAAGGGTACCCAACAATACTTGTGCCCATCCCTGTATGTCCTAGTACTTCCTTTCATTCTTTGAAATAGTCATCTAGTTTTTTTTTTTACCTGGTTGTTTTCTATCAAGTTGAGTTCTGTTATGAAGTGCGTCCATGCTTCCTGTTTACTGGCTGTATCATAACTTGCTCTTACATCCTTGAGACATAGCTCTATTATGCCATGAAGAGCTTTGCTGTAAACAAAATGTACATTGTAAGTGGAATACACTCATATACAACGTTTATATTATATCAGGAAAAGATTTGGAAATGCTGTAAAAGTATACATCCCCACCTAAAACAAGTCCAGAATATCAGATAACAAGTTACCTTCTTTCTCCTTTCTTTTCTCTTTGGATTGTTTAATTTTTTCTATAGAATTTTACTGCTGCATTTCCTTCTATTCCAAAAGAACTCATCCTTCCCTTGAATACTGTGTTCCCTTTGTGGTTTGTTATACATATCCTTTTCATAGAATCCTGGTATACTCCTCTTTTGTTGGAAATGCACAGATCAAAAGAAATCAAATAACACATGTAGTCATTTCCTTGAATATCATGTTTCTTTTGTGTTTTTTTGGTAGATGTCTATTTATAGATTCCTGCTACATTCCTCTTTCTTTGGAAATGCATGGATCAAAATAAATCAAATAACCATTACAGACTTTTGTTCAAATAACACATGTAGTCATAAACACAGTTTTCAGTCATCAGTTTTCAGTCAGTCAGTTTCACTATAAGTTTTCACATACATGTACCCCAATGAAGGTTAATATTTTAACACAAATGGTTCATACTTCACTCTTTATAAGGCTTTGGTCTACATGTATCACTGTGTTTTAAACACTTGGATAAACCAGGGGAAAAACACAGGAAAAGAAACTATGTCGATTGACCATGTCAATGGGATATGATAGGAAACCAGGCAGTCACCAGGGTCATTGTTTAGTCATTATCTAAGCTGGGCACTGTTTGGTAAATAACTTCCCCAAAATCTACAGCACTTGCATGCATTGGTTTTTGAGAAACTTTCTTTACATTTCTAATCTATTCATTTTCAATGACTAATTGCCACTTTGAGTTTCTCAGATAGCCTTGGAAAAGTTGCAAAATATCCATCACCACCTGAACAAGTCCAGAAAATCAGTTAACAGGTTGCTTTTTTTCCTCTTTACTCTTCTCTTTGGACTCTTTATTTCTTTATTTCTTTCATTTCTTCCTTGGATTGTTATTTTTGCTCATAAACTCCTTAAATATCATGTTTCTTTTGTGTTTTTTGTAGATGTCAATTTATAGATTCCTGCTACATTCCTTTTTCCTTGGAAATGCATGGATCAAAATAAATCAAATAACCATTACAGACTTTTGTTCAAATAACATTAGTCGTCAACACTGTCAGTTTTCAGTCATTCAGTTTCTATGTAAATTTTCACATACCCTGATGAAGGTTACTGTTTTAACACAAATGGTTAAGACTTGACTCTTTATAAGGGTTTGGTCTATTATTGTGTTTTTAAACACTTGGGTAAACCAGGGGGAAAACACAGGAAAAGAAAGGCAGTAATCAGGGTCATTGTTTAATTATCTAAGCAGAGAACTGTTTCTTAAATAACTTCACTGGAATGTACAGCCTTTGTATACACTGGTTTTTGAGAAAATTTTCTTACATCTTTAATCTAATGATATCTATTTAATGGCTATTGCCACTTGAGTTTCTCAGGCTACGTATGTCCCAATTTACAGTTGCACAAAGAACAGAATCTATCTTAGAACTTATTTGAAGGATACATGTAGATCGCCCATAACAGCAGCTTTTCAACCAAAATGAACCCATACATACATCTTCAAAATGAACCCAAAAGTTCATGCATGGGCAAATTCTATTAGATTTTGTGATTAAGAAAAGAAAAGCCTTTGAAGCTAGTGGATTCTCTAAGATTCTGCAAGGTTCTTTAACAAAGGGATCAGAATTGGACTAAGAAAAGTTTTGTTTGGATTTCAAAAGTACTCATACAAATTCTTTTTCTTTCCCTCTACCAACACACGAGGGCGGTATTTGAAGTAAATGCAAGAAATCTGGTCTTGAAAAGCTGTGTGTAACCAGCATGAGTCAGTTTAAAGGCTTAGTGAACAGAACTTGCACAAAATGGGAACTGCTCAAACCATACATATCCACTTACAATTCATACCTAATACTTTGACCTAATGAACTCCATTTATTTCTTAAATCTCATGTTAATCCATTAAGAAATAAAATAAATTTTTGAAGACCATACAATAACTCAGGATTTAGCAAAAATTGCCAACCTGCAAAATACTTTATTGAAAAGGCCCCCTCTGAAGTCAGCAATTAAAGAGTAAGTAGCATCACACTTCAACTACAGTCACCTGCATTTATTGAGGTCCATCCCATCAGGTTGCTGGAGGTACTTCTGGATGACAACTTGCAGCACTTTCTTGCAGATTGACGAGGGAAGGAAAGGGGGTTCCATGACCAGGGCTAGGAGAGAAATAGAGAACTTGGCATCTGACTGCTTACAATGGAGAGGTTTAATAAAACTTTATTTAGGGAAAGCTTAAATATGATAGAAGGGGGATGTGAGACCAAGTGTCTTGATTTCTGGGTTAGAATTGAACATTGAATAATACTTCCTTCAATTAAGAGCCTATCTAGCTCAAATATATCCCTTGGGGAGACTGAGGGTGAAAAATACAGGGTGAAAACAGGCGTTGTGGTGTGTACATACCAGCCATGGTTTCCAATGTCTTGATTTCTGTGGTAGGATTTGACCCAACCGCCTCCAGGATCCTATCCAACTCAGACACTTCACCTAGATTTGCCACAGCTTCGAACTCATACAGAGTCAACAATATGGATGTTGTTTCCTTGCTGTCACTCCCTGAGTAAAAGAAAACTTACAATCACAAAACATGCCTTTGTGGTTAAACAACAAATCAGTATGACCCACAATTCACTTTTTATATCATTAATCAACCCTAACAGTCCACAATCCTCCATTTTCAATATGATTTTACATACATCCAAGGGGTATAGGTTTAAGGACTTCATACATGGCTTATGTTAGCTTTGAAAAAGCATATGCTTTTAAATACGCAAAGACTGGAAACAATTCAGGTTTCTAGATTGTCAACCCTTGTTCTGTGCATGAAGGTAAAGTTTTCTGGCCCTTTCTAATCATACACTGTATGATACACAAATTTGAGAGTCAATCTGATGACTGTTAATGATTGATGCCAAGATCTAGCTACATTGTACATCAAGTGCATCAAGGCTGGTAGATAGATTGTCTTACCTTGTTCTGGGTGAAGTTCCTGATTGATGTCCCTACAGGCTCGGACGTGATCAAGACACAGCTTGAAGGAAGCAAGCTAGCAGAATGGGACAAACAATTCAGATAGACCGATTGCGCCTGTTAAGTCACATGACCAGTGGTGGGTATTCAATATCAACAAACACACGTTGCTATGGGGTTGATACCCACTATAGGTCATGTGATTTAGTGGCCGCAATCGGTCTATTAAACAGACAATCAAAAGTGAAACTGATGTTGGAATAGTGCAAAAATAATGATTTTATCTGCCTCAAGTTGAAGTGCACCCTCACTGGCAAAGTAGAGACAGGCTGATGGGAAGTTTTTCAACCACGCACCGTACGCACGTGAAGACCATACAGTCAAAATTAATGCATCCAGCGCCAAACACATAAAAACCTGCACATGGATGCAGCGAGTTCCCCAAAAGGACCATAGTCACTACGTGAAGAAACACTTGTTATTTGCTCAGAGCGGATCATGACAAGTGCAGATTAAATAATGTTAACAGAAAATTCTACTATAGGTTTCATTCTCTAGAGCCAAAACTGATATACAAATGGCAAACACCGTTGGTAATTGCTGATAAAATTGTTTCTTACCTTATCATCCTGATTCAGCTGTTCTCTAGCCATCTGAAGGGCAGCAGCTGAAGCCATCAACAGACAAGTCTTCTGATGAGCAGCGTTATTCTGCTCTGGAGGAAGCAGGTGACTGAACTGAAAAAAAATATATCAGTTGAATCTGTCGGGGTTGAATCTACAAATAAAACTATAGCAAGTCACTGGAGAGTGGCAAAATACAACCTCGCAGAACAATGCGCTGAACACAAAATAAACAAGAGAAACATTTTGAATTATTTGAAAAATAAGAAAACAAGAAGAGATCTAACCTTGCTGCAAATCATGAAGAACTCATGGGTCAAAGTGCTTTTCTCCGTCAACTCCAGAGCCATGTTCCATGCTGTATGAATACAAATTTGTTTCCATTTCATAATATAAAATTATGTCTTGGTGCAAGGAGTAACAAAGTGTGCAAACTACGTACAGCATAACTGAAACTGCTTTCTTTAAAAAAAAAAAAGACATTCCAAGCAAAATTCATGCTTAAATTCAGAAGATATGAAATCATTTCCTTACATATTTTCATGAACCAGCGAGCTTCTTGAGACCATTCAATGTCAACATCATCCTTATCAATTTCCGTGTGTACTGTGTCATAAGCTGAACAAAACAAAAAAGTCCAGTGTTACCTTCCCACCTAATCAACAAGTTGACAATTTACATAAAATCTCTTTTCTCAGGGAGGAAATTTCAACAAGATAACAGATCAGATAATCCTCGTCTAATCTCCTTTTCAGTCTCTAAAATCTGCAGCTTAAACTAAGGGATTCACACATCAAAAAATGATAAAGGAACTCCAGTAATTGAAAACTTATTATCTAAATCTTAAAAACAAACGAGTATTCGAAACTAACATATTAGTTTCGAATACTGGTTTGTTTGAAAACAGCATTTGATCTCATGATCTGCGCCAAGATTTCCACTGACTTTACCCTACACCTGTTCTGCCAGGCTAACCTGTCTTCATGTATGATAAAACTGCATTAGCCTCAGTCCTGCATGCAAATATAGATACCAAAGCATCAGATACAAAACACATGCTATATTTCTACAATGGAAATGCAATACTAAGATAAATTATGGCAATAATTCCTTCTGATGGCCTAGTCCTGATAATGTAAGAACAGATTGCAACACTTTTAATCTTCAGTCACATAGAAATATTTAAACATATCCAAATTATTCAGTAAATGATGTAGTAATCTGAGAAAGAATTTTTCTCACATTAAAGATATTTTGTTCAGAATGCAGAGACACAAGTGAATCCTAAATATACCCTGTTGTGTTGATTAAACTCTAGGTGAATGTTTGTGGCACACAGCTCTTTAAAAATTTACTAGCCATAAGACTGAAGGCAGTTAATAAGTCAACTCACACATTGTCTTTTCCCTGAGCGGATGTCAGCTGTAATCTTGTCAAGCATCTACAATAGAGGGCAATATAATGTCAAACCAGTGCAAATGCTTCAGCCTGTCAACTTCCTGATTGACACGAAACAAAACAAGACTGGTTTCTAGAATACTCCAGTTTGACAGACACTATCAGAAATTATGTGCTGTCTTCTTTTTTTTCTCTGATTAATTGATGACATCATCATGACATCATTATACAAACCTCAGTGATGTCAGGATCTGTTGTTGATCCTCTGAGTATTGCACCACTTTCTCCAAACATCGCATAGCGATGCTGCGATTGTCTTTCTGCAGAAATAGAACAAAATTATTGAGTAATGAGTAGCTAGACAGACCAGACTGAGTATGGTCCCATTGAGACAACTTACCTCCAATGCCATCTCAGCAGCTAGACAGATCAGACCAAGTGGCGTCTCTTTGAGAGAATTCACCTCTGATGCCATCTGAGCTGCTAGACAGATCAGACTGAGTACTGTCTCTTTGAGATAACTCACCTCCAATGCCATCTGAGCAGCTAGACAGATCAGACTGAGTACCGTCTCCTTATTATCGCTACCATCTTCTTGCTTTTCTTCCTTACTGCAATCACACAGTCTCTGAATTGCTTGGGTAGCTGCCAAATAAAAGACACAAACTGTAGTGAAGAGGGCAGGGTAGGTTCCTAACCTGGTAACAGGAATACACTCGGATTTAGCCAAAAGAAAGATTTGTGAATTGATGTCCTCAACAACCAGCTCTTACGCCTGGTTTCCATATCGACGCAAGAAATGCAGAGAGCAACGCAATCGAAACACAAACTGCAACGCGGACAAATGAAAACATGCCAAACGGAGGTGTTTCCAACAATGCAGACAAATGCAAACCAGCTCGCGAACGATCGGCACAGTTGAACCAGGTTCAACTTTGCTGACTGTCTGCGTCGAGCAGCAGTGGTATCCCCATACAAACACGCATGCTGGCATGAACGGCGTGAAACGATGTCCCTCTCGCTTAGTTCCATGAATTTTGCCCATTTTCGTCTTAATGCTTAAATATTACACCCAAGTGATCAACCAAAAGCTGATCGTCAATGAAACGCATGAAACTGAAGTAGAGGTTTGGCATCATAAGGCAGTAGAGTCAATCTAAAAGCAAGTTTTCCGTGAAAAATCACCGAGTTTCGGACACCATTTTACTTCAAGTTTTGGGTAGAACGTCGTCATGCGTTGTCTCTTCCGTTTGCATCTGCGCCTTCACGTCTTGCTTTCCGTCTGCATTACAAAAAACCAGGCTTTATTCTTGATTTGAAAGAAGCAGAGAGAAAAGAGAGAGACATGATGAATTGAGGGGATCTCTTGTTGACTGACCTTCTTCTTCATTTGCTTGCCACAAAGCCACCTTATACAGTATGTACCATGTGAATGGACTGGTTGGATCTAGCTTCTCAGCTTCTTTCACTGCTTCCAAAGCCTGATGACAACAGTACACAACCAATTCACTTGAATATCATTATGACATTTGTAGGTAAGTTACTAAATAAGGCTTGTGGAAGTATTTATTTCATTATGACCGTACCTTATCAAGTTGCTGAAGGTTGAGATAGCATGATGCTCTGTTCCTCTGTAGTTTAGCAAGACTTTCATGCTTTGGGTCTGATCGAGTCAGGAGAGTCAGTGAGCAATTGTACCATGCTAATGCTTCAGCATTATCATCCACCTGCAGAGAAGGAAGAAATGACAAAGATTGAGGGTATGCTTGGAATATCTAACTTCAATAATGGCTATGTCCTTGCCTTCCACCTCTGTGGTCCCACATTCGATTTCCAGCCTGGTCTACACATGGATTGGGTTTTCAGTCCCTACCTGATTTCGTGGGTTTTACCCAAAATATTCCTCTGGGGTTTTTCCTCACACCTGTAAATCTGTACTTGCGTCTAATTTTCTCCTCTAAAGGTTTCTTCAAGACTCAAAAGCTGCAGTACTTAAGGAATCCTTGGTGTCATTACCAGAAATTAACATAACAATAAAATACTAACAGTCCAGAAGTCCCATTTTCAAGAGCAAAGATCCAGCAAACACAGATGGTTTGTCTGGCTCTTGCATATTAATCAGTAACTAATGGATTTATTTGATATGTACCAATTTCAAGTGTTAAAGTAGGACAACTGGCTTATCGAAGGACAAGAATTTACTACTAACAGTTAGTTTTTGCTCGCAAAAGCAGCCAGTCAATTTTGCCAGTTTTTGGCATATTTTGAAATTCCTCTGTCCCATTAGTCTGCATTAACTGATACTCAAAATAAGTTAATTTTCATTTTTTTAAGGATTTGTGATGAACTCCAGGACTTTCAAGGACTGTACTAGCCCAATGAGGTAAAAGTTCAGAAGAGTAAACCAGGAAACTGACACTGTTTTCATCAACAACATATTTGTTGAAATCTATCTCAAATACAACAAACCAAAATCTGTCAGCAACTTGGGCAAATGCAATATCATTTATTCTGCATTTGCTCTAAAAATTGACAGAAAAATATCAGTTTACCTTGGAATTTATTTGAAGAATTTTTTTTTACTTACATCGTAGGCACTGGCTGCCTGGTCCCACAGAACAGAGTGAAAATGTCTCTGGTTATTGATGTCAACATCAAAGACTGAAGAATGATCTACCATTAAAAATTATCCACACAGATATCAGGAATGGGTAGTTGTGGTTAAAACTACATATGAGTAACTTTATATCATGAAATGTTATCAGTTGATGAGAGAGATTTCTCCTAAAATCCTAAAATCTGCATTTGCTTCGCACCTGTTATGCATTCCTCTACAAATGTCTTTGCCTCTGATATCTTCTTGTTGCTAAGCAACAGCTCTAGATGCTGCAGATACACTCTACCAATGTCAGAGTGTGATGAGAAACAACTTGCCATTTTTTGACAGGAATATAAACTGATGTCCAGTCTACCAGAGAAACAAAAACGGAAAACAAAAATTGAATTCCATATTCAAAAAAGGGTCCACTGTGGGTACAATCAACACATCCAAAAGAGGGGCTCTGTCTTTGCTGCCACCTCGGAGTGGCAGAGTGATATGTAATGTGCCACTTCAAATTCCAGCATGCTTCTTAACAACCATACTATCGGCTCAACAGGAAATAAAACACTATTTTCTTTATTTAGATTTCCCAGAAAGCTGATAACTTACTTATCATGCTGAGCAAGCATCTTCACTGTATGGACAGCCAGGTTAACACTCAAGTCAGCATGGCTAATTAGATCATCTACAGCTGAAAACAAAATCAAAATTGAAAATAAAGCATTCCCACTGCCAAGAACAGACTGGTTTTCACAAAACTCCTCAGACAAAAACCCATGATTGTTACCAATGAACTGACCTCCTCTAATTCGGTTGTCACTGCCATTGACACACAGCAGAATCTTGATCTTAAGATGGAGGCCTGAGGGATGACTGTGTTCCTGGTAAAAGTTAAGAAGATGGAGATTAGATCTGCTTGAAACAGAAAGCAAACTGTGATTCCACAAATAATGCCACATTTGTAAGACCTGTAAGATCTTGTTTACATTTAATGTGTTTTGTTTTTAAATGGACTGTTCACTGTATCAGTGGGCATCTTGACTCCCCACACTAAAACCAAGTCATCAAACAAACTATACAGGGAAAGTGAACAGGTGTTTATATATTAGGAATATAAGCAAGGAAATTGAGGCAGGTGAGATTTGAACCTAATTTGGATCTCGATCTTAAAAGAGGGTCAGTCTAAAATCTCAACCACCGCAGTCAACTTCATGTTTACAAATAACACTGTGTGCTTGACATCTTTTTCCTCATGTAATCAGTTACACTTTCCTGCATGACAAGTTGTCTTTAACACTTACAGCATTAGCCAAACCAACTGCATTCAAAGCTTTCTGACCGTACTGTTCTGGATCCCAGTCTAGGTAAGTGCTGGCAAGCAAACGTAGAGTCCTAGCCTGTGCAAATACAAGACAAAATGTTTCTTCTTCATGCCTAAGTTGTTTTCAGCTTGATCAGTTCTGATGAAGCAACTTGTCTTTATTCCTTTCACTATTAACCATTGTTACACGCAACACAGATTTTTGTCTCCCTGGCACATTCTGTTTGGAATCAAAGAGTATTAATAAATCCAGACAAGGAATTTCTTAGCTTCTGCAAATGACTGGTAAGATTCTGTATTACCAATATTTTGTATACCTACAGAAATTCTTGGCCTTAACCAGGACAGCCATGTAAATTTAATATGTAGAAAGATTACCTGAAATTCTGATTCAATAGGGTGTTCTCCTTTGCCTAACTCAAGACTCTCTCTGCAGTGAGAAAAACATCAAACCAAGTAAAGTGAATTCAGGTGAAGTCAAGCCTTAGTTAAAAAACTTGAAGGCAGAAATGATAATGAAAAACTGTATGAAAAGCAAGCGTTCTGTCTGCAATACTGAAAACAATGAGATGTTTCCAGATCAGATTCTGTTTTAGAGCAAGAGAGACACAAGTGCAATATCCACTACACCTTAGCCATGCAATAGTAGCTTTGTAATACTTCTTGTCGAAGAGACACACAAAAAGTGCAATATCCACTACACCTTAGCCATGCAATAGTAGCTTTGTAATACTTCTTGTCTAAGAGAGACACTAGTGCAATATCCACTACACCTTAGCCATGCAATAGTAGCTTTGTAATACTTCTTGTCCAAGAGAGACACAAGTGCAATATCCACTTTACCTTAGCCACGCAATAGTAGCTTTGTAATGCTTCTTGTCCACACTGTCACAACCAAAGTTATAGCACAGCAGAGCTAGGTAAGAAGACTGACAAAAAAGCACTAAATGGTAAATTAACAAACAGAACTTGGACATCTTTTCTGAGTAATTTATGTCTTAAAGGTAACAGAACTGAGTGTACAAAAGTATGAGGTAGTGGATTCAAGTCCAACCTGCATACGAGGTTCTTGATTTTTTTCAAAAGCTCTCAAAAAAGCACAAAGAAAGAAAGAAAGGACAAACCAAAATGTGAAAGTTCACTCCAACCAAAACACAAATTGCACCAAAAGTGAAATGATTATTCCAAAAGTAAACAGTAGCAGTTGAGATTTACCTCATTCGGTATTTGTGGCAGAAGTTCTTTGGCTTTTTGAATCCATTCTAACCCAACAGCATGATCATCTTGCATGACAGACTAAAAAAAAAAAGGAAAAACAGATACTGAAACTAACAGGTTTCTGCACTACAGCATCGAAAAATTAAACATTAGCTCTATAAAATTAAACATTAGCTCTATAAAATTAAACATTAGCTCTACTGCTGGGGGTGTTCAACAAGTTTCCTTTCCTGCCAGCACTGAATTTTTTTGTACCTATTTGCAATGGCACAATTACAGAAACCAAAATTGATACAACCCGTATCAGGAATATTTCATGGGCGATACCACAAGTCCAAAAGAGATGACTCAGGATGTTGCAAGCAGAGTTTTTAACAAAAGAAAATGATTACAAATGACAGCAAACTTTTACTGAAAGACTATAAGCAAAATGATAATTGACTCAGATTCTGTAAAAGGAAGTAGCTCACCGACTCTGCTTTGGTGACATAAATCTTGAATACTTCTTTGTCCATATCTATGTATTGCAGCTGTTCGGCCTCTTTCCATTCATCTGATGAACCAGAAGGAGTAGATTCTAACATCTTCCTCATCTTCTCCAATCCCTGAATAGTGTTGACAAACAGATTTATTGAAGACAGAATGATGTTTATTTACCAAATTTTTGTTAGTTCTTGCTGAAATATTTTAGATTTCACAAACAATAGCAGAGTAGAATTTTTTTCTACAACATTCAAGCAGCAAAAAATTTTTTTAAAACATTCATGCAGCCAACAGCTATTCTGCAGAAAATAACCACAATTACAACTGAAAAATTTAAATTCCTTTCAAGTTATATGATGTTCCAACATCTCATACTTACATCCATTGCTAAGCTCAAAGACTGGTCCGCCATCATGGGTTTTTGGCAATCTAAAGAAAGTAATAATAAAGTAGTCAAACACATCATTTTTTGGTGCAATAACTTTATGTTAAATAAAATTTACAAACTGAGTGTGTTCCTGGAATAAACCTGGCAAACTTCAAGGCAAATAGCAGAGTGATCTCTGTAAGGAATAGAAAATGTTCCATTCTTTTGAATGATGAAACATTAAACTTCAAGGCAAATAGCAGAGTAAGGAATAGAAACTGTTCCATTCTTCTGAATGATGAAACATTTAACTTCAAGGCAAATAGCAGAGTAAGGATTAGAAACTGTGCCATTCTTCTGAATGATGAAACATTAAACTTCAAACTATATGCCACTTCCCTGGGTCTTATTTTTTACCAATTATTTTAGCTCTACAAATGGAAAGAATTGGAAACGTTAAAACTCACCCAGCCAGGCACGCCCCGTTCCGCCAGCCATCTGAAAAACAAAAACAAAAAAATTGATTGAAACTACCGTTTGCTTTGCATTAAAAGTAATGTAGATGAGCTTTATCTGAATAAATGCAGAGTGGCAATTGTCTTAAATAGCTATTTAAGGGCAAAAAGTACTTAGTGAACATACCATTATCCGCTTCTTGAGAAATGCAAATGTTTCCCTTGAAGATGGGATGGAGAAGGCAAGATTGCATGCAATATGTCTGACTGTGCAGGAAAAAACAACATACGCAGCTGAAGTAGACGGTCAATAATTCAAATCAATTTTTACACTCAGACTGGATTTCAAAAGTCAATTTTAAATAAGTACAGGTGAGTTGGTTCTCACATCCTTTGCAATAACTGACTCTTGATACAAAAGTCAGTTCCAAAACTTGCTACAGCTGCTAATAAATTTGAAATCAGGCTGCAAAACCATTCATTCAGATACTGTTATTAGTGGCAATGAATAAACTCACCTTTGGAATTGAGTTCCTGTGTCAATGATTCTCCTGTTTTTCTTGCCACTGCAACATCCCACAATGACACTGACCAATTCTGTATCTGTATTTAATTGCAAATACCGTAGGGAATAAATTGAATTATTTGTACAATGGAAAGTGACACCTCTCTAAAAAAGCACCCAGTGCTTGACCATTTCTTGTCACTTGCTGAAAATGAGCAAAATGGTGTTTTCTAGCAGGTAAATGATAGTGCATCATAAAAAAGATGACACTACGATGTTACTGTTTGTGATGAGTGACCCTTTATGCAGTCTAGGCAAAGAGGCAAAGAGTAATGTGATAACACCATACTTTCGAATTATTGGTCAATATACAGGTTGTTATTTTTGAGCCCTTTTCTGTAAGTTACCAGTTTCATTTTCATTACCAACCTGCATTTCAACAGCCTGGCGCTGTGGTACTCTGGTGTACAGGCCAATTAAGGACTGGGAGATGTCTAGTAACAGGTCAATGATCCCATCACACTTGTTTTCATCGTACTCCTGACATAACTGTGTCACAAGACCTTGAAATACATATACAATTGATGTATCAAGTCCAACCGGCCAGATTCAGTAAGATCAACTGGCAAATGTTGAGTATTTGGGAATGGTGCAATATGAGAAGAGACTTATGCAAATGAAAGTACGGAGAAAGATTGAAGGTCAAGAATTATAAATAGCACATTAATATTAACTGATAATTTTGCTGAATATTTGGGAATGGTGAAGCTTATGACTTATGCAAAAAATGTAGGGAGAAAGACTGGATGCAAAGGAATGGGTGTGGAAAGAATTGATCATGACTGCAATTATACCCTACCACAGCAAAGATGTTCTAAGCTGACATAAGAAAATGAGGGGGAAATGGATAACACATTACCATCAATTTGCCTGATTTTATCAGTGAAATCAGTTTTGTCAGTTCGCATGGCTTCCATTCTGCCTGGTTTTGAGGATTACTGCATCATCCACAATTCAGAGATATTACGTTCTTCATTTATACACTCGTCCATACACTCCCTACTAAAAATTGACAGGAAGAAAAATTACATCACTGATATATTAATAACTCTAGACTGGAGGAGTTTTAAAAATAATTCTAATCAGTGTATTTTTATTACTGAGAACTTTGGAGCGAAGACGCACAGTACATGCTGATTATGTTCTTTTACTCTGTTGAAAAATTTTGGTTGGTAGTTTTAAAGAGTTCTACATGTAGGTCTAACAATTCATTATCAATAAAACAGAAAAGATTTCAGTTCATTTCAAGCAAGTAAATTAATTATTTTGACAAAAATTATGTCATGTTGATAAGTACACGTACACAAAACATTTACAATGGTCATGATACCTTGCTTTCTCACGGTCACGGGAACTTTTGTACACTGTTGAATAGCACGAAGGGTAAATTTGCCACTTTGCCATGTTTTAAAAGTGCATAGTGACATCATGTTGACCGCAAGAATGCCAGCCTGGTAGCAAATTTGTAATAATTTATGAATTTACGTCACAATTACAAATATTTAGGGCTAGTTAGGTCACAATTAGGCTATGAGAATGAACATACTGGTTAGGTTAGATCACAATTAGGCTATGAGAATGAACATACTGGTTAGGTTAGATCACAATTAGGCTATAAGAATGAACATACTGGTTAGGTTAGGTCACAATTAGGCTATGAGAATGAACATACTGGTTCTCTGTCTGGACAATTTTGAAAACCCATGAGGATTTTTTTCATTAGTCATTAGTTGGTGTACATACCGCACATCGATAGTGAGTATGAGTCCATGAAAAGAGAACCAACCTTAAAGTAAACCAGTTCTCAGTCTGTCTTTCATCGTGCCATTTGTACGCAGGTGCACTACGAACTCCTGATTTACTTAGCAGCCATTTTTAAACATTCCCAAAGGGACAAAAAAGATATTTCTGAAATAGGGCCTAGTAACTTTTTGGAAAATAATAAAAAAATTTTGGTGGTTGTTTCAGCGGTAGGCCCTATGTGGGCGGTGGACGGAAGTCCAAGATATTCATTCTCATGACCTTACATTATTTTAGGCCAACATCTGCCACATACATGTATACCAACAAACAGTGAAAAAAGTGAAGCCCAAAGTTTCCTCTACTTCATGTATGTAAAAAATATGCCACGCCTAACACGCCTCGGCCAATGTGGAATTAGATTAGACTGTGAATGATGAGAAGTAAATCTGACTTACACAACTGCACAATACAGCCCCTACCCTGCCATGGCCCAGGCCTAATTAGAGAAATTTTCAGGCATGTCAAGAAGCTATACAGTAGTAAAATATATGCAAAAATTCGGAAAAATCAGTGCAGTAAGCCAAAGGGTACAACTAGTGTAACGGCCCTTGAAAGAGTTCCAAATCCTCCGATTTTTTTCATTTTACATACATACCTGTACACCCTAGGGGGTTGAACCTATGTCCACATCTACCTAGGTAGACAGAAAAGGCATGAAAGGAGGCCATGTGGAATGACTTGCCTCATAATGTTTATAAAGTACACACCTTGTGCATCCTGAGTATATTAATATGCATATGACGCACGTCGTTATTTGTATGTGCCCTCCTTTTCTGTCTACCACCTACAACTGGCGCTTCACCACCACGCATGTAAAGCCTGCCTACTGACGTGCCTGTCTGACACGTGTCACTGTATTGTAGGGCCTGCTAGTACAGTATATCATTCCTCCTTGAGTGCATGACAGCGACGTCCCATTCTCAAAACCGTAAACCGTCGAATAGCTTCAATTTAGCAGGGAGAATATCAAGTAATTTCTGAGAAAAACTTTGAATTTTTCAGTGAATATTCGAATTGCCAAATTATTTCATGCAAAGGACACGTGCAACATTACCTGTCACAATTTTGCCGCTTTAACCTTTGACCGGAAACCTCGTCCACGAACGTATCATACGTCTTTTGTGGTAGTAGCTAAAAATTTATAAACAATTAATAGCTGGAGATGGTAATTTTTTAAAAAGATTTTCATCAACTTTTTATCTTTTTCCCCGTTTCTTTTACTCCCCTCCTTTTACCCTTTTTTCATTTTTTCCCCAGGGCGCTACCCCAGGCTCCCTCACTGAGGCCTCGTCTGGCTAGCTCACATGCACACGAGCTTACACGAGCAGTGGCGTATTGTGTTTGGGACTTGCCCGTGCGTGATGATGGCGTAAATCAAAACTTGCTTGGCCTTGGAAGTAGAATGTATGTAGGGGATGCTGACACCATATGACATTACGAGGGGCACTGCAAGTCCATGATACTTTCACCCCTCAGCCTCAGATAAAAACTGTATAAGCCTATAGCTCCCCTGGCCTAGGCTACCTTTTCAGTGCTGGTGAATTCATTTTGGTTGTTAATGTTAGGAAGTCCAAAATTTTCCCCAAATCCGCCTTAACTTTACATTTTCTTTCACTACGAAAAAGTGAAAGGATGATTCAATAGCCCCCCCCCCCATCATTTACGCCCCGCTACTAACCAGGAAGACGGGATTTGATCCGACTCGGACGGACTCGGATGGCTGAAGCAGCAACGTTGGACTGTTTTCATGTCTCAAACGAACAAGCATATGAAGAAGAAACTCCCAAATCCTGCTGAGTTATACGAACAGGGACGAATTTGTTACAAAACACAGATAGCCTATAAACTCGTCCTGAGCGTTCCTGAATTCCACTGAAAGTATTACCCAATCCTCCTGAACTGATTTGTTTATTCTAACAGATATTTTGATCACACAATCTTTGAGAACGGTAGGCCAAGCTATAGGCTTATACACAGATAGGGCCTACAGAGTTTTGTTTTCAGAAAGGCGTAGCATTAAGTAGGCCTATATCTTAGCTTTCGAATTTACATATCCCCTACACAAAACTGAAAACAGGTTGTGTCTGGCAGTACATAAACGTTTCGTATAAAAAGAACTTCACAGCGCCTTGAGTCTCATTTCCAATTTGATGTTCACTTCGAGACAACGATGGCTATGGGTGTTCTTGTAGGCCTGCTCCTCGTGTGTGTTGCGCATCAAGTTCCATGTGCTGCTTCGAGATCTGAGCCTTTCAACCTAAACCCTCAGGATCAGATAGTGAGGGTTGGAGACAGTGCGACATTTACTTGTCAAACCAATTACGTGATTGATTGCCCACATGACAGAATCTCTTGGGCGATGAAGTCAGTGGGTAGAAAAGATCACAACATATTGACCCGCTGTTCAAAATATCTGAGTCCGTTCAATAATGGTAAATATTCAGTGTCTCTGAAAATCAGTGAGGATTTCACGACGTACAGTCTGGTAATCAACGATGTTACATTGGCAGACAGTAAGAAGTACTACTGTTTTGCTTTTACACGAGAACATGGCTTTCCTTACGAATACTCCAGCAACGCTTTTTTGACTGTGACGGACCAACCGATCTGTCAAACACAATTGAAGCGCTCTATAAGAGTACTCCAACGTCAAGAACTGATTCTTGGTGATGGAGGAGAGTTTCTTTGTGATGTTGATCCTCATCCAGACTCGGCTCCCTTTCAGTGGATCCTAAAAGATGTAGATAACAACACCTTTTCCATTAATACCACGGAGCGATTCTCAATCTCAAGAAATCAACTGATAATTAACCCCCTTGTGACTTCAGACAACGAGCGCTCGATAAAATGCTTGATTACATTTAACACCAACTGTCAGCAGTCGAGCTCTTGGCACCAGATGGTTTTGGTTCCACAGACTACAGAACAAGAAACATTAGTTCCAACCGAGCTGGCATGGTGGAATGTTTTTGTCACGATCGGAAGAAAGACATATACAGAATCTTCTCTCAGCGAGGTTCCCCATTCTGATCAGCGTACTCCAAGCGACCGTTCATCGATTTCTGAAGCATTGACTTCTGCCGGACTGATTGAAGACTTAGCGAGGACAACCCTACTTCCTGGGGGCCATCAACGCCCCTTTCAAGTCGTCACCGGGGCCAGTAGTGGTAAACAGCAGTTTATTGAGCAGTGGGTGGTTATCGGTGGCATCTTTGCCGTCGTATTCCTTCAAATCATCATCGTTGCCATTGCCCTGTATGTGTTGAAGACAAGGAGCTCTTCAACAGCCAGTCAGAGATCCGTAAATCTCCCCGCACTTCAAGCCTCACCCGTCATGATCCTCGCCCAAAGACGCCGATCTTTCGCGAACTCGCACACTATCGCGTCTACAACACGTGAAACGCAGATAGACATTTCTCCTATCTACTCAGAAATTCCTCTCCTCAGTCGTTCGCAGATCTCTCTCCAAGCCGGAGAGGTCCCTGAAGCGAAGCCTCAAAGTTCTGAGTATCAACCTTTAAAGAAAACGCATGATGATTTGAGAGTAGATGTTAGTTCACATGCTATCAAACCAGAGACAGATGTTCAGTACTTGGTACCAAACAGACCAGGAAGGGTTGGCCAGAATTAGAATCATTCCAAGTATGCATCAGAGTCCGATAAGACAAATCGGTGTCCAAGTTTCAAGTTCTTCTGAAGTGACTTGTTGCTTTACTGAAAAAAACTCCTGAAGGCTCCGCTCGTGGGAACTGCAATGCGCTGATATCGGAAAAATGTTGAGAGGGGTAGATTCCGCCCCGACTCTTTCAGGATTAAACTTTGTTCCGTCGCGGGCTAAAGACGTCGATATTCATATTATGACAGAGTTGACTGGGTTAGAGAATCAAGAAATTAAATGTTAAGGTAGCAATGTTGGGTGCTATCATTGTTCTCTCACTTAACCCCGCCCACTAAACACTGTACCACCTACAGCAAAAATATTTAAAGCAAAGAAAAAATATGATTAAACGATTACGAGTTAGTCACAGTATGAATTGTTTAATACATGTATTTAGAAAGTTCACATAAAACCATAATCACCACAGTTTTTGCCATGTTCTGGTGGCATTTTAGAAGCAAATTACATTGTACTTGTTTTGAAGAAAAAGCTATCAAATAGATAGGCCACTGATAATTAACAAAGTAGGGGTTCACTTATTAAAACGTAATGCCTGCTTCACTAATTGAGTACTTTCAAAAACACAAACACAGCATCTCGTACGTTCCCCCGTCACCTGTAAAACGGAAACAAGTTTTCCGATTTAGAGGTGGGAATGAACAGATAATCTGAAGAAAACTTAAGGATTAGAAGCTAAAAACACATGTTAGGATTCTAACCTCACCCTGGGTGAGAAGTCAAGGGAGACTTCCACGTCTGCTATATGTTGGGAGTATGGAAGCTATTTTCCCGTCACATGTTCATGTTTCGGGTGGTTATTAGAAACGCACAAGGCTCAATAGGCCTATTTATTACACGCATACGAATTCAACTTGTTCTCGTTTTTTTCCCAAATGCGCTGGCAAATACAATTTTTAAAGGATTAAAACTTTCACCTTACCACATTCCATCCTATCCACACTCAACGTTAGGTCCACCCAAAAGGTTTAAATGTCAGCTTTCGCAAGTGAGAAATATGAACAAATACATCCAAGCTGTATAACTTATCTCACACTGGATGCATTTCACTGTAATAACCTTCAAAACTCCAAGTAACAAATAATACCAACCAACCAATCCATTAATCAACCAATCAAAACAATGTCAGAAGTATTAAAACCAAACCAAACCAAATCAACTAAAAACGTTTATCAGACTACTTCATATTAATGAAGAATATGTAGTTATTAATATTGATACTATTAAACGCAAATGTGGAGGAAATATTACGAGATCGGACTGTTTTTCTGAGCTGCTCACAAGATCAAAGTGTCAGTAAGCAAGTGGTCGATGGACAGACGAGCTTAATCATTCATTCAAGATAAACTGTCTTGCAAATCAACAATTTAAACAGCAAATCAGCATAAGATGTATATACATATAAATCTTTTGAAGGCAAGTGTGTTTTAACTCTGCAAGTATGTACATATGTAACTTTATGGAAAGAATAAAGACCAACTACATTTACAGCCTTTGTCCGATATAAACTAACTTTCGTTTTTGCAGTTTGATAAGAATACAAACTATCAGTATATTTCAAGCCATCTACTCAAGGTCAAGCTAGTTACACATGCAATTCCTTTCCTTAATGAACATAACTTCTTTACCTTTCATTTATTAAGTTTAACTACTACTTTTTAATAGTACTGCATTTATGATGCACTTTAAAATTCCAATATGGTATCACTTCTTGGCTGATTCATAGAAAGGGGAGTTGGGCTGGGTCTGCTATGTCTTTTTAGTGAGCAAAGTGATCACCAATTTATAATTAAAGGCAAACACTTCTTACCCTTCACCTTGTTATATTTTTTTCTGTTATACAATAGCCATTTGTTAATACTTCAGTGATAAGATATAAACATCACATACTCACGAATACTTGTGATGTCACATCTGTGGATTTCAGGATAACTGAATTCCAGTTCAGAGTATAGTGAATATCATTGTTAAAAGCTAGATAATTGTTGAATACCAGCCATTCTTGGTTATAATCCATGACGCTTAATTCTTCACCATCACATAAATACCAATTAAGAATTAAGATGTTCTTTAAAAAATGATGAAACTAAAATCAAAGCTTCCACTTACAATGGTAATATGTACAAGCAATACATCATATGAGAAAAAGGCTTTCTGACCTTTAACTTCAGGTCCAAAAGTAAGGTCAAGAGCTATGGCAAGCCCTATGAAAAATAATTCTTCAGGGTTTTATAATTTGCTTTTTTCAGCAGGTGATTCCATGGCATACAACGGATTATATAATATTACAATCTTGGCTGTGGTTAGTTTAGGTAGGAATGTGCAAGACAGAGTAAGTAAGATATAAAATGTCAAGCAAAGACTTAACTTTTACAATAATTCTGCAAGGAAATACCAAGCACTTGCAAAAAGACTTGCACCAATTTTTTCCCAACATTCTGCACAGTTTCAATTGTTCTTATTGCACAGCATAGCATTTTTGAATATTGCTATTCAACTTTGGTTACAGTGTTAACAATGCACAAACTGTATTAAAGCTTTGGTCAATCTGGAAAAGGGAAGCCAAACTATTTAAAGTTAAAACTTACACAAAATATTTTGTAATTATGCATTAAACTTGATAAGCCTGCAATCAATGATTTCCAACTTGACTCTTTAGGGAATTAACACACAATATGAATGTTCCAATGAAATCTGATGAGTTAGCAGGACATTTGATTACATGTCATTTACATGTTTACAGTGCACACTGCATTTGAAATTCCAAAAAGCCCAAAAGTTTGCATTTGTTGGTCAATTTACAGCCCTGTAAGTATTTTTTCAATGCACATTTACAACTGAAGTTCATAAATTTTGACGTATATGCATATGAGTTGCATTTAAACATAAAAAATCATGCAGTTGGATTACATTTTTCAAATCCGTTTCACCTAACCACAGGTGTCACAATAAATGATTAACCTGGCATGAGAAAATGCATTTATGCAAAAGATTCACAGCTCTGTACATGAAAATGATAACATACTGGATTACACTGAAGAGAGAGTTGGTGTTTACTTTTTAAACTGTTTTGATAGTCCGCTGAGGTCAAACACAAGCAACATACATAATGGATCACGCTCTTATATAATGATATAATGATTTGCACATGTGTAAGATGGATCTGGAGAATGTTACGCAAATGTACTTTAACCCTAACAGTCCCAAATCCTCCAATGTTAATATGATTTTACATACACCCTAGGGGGTTAGGGTTAACTTCCTTGTTTAATCTGGCACAAAAGCTAAAATACCAATGCTTTGTGAAGTAACAGCTGCAGTCAAATCCAGATGATGCTTTGAGCTTGCTTTGTTACATCAAACCAAGAAACAAAATGTTTCACATTTAACCCTGTGCATAAGCACCCATCAAAGTTAACACAGTTTGAAAAGCATTCATAACTGAAGGAATTACTAACATAACCTGAGTCTGTTAGGAAGCAGCAAGAGGTATTAAGAAGTCTCTCTCCATTAGTTTCTCGATTAAGTCCAACGGTGGAAGATCTTCAACATCAACCAAGTCTTCTATCTTCCATCCTCTTCCTGATGACGAGGTCTTGACTTCTCTTTCAAGTTGAATGAGGTCTGGAATCTGGTTGACCAGACTGGTGTCAGACTCTGGGCAGATTGTATTGAAGAATGGAAGGAGTTCCTCGATGGATTTGATCTGATACATTGTCAAGAGTGGTCGACCTGGGGAAACCTTCAGAGCTGGCCCATCCATGCCATTCTCCTGTCAAACAAAGATAACAAAAGTCAGTATCAGGATGCTTCTTAAAGCCATCACAGAAAAACTTGGATGCTGACCTGTGAGCGAGTGTGGATAGTTCTCACGAAACCTTGATTTTTATTGCCAAGACTACAGAAGTACAACATGGCAGGTCTTGCGTCTCTTGGCTCCGTGTAGACAAAAATCCTTACCATTGACAAAACGCAACTTCCATAAAATGCAATGATGGAAAATGGGTTACAGAAGTATATGTGAACCTTTAGAATAGTGCTGTCACTTCTAGCTTAGTTCAAGGGAGCAGGAATCTTGGCTCTCAATACAAGGCAAAGAGCACCCTCTGGAGTTCACGTACCAACCCTATAACCTACCTGCTTGTATCTAGTTCTTAAGAGCTGAGCAGCTCTTGACACATGAGGTACAAACTGCATTGGAGAATCCTTCTTTTTTCCTCCTCCAACAAATGCCCACTTGTACCTGAAACGAAAAAGTCATACATTCCTTAATCTAAACCTTCTGGTCAATAAGCACAAAAACCGTCTCTACTGAGTAGAGAGTCCTTGAAACATAATATTTTATCAACTGTGGGTAGAGAACCCTCATCTTTACATACAAAAAGTCTCAAAACTTACACTTGGAATTGTGGTAAACTCTCGGCAGGCAAACAGATGGCTAGATCAAGCAGCTTACAGGCAGCTAGATACAATCCTAACCACGGCTTGGCTACATTGCTCAGTGTCTGTGGGATGTTGCCATTACCACCAAGGAAGAAACTAGCAAAATCTGTACTTGTAACTCGCTTGATGACTGACTTCTTACTACTTTCAGGTGTGCAAGTAAGCTGCTCTTCCATGTGAAGAAACACTTGTACCTAAGAAGTGAGGAAGATGATGACAGCCTAAATATCTTCACTGTAACTCTTAAAGGGGTGATAGTATTACCAAATGGTCTTCACTGCTACATAATATATCACACATTTTCTGGTAGTTTCTTTAACAATAACTTACATCATACATATTAAGAAGAGAAACCAAACTGCCAAATTTGTTTCCAAACTACAGTACATTTAACTTATTTTGCATTCACGGGGGATAATTCTATTTCTAGAGATGTTAACATATTCATACATGTAGCATCCATACTGTCGCTTTAAATGGATGAAATCACAGACAAGGACTGAAGCTTTGTTAGAGAGGACAATACCAACTTACCAGCTCAGATATAACAGTTGGCCAAAGCCCAGTCAGATGATGAGGTGAGATGCGTAGTAAGAGCACTCTGAAGCAAACAAAGACTTGTTCATGTACCGCAGGCCCCTGACTTTGTCTCAAATTCTCTGCTAATCGCTCTTGGATATCAGGCAAGAAACGAACATACTGGTCTGTCTCACTGCAAAATATGGTGAAACTTAGGCGCTTCAGAAGCTGAGCTCGCTGGTCAATCTCAGCTTCCTTGCTGGTGAAGAGGTTGAGAGAGGTGTTCTGGAAAGCAGCTACTCGAGCTGGTGGATGAAAACAAAGGATACAATTGTGATAGAAAGCGATCATGAGGTATGATGAATTGGTCCTGCATTTACCAAATCTGGAGACAAATACTATCCATATCTGAAAGAAGGCTTGGTGGTGATGTGGCATCTCTCTCCTTTGTAAGAGTGAGTGTCCTGGGAAAAACTGGTGTGTGTGTGAACTCCACGTTTTGACCAGGATGATCTATGACCAGAGTATCCTGGTCAAGGTAACTGATCAAATTGACAATTCTATGAGACTTAATGTGTCCATTTGGACTTGAGTACAATTTTAACCTGAGGTTAAGAATCATGTCAATAACTTACCCATGAGATCTCTGTAGGTTGTCTTATCATGTGTCATTAGATTATCTATTACAGGTAGCCAGCTACAAAAAAAATATTAAAAATCAAAATAACTGACCATGGTACAAGTGAAGAAGACTGAAATATTTGACAAGAGATACCTTTTATTGTTTCTGTTGTCACTATTTCAACTTTGGTTGATCAAGTACAGATTCACAGATCATGAAATGTAAATGGAAGATTTTAAATGAGCAGATATGGACCAACTACACAAGTGTTTTCCATTCAACCAGAATTCTCCTTGTGGAATCCATACATTATGATACTTACTTATGTATGGATACAATATCTACTTGGAAGAAGGACGGGTCTAACAGCAGATCAAAGGCATCTTTCTTCCAGGATTTCCGTGTGTATTGATATCCACTCAGACTAGCTAATAAGGCAGTGCAGGCACGGAAACTTGGTGTGTTGGGAGAACTGTGTAAAATACAAGCATAAAATGGATTAACAAACTTGTCAATAAATGCAGTACAATGCTCTTAATGAACACTTCTGAGTACTGACAATTGGAACAATGATTGGAGACAGCTTATATTAAATAGAAAGATATAGGGCATACCTGTGGTTCTTGAGGTAAGGGGTAACATTGTGCATAATTGATGTCAATAAAGGCACAACTTTGTCCTTCTCATCACTACCGTAGACCATGTCCAGCAATGTTGCCAATAACTACAACAGATAAGTCATAAGTTAGATTTAATGCCTTAACGTCGTAAAAATATATATTTTGAAAGGATTACATCACACCATGGAAGCACGGTATCAGTTTAAATGCAATTTTATCACAGTGGGAATCTTAATTTTGGAAGGTGTCAAAAGAATTTGAACTTGAGCCCAAAAATACGAAAACTGAATTTCAGCTTAAGCAGTTACCCATGCATTCCCAAATGGGTGGGGGTCATCTTCTTACCTCTGCCAGTAGATTGAGTGCTTGTACACTATACTGTGAGTAATTCTTAGGACTGTTAGTTGGTGTACCAAATGGTGTAGAGGGATCTGTGGTGGTGACTGAGGTCATCTCAGATGTGGAATCACCTCCATCTGGCTCTGAAGTTACAAGAGGAAGGAAAGTAATCAGATATGCAGGTTTCCAATCCATATAAATGGACTGGAAACAACACATTGAAAATAACGACTATACCAACATTTATCATTGCTTTATCTTGAGAAATAAACATAGATCTGAGTGTAGGTTACAGGATGTCCAAACATCACCAAACAAATCACCTAGGAATATTTTAATCACAGACTGTGCAGAGAAGGAAAGATTTTCTTGATCAAATCCAGCCAAACTGAATCAGATACTTACCATCAGTCTGGCTCACAGTCTGCTCCTGTGGGTTGATCTTCACTGAGACATTCCTTCGAAGCCAAGTTGATTGTTCCAAGGATGAGCCAGCAATAGTATTACACGCTTCCACGAGACGCTGAGTTACCTCTTGAAGTTCCTTCTGATCCTTCCGGTCTTCAAAGGCAGGAATCTTATGAACTATCTCACTTAGAATACTGAAAAACCAAATTGTGTAAAAAAAATAAGACGATGTCATGAGTGTGAACAAAGAAACCAAGAACCTCTAAATCAAAATTTAGCAGAATGTGGTTGCTTACACTAAGTCCACAAAAATGTAACAACTTGAAACATACCATTTTGAAAACCATCATTACTTTGCATGGGGCTTAATGTCCCCATTTCTTTTAATGGAAAAAATGTGTCGTTTGGTTACTGCAACAAGTGAAACAATGTTGATTTGAAGACATTCAAATTGATCTTATAGATGTCAATCTGCCTCCTCTCACCGTAAGAGCAGGAACTGTCCTGGTGGTGCTAAGCCAAGTTGTAATCCTTCCTTCAGAAGAGACAACAACGACTGCCAAGAGTCCCTAACTGACATGATGGACATTCGACCAATGTAACAGAATACAAACTGAAGCATGCTAGTCTCTAAACCAGGCTGATCCTGTTATACACAAAGAAAACGAACCTCTGTCACACACAATAAGTGTACCTGACTGTTAGGGTTAAACTACACAGTAAACTGCAGTCTAATCACATCCATTACCCTAACAGTCCTCAATCCTCCAACAGGTGAAGGATTGAGGACTGTTAGGGTTAACTGACTCCAAACGGTGTCAATATTTGACTTGACTGGGGCTGAATCAGTATCTACACACAGCCTACATTTCAAGATAATAATATAGAATTTATATCATTAACAACAAGCTTTCTCTTTCTGTCTGACTGATATTGCTTTGACAATGCCGACATCCCACATGACCGGATGGGTACATGAATATGCACATCACAGACTTGTGGCTGTACCTTGTCTCTGATTGTGAATGGTGGAGCTTTCAAGACTTGCTTGATGGTCTGCATCAGTGTGTCTGTAGGCATAGCTCTGATTGCACTCACTAACTCAACCAAAACAACCTGGTCCTCACAAGCCTGGCGAACAACCTGCAGACATAAAACAAGTCCATGGGATCATTTCAAAGAGAGTTTCCCTGTTCTTAGTTATTTTATGGGTATGCATGGAACATTATATCACTATACTGTAGCTATATGTAAGGACCAACCAATCAGCAGTCAAGATACTAATCTGATTGAAAATGTATTTTCTACTCACATTGGTTTGTTTGGCTCCACTTTTCTTTTTCCAATCACTCCAAACCACACCAATGGCTGCCATTAAGTTGACAGGATGATGAAGAGCAATTGGACTTAACAACTCCAAAATCTGCTGTCTAGTACCCTGTTCAAACCAAACAAAAGATTTGTCACCAATATGTCAGTCTGGTGCCCTGACATCACAAAGCAGAGGTTATACAAGCATAACAGATACCATCCCATTTATTGGAAGAAATCGGTTAAACCTCTGGCAAAATGTCAAATATTTGTAAAATTCATTGTGGTTAATAGGTTAAGATCTGTAAGCACAGACATTGCTTCACTTTACAGTCTGAAGAATTTGTGTTCGGTACAAGCTAAATGTATCTGATATACATGTATAGTCCCTACGGGTACATGTAGATTCCAAAGGGAAATGGGCTTACATAGAATGGGCATACTAGACCAGAGCATTGAAATAACCTACTGTTGTCACACAATTTAATACAAAGTTTTTCATAAACAGTAAGAGTTCACATTTCATCATTGAAGGTTATTTGCATAAGAAGTCAAAGTACTGCTTACATGCATGTGTCTCAGCTAAAGTCCTTGGCTACCAAAACCTGAGTATATGGCAATGCTATGTGTGCTTGAACAATAAATAATGATCAGATTAACGTCATGTGTATAATGAATACATTAATGTGTTGCGTTTGGCAACATCTATTCATGTTCAATTGTACCCAATTTTCATTAAATGACGTCACTACGTGAGCAATGCACAGCTCTACAGCTCATCAAATCAATCTTATGACCAGGCAGAAGTTGTGAAGCTTTCTCCTTAGTTATGATTAGTTTAAACACAGAGTAACAGATTCTATACTTGCGGAGAGGAAATCACAACACAAGTCTTAAATACGGATTCAAAAAATAGTTAGTAAAGATGAAAAGGCAAAACATGTTAACTTTGCAATGGGTTAACAATTAAATGGCCACTCGAACAATAATTACTCAAAGGCGGATGCACAAAGGCCAATTAGGAAGAAATTTGACACTACAAGAAATTAATAAACCAAATAATCAAATTAATCTTGTTTCTTATTTAAATGATAAAGAACAACAAAAAATAAACTAAACAATCAAATTCATCTTGTTTCTTTTTAAATGATAAAGAACAAAACAAACAGAAAGACTAACAGATGACTTGTCATTTATTCTCTCCCATTTTTGAAACAGGCACAAAAAAAATCAAAACTTTGTAAACACTAATGCTACTAGTCGCAAATCCTCTGATATCTATATATTTTACATACACCCTAGGGGGTTAGGGTTAAAAATAACTAAATGGAGTGATCGTACAGTATTATCATTAATGTTCTTGCTGGTTAACCCTAAAAACTCATGTGTTGTTTTATTTTGGAACCCCCCACCAAAAAAACCCTTGGTTGTTACATGCTTAATTGCTCTGAAACTACCGTATAAATATACTCACTAAATGTATGGTATCTGTAGAAATGTGAAGTTTGAAATCAATATGACATGGGGTTTGATGTTAAGGTCATTTAAAAATCATGGTCTCACTTATGTTGGGATGTAAGCATTGAGCACTTGGTACGTCATTGGAAAAGTATAGATTTTTTGGCTGACCTGTATTGGAAAAATGTGAATGGCATGAAAACAGCCTCTTTGACTTTTACAAAATTTGGGTATAAATGACCAAAAGGTGTTACTGGAAAACTCCTGTGGAAATGTCAACTCAGACAATATTGGAGAAAATGGTGCACATGTGGGTGAGGGGCATATTCTCCCCCTCCCCAGGCTCTTAAGGGTAAAGCCACATCTGGATTGTTAAGGAAGTTAATAACCTAAGCAAGAAAACTGTTTGCTTGCTGCTGAAAATATGAAGACTTAACGAGACAAGTTAAAAAACAAACTATTAAACTGCTGGTAGAAATTTCTGGCAAGGCATTCATGAAAGCATCAAGTACTGGTACAAAATAAACAAAAACATTGAAGTACAGTGTTTTTGTAGTTTTGGTAACAGTTTAGAAATAAGATGGACTAGGAACAAAATCTACCTATAGTCAAAAATCAAATTTCTTTGTAACTGTTCCTAGGCATTAATAGGGCAGACAATAAATAGAATTGCATGCTCAACTGTATTGAGAATTAAGATGTTTTTAAGGAATATACATGTACAACACTGCATCTAACAGCCACATGATCATGCTAGGATACACTGACTTTTTTCTGTGGTCAATACCGTATCTCAGCCAGGGGGACCTCCCAGTGATAAAATCTGATCAAATTTGGCAACCTAAATTGGAAGCCATTACTTCTGGGGTAGTACCATATATCAGACCCTAGAACAACAGATTCTAGTACATTGTATGTATGCAAACAGAGTTACTGTGGTGAACAGTGGTGATAAGTTGAGAACCTCTGAGGCTTATCCCACTGCTGCCACCTTTTACTGGTACGCAAACAGTAGATGTATACGTGTGTATCCTAGCTTCTTCATGGACTACTATATTGGTTTAATACATGTAGAATTCTGTCAATAAAATGGATGCTGTTCCTTACCTCAGTGGATAGCTGATAGGAAAATGCCATGGAGAGATAATGCAGGAGAGAAGTAGTTGTGCTAGTTAGTGAATGTACATGTATTGAATATCTGGGGTAGGTGTACATGTCCATGCCCATCTCAACGGAAAGGTACAATGGTAATAATAATGTGTTGTCTTTTAAATGTGTTCCAATCGCGTTGTACAGGTACCTGCAGAGGTCACAACTCCTTTGACATTGTGGGAATACCTTGTAACTTGCAGTTCAATGTGCAGTGTTGCTTCAGTTTTAATGCTATGAAAAGGAGTTGAGACCTTAAAAAAGCATGCAAATGACACGATTGGCTCACACCATCAGGTAAGTACTATCAGGTCTTAAGAGCAGGAGAAAATGGATCTTAAATTTGGGCATGGCTTTACTTCTGAAATGAATCAACATTTAAGTCAGTGGAAAAATTATTTGAAGCTCTGCAGACCTTTTAGTACAGAAAAAGTTGACGCATGTGAGGCTTTGAGAATAATGGTACATGTATACCTGGGTTTGGGATTGACTGGAAACTAGATGTTAATGTATATGTACATGAAGATGGACTATGTACAGCATGTGAATGCCTATGTTTGAAGGAGGAAATCTACCATCTATATTTCAATGACCACGAAGAGGAACCAACATCAGGGAAAAGTAAACAATACCAGCAAGATGATTGATGCAAACACTGTTCAAGAACTCAAAGACATGTAAACTTAAACCCTCATGAAATGTACGTACTGTCTCCTTCTTTAGTCCATGGAATGTATCCAGGATCAACTGAACCTATTTGGGAATTTTTGGGATGTTTAGCTCCATATGAGAACAAGCTCCAATCCAAACATAATTTTTCTCCAGAATGGAAAGCAACATTTTGGAAAGAAACAACAAGACCTACTGTTATGCTTGTAATTCAGACACTAAAATGTCTGTAAGAATCATGGTCCTGCGAACTGAAATTCAAGCCTTGCAATGCCTGACAACTTGTATGCTGTCACAACTGGACACAAAACAAACCAGTTGTCCTAATCTTCTGTCTAGACAGAAATCATACAATCACTAAACTGACATCATCAAGATACAAAAGTCTGCTCTGTGATTAAGGCTACTCAGATATTCACACTTGTTTACCGCAGACATTCATAAGGTGAACAGTCCATTTAGATTTCAATATGCGGTTAAATAATGCTGAAAATGTTACACTTTGAAAATTCCTTAAGGTTAAATTTCTTTGCAGTATGAAGTTTTCTTTGAAATATTTAATGCACGGGATTCACAATGTTCCACATTTTCTACTGAATGACATGCTTGTAGCTCAAATTTCAAACTTGAAATGAAGATGTACATTGCACATGTAAGTAGGGGCACTGGGACTGTATAAATGGCATGCACTGTATCTAGCACAGCCAGGGCTCATAGTCTAAGGCTGCATCCGAATCTCTTGTCAAGAGCTAGGTTTAGACTTTCACTCCACTGGAAATGTGTGGAGACATGCAGAAAATAGACCTAGCTGTAGCTCTGGAAGCCAGTTTCGGACATGGCCTAAGTCTACCGGTACCACAAACAGATGACATCATCCACTAAGCACCAATCCTAACCATGCATTTATTATACATGCATGCATTTACCACAAATTGGGACAGTTTGTCTGTTATCTCGATTAACTGAAGAGTTATGGCCTAAACTACCCATGGCGTTCAGAACGTTTAAATGAGTGTTCAACAACATTGTGATCAGTGATCTGCAAGTAAACTACATGTACTTGTTGTTACTACAAATTCTTCCTACTAGGTGAGAAATGCCTGAAAATCTCTCGTTACACAAATAAAAGTAGAAGAATAGAGGTTTGACACCAAACAATGTAACAGTACCAGTATTGCAAGTGTTAAATTTAGTTACAGGTTTTGTCCTTACACCAAGTACATGTATTCATGAATGCTGTATACTCAGTGCTTGTCTGAGAGCTTGTGAAAAAAACTTCATCTTGAAATAACTTTGTGGTACTCGCTGCTGATACTCTCTCGGTACTCTTTTGTGGTATCTGACCCAGCTGACCCTGGCAAGCTCTATTATTGAGCAGTTAAGATGTCTGCACTAGTAACCAGGAGGTTGTGGGTTTGAGTCCCACCTGAGTAAGCTTGTGAATTTTTTCCAAAGCTCTTGGACAAGCAATAAGTATACAGTGTTTATGAACATATGTTGGGGTAAGGGTAAAACCTGTAATTAAATGTAACTGTGCTAGGAAAAATTTCATAAGTGAATTTATCTATGCATAAAACAACTACGCGACAACTACAAAAGCTCAAGGATCTAATTGCTCAGCTGATTCCTTCTTCTAAGTTCAATATGTGTTTGAAGCTAAGGTTCTGTGAGATGAACTCTACATGTACAAGTAGGGTGGGATTGGGGAAGTGTTCTTGTACATAACTAGCATTCATGAAGGGTTCCTTTAAAAATCATGCAATAAATTGTTGGTTCGGTGTATTTCTGCTCACATCAAAGAACCAAACATGGGATTAATACAAAACAATATCCATATGCCAGTGTTGTTTACAGTACAGCAATAAATAAGTATTCAGATCCTACACGACAAACATTTTTTACAGGATCTGTAGATGTGGGTCTAGCAAATTCACTTTTAAGACTACGTCAAATGGTAATTGTTTGGCACCTATAGACACATCTGAGCCTAGGTGTATGGCAGATGCAACACTAACATTTCTTTTAGTGACAATCACATTTTGTCCTTATACCACTAAAGCGCAATGACGCATGACGTATCTAGTCTATATCATAACCACAATGAGATAAAGCCATAGATTACTAAAATGCGAGGGACTTATAACCCAATTGGAAATAATCCATTGATTCTTACCTTTGGTGGTCCAAAGCTCCAGCTTGGAGGTTCTTCAGGTTTAGAGAGAGAATCCCTCAATCTCTCACATCTTAAGATCACAGCCCATAGTTTAGCCACGCTAGAGATGATACGAGGTAACATACCAAGGAGACCCTTACGAGCATCAGCCTTTGGGTTGTTAGTCTGACTGCTAGATGGATTGGCAGTACTCTATATTCACAGAAGTAAAATGGCAAGCAAAGAACAAATGATTCATTCTTAACTTACACATTTTGGCAGTATGCTACAAGGCAAAATGCTGGGAAAAAGAAAACAGATCTTCACAAAAATCACTTATGTCTTTAACTTTGTATCAGATTTCAAAGTCATTTAAGGCCTTGTACATTCAGTAAATTTAACTATTATCAACTTCAGCCTTGAAGCACAAAATAAGCAGATGGATACGTCTTGAAACAATGACTACCAAAATAATTTCCCAAACTTTGAGACATAGACATCCTGATACTGTAGTCTACTGATGAGGATGAAGACAGACACAGGGAAAAATACCTTGCTTTTGTCTCTAGTCAAGGCTCCAAGTAGACTACTGAGGAGTGGTGTGGAAGTACTACTCTCAGACTCTAAGGCACTGGTACTGCTGGTGACTGGACCTGAATGCCTACTTCCCATAGCAGAGAGGTTAGAGGTACTCTCTAGCAAGCAGAAATGACAGATGGTAGTCAATCCTTCTAGCATGGTGACTACATGGTCTGGGGGAACATTCTCAAGGTTCACTTCCAACCTGTGGTGAGGAAATCAAGTATATGAAATGAGAACTCTACGAAACATACATCTAGGGATATCAATCATATCCTTGGCAATGTAGTCTACTCAGAGAGACATGCAGTGCACATGGCTCATTATGTTGATCCAACTGCAAACTTGTGATATACCAGAGTGGATAAAATAATCTTGTCAAGCCCTCTTTTAATTGAAGAATGTCAACACCTAAATTTAACAGCATTTCAAGTGTTTGCTACTGACCATTATTAAGCTTAGCAGTTGTCACTCAACATTATCAACAAACTACTATGTTGACTTACTTCTTGTTCGAGTCTCCTGGCGTGTAGAGAATGGTCAATTGCTCCAGATTCTTGCAAAGTTGATTACAGACAGGAAGAGCAAGCTTGGGCAATCCTCGTTCTAAATGTGGAAGTGCTTCAGTCACCACAGCAACCCAATGACGATGCATGTGACAGATTTGGTACTGTTTAAGAGCACTTAAGACAGCTGTGATGAAGATGGACTGGCTTCCAAAACGTTCCGAGCGTACAAAGCCGACAGAGGAAGTCTTCTGAGGAGTGAACTTCATGCGGAGATATTCCCATTCACTATCAGCATTGCTTCCTGTGTCTGTGTCATCCTTAAGTGTGAAGAGTTGGTCTTCCAGGAAGATAAGAGTCCTGGCCAGCTTCAGTAGCTGGATTTGGAAGGCCTGAGCTCCTCGGTCAGACATATCTTGGGAGATATCCAAAATAATTTCTGGTTCCAGGCTTTGAGTTTTACCACTACCTCTATGGTGACTGTTAAACACCGATGACAACAGGCAGTACAGGACTGCTTTCTGGACTTTGGATCTAATGAGAAGATCACTGATGAATGTTGCTAGGCCACGCCCACTGTCCTTAACGATGTAGACGAGCTCGTGAAGGATGAGACGGAGAACCTCCATGCTTGCGATCTGAACATCTCGGTTGCCATGGACATCATCTTCACTGGCTTTAAGATCATGTGGGTAGTAGCTCCTCATATAGTAGACACAGATAAGAACAACAATCTCCAGATAGGTGCTACTTCGGAAGATTGTCAGAGCCTCTTGCTCAAGGTCTGAGTAGAAATCCTGCCCAGTGATGCAGCGCTTATGTCTTGCCAAGAGTTGCTGTAACTTTATCAGCTGTGGGGTGTTGGTGCTGCTGATGCTTGTTGATGACATTGCACAGACTAATGGCCACGGGTTAGTGCTGAGAATAGTTTTGATGGTAGACAGGACATACAGCATACGCTGAGCATCATACACCTGCACATAGAGAAGAATGTGCTGCTGTAAGGGTGGCACGGCATTCAGTTTCAATGCAGGGAGCATCTTGGGCTGACCCTGTGGTGCTCTATCTTCAGTCGCAGCTTCTGCCATTTCAATATCGCTTGGCTCTGTTTCAATCCCAGACATGGCATTCTCAAGATCATCTAGGATGTAGTCTTCTGGAGACAGATTCTCCAAGTTAGTAGATTTAACACCTGCCTTGGATCTTGGGGATGCTGGGGTTACAACATAAGACTGTTTGGAACCAGAGGAGGCTGTTGATCTATCTTCTCCTCTGGCATCACCCTCTTGACCAAGACCATCAACTTGTCTCATTGCTTCCTCAATCACAGACATTAGAATGCCCCTGACAGCATCTTCAGGACTTTCATCCACCTCTTCATTGTAGACATAGGAGGGTTCCTCACACAAATCATCAGTGCTTGTACTTGGAGTGGCTTTGCCTAATGTTTCTGGCAAGTTACCAAGGTCTGATGGTCGCCTTTCATCAGGAACTTTGCGAATCTTTCTTTTTTCAGCACTCTCCTCTTTTGAAGGCTTGCGAGATGATGAGACTTTGACTTTTGGGCTTGAGGAAGTGTCACTGTCTGTGTCGCTAATGTATGCTGATTGGTTCATCGGATTGACAGTGACGCTAAGTGTTTTACTGAGCATCTGAGGAGGTACGCTGTAACGAAGACCGGAGTTGGCTTTGTTGGTAACGTACTTCATCTTATCATCAATGGTGGTACATGCGAAGACAGGATCTTGCTTGCTTGGATTGATGGCGATAGCTCGCTTTCCATCCTTAATAACGTAGTATTTCACCTACAGAATACAAACAATTATCTCTGTCAATTAGAAAACAAGACACATTCACATAATCTCATTTGAATGGGCAAAAATCCATCACCTAGCATAGCAGTATTTTGAAGAATACTGGACTGTTGGTGTCTGGCTTAGTAACTCTACAAGGAATTTGACTGTTCCTTGAGGAGGAAACCAAGATTACAATCTCACCTCTCCATCCACACTGCTGATGCTGTAGATTCTATTCTCCACATCCTCATCTCCATCTTCATCTGTCTTACCCTCTCCTCCAGACTTCTGCTCTGGCTTAGTGTGAAGGAACTGGACAGACACACGGGCAGTGGCTGGATGGAGAAGTACTAACAAGATAGGTTCCAGGAGTCTAGCGATATCACCTCGGTCAATAGCATGGACTAACCAAGTCTGTGTGACTGATCTTATCATGCAGTCTGGGCACTCCAAACTGTCCATCATGACCAACAGAGATCTACAAGATAATGAAAACCAGAAAAACTGAACAAACTCAAACTGAACACCTAATCTCACACATATGGTAAAGAGTTCACTAAGTTCCTGAATTTTGCCAGAATTGATCTCAAGGGTAGTTTTAATTCCAGCACAAGATGATAATAGTGCTCCAACTTGCTGAGAAAGACCACAAAACCACTGATCTTATTTTTATTCTCACTGAACACATAAACTTGCTTTTTCAAAAATTCACCATTTTCCCACATGTACAGTGGTACACAATGAGCGTAAATTCTCTAAACTTGATCCAGTGTGTGCCTACTAAAACTTTCTGGCCAAAAGAGCATTCAAGGTTGATCCTGATTGCATTGTGGGCAATTTACCTGTCAAATGTGAGTACTTTGCTTGCTGGGCTGGCACTAAGAATCTGTGATCTGATCAAATGCCAGAGCTGAGCATACTTGATGTGTGCAGCTAGAGAAACAGCCTGGAAAGGATAGGAAAACTTCGCAATTAGAGGATCCGGTATAATCACTTTGGCAAAAGATGGATTTATTATGGATGTTCTTTTAAGAAATGGTCCCAAAAGCAGGTGATGATACTGGATGATTTAATAACTAATTAGAAAAAGGCATCTGTTTATGAATATGCATGAGAATGGTATACCTTGTTGATCTGTACCAGTGAGTTTCCAATGATGTCTTCACAGATGTAGACATCAGGTGCTACGTTGTGCAGCTGATGCAGAAGATCAGCACTCTTCTGATGACAGTTGGGGGTGTTAGCACTCATGTAATGCCAGAGACTGGTTGCTACTCTCTGTAAAGCCAATCAATGACATGTTGGTAATGGCTCTGTGCATGAGCTACAGAGGGTGCTATGGGCATGTAGTTTTTTTTAGTATTTTAAAGAGCAAAGACAAAAGAGCTTTTGACCACTGTGTTTCACTCTCCATGTCCACGGGCAGGAAGAGAAACTAACCCAAAATAAGATAAGTTATCTTGCTGGTATGCATGGGCCATGATTATCAATTACTGTTTGTGACTACAATGTATTTCAGGAACAGCCATCAAGTGTTTCTACATGTATAAACAGCTAATACATGTATTACCACAAGAGGGTTGCTCAAAGTGAAAGTTGTGATAGGAAAATAAATGTGATTAAACCTCAACTAATGAATTCCAAATTGGAAATACTGGAGATCCAGCATGTTTCACTGTATACAGTGTAATTCAGGGTTACATACATATGTATGTACACTACCCGGTATCTTAAAATGACTTACCTGGAAGAAGCTGGTACCAAAGTTGATTGTATGCAGATGTGATGCAGAAACTGCAGGTATCAAGACCACAGAGATAGTCCCAGAATCTGCCTTGGGGGAGTTTGGTGGGTTAGGTAGTACCAGCTTAGTATCTGAACGGTCAGTGACGGACTTGGTCAAGGCAATCAACTCTAAGGTGGTGGAGATGGCTGTAGTTTGCAGCATGAAGTTATTTACAAAACAGCTGGTGGCAACAAGGGATTGGAGCCACTCAGGCAAACCAAGTGCACTACCTGGAAAGAAAAAGGCAAATATTCAGCTAGTTTGCAGAGCCCCTCCATCAAAAACACAAACATCAATAAAAAACACACAAAATTTATGCTTCATTTTTGTGGGTGTTTAAAGTGCAGTCCTTCTTCACTTTTCACGAACACTTTGTACGAAGTCAGCAATTTGGCATTGTACTGGTACATGTACCAGGTAGGCTTTCAATAAGAATTTCTAAATTGGTCAGCAGGTGATTTGACAGTACACACTGTACTGCATCAGCCTCTCAAATGCTGAGGCCAAAAACTGGACAAGCAGGACAGCACATACAACACAGATATGTGCCATCATTCCCTTTTGGCTTCTTTGTGGTAACTAGGAGTCGACCCTACTTACCGGTAGTGGTAGGTGTAACAATATGGGCAGCTGATGCTGTTTCATTACAGTACATTGGGAAACAAGCAAACTCAACCAACAAATGACAAGCTGTAGAGAAAGCTTGCAAGGCACTGGGAGAAGATGTACATTGTAGCTCAACGTCACCTACAGAAGGAAAACAATTTATAAGAATTTCAGACCAACTGATTTATCTCATCAAAAATATTTAATTTCTCAGTGTAAATCTCAACTCCACCAGATGCCTCATGAGTTGCTTCCAGTAAACTGTTTACATACAATGCCAAAATGCAAAATAGGATTACTGTGCCAAAGACAGAGTGGATTGAGAAATATTCCTAGAATAACAAATAAAAAACCTAAATGCAAGTGACACATCTAACCTTAAACTCTTGAGGGCTTGTGAAAAGTTACATGAGATTTAAGGATTAACAGCTGTAAGGCAGAATGTTATACTTACGGATGTAGACAGCCACAGCCTCATCTGAAGTCAGTGCTGAGTTAGTGCGGAGTCTACCATCCTCACTCATTTTGTCTGTTAAGTCTCCAAAGCCATGAGGCTGTTTAACCTTCAAGCCTTCCCCAACTGATGGCTGTCGTTTCTCCTGTGTACCACTGTACTTGACATTCAGCTTCTTCAGATGCCTCTTCACCACCTCGGCCTCTGGAAGGATCTTGCTGCTGACAAACTTGGCAAAGAAAGTTTGGTAGCACTGCACACAGGCTTGCATTATAAAGACAGGTTGGCCGTCTTGGTCACTTTCAGCAAGACTGGTTGTCAAGGAGACTGAACTTGGGGTTCGACGATGTGAGGGACGGAATTCAATTGTCTCATCTTTGGATACAGAATCAAGGCTTGCCATTTTAGTGGGACGTTTGACCCTCTCAATCTGGAAGTCGTCATCAAGAGCTGGCAACTCTGCATCCTCTAGGCGTTCAGAAGAAAGCCTGTCCAATGATCTCCTAGGACTCAACGGAAATTTCTTGGATGAACTTTGCTTGCCTTGCTTTGTTTTGTCAGCTCTCTCACTCTCTGGAGATTCATCCTGTGCAGCAGCTGATCCTGAGCTTGCCTCCTTTTTGCCATCTGATGAATTCATCACTGATTGGGATTTAGACATTTCTCTTGGCGTGGATGACTGCTGTAGTGACAAATCCCTACCGGTTATCCCACTGCTGCCACCATCCACAATCTCCAAGCCTTTCTCAATGATGTCAACATGAGCCATCAGTCTCTGAGGTGTGCTTGTATCCCACTGATTGGGACTGGTGACCATGGATGGTTGTACCTTGGTTAGCAGCTTGGTACACAAGCACAGTGTGTCCTTAATCTCTGACAGGCTTAGATACTCACAGTAGTTGGAAAGGGACACAGTTAACTTGCAAAGTAGGTTCGGAAGATACTCTGTTGTTGTTTCCACATATGTTTCCTGAAGAAAAAAATAAATAGCAGGGCATGATAATTTAATAAATGTAACTTCGACCATCCAACGGCAATCATTCTATTTATTTATTTTTCTGTGAGTAAACAGCACGTTTAACAGCTACTCACCAGTGACACAATGTCCAGGAGAAAATCTACCAGCTTACACATTTCTGAACATGTCAGTGTCCTACTCCCATCACCTATAGAGGGTGCCATTCCACCTCGCATTACTGTCTCTTGACAGCAAAGATCAAATCGTGCTGCAATAAATTCCCACATGAAGTGTGACTCAAACACACCAAAGAGCAAATTGGCAGTCTTGATGAGCTCCACAGGACGGGCATTACGAGTAAGAAGCTTTCTGGATGGTGTAGACAGAAGTAATGATTCCTGAGATTCAGAAATGAGTCCTTTCCACACATCATTCTCGCATCCAGTAGTGCAACGATTAAACAAGGCACGAAACACCTCAATAAAAACATCTTCTACAATAATTGTGCTCAGTTCTGGCTTGTCAAGAAGGCTGATCAAGATCTTGTAGGGTTTCAAGATGGCAGCTTTGGCCTCATCCTCGTTTAAGCCACTTGGAATGGTATGCAACCAGACTTTTAGGGATTCCACCAACATGGCTTTAGAATGAGCCTCAAAGTAAGCTGAAGTCTCATCTTCAGTGCTTAAAAGGCTGTCTGATCGCTCCACAGTCAAATCAGTTGGTTTTTTAGCAGTAGTGTCTGGCTCCGTTTTCCTCACATCAGTTCCCAACAACCAGCTAAAGAGACGACGATTAAGGGACATGTCACGACGCAAGAGCACGTTAAGTGCAGCTGTCAAGATATGTGTCTGTTCATCTTTAGACACACAGTAATCATGAAGAGGGAAGCACAGTAGAACTAGATCTAGGACGGAACGCTGGACCAGAACAACAGAATCATACAGGGATTCACAAACAGCTTTGACCTGAAGACAGGGAGCAAACAAAACACTTGGTCAGAGATGACCTGAGTGAAAGTATTCAATAATGACAATCTCTACTGTGCACAGCTATAGCTTTACATGTATTCTGTGATCAATCGGTAGAATCAACATCAAACAAGTTAGACCCACAAGGGTCACTATAATAGAACTTATTCCATGAGCAACAGAGGATCACAAAAATGCATCATAACATTAGCAAAAGGCCAAATCCAATATTTATAAACAAGATATGTAGGGCTGATTCGATTCAAATAATTCACTATTTGAATATTTGATCAAGTCAATCAAATATCTGAGTACTCGCTCGTACTGATGGGCAGATTGTTGATGAACAAGTCACATACAAAATCAGTTGAAATAATGAACACAATTGTACCTTATAATCACTATAATAGCTTCTCAAGTCTAGGAGTATCTCCAGCCACAATTTGGCAAGATTCAACACATGAACAAGACTTCTATTCCTTTTAAATTTTTAATGAATAATTTTTTTTTTGACTCGTTGTAAGATTGTTGTTGCTTCTTAGTTGAATATGCTTGAAACAAGTCTCCATAGTGTAATTCTTTTCTCAGTTAAAACAAAAAAAAATTCTCTGTTCCTTTTCTTGAATTTCGTATTCAAATATTCAACTGCAGAAAATAATATTCAAATATTTGAGAATCGATCTAATATTTGGATACTCGGCACAGCTTTACAGATATGCATGATGCACACAGATGCTAGTGAGATCAATAAATATCAATAAATATGGCACAGGAAAAGACACCATGCATAAATGTACTACATTTATGCCAACCTGAGGATTCTACTTCAAAGATCTAACAATCTCGCCATCTCCATGTTGTTAAGGGTGGTACATGTATGCAAACATGTAAGCACCTTACCAGTTTTTCTCTGCTATTGCCAAGGATGTGAGATTGTTCTTTTATTGATGCTTTACGGTCTAGTTGAGACAAGACAAATGACACAGCAGGAAGCCGAACACCTGGGCTTGTCAAGACACACTCCCACAGAGCACTGTAGAAATTAGACTTCACCATGCCTGCACATAACTGTTCCAACAAAGCATTGGTCCTGTGCACAACAATTAAACCAAACAATTGGAACAAAATACTAGCACTGGCATGTTCAAAGAGTTGATGAGTGAACCTGCACTAAAAGCCATAATGATTTGCAATAAAAAACAAGCAAATACAGCAAGGCATTAGGTACCCACAAGCAACCATACTTGCAGCCTATTTATGTCAAAGTCCCTCCTTTCAAATTAAACTCTAATCTGATAAAATCCTTTTTGCCTTGTATGCTATGATTTCAAAATACATTTGGCAAATAGCTCCTCTGACCCACCTTAAGGCTGGTTCATACTGCAGGTAAATGCAAAAGCAAAACGAATTTGACTCCACAAAACATTTCAAGAAACATCCGCTGGAGATGAAGTGTATTTAACTTTTCAAAATTTGCAATGAGAATATTGGTGCTGACATCACAACATTGCATAAATGTGTATTAACTGTCATGCAAAGTAGCCTTTAGAATGTTCCCTCCATTTTTTAAAAATACAACTACTGCCTGCTGTGAGGGGATCCATAGTGTTTTGTACACCCCCAGCTTTGCATCGAGGATATTTGACCCTTCAGGTGTACAAAACACCATGGATCCCTACACAGCAGGCAACAAATAGTGGCTTCTTGAATAACAGAGATCAACTAAATTTAATAGTAAATTACAAACAGTACTTCCTCTTTCAAAATGACATCAGTCAACAGAATTGAGTTTAGGGAGGTTGATGATTCTGTTGTTTTCAAATTTGATTTATATTTGTCCGTCGACCGAGGAAAGAAACGTGGCAACTTTCATTTTCATAACTGAAAGTTCTCCTTGTTTAAGTTTTTTTTGAAATGCACACGTTTGATACATATACGCACTCATGTTAAGATAACTGGAAAGGCAATAAAAGTATTTTAAATTTTCTAGAGTACTAACCTATCAAAAAACTCGGATCCTTCCTCCAATCCAGGCATGATGCCTTGAAGTAGGCCAGTCAGGCATGGCTTGAGGTGTTCACCAAGGGGTAGGTAGTGTTCCTCATACAAATGAAGAAGCTTTGGCTTGACAGCCATAGCAGCGCTGCCTAGCAACGGGAACAGGCCAGCACTGTAGATGAACATATCTTGACATAGTTGCTTAGGACCAATGGTACGGAAGATGAGATCATAGGTCTCTAAAGCCTTGAGGTGAACGCCACTCGGGAGGGCAGGATGAGTGCATTGAGCAAGACGCTTACCGATCAGAAGACGTTTAGGGATGACAGAGTAACGCGTAGAGTTGCTTTGTAGGACCTGGGTCACAAATGAGAAAAATGACTGTTTAAGATGGATTACAAACATGTTAATGTACATCCTCAGGCATGACTCAATTAGCTCTTCTAATAAATATTTGTGGCTTCCTTCAAGATTGTTTTCATTGGTTTCTGCATACTTTAAGTAGTGAAAATACACCTAACTAAAGCATACATTGCAAATACCTGAATACAGTGCACATGTACATGTATGTCAATGGATTAGATCATTTTAGGTCATAAGCTTGTTTTAATCATAAAGATGCCACATTTTGAGGTACTTTTGAGTACTTGATAAAACTATTTGATATATTGTAAATAAAGAACAGATGCTTCAGTTTGCAATGTAATCGATTCAAAATTTCAAATTACCTTTAATGCAAATTGCTCATGTGAAAAGACTCCTAAAAAAATTAATGTAAATTCTTGCCGGCCATCTTGATGCACAGTTAGTGTTATTAATAACAAACTATTGTATGGATTTGTTTATCAGTTTTGCTAAGGACTACAAAAGCAACACAAAGGAACTGAGAAGTGTAACATCTGCATTTGGTGAAACATGTATTCACATCAATATACAAAATTATAAACCAATTGCTTGACTATGGGCATTTGTGACTAAAAAGTACTCTGTCCTATACATGTAAAATGTAAAACGTAATTAAACTGTACCTGTGTTCATGTTACATCAAATTACATGAACATGGATAGTAGATTCCAGAATGTAAATGTATGTACATTTAAATGTAAGCAATTTCAGTCATACCTGTAGGGTCTATTACATGTACACGTATAATGTACTGTACATGTACTTCTGAGACATCAGTTTACTGTCAATCATTAATTGGTATCATGCATAGAATCACTGTAATTGAATCAGGGATGGAGCACATGTGCGATATGGTAAACGTACGTTTCTGTGTGTAGGCTGAATATGTGACATTTAAAGGGCTTCACACTGTAAATTATTTACATGCATACACTGTACACGTATCCAAGAAATGTGTACTTTTGAAGAATGCAAACTGTGTGTGTTTAAATTGAACTGCCCCTTCAAATACAAAATGGTTTTAGAGTTCAAGTACATGTACACGTATATGTATATACTAGTATGTGTGAAATTCCTAGGAATTTAAGCATTTCATCTGCAGGTGCTTGTATACATGTAGTTTATTTTAATGCACCATGATGAGCCATTTGAGATTTTAGCAAAAGCTGCTGATTGCTACGTGTACATGTCCTATTAGTTACAAAACTGTACAAAATAAAAAGGATTTGAATTTATAACTCACTCCATTTGACATTTGAGAAGTATCTCAACTCATAATTGTAACTTCTTGTATCCACTACAGTACCTTTCACCTAAATTAGATATTTTGCAAAACATACTGACAATGATACTGTTAGAATTTACCCATCTTGGCATTTGCAAAGCAGGACATTATAATAATTTAAGGCAGACACAATAATTTCAGCATTGGTTGTGCCATCCATTCACAATGACATGTACACTGACAACAATACCAATACATCAAAATGCAACGTTTCAAATGGTTAATTTATTGCAGATTTGGAATCAGGTTCATTACTGGTATTCAGTTGTCATGGTTACGGAGACTCTAGTATATGTGAGGTTGGGATTGGCTGCAACAGCTACATGTACAGTACCTTGATAAGTTTAGCAAGTGCTGAGATGAGGTCGGCCCACTCACTGGAATACTCAAATCCTTTCAATGCTTTGTCTACAGCCGCCGAGTAGGCCTTGAATTTGGGATCTGACATCAATTCACTCTCATCTAGATTCATGGCTAGCAATCAATCAAACAAACAACAATTTAGGGGAAAATACTGTCAAAATTTCTCATTAACACAGACCTGTTTGAATCCCAGGTTAGAAATTTGGTTGAGCATGTTCCCAACAGGAACAGCATGTTTGTAAATGTGGCTTAATCAGATCATGTCATCAAAGTCCAATTTGTCAAACCCAGATGCAAGCTGCATCAGTAGCCCAGATGAAGTAATTCGATTTATACAAATAAGGAGTACATGTAGGTAAAAAGTACATGTAATATGAAACAAAGCAACTTAAAGTTAGTTACACAGTTCTTCTTTATGCCATCAAACAGATGTACATGTATATTATGGTTACAACATACAGAATATACTGAATACATGTAAATCACAATTTTTACGCACGTGTGCATGCAACTTCTACAAAAGCAAGGAAATACATTAGTTTGTTGTGATATCAAACATTCACATTAAAAAACACTTACCTTCGGGGGTATGAAAAATTCCATTGTTTGCAAATTTACTATTAAATGAGTTAGTTTTCTTAATCTTGTTCATTTTTTTACTTGCAGCTCATTTCTAGGGAAATTCCAGACCAAAATCAGCAGTTACCCAGTAACGCATATGGTTGTATCATGGAGCACCTGTTCAAATGGGAGTACTTGTACACGTACATGTACCTTGCACAAAGACTTGTGGCTGAATACAGCTTCCTGAACACAGACTAAGAATACAAATTACAATACTTACCATATGTAAATTAGCTTTGGCTTAACACACTTCAGTTCACATCTATACACCTAAAGATGCTTTGTATGGCTACCCTTAAAATGAACTTCGACATGTACATGTACCTGTAGGTGACAAGCGTATGTATGTACATGATGTACATGTACATGTTCAATGTAAATGTATACCAGTACATACATGTATAAGGACAGAGACAATAGAATTGTGTGTACAGAGTACTGGTACACCTGCATAATGTACCAATTACTGAAAATACATGTACCATGCATTTCCAGTGAACATGTCCTTTTTCCTAAATGAGTTAGCATAATGTTCACATTATACATGTACAACAGGATCTCATAACACATGCTGGGAATGAAATTGAGCAATCAACCTTGACTGTCTCCAGGCTGGAGGCTTGCTACCCCTTTGATCTGGGGTGGAGCTGCACACGTACAGTTTGTATGTATGTATGTAACCAAACAAGATGTAAAAGGGTTACTCTAAGATCACTGTAACTCACTGTACAGAAAGGGAACTCAATACTGTGCTCATGGCTAAGCTGAAAGATACAACGGTAGAAAGCAGGTCTTAATCCCACACCCAAAACAATAATTACATGTAGCGGTATGTAGTAAACACAACTGATAAACTCATGACAAGATTCATATAACTACAGTTCTAACTGCAGTGAGACCAACATTGACCATAGATCAAGGACCCATTGACTGAGCAACCTGCATGCTGTTCTTGTACATGTATATGCACTAGCTGTCATGTTAAAATCACACTCATACAATAGCCCTGTATATACATGTATGTACTGATGATGTAAAATCATCGTTTACTACAGTGCATTGTGGGATAGAATGAGTTTGATCAGAGCAGAACAGTATGTATTCATACAAGTAGCTGCCACATACCAAGAGTAGACAAAACGGCAGAGATAGTGAAAGGAAGTGACAGCTGCAGTCTACCATTTCCAGTTGTGGAAGGTAATTCCCAAAGACACGAAATAATGGTTAACAATAAAAATCTCTACCTTTCGAAAACAGAGATTTCTTACTCATGGCATACCAGCAGGAAAGTAACAATTTGTGCAGTACACCCTTATTTTACACTTTGCCACCATGCAGTACGGTTAACAACACACCCTATCTAGATACAATACACAGTGGTACAGCGCACCTTTGACCCTTTTTGTTTACTTCAGGTCAGCTTTTAGTTTCAATATTGGCCAATACAGATATTTTATTCACAGTCATCCAATAGTTAACCCGTTTCGCATGACACGTGTACAATGATCACATAGATCGTAGCCACAGAGCTTAATCCCATGCCTATACTGTATGTAATACGTACAGGTAGCTCTGCAATGTGGGAGGAATACGGTACATGTTCAATTCTCAAATAGACCAGCTTGATGGTGATATTACAAGTCTGCAAGCTCGTCCCGAATTCATTCATTGTACGTGTAGATCTGTACATGTACAGTACGTATACTAGTATGATAAATTACATGTACCTGGGTTGGTGTGAGTCATGATTCATTGTGAGTAATGTACCGGTACAAACCCAATAACTCACATAATTATCACAAACCTTCCAACCTTTTGGTGGTGATGAAGCATACGCCCCACTTGTTGGTATCAAGAGTCCATGTTTAAGCAGCAAAGTACTGTAGAATTGCCCATCCATGGTCACAAACTATTAACACAACCCTACCAAGCAAACTGAAATTATTCATACTACCAGTAAATGTTCTATATTGTATGCCTAGCTGAACACAAATGCTCATGAACTCAAGATCTGTGCTCAAAGCAGTGATTTTTAATATCTTGTCATTAGCAATTGTCCTTCATTTTAAGTTTCCCAGACTCCAGGTCTGAGTACCTGGACATATACCGTACCAGCACTTCTTTACCCATGTGTAATCCAGGTCTGGGACAAATGAGACTCAAGCAAGCCACGACAAAAATCCATTGGTAGAATTGCTGTTTTAACACAATTCAATATCATGCAATGGACCTTAGTAAATGCACCATTAATCTAAAGTTAATGACAAATTAGAAAAATACGACCATTTTACTACCGTTCTGACAACAAGTACATGTACACTGTACAAAATGCAAAGATAATGGGACTACATACATGTACACGTACATGTATTTGTCCAAATTGTACCGGGTATACACAAAGAAATGAGTGTGGATAAGGTATACGATACATGAGAATCCTGGATAGCTTCGACATAAAAAAAAAATGCAACAGTTAATGAATTATGGAGGTACATGTATGCGTCCCACATGATGCAACCTTCACTGCTTGTAGAAATGTGCTACATTCATTATTCCACAAGTTGCCAATTATCCATGGGCAGACCATGTCTAAAGACCCAGTCTACGCATATATGTACAACTACCAGTTATGTACATATGTACACATACATGTACATGTATGTCACAGAGCAGTCTTCTTCATTGTCTTTGATGCGATCATATTAATGGAAGAAATCTGCAGCACCACAGGTGTCCATTAATTCACGTAATGTACACATACATGCTGTCCAGTCATGATGTGATGTTGTCCAGGTTATGTTTACATCCAATGAATAACTTCTAGCTGTATATGGACAGGTACATGTTTACATGTCAAAGTTATATCTACGTGGACACATAGGAAAACATGTACATGAGAGACTGCAGCATTGTAAGAGGCAGTATTGATTTTACATTTTGATACTAAGGACTCAATACTCAAGGCCACTGTAACTCTTGTTTTGTTTTTTTTATTTGAAAATCCTAAAGCAAAAGAGACTGAAAGTGAAACCATGAAGAGTCCAAACTAAATAGAGATCACGTGGCCTCTCAGACAACCTGAGAAACTCTCACATGATCATATCACGTGATGATAATGACTAGTAATGAGGTACATACAGTAGATGTTCTGAGTGTGGTCATTCTGTGCTTACACGTACATGTATGCAAATCTGGCCTTCCCAAACATCCTTATTAAGACAAAGTAATTAACATCACTCAAGGAAATGGCACTGTAAATGTTTGCCATGACACTCAGTGCAACCAACCCACAAGCAAACTTCCTTATGATACATGTACATGTTTCACTTGTTTCACTTGCACCAAGAACAGGTTATACTCCACATGCCAACTGTTCATTGTAAACAACAACAAAAATGGACACACAAGTCAATTACCATGCCTGACATCCAAACTCAGTGATTCTCCGTCCATGGATAATACATCTGAACTTAGAATGCCTGCTGAACTAAACATGGTTACTATAATATACAAATACATGTACATTAGACCACAGTTCCCTGTATATACAATACATGATGTTCCATAATTGTTGATGTACAGGAAAAGGCAGTATAGCATTTGGTTTACATGTACAGTGCTCTGTCTAGCTTACATGAAATGATGCACATGACTTGTGGCTCACAGGAAATATAGTAAAATGGTAGTTTGACCCTGGCCAATATAAACAAAGATCTGATGAGTGATCAGCTGTACGGACACCGAACTACCACCTTTGCACTTTTCTATAAAAAATTTTATGCTGAAGAAAATGTCTTGGAACTCTGCTGAGTTACGAATACATGTAACTTTCACCACCTACATGTACATGTACATCGTACATCAACCTAAAAGGGAGCGCTACCTATTATAGTTACATGTAGTTTCCAGTTGAAACTAGAAACCAATGAAAGGGGTAACCAGCAGTTTGCATTAATTTTTTTATCTTTGTTCCTTCCTTTATACATGTACGCATGTGTCCTTTTTCCTTCAAAGTTCAAGCATGATTCAACTACGTGTACATGTACCCAGTATGCTACTTGTTCTACAAATGATACAAAGGAAAAATTCAAACATTTGCAGTTTATTTAGTTTAAACAATAAACTGAACCCAGTAAATTGAGTAATGGATGCTACTTTTATTCACTGTTTACTAATCAAGCTATTTTTTAAAATATCATATGATATAATTCAAAGGTTCAAAGGTTCCAGTAAATATTGTATGAGGTCATACATGTGCATGTAAGACCCGTTTTGGCACACAGCCTGTACAAGTGTACATGTACAGTATATGTGCAGCAACAATGTCTGATGACACATGGCCACATGCAAGTGATCAACCTTATCTACTGGGCTACATGTATTGTCTACAAATTGTAACAATTGAATTATGTACATGTACATGTACATGTAGGTGCGTGGTACGCACACTGCACGTACATGTACATGTACTTGTAGACACATGTGTGTATCGGTCAGGCAAAACAAAGAAAGTGTGCACGTCTAGCCCAAGTTTGTCTAGGGCTCCGTTGTATGAATGCCATCTGTAAGGGTGTAAGGTAAATGAGGCAAAGTTGATGGATTTGGGAGTTTTACTGACTTGGAACATTGATCAAAATAACAAGCACATTAAAGCAGCCACAAGTTCTACAGTTTATAATGTGAATTGATATTCTGTGGGAAAAGTGTGCCATTTGAACAGAGTTTTCAGATTGTACTTACATTACCTAACAATTGGAACACATTTTAAAAAAGTTTAATATTATAATTCTGCAGGAAGAAGTTGACAGACTCATTATTATTTGGACAAAGATGTACTAGGACGTATGTTCACACTGCATGCAAATTACAATGGACACCCTTTTCTCACTTTTTCCCATAACAATGGATATTATGTTGACAGAATAATTCAAGTGAAACACAGGACCAGTGCATCCCTCTATCCTATGTGCATTTGTGTACATGTATTGGTTGGCAAACCTTGTTATTACAATAGAACAAAATATTACTTTTGATTAAACTTTCTGACTCACCTTTGTGGATAATAATGACACCACGTCAAATAACTGAGTGATTACTTTGTGGAAAGAGGACAGCAGGGTTTGTATTTTTGAGCGAATTAATAGGGTACAAATGACGGCTTTAATGTACAGTAACATTGTAATGTTCTGCAGTTGGTTTACAACTTAAGGGTGTGATCTTTGCCAGTTTTGCACAGCTTAAAATTTCCCCTCAAGATTTAATAACATGGAAAATCTAGGCCTGATACAGCCAAATACCGGCACGAACGGGGCCTATACATATTTTTATTTGTGAATGTAAGCCTTATTGCAAATACTTCATGGTGATTTTGCACAATGCCTTTTTACCATTGTGCAAAATTACTGATGCAGTATTGGCAAAAAGGCTTATTCAATATAGTAATTAGCATCACTGGGAGCCTGCTTTAAATGTTACTGTACATAAATTCTGCAGTGAAAGCACACTAAAGACAAATAACACTGAAACTGAAAAATTTCATCAAAAACATTCTAGCCTAATTGCAGCAAGTCTTTTGCGGTATAAGACCTCATGATGTCATGGATAATTATCAGGAACTAATCGGGCATAGGGGTAGCATACATGTATACATATCTCAGGACAAATGAAACATGACCGAGCATGCCAAACATTGTTGAAGTACCGGTATGGTTCATGTCAAGGACATTTACCAGGGTAATCAGTGGTAATGCTGTTGTCACCTGTGGATTGTGTATCATAATTACTGTCTGCATGCACAGCCTCACGGCCTGTCCGTAGTGCGCACGATTGCATGTACACTGTACATGTGATATGTGCATACTTAGCATGCATCTACATGACACCTCTCTGAAGCCTAACGTTAATCCGCGTTAGCAGGTTACATGGAGTACACAAAAGATTGATTAATTAATGTCAAATTTAAAAAGGATATACTCACTTGTTCTTTGGGTTTTCTATACAGCAACAGACGTATGAATGAAACAACTAATTAAGTCACGGTACGCGCGTAATTTACGTGGCAGTCCGTCCTTCCCCAGCTTCACCAAACGCCATTTTCGTACTGTTACGGTTGAGTGAACAGCGCCCTCTAAAGCTTGTCACAGATGGGAAACAAAAATGGCTGCGCCCTGTGTTTCTTATTTTTCCAAACTGCGATACATGTTGCATCGCACTTCAGGCTGAATCCAAGGGTCAAGTATGACCAGATATGTTAATGACGTCTAAAAGTGTAATGTTCATCTATGCTTCAGCGTTTGAAACAGTACATGTCAACGTTTGGTCTGGCATCTGATTGATAGCTGAGTTTGTGCTCTTGAGTCTTGGTCATGTTGGTCTACGTCTGTACATCTGTCATGTCTGTACTACCTACATGCATGTGCTTCAACCCCCTGATTACTGCTCGTCAGTGATAAGACACAAGCACAGCTGCACCAACAAATGCCTACCTGGTTGTATGAGCTACATGTTACTTACTGAGGATGGCAGACAGGCCCATTTCTACACATTCAGCCATTTGTTTTCTGTCCGTCTGGATAGTTGCATTTACATTTCGTCATTTATTTTTGCAATTTGGAGAACAAGAAACAAGATATAATATGCACCATGAGATTGTATTTGGCGTATTATCAGCAAGAGAAAACTCTGCACAACGCCATGCAGTACGAGAGACATGGGGGCAGTACATTCGAGAACAGTCTGAACTGAAAAATAAAGTACTGCTTAGATTCATCGTTGGGAGTCGTGGTTGTGATATCCCTCAGCAGTTCCGGGAAGACATGTACTCATGCCAGTCAGTGTTATTAAACACAAGCATGGTGAATCTCAATGCAGAAATAGTAGCATTAGATTTTAAGATGCCACTGAGCAACCGCTATGGAGCAACAAAATCACTTGAATACTTTGGCACTGACTTCAAGGTCAATTATGCTTTGATTGTGAGGAAACTTGGTATAAATGCTGCTGCTTTGTCACAGGAAAAGCAATGCAGCGTCACACTGTATGATACATGGAGCCAAGAACCTGTCATAGATGTTACTTTCACCCCCAATGATCCAGGCACTCTCCTAGATGGCTTTAGATTCAAAGATGTGGAAACTTATCTCTTTCCTAAAAACTTTGAGGGAACTATTGTTGTTGGACCTCTCAGTAAGGATGACGTGTGGCTTTCGGAAAGAAAAAATGAGCAAATTGGAAGTCATATGCATAACACTCATAAGATTTTATCTGCAAGAAAAATTTTACGGACTTCAAAGACAAAAGGTTTCCCAAGTGAGATTGAACTTCTTGATTTCTCCTTCCCACTTGGAAACTTTGTTTTTGAAATTTATGAACCTGTTAAAGTGGATGAAATGATCAAATATAGTTCAGCCATGGCACAATCTCAGATTGAAAGAAATAACCAAGAATCACAAACTCTCAAGGATGAGCAAAAGGAATACAGCGATCTTCTTTTTGTTGATGAAATTGATGTCTATAGGAACATTCCACAAAAACTAGTGCACTTTTTTCGTTGGGTGATAAACAGCACAGAAGCAAATTTTATCATCAAAACAGATGATGACTGTTTTATGAATGTTGAGGCTGTTATCAGGATGCTTCAAAATGGACACATCACTGCAAAAAGCCGCACATGGTGGGGTAATTTTCGAACTAACTGGCCTCTAGATGTACTTGGTAAATGGGCAGAAACTGAATATCCTGCCCCAGTTTATCCTGCGTTTGCCTGTGGGTCAGGCAATCTGTTGACTCGTGATTTAGTGGAGTGGATTGCACAGAATTCCCAGTTTCTTCATGTTTACCAAGGCGAGGATGTGTCGATGGGAATATGGCTTGCTTCGATACTGCCGTATTATATAGATGATAGCAGATGGAAGTGTGATGATGTATGTCAACAGGATGTTTTTGTTTTGCCAGAACTGTCCCCTCAACAACTGCGAACTTCCTGGAAGAATTGGATGCAGTGCCAAAATCCATGCAGTTGTGGTTAAGAACAGAACAATCCATGAATGTCTTGAATGACTAACTGAATAGATCAACAGTTTCATAATAAATACGCTAAATTTTGGCATGAAATAATTGACATTGCTTTTAGAGTCAGGATTTTGCTGCCATGATGCAGCTTTGAATAAAAGCACCTGCCAGTCTGTTTCTATGACTTTACATTAATGAATACCATTGAAGGTGGGCCAAGAGTGTAACTGAACATCGAGGCGTGATCAAAACATTTTTTAAATAAATGAAGTGTCACACATTAACAAACACATTTAAAATTGTCATCAATGACTGTGGATGTTCTTGAGAGAGCACATGGTTCAATATTTGAACTTAAGATTAAGCTAAATACACAGACCTACTGAAACCATGCTGATTCAATTAAATCCATTTCAAGGTTTTGTAATATTTTGATGGATATTCAACTGCTCAAATCAGCATCTTGCAAAGGCTTGATGTTCAAACTATACACAAGGAGTCTTCTCCACATAACTGGATTTTGCATAAATTGGTGATGGTTCTTGCAAAACTATCCACAGCAAGAGTTCCACAAAAGAGATTTTACAAAATTCAATACTCCACGGTTTAGACAAAAATATCAAATATAATCAGTGCTGTGAATTATGTGATTGCAGAGCTTTTGGTAACTGGGTACCTTTGTCAGGGCAAGCAGATTCAGTTCTGATTCAGTTCACTCCATGGTGTTGGGTTTGACAAATAAAGATCACAAAAGTTTGGCAATCCACAATGTGTCATGATCAACTGATGAAAATGGACCATTTCCGCGATGAATACTGCAACATTTACAAAGGCACACATGGAAGTATTAACTATATGATCACATCTCTACTCTTTAGAGTTTGAAATATCTTAAAAAGAGTCAAGATTGTTGAATTCTGGTTGTAGCCTGTTTAATACGCCGTTGTCCTGTCTGTTTATATCCTCTGCCTCTTCCTCTCATATTCCTTGGTTCTTCAAATCCAATCCTTGACAGTTGTTCTTTCATTGCTTCCACTATATTAACTTCATCAGGAATATGAACAAAGCGTATTTGTGGTCCTTGTACAAAGAAGCTGTCCATTTTTAAAGTGGATCCATCTTGTGATGTGAATGTGACAGCAGTCATCTGTACATTCATGAATCCATCTACATGAATTATGCATCCTTTGGCATAGCTCTCATTCCGTAGTTCAACTGTTGTTGTCTTTCCTTGGAGTGCTCTCAAAAGGCAAATCAACGAGTTCCCCACCTTTGCTTTTTCTCGCATTGACAACATGTTGACGGAAGCTGAGTTTTAATAGTCTGAAATTAAATGAAAAATAAATAGAAGTCAATCAAAATCAAATCAAGCGTTATCGTCATGAATACACTGTACATGCAAATATAGGCAAGCTTATGAATGCATACAAGTGGGGCAATGTGGAACATGTTTTTGTACAGTCATTCTTCGAATTTGGGGTCTAATTTTTTCTGTCCTCGTCACATCTGGTGTATGATTTTACAAATTTAGAACACATTCTTTAATTTCCATGAGTGATGAAGTAATGTAAATGAAGCCAAACAAATCAAAATAGTTGAAAGTTGATTTCGATGATATATTGAAAGGCAAATTACAAGGTCTGTACAACTGTTAAAAGAGGCGATTTGCAGGGCCCAAGTCACTCTGGTCTGACTCGGACTGACCATTGGGGTACATGTAGGAAACAGACCCATCGTATTCGACGTGACGTTAGGCCTACCATGTGCCTACAAAAACATAGCCTGTGCATACCCCCAAAACTGTAGGGTTTGTTGTCCGCCACACTCGTGGGATGGGTTTCATTACCATTAGCACCCTGTTCCTATAATAAGGAAACAAAGTCTACTTTCTCAAAACTAACATTTTGACCTTAAGGAACCATTAACTCAATCCTGATAGGCCTAGTTTAGGTAAATTTTGACAATATTTAAGCAAGAAAACTTTAAATTTCTAACTTGAGTTTGGCAAAAGACAACCACTCTGTCGAATCACACCATTTTGTTTTTCTTCTACTGTAGTTACCTGACTTAGGCATTTTGGATTCATCAAAACAAATCTCCATTCAGGTCAAGTAACCAGACTACACTTACTTATATGTCAATCAGGGCGGTCGTGTACGCTGCCATCCCTCAAAAAATTCCCTCAAAAACCGAAAACCCTATTCTCTTTTCTTTCTGATATAAAAGAGGGCATCACCAACAACTTGTTTAGATAAGTTGTTTTGAAAAAGTAGAATTTGCTCCCTTATAACAGGAACAGGGTGCTAAAGGTAATGAACCCCCGGGATATCAGGAGCGTGGCAGAACTGTGGGGTCCAACGTCGGACCCCACATGGGGTAGGGCATGTGTAGGAATTTTATATTTGGAGACCCCCCAGTTTTTGTCATTTTAATCATGCAAAACTGTCAATTCCCCCCCCCCAACAAAGGCAACACTTTCTTTACTGCGCTTACCCTATTTTTTGGATATTTCAAATTGAAAATTGTTTAGAAAATGTGACTTTCTTACTGATAAACCAGCCATGCAAATTTGAATGCATCATGTCATGCATAGGCCCATGTCCTGTGTTATTTAAAAAAAATGCTCAGTTTCCCCTCATAATTACCCCAAAAATTCAAAACACTGCCCTTTTTTTTACAACATCAAACCTACAGACACGACAGTAATTGAGCATGATGTCATAGCCATCTACCAAGTTGAATTCCAAAGTTAAAATGTAGCTCTCCCTTTTATTATGGGAACAGGGTCCCCTAATTCACAATCCCCATGTGTAGGCCTACATGTAGGCCCCACTACTAGTGCTGTCATGCCTGTGCTGTGGCAAGGCTAGGCTGTGCACCCAAATTGAAATGTGAAACATCCATCTTCTTCCCAAAAGTATAATTTGCAGAAAAGAAAATGTTTACAATCAACTACACACACACCATGCACACCGTGCAATAAGCAAACACTCCAGTACTTACCTTCTAAATTGTAACTTTATTACGAACTTGGCTTAGGCCATTGACCCGCATTCTTGACAAGTGCTGAGCCAATGGACACATCGAATGTAGGCTCTGTGTCGCAAACGGCCGATGCACTTAGTTTGCTAAGCTTAGAGTTGTCCCCGGGCGTATCGTAAATATGTACACAAACTACAGCAAGACTGGCTAACTCGTTTCTGTGGGTACGGTGCATAATCGCATATACATGTACATACCAATTGAGAAGAAAGCCAGAATGCGAAGGTTGAAAACAACGAAAGAACAGCGCTTCCGTAGCTTGCACTGTACTGCTCAGTGCCGAAACTATTTTTCGCACGGAGGGTGTTATCGATTCAAGGTATTTCAGGGAGAAAAGAAATGTCATTTCTTTGTGGACCAATGAGATTAAGAATTAAAAAGAGGAGAGGTAAGTTGTTTTAAAACATGACGACATAGACATGATAGGCCTTGAGGATAATGGATCGCTTCCCAAATTTCAAAGTCATGAAAGTTGTGTGACTGTTGGGACTAGGCCGTGATAATTGGTCCATTCTGCATGATTAACTTTACTTCCCTTTTTCGAAACACTCTATCACAGCCATGAATTAGACAAATATTAGTCAAAGTAACCCATCGCCTGACCATGTCGAAATGTTTAAAAAAGTGATCCGTAGAATCCAAGCATTGCAAGGTAGGCCCATGGTAGGCCTAGGCCTACTGCTCGGACTAACATTAGCTAGTGGCAGATTTATCAATAAATCATGCATTAAGTATGGACAAGGAAGGACAAGATCAGCCAATCGCACAAAGAACAACATGTTCACTCGATAGCGCATACCGACCAATCACGCCCAACACACAGTATGCAGTATGTTGGGCACCATCAGTAGATCTGTGAGATTGCTAAGTCTTTGCACAAAAGGCTTTCAATTAACATTTCCTCTCTAATTCACAGTTGTGGAAGGTTGTTATGAAAAGCAAAGTAAAGTTTGAGGTTTTATACAGTACTGACCAATCGTACAGCTACAGGCTGATCAGGTGACTGTACAGATCGGCTGAATGCACCTAATGTATATGCATATAGGCCTAAGCTCAGAGCCTTTAGTAAAGGCCATAATCAGGTGATAATGCATGGCGCTGTCACTGTGGTATGATTATGGTGGAATGATGTGATCAAATACATTTAAGTAGAAGCTGTTTTTTATTTACAAGTTAAGGATATTAAGGAGTTAAAAGTAAAAATACCTTGTTAATCATGATCCATAGTAGTACTTGGATTACTTGTACATACCAGTTTTCACAAGAAAAGAAAGTGTGGCATTTTTGGCTGCAAGCAGTAAACGTAGCTCGAGTGGTGTTTTTCTGGGAAGAGAGCGAAGATGATTGAGTTTTACCTGGAAATGTTTTCACTATTAGTATTTGATGGCCATTCTTATTTATATTTTACAGATGATGTCGAATCATTACTTCATGGAAATGATTCACTCTCTGCAGCCAAGATTCCAAACGATCCTGCCTCACGGATGATAGTTCTCCATGACTTTATTGGCTGTCTCAAAGATGAATTGAGTGTCAGTGAAGGACAGAGTGTTGATATATTGGATGTGGACAGAAAGTGGGCCTATGTAGCAGCAAGTAGTGGGCGAGGCTTTGTACCATTGTCCTGTCTGGGACCTTCTACTAGAAGACACAGTACTGATTCTATTGTTAACAATGAACAGTCAGGTCAGGGAGATACGCTCCTCAGTAATAGATTCTATCAGACTGGTGGTGAAACTGTGTTTGCAAAAAGCCCTCGTGGGCAGTATGTAGTGTTGTATGACTTCAAAGCTCAAGATGAGAATGATTTATCTGTGGTTAGTGGTGACTGTGTGTTGTCCTTGAATGAGGATGACCCTGAGTGGACATGGGTTCAGAAGACCGATGGAGCAGAAGGTTTTGTACCTACAGCCTACTTGTATTCAGACACTATCCCAGTAGTTGATTCAACAGTGTCATCTTTGCAGAATTCACTCTCATCAACTGAACCTCACCTCCACAAACTACAGTTGTGTGGAACAGAGTTAATGTCACTGTATGATTATCAGGTACTGTACATGTCCAATAATTTTGGGCTTCTCAAAATTGTTTTTGTTTACAATGTGGTCGAATTTCAATGTATTAAAAAATATTTCACTTTTCTGTTGTCATTTAGGCTGGTTTGTGTTTGTCTGATGATGGTACTTGTCTCCGTTTTCGTACAGGGTCGGATAGCAGATGATTTGACTGTTGTGAGAGGAGATCTGTTGTATGCTGATATGACAAATCAAACACATGATGAATGGTTGTGGGCATACTGTCCGAGAACACAGACATGTGGCTTTATACCACGAGGCTATGCAAGGCCGCCAGCGATAGAGTGAAATGTGCTTGATCCTGCAGTTGATTGCTGCCTAGCACTCTATGTACGATTCTTCACATGTTAAGTAAACCATAGGAAACAGTAAATTGCACACAACATAATTCAAATGTTGAATCTTTTGCATCAAAACCAGCATTCAGAGCCTTTATAATTAAAGGCCCTGTAGGGTCCTACATTGGGTCTTTCATTGGTTAGCACTTGCCTATTTTTACTTTTTACCATTTAAGTACGCAGTTCCTCCTTTTGTGAGGCAAACAAGGATGTTAATGAAGTAATGAAGAACCTTTAGTGCAAGATTCAGCAGAAGGGATATAACTGGGATGAAATTGGAGGAAAATGAAATATCCCTAAAATAATCGGCAATTGTTTTGAGTGACCCACAGCACCACAGAGTCTGTGGTTTGTCTACCTGAAGACACCCTTTAGAATAACCATGTATCAATTTCTCGCATTCTGTATCAATATTTAGATGTAAAAACACATTCATGGTTGACTCAGAATTTCCAGATTTGAGATTAGAAAATCCTAAAATAAGAAAAAATCCTGAAGAAAAATCCTTTAATAAGGAAAAATCCTGACATAATTATTCATTAAAAAAAAAAAACCAGTTCCACTTGTTTAATGACTTCGTAATCCTTGGTCTATTCCCAATTACATCTATTTTTTCTGGAAGTGAAAGTGGTTTGTTATTTGAATTGTTTTATTATTCATTCAACGCAACAAGTGGCATGAACGTAGTTAAAAGTATGCAAAACTTACTCTAAACAGCAGAACTATATATCAGAAACTATGTTTGCGTAATTAGTATATTTACCATTTATGCTAATTCTTTGTACAAAATACAGTGTCCATAATGACTTTATACATTGGATAAGTGTGGTCCAAGAGTCTAACAAGCAGGCTAAGTACTTGGAAAAATCCCCTTTTCCTATAGAAGATGTAATGTGCATGGTACTGTATAGTTAATAAAGTACTTTTGAACAGCAATGAAAACTCATCTGTGATTGCCTATTTCATTAGTACATGCATGCATTTGGTACGGCATGTCGTGAACACTGATTCATAATCCCTGGAGGTAGCACGGTCCATCAGCAAGAAATTCATGATTTGAAATTAAGAAAGTACGAGGGAACTCAAAAACTCTTATAATCAACATATTAAGTAAAAATTACATGTTATACGTAACAAATGGTAGAGCCCTTGGTGTCATTTGTGTCTAAAAGAACAAGGATAAGGACCCAATTGCATGTCAAGTGGTCTTTCCACCATCCCAAAATCCAATTTGCAACACTCCTACTATGGATAAGGAACGACTCAAAGGTATGTATGTTTGTCTGCTGTTTACAATTTTTGGGATATTATTTTGTAAGCCAAACCCTTGTTCGTTCAACAATATGTTGCACGCTGGTAAACTATGCATATCCATGTAGCTGACTTAAAAGTTATTGACTGCTACATACAGATATGCTTGAACTCTGTACAAGCTCTTGCATCAGATATATGTAAATTCAAACTGAAAGTAAGTAAATGATTTTGAATTGTGAAATCAAATCCGACTGTATTGTAACGCAGATGTTATAGCTGTACTGTCAAGCCCATCTAGCCTGACAAGGTACATACATGTAAATATACCTCCATCAATTCCATCCTTCAAAACACATGCAGATTATCTGCATTTATCCCTAGAAGGATAATAAGGGGAAATCCTACAATATTGATTTGAATCAAGCCAGTTGATGACATTTCAAAACTGTTAACAGGCAAAACAAAAGGCAATATGGTCATCCTATGCAATGCTCAACTTCACAATGACCCTAAGCCAACCCAAAGCTAACATGGCCTTCAAAATGTGATGATTCTTGGGTTTCACCAAAGGAGTCAAATGCCCAATATGTGCAATCAAATTTGGTCGGAAAAAATACAATTCAACATTACCCATATACACAGCATTCTTTAACTCCAAACGTGGTCCCTTAAACACAAAAATTACCCTATCAGTAAAATGTATTAAAGTAAACGCATTCAATTCCCAAAAGTAGATATTAATAAACTGGAAATTACCTGTACATTGACAAAAACTACAATGAATTTGTCAGGTTTGAAGAAAACCGTGTGAACTGTGTAAACCGTGTAAAACAGTCAAGTGGCCATGAAAGTTGAAAAGACTCCCTCAAATACACGACAAAAACTTGGCCACTGCTCTCTGACTACCCAATACCTGTACTTCAATTCTTGACTAGGTACAGAACTGCAACACCATTCAAATTAACTTTCTAAAAACTGATTATCTGAAAACCAAGCAAAAAAACAGTTAATACATGTAGTGTTACTGTCATAAACTATACAAGTGCACATGCTTACACATTCACTTGATAAAATAACAAGATTGGACAATCTACGCATGCATAAGATAACAACCATGTATACCAAACAATACAACAAAGCTTTTAGAAATTAATGAACTGATCCCCAATGCAATATTGGCTGTATTGGAAACAGATTTTACACTGAAGCTTGAACAGTTCCCCATCAAACGGCATACTTCCTTCAAAGTTAGTATCAGTTACATTCAATCTTATCCCTCCTGTGGCAATTTCCAATCATACAATAAATTTAATATTTTTGACACTAGAAGCATTTCAACTAGAAAAACTTATGTATGTAATCACGATTATTAAAAAGCTGAATTTCAAGAACATTATCAAAAATATATAATACCTGGCTACTAAACTAAAATAATTGAAAAAGACATTTTATTAAAACTTTACAAAGTGGCAGTGATGGGGGGGGATTCCAGGCGCATGCAAGTAAACAAAACAATGATCCTACAGGACACCCATGGATATTGAGGACTGCATTAAAACAGATCTTAGTACATGACTAAACACACAGCTTGCAAAACTATCTGTCATGTACAAATGAAAACAACCCCAACGATGACAAATTTATACATGCATATTCCATTCTTCCTATTGAGCAAGTAATCTTATGATGCTTTATGCATCAACCATCCTCCTAAATATCAAATATTTGGTGCCGAGTTGTAGTGGTAACAACGGAACATTTCACTTCCCAAGTTTTGACTTTGATTGATTCAATACAAGAGGATCTCATAACAGAATGAATTCAAGGCCAACAGTGAGCACAGTAATTACATGTACCTCAATTATCAAAGCTTGTTTATCTATTTTGGAGTCAGGTATTATGTACGGCAGGCAAGTTTGTTCTGCTTCAAATTTGAAAGGATGCATAGCGCCTTAGTAATAAATTCATGAACGCCTTCATTCAGTGTCAAAATTATATTGCTATCTTTTTGGTAAACATCATTCAATATGCTATTAAGATTAACTGACTACCAAGGACACCAAGGAATTATGTACAATCATCGCATAAGCTGTACAATAAAACCAAAAAATTATTTGCTTTATAAATATAAAAGGTGGCAACTTCACTTTCAACTGAAAATTTTCCCATGAAACAAGGCATACATTCTGAACTAAAAAAAAAAAAGTAAAACAATCCTTCATAGTTATTCAAAGTGATAAAATAAGGTAAGACTATACACATGGCTGCCAACAGTTGACCTACCGACATACATCCCTAACATCAGAGATCAGAAATAAAATACCTATCATTTATAACCATATCAATGCATAAAACTACAAACACCTCAACCAATTTACTTCCTGCGAGATTAGAATCCAAGTTGAAGTGACCACAAAGACTTCACTGATAATAATCTGTGGGAACAGCTGCCAGACAACTATTTCCAAGGATGGATTTTTGCCGGGAGATATACATTAATTTTGGAATTTTTAGCCAGACAACTGTTGTTGGACAAGTATTGAATACAAGCTTGAATATACATGAACTTACAGTTTTTACAAAATAGATGGGACAAACCTAACTGCCTTGAATTCAAGCAGTCTGTTTCTCAATTACCTATTTCCCTTTAATGTTGTCGCCATTTCAGACTGAATCCGAACTTCCAAGATAAACTCAAGTTGATATACAATGTGTACAAGGTATGCACATGTGCATGCTAAATCATTCATGAAGTTGAGGCTCAGTCATTAAGTACTATTCAAGTGTGGATTTTGAGCCACAAACTCTCTCTCCCACTTGGAGGCTTTGGTTTTCTTAACAGGGCTGTCTTCTGTAAACATCTTCATCTTATCTCGGAATGACATCTTCTCAATAGCAGGACCTTCACTGTTTGCTTGTTTACTAGCAAGGAGTCTTTCACGAGGATCTCGGTACACCTCTTGAGCCCCAATAACAGCAGGTGTATCTGCAGCCTTAAAGGTATTGAGGTTCTGGGAGTTTTCTGGAGTGGCATATTGGTAAGGACTTGGTTGGTTGTTCGGTGTTGGGGAGTGATTGTACTCAATAGCTGGTTCATATGCACTGTTTTCCTGCATGGGAATTTGGCTGATTGTGGATGTGTTTGCTGAGTAAGGAATTGGGCCAACAGCAGCATAATTGGATGCTGGCCCTCGTCCATTGGCTTTCCCGGCTTGGACTGCAAATTTCTTGGGAGCAATTGGGGGTTTTGGTTTGGGCTGGGTAGGAGGTGGTGGCTTTTGGGTTCGCTGGTTGTTTCTTGGGGGTGGTGCTCTCTCAGAAGTTGGGGATAAGTATGTTTTCTCTGGACCTGGGACATAACTGACATTGACTTTGGTATGAACCACATTGGAATCATTAGACGGGGGCTGATGAGGGGAGGGAGGAACTGGAGGGTTGTTAGGTTTGAATGATAACTGCTCTTCGATACGTCGTCGTTCCTGCTCAATCTCAGCTTCCCGTCTCTGATATTCTAACCTCTGTAATGTGTGTCGTCTTTGCATCTCTTCCTCCTGTCGCTGAAGTCCTTGGTTTCCATCAATTTGTCTCATAAATTGGTCTTGTTCAGCTTGTCTAAGCTGCCGATGTTCTTTCTTCCGTTGGAAGTAATCATCCTCTTGTGGTCTGGATGCCATTTGTTGCATGAGGTGCTCAGCTTGAGCCTGAACCATCTCAAACTGCTCTCGTCGCTTGCTTGCTTCCTCTTCATCTTCTGCTTCTTCCTCATCATTCTCTTGTCGTGACTCTTCTAGACGACGTTGGAATTCTTGTTCCATTCTAAGCTTTCTAAGCTTCTCCTGTTGCTGTGGAGTCAGATTCTCCTGTCTTGTCAACTCCTCAATGGCCTGTTCTCGCGCCATCTTCTTTTGCTGTTCATGCCACTGCTCCCACTTTTCCCTTTCCTCTCGTTTCCATGGTGACGGACCTTTCAGGTCTTCATGTGAGGTATGGGTGTCCAGCGTGGCACTCCACTTCCCTTGACCTGACAAGTTTGGGCCGATATCTTCACTGTTTAAGGGATATCTAGCATCAGGGCCAAGTGGTCTAGTCTCTCTTTGCTGTGATGGAGCATCATAGTTTTGGCTGAGGGGTCTAGGAGATTGTGGCATAGCTTCAGAAGGGTAGTGCTCACTGCGAGGCCTGCTGGGTTCATCTTCAGAGTGTTTCCTGACTGGGGCTCTTGGTATTGGTACAGGTTTGGGGCCTGAGTTTTGCCTTTGCAGTTCAGGGCGTTGCTGGTCACTCCCTGATGGTGTCATGTCTCGGTTGAAGGAGCTTTGTTTATTTATGCGCCCTTGTCGTGGCAATGATGCATACGTTGGTCGTTCTTGCTGTACTTGATGCATTTGTTCTTGCTGATGTTTGGAATCCTGGTATGCTTGTCGCTGGGCATCAACAAATGCCCGTTTCTCTCTCATCCGTTGTTCATGCTCTTCTTGAATACGTCTCTTCTCTTGTTCATGCCACAGGTGGTATTGCTGCATTGCTCCTGGTGGTAGAGACTGACTACCATCCCTTAACTGACTGCTGGGTGGTGGTGGGGGAGGAAGCTCTTGCTGGAAGTCTGCCTCAGGAGGAGGTGGGGGAAGATCAACAGGGGGTGGTGGGAAATCACTTATCAAGGTATCATATCCCTCTGGAGGTGGAGGGGGTGGAGGAGTGTCAGTATTTCTCTGGTTGTCAGAAATGCTGTAAAATGGTGCACTCTGATACATTTGTTGATGTTGAGAACTAATGGGAGTGTAGTTTGGCTGTGGATTATACCTGTTATCCTGCGAGACTGAGGTTCGTGGAGCTGGTGCCGGTTTTGCCATTTCATCTCTATTTCCTTCCCAACCATAGGGCGGTCGATCCTGATACTGCAACTCTCTTGGCTCATTTGGGGGATATTGGTAATTGGGATTATAATAATCCCTTGGACCTGACTGATATTGACTAGGTGGGAGTTGTTGGCGATATTCATTCTGTCGATAAATCTTGTCCTGTTCTTCTCTGACTCTAATCTCTTTCTCTCTTTCTGCTCGCATCTTTTCTTCTTGAGCCTGTTCCTCTCTAGCTCTTTCTTCTCTCAATCTTTCAATCCTTGCCATTTCCTCTCTTGCCCGTTCTTCCTTCAGTCTCTCTTCCTCTTTTCTGGCCCTTTCCTCTCTCAGTCGTTCTTCTCTGGCCCTTTCCTCTCTCAGTCGTTCTTCTCTGGCTCTTTCCTCTCTCAGTCGTTCTTCTCTGGCTCTTTCTTCCTTCAGCCTTTCTTCTCTAGCCCTTTCCTCTCTTAGTCGTTCTTCTCTAGCTCTTTCCTCCCTAAGTCTTTCCTCTCTGGCTTTCTCTAATCTGGCTCTTTCCTCCCTTGCTCTTTCTTCCCTAGCACGCTCTTGCCTGGCCCTTTCCTCTCTCAGCCTCTCTTCTTTTGCTCTTTCTTCCCTCAGTCTTTGTATTCTTAATTGTTCTGCTTTAGCTCTTTCTTCCCGCAGCCTTTCTTCTCGCAGTCTTTCTTCCCGAAGTCTCTCTTCACGTAGCCTTTCTTCTCGCAGTCTCTCTTCTCGAAGTCTTTCCTCCTTCAGTCGCTCTTCTTGGAGTTGCTGTTCTCTCAGTCTTTCATGTCTTATGCGTTCTTCTCTTTCCATCTCCTCTCGTTGTCTGTCTTCCTCCAGTTTTTCTTGTCTTGTTCTCTCCTGTCTTTCACGTTCTTCTTTAGCCCTCTGCGCCTGCTCCTCTCTAGCTATTTCTTCCTTTGTTTTTGGCTCAGCCTCAGAGACTGAGTGAAGATCTTTAAGGCGAGGTGCAGGAATTGGACCTCCCATGACTTGAATTCCTCCTGGTGGTGGGGCTCTGACATTGGCTTGGGACACAGCTGACCTTGACAGATCCCGATTCGTCATTTCTGGTTCTGGATCTAAGTTTGATGTTGACTTAGAACGTTGATACATTTGTTGGCTGGAGGATTGAGAACAAGAGAATAGAAATATCAATATTAAGAGTTTGCTAGTTTTCAAACGAAAGCCTTTGAACACAAAAACTAATATTTCCTTCAGTGCAATCAATGCAGCATTAAGAGCATTTATCACATTACAAGCATGGAACTTGGACCTTTACGAAAACTGAGGTAATTCCAGTCTTTACAAGTCTTTATAGAGTGTTTTTCAGTTTTCAATGGCATGAGTGTGAGGTGAAAAACAAGGAAATCAGCGGATCCGAGGAAAAGTTGCATGCCTGATATTAAGGCTACTTTATAACATCCTAAATGAATCTTATTCAAATCTATGTTTGCCATTTATGTAATGACATACCTGGCAGGATGTTGACCCTTCAGGTTGGTGTTGGATGTTGCTCTTTTATAAGGGTCTTTATTCACTGTTGCATACAAGTCCCGATCAGACTGGATACGCTGACGAGGCTCCTCTCCTAAGACAGAAAAAGATAACATAATATCACGCCTTCTACTCTAATCCCCTGAAAAACCCGGAAAATTGTAGTAAAACTGGAGGATTTGGGACTTCTAAACATTCTATCAAATCATCTGACTAGATCAAACTGCAATTGAGAACGAGAATATCCAAACAATGTCAATGGTGATCACTGATGACATTACAAATTTCATGGCAAGGTGGGCAGTGAAGATGTCAATGTTCCCCTTTTAAGAAGCTTATTAAAAGTTCCTAAAATATTTGACATCTTTCACATGTATGGAATTTTATGCAAAATTATATGACTGTCAAAACCTTTTAAAAGCTAAATTCACTTGACAATTTGATTACTGCTGATTACTGCTGAAAAACCATATCATCTGTTGCCTTGCACGAGGGCGTAATGATGCCATATGTGGCAGCCTGAAATGTGTGAGAAATGCCTAAATGCACTTATGCTTGACACATCATTTTCATCTGAAAGAGAGATAAGAGGACAATTTACAAATGTTTACTAACTGAGATTGGGAGATGATCTAGCATAATCAGCTTTGCTCATTTCATAACGACCCAGTCTTGGTGCAGCAGCAGGAACATCACGTTGTGTTGGCCACTCTCTACTCTCAGGATATCTGCCACCAGGTTCGGCCATCTGGGGTGGGGACATGACCTGTGACATGTCTTCACTCTTTGGTCGGGTCTGAGGTTGAGATGACTGTGTGGAGGTTGGAGGTTGAGCTCCCTTGTTGGCTGCAACAAGAATGACACATCGTAAACACCTGTCATATCTCATGTGCAGGATCTGAAAATGTGGCTGAAGGTTAGTTGGGATAACAGATACAGGACCGATGAGGTAAAAAGAAATGGCAAATCTGTAAAGAATTCATAATATTTGAAAGAATCTACTTTTACTGAAATAACAGGCTAACTATAGCGTTAAAAAGAATCATAAAGCATATTTGTGCAAATCCTGTTGATTGACTGACCTCTTTGCATTGGAGGTGATGGTTGGCTAAGTATTTCTGCTAAGCCATGGAAGATTGCTCCTTGCTCTGCGATCTTGAGAGTTACAATCTGTCCTGTCTTCACCAGGTAGACCGCAGCTCTAGGACACAACCACAAATATAATTTAATACCAAATCTAATTATGGTGTCAAAGTTACATCATGCTCCTATGTTCATCTATGCTGATGGTCTTTGCTTGTACCAAGTTTCTTTTTGTGAGGCAGTCAAAGTCTATGCCATTCTGGCAGTTGAAAAACCGTGTACAAAACATATGGGGAAAAATCAAACGATGAAGTCACGAAGTCAAGATTTGGCATACATCCTCAGATGGTAGTCTAACAATGTGCCGGGTTTGAAGTAAGGACCGAAAGTGGTGTGTAGAACGACCCCGTGTAATGTCAATAGCAAAAATTTGAAAAAGAAAAAAAAATTAAAATAAAAATTAAAAAAATAGCTGTTTCGGCCAGAGATTGAAACAGCTAATGACTTTATGCTCAGACAGATGAGGTGTTTCAAAATTTAACAGTGTACATGTATATGCTCTTTAGACACTGTCTGGTCTACATGCTATCTAGTGTAATGATTTCAGGGTTTGATTGGCTTCTTTGGTCCACCCAAACAGACAAAAAAATTATTTCCACCAAGAATTAGCTGTGATAAAAATAGTGGAAGTCAACTCACTGTTCTTGATTGAGGCCCACCAGACTATTTCCATCAACTTCTAAGATCTGATCACCAGCTTTGATACGTCCATCCTGTAAAAGAAACATGTTAAGATATCAATCTGTATAACATTTCTGACATATGACTTAGGGAGCGTCTCAAAAGTCAGAACGCTTGGAACATTCCTTTTGGGAACAGGAGATGTTCCCGAAAAGAACACCAGCTGGTCCCACTTGGAACAAGCATTATTCTCTTTTGGAACATGTGCCGTTCCCAAATGGAACGTTCCATTTCTGGGAACACCGATATCAGGGAATGCTTGTGTTCCTTTACAGAACACTGTTAATAAGTGCTGAGCACGCAAGTTTTGCAATACTCATTTGCAATTAGTCAGTAACATTACAACCTTCGTGAGGGTGTATTCTTCGGAAGTAAACTTAAACAACATCCTTATTTATGTCAGAAGTGAGGCTTTTGCCCTTTTGTCAAGCAAATCTGGGACATTATCTGCAAACATTGTCAAACATAAATCTCAAAAGTTGAACCAAAGCGCAGGCACTGTAGTACAGCACACGATACACTAAGCTACATGTATGTAATGGGGAGGTGGGATTATTATCATGACAGACTTGCGTTCAGACTTGACAATAATTATCCGTCGATAGAATACTTACAATTTTTCCCCAGATTACGTCCAAAAAGAATTAGAATTATAATGACTGACTACCAATTTTTTCAGAAGGAACGCTGATGTCAAAACACAGGGTCCCCAAGAAAACAGCTGAGAACAACTTGTGTTTCCAACAGGAACACTGGCTGTTCCCATTGGGAACGAGCTGTGTTCTAGATGTGAACAGCATGCATTCTCAAATGCAGCATTCCAACTGGAACAGGAACATTCTGACTTTCAAGACGCTCCCTTACCAAGATGACAGCCTATCAAGGGTTTTAGAAAGACCTGAGAATTCCTTCCTCACCTTATGTGCCGCAGCTCCTGGTACCACTGCCTTGACATACACACCAATCTTCTCTTGTCCAACACCCTTAGCTGCAATGATACTCAGACCCATTCTGCTGCCTCCTTTGTTCAATTGAATGGTGAATATTTCAGGTTCCTTTCCTGGAGGTGCTTTAGCATCTGCGCGGACTTGAGGTGGAGGCTGAAATAAACCAAGATGACTCCTTATATAAAACGAATTTAGTAAAATAAGGGGCGCGTGCATTTGGCAGATTCAATGAACACACCATTTCTCTCTTACTGTATTCTGTATTACTTATTTTATACTGGATTGAAGTTAACATTGCACCGACTTCATATTTGTAAGTTTATGTAAAACATACCCAATATCAAACTACCAATTACTTACTTTAACCATAACAGGTGACATGGGCGGTGCTTGCTTCTGCTGTTGGGGTGATGCTTGCTGCTGTTGCTGCAGTAGGGGTGGGGCTTGTTGCCGCTGTTGCTGCAGTTCGGGTGGCATGTGCTGCTGCCGTTGCTGCAGTTGGGGTGGTGCTTGCTGCCGTTGCTGTTGGAGTGGTGCTTGCTGCTGTTGCAGTTGGGGTGGGGCTTGCTGCCGCTGTTGCTGCAGTTCGGGTGGCACTTGCTGCTGCCGTTGCTGCAGTTGGGTTGGTGCATGCTGCTGTTGGGGTGGTGCTTGCTGCTGTTGTTTCTGTGTGGGAGGAGCATGCTGGGGCTGAATATGTCGAGGTTGTCCCTGATCCATACTTTGATTGTGGCCATACAGGTACACTGTCCAGTCCCCTGATGATGTTGGGTTGACAGTCAATCTTGCCAAGCCTATCAGAAAAAAGAGTCCATGATGTCATCCATGGCTGTCTTTCTCTTGCATTCACACGGTGAAAAATACTATTAAATGCACACATCTCATACTAGTGTCATTTAAAATACTTACTTTCTACCAACTTAGCTCGTATTTTTCCACAATTTAGATTGCTGGCATTTTATAAGAGTGAATTAAGCAAACAATCAATTCAGTGATTTTGCCTACCGGCGCGCATCAATGGTTCCAAGAACTCCTGTAGTCCATTTGGAATGTTTTTGACAATTTCGCATGAGTACCCATCTTCAGGTACAATGAGTGCTAGACGTAACTCAGGATCTTCCTCTAAGGGTACTGGACGACTATCGGTAGATGGCTCATCATTGGTACTCTGAGCAATAGATACCACCTGTTATAACGAATGGATAATGTATGTCAGGTGTGAAGTACGTTAGTAGGCTTATAACACACATGTGCAATGAAGCATTTTAATGCAGCAAGGATCAGTTCAATTTTTATCGTAGCCAATTTTAAAGGGGCAAGAATGAGTTAAAGTTAGAGTCTACTTACTTTCATGATGGCATCATTAGGTATGTGTCTCTCATTGTGGGAAGGGATGTAATTTTCCAGTAGTGCCCTGAGTTGTCTGGAATTAAGCTGGAAGCACTGTGAGCAGGCAGCGTTCAAAGCATCTCTAGAATCCTTAGGTGCCATCAACAACTGCAGAGCCTACAAGACATGATAATCCATACTCACAACACATGTATCCCTCTTTATTAAAATGGTGTAATGTATAGATTTCATCAGGGGTGATTAAATGACAGTTTTTTCAAAAGTATCCAAATATCATGCACAGCTTATGCATAGCAGTTAACTTTGATAGTTTTCATTTTAGCTGAATTACCATGAACAAGATAAACCAATTATCTACTCAAGTCTATCCTGTTTGTTTATCCGAATTCACTGCTAACATAATTCATGGACTTGTTTCCCTTAATTTATAACCCTAACAGTCTTAAATCCTCCTACAGGTGAGGGACTGAGGATGATTATGGATAAGGAAACCATTACAGATCAAAAGAAACTAGAGGTTGATTCTACATTAAAGTCACCGTATCACACAAGACCGTGGCCTACCTGTGTAATCTTGGCCATATGTGCCTCAGCGGCAAGCTCTAATCCTTGTTTCTCAGCCCACGCATTGATACGGTTTAATCTATGATGCAGCATGGCTGCACTGTCACGATGACACAAACGAAGCTGAGGATGAGCAACCAACTTGTTGAAGACCCAAGCACCAACAAAATGGAAGAGTTGAGAGAAGAGTTGAATAGTCAGGCCAGCGTTGACACGGCAACGCCGCAGAAGAGTCATCACAGAGTGGAAGATGTGAACAACATCACCTAGTACAAATCAAAGCAAAACAATCAATGGAACAAGAACGGTTTCATTCAAACCAAGAGCCAAACGACCTGCATAGTGCTGATGTTTTTAGCCTTTGCTTGCAGAAGCTTAAAGAGACAGTGATTGGCATAGCACATTGAACACAGCACAATTAAATATATGGCATGACTTACAAAACGCACAAAGACATCTTTTATTCAAACGAATGATTCATCAATATGAGCCTATTAAGACAGAATCATGGAGTGCCATCTTTGCCACAACGTGAAAAAAGGGAGTGAAAGCCGGTAGGAACCATGGCAATGGGATGATGACAGATGACATCTTACCAATATTAGGTCTGGTCTGAGGTGGACCACGGTTGGGTGGATTCAACCAGCGTGCACTGATGCGTAGTGGATTATCTTTACTACCTTCACGCCAACTGTCATTACTCTTATCATCATCTGAATCATCATGCAAGGTGAGAATGGCACACCAAATCAACAAAGCATGAACAGGATGCAAAGCATGCAAGAAATCTGCTCACAGATCAGGAACTTCAGAAAGCATGTCTAACTTGGATTGCTTGTAACGCTCAATTGGGAATATAGCTCTTGATATCTGGGAACATGTGCTGAACAATACCTACATGTATATGGGACTGATTGCCCGTACGAATATGCAATTTCTACCCAACATGTTGTTCGATGGGCTGTGTGCATAAACAAGAGATGCCACATCTTCACAAAGTAATAATACCCCTCTTACAGGTGCATCAAGTTTTGTGCATACATGGCGAGGAACACGCATGACTGATTTTCAGTGGAATATCTAGTCTTCGAACGAACACACTGGGCATCATTTGAAACGGTCACCCACAAGCCTTTCTCCCTCTGTCCAATGAAGGAATCTAGGATACAAGGAAATTGGAATGGATAAACAGTAGCAAACCAGTGCAACATACACCATATTCCCAAAGGAGCGTATCTCATCTATGAAAACAAGAATGTTGTTATGAGACATTCTTGCTTTTTCAAGACCAAGCTCTGAACTTCACACCTTCACAAAAATAAAAAGGCAAAGAATTGAAAATGGAGGCACAGAGGAAAAAGGTGAGGCTGATGCTTGACAAGTGATATTAAAACCTCCTTCCCCATAACAAGGCACAACAGAATGGCTTTGGAATGGTCTTTATGGTTGGCAAATGGAAAGAATTAATGAGAAACAGATACTGCACGCAAGATGGCAGTCAAAAAAAAAAAAACAAGGAAATGCCAGAGGAAAATTGTGTACACAGTACGCATGCTGGGTAGAGTTTTAAAGAAATAATACACTGCAAAGTTGTTCAACTCAACCACAGAGCAAAACAAAATTCTGTAAAATAAAACTTGCAAGTGCATCATCACTACAATATATGTAGCAATAAGACAATGGCTCTTACGCTTAGCTCACCTGTAGACATATCTTTCTCTGCATCAGCATCTGCACTAGGATCTAAGAATGCTGATAAGTTCATGTTCATCTCCACTTGTATGCTATGAACAAGATGCCTGCAAGACAAGGCCACTTGCATTCAATATCTAGTTCCATGACATTCAAGCAAGGCAATATAAGGGATCAACATCCAAGGGACAATCAGTGTAATGCAAGACATTAAAAAACACACCACAGTTGTATCAGTGTTCAAGCATAACAACTCTTGTATGAGATTGAAATTGTTGGGAGGCAGACAGGCATTCTTGGTTCCCCAAAACAAAATTAATGAATAGTAGAGGATCAAACCGTAAGACAAACCATGCAAACAAAATGGATTCAAGTCACAAAAGAGAAATTCATCCTGAGAGATAGATTTGATCCTATGCATCTGGTCAAGATTACCTCAAATAAGTGCACTGAAAGTGAACAATACCTGAATATTTGTTGGATGCATTCCTGTAAGATATCTTGTGCATCTTGAGAGATGCTACTCAGGTCTTGATCTTCCTTGATAAAATGCAGAAACTCTGAAGCATTGGCTAACCAGAAAGCCAGCACACCAGCTATTTGGTGATGTTCCTGTATCAAAACAACACCAATAACTCATCCAAATACCATCCAAAAACTTCATCACATCCGATATAACTCAATATCATGTTGCTTTTGGTTGATCTCACAGAGTGTAAACATGAACTATAAGATCTACGCACATTTGGTAATAATGTTGATATCCTATTACAATATGTACTAGAGTCATGATTGAGCATAAAAGATTAACTACTAAATTTGAAAGGGTAAAGGTCAAGTATTTATGTACCGCAACTGTGCGATCTATCAGATCTGCTGTCTTGTTCAGGAAGGCTGTTAGCCTCTGAGCACGCTCAGTAGGTCCCATCTCTGGTCGATACAGCTTAGACAATCGGAATCTACATCCCAGATACAGCGTGTATGTAGGAGCCAGTTTGAAGTAGATGCTGGCACCATTGACATCACGTATGAAGGTAGTCAGGAATTTATCCTCGGCTGGTCAAGGCAAAAGAGTAGGTACCATTGGTTCTCGATTATGAACTAGGTCTAATCTGTTCAAAGAAGCATGGTGACATGGAGTGACAAGTGATTTGAGAGAATTAGAGTGAATGAAACCTAACCTGCTTCCTTGAATTCCAGAGTTGCTGGCAGTACTTCTGGTGGCTTAGTTCTCTTCTCCATCTGGCCTGCATTAGTCTCAACTTTACCATCGACATCAAATGTTGTCTCAAAGTTATCGGACTTCTGTTCTCTCTTGGCCCAATCCTGCCAAGGAATAACAACAAAGAATGCTTTGTAATAACTAATCTGACATGCACGTTTAGGTACAAAGAGGACTTGGAAAGTTTATTACAAAACAACAGCAAACTTACCGGGTCTTCAACTTCAGGATCACAGAATCGAAAGCAAGCTTGCCTCCCAAACCTAACCACAGCACCATGTTGAAGCATGGTAGTCTCATAAATGCGATGACCATTCACATACGTCTCAGATTCTGGGCTGGTGGGAGTAACGGTAACCACACCCTCCATATTGGCTACCACACAATGACGAGGCTGAATACCAAGCGAAAATAACTGAAAAGACACAAATAAATAATACACCTCTTACTCTGCCCATTAAAAGACAAGGATTGTTAAATTCATACACTGAGGGGAAAACAGGAGAGCAACAAACAGTAATGTCTAAGGATCCTGACTTGACTAACCTGCAGATATTGTCCTGTGTTTGATACTACTTGCTCACTGCCAACTTCAGTGACATTCTCCTGCAGACGACAGCGCTTAGGTTTGTAGTCAATGATGTCTGTCCCATCTAAAGGGGGTTATCATTCATACTGTTTTTCATTTTTCACACCTAACAGGCTGAAAATTGTTTCTGATACGAGTACAAATAGTATTATGAAGACAGCACCCATTCTTGGACCATATCTAGTCAACTCCAATGCTAGATCATACCTAGTCAACTTAAGCAAGCTCAGTGATTGGCTGGTTAACGTTTCTGCACATTCAAGCAGGAAGTACTGAGTTCAAATCATGGGAGATGAAAAATAGTGTGTTTATCACAATTAAAAGTGACAAAGCCATGGATTTTAAAAGTGCACGAGTAGTTTAATCTTGCCTTCATTCAATTCAAGGAAGTACGGAAGTCTTTCTGGTGGTAATCGTGGTGACTGTAGGTTGTCCTTTCCCTGTCGTTTCTTGAGTCGAGGCTGGTAGTCAGAAGGTCGCAGTTTCAACTCAAAAATCAATTCACCTGTCACAGAAAACATTACATGCTTATGTTTGAATCTTTAATTGGCAAAGTACATGAACTGAATAGAAGTTACATGCAATCCTGTAGGCAAACCTTTAATAAACACTATAAACCTCCTCAATCCTCCAAAATCCTTTGGGCTGTTTTGGAAGATTGAGGGTGAATGGTAAAAGCGCATGGCTTATTGTCATGACTGAAGGTTGTGGGTTAGACGTTGTGTTGTTCTGCTTCGTCACGCATAAATTCAGCACGACATTTCTTTTGAATTAACTGCACTGCTCAAGAATGTCATTTGAACTACCTCAACATAATGACAGGAATTGCCGGAGGATTTTGAAGGATTGAGGCAGTAGGCACACCTCCATGTAACATTTCCAAGAAATTTTGGAGGATCTTGGAGGATTGAGGGAGAATCCAATTTTTTCACTCCCCAAATTGGAGGATTATGGAGGATTGAAAAGGGTCCCTGGCAAAAAAGGCATAGAGGGTTAGGATTAATGGTGCATGGGCACTTGATAACTCATGAATATAAGTAACCCAATCTGATAATTTCATTGGCTACTACTCAAATGCATCAGGTAACACGGTTTATGACAATTTACCTCTGCTCTCTGGCCATCTCATAACTGCTTCCAATGGTGATTCATCATCATCCATGATATGCTCTTTACCCCAACCACCTTTCTCAATGTATGTTGTAGGATCCTCCTTTGGTGGGACAACAACCTACATGCACATGTACAGACATTCATCACAAACCATACTGTAAACATGGAGCTTGAAGGAACTACAGGGGAGATCAAAATCATATAAACACAGATGTGTACATGTGCATGTAAAATCTAATGGTCAGAGTCTGGAGATGTGAGTTTAGAAAAGCTTACCTTCAATTGAATGTCGATAGTAAAACATTTCAATTTAATTTAAATAATTTAGATCCACCGTGGACAATGTCTGGCAGACAAGTCGTTAAATTCCATTTAAGTTACATTTTGACTTCAAAATGTGTTAAGACTTGTCACTGTAAATGCATTGAAATTTTCCTGACTGAGATATGACACTACTAGCTTTACTAGTCAGCAGGATACCAACCTTAACAAGACAAAAATCCTGTGGGTTTTCCTTGGGCTTGCCAAACTTCTCCAAAGCTTCCTTGACGATAGTATCTGATGTTCTGTCTACATCAACCAGGAGTGTCTTATAAGGCACTTCAGGGAACAAGGAGTGGGCATAAATCTTCAAGGCTCCTCCTATTTAGAAAGGAGGTCACAGACAGTTGGTATATATGAATGAAATCTGAGTAAACCTGACATGCTACCGCCAATGAAATTTTGGGATCTGCATGTATGCAGGTAACGACCATCTTCAAATGTAGAACACATTAGTACATACATGTAGCTAGCTATAGGAGTAGTACATGTAACTAACCTGACTGTGGTCGATTCTTAAAGCGTTCCATCTGTTCAAGTTTTTTCTGCCGTTGGCGTTTCATCACCATCTCTGGATTAGAGATTGTACGAGTGAAGCGAGACTTAGACAGGTCTTTGTAGAGCTTCTCAGTCTTGCTTTCTTCTGTATCATTCTTGCTCTGATGAAAGGAGGAGTCAGGGAACCAAGTCATGGAATTATCCAGCAGAGAGAGCAGACAAAAATCAATTGCTTAAATTACCAGTGTGAAACACAAACATACGGTGTACATGTAGTGCTTCCATAACAATGTGCTCAAGATGAGTAAAATGTACAAATAAAATGAACATAAGAGATTCAGTTCTGAGGTACATATGTATGCATACGACTATTGGCATGCTTAATTTAGGTCCACAATCTTACCCTTAGCTTGGCCTCTTTTTCCTTCTTTTTCTGTTCTTTCTTCTCCCTTTTGGACAGCTTTCTCTTAAATTGCTGAGGTGGAGCATCAACACCATATAAATTCACCTGTTATTGAGCAAGACAAAAACTACTGTACCAAAACAAGCTGTTCATTTGACTTGCAGCAATCATTTCATCAAGGTTAAATGTACACACATCTCCCAAACATTCACTTCTACCGGCACATGTATAAACAACTGGGCATTATGTAAGTAATGATATACAAGTGAATCAGTCGGTACAGAAATAAGTTTTTCTTGGTTTGTCTTTTTTAAATTCATGTCGAAGTCCCTACATGTGTGTGGTCTAACCGTACCAATATGGTACAGGGGACAGGGGATCAATCTGACCCCCTCCCTTCCCAGTGGAAACTTTGCGACTTCTCCCAAACTGCAGAAAATATCAAACCGCCCTTTGGACATAACTCTTTCCTTTGAAATCTTTGCACAACTATTGAAACTGAATTTGCCAAAAATCCCTTTGAAAACATACTCCTGCTTCGCCCAGTCTGAACATTGCCATGGTCTGAATAGGGTATAAGTTTTTGACGATTTTTCTGAATGTCTCTACAAAAGTTCTATGTTCTTCTCACATCACCTGATTCCTGTCAAACTTTAACAGTCTTTACCTTTGTGGTATCACTTGCCATCTTGAGCAAGAAACGACCCTCTCGTAAATCTTCACTCCAGTTTAACTGCACCTTCAGGGGATGTTCATCCTTCCCAAGAACTCGCTCCTCTAGATAGAACAACAATAAATCCAGGATGTGCATTGCTATGACAGTTAACTCTCAACCAGGTGTAAAGGTGCACTTGTGAGGCGATTCCCCTTTTCCACAGACAATGTTTTATTGCACTTCTCTGTAACTCAAAGAGTATAATTCTTTTGTACATGACATGTGCACAGCACATGTTTGTGCAGACTACAGGTACATGTACACACATACACATACACTGTATGTGCAACACAAAAATTAACACATCCTTTTTCAATTTACACAAAAATATGGGGAAGGTAAAGTGACTATGAGGAGACACTGTTCATATCACTACATTTGAAATAAAGGAAAGTGGCAAGGGTAAGTTGGAGGAACGACTATAGTTAACTACAGATCGACTAACACCGCTTGTACAATGAATGGTTTGGATGATCTACATGTACATGTACGCCCATGGTTCTGGTCACACTGCTGGTTATTTCATTTATCATTACAGAGGAAACCATTCACATGAAAATAATTATTTTAATGACCTCGTACGCTGTGAGAATTGCAACCAACAGTGAAATGTGAGTAACAATGAATTTTATAAATTTGCCCGACTGGGATCATTTGAGCATAGCTGAGTAGCGCATGCGCATTGTTAAAAGCAACTGACTACTGGAGGAACTATAGTTTGCTCCCGAAATTGCCCTAATGCGAGTACATGTATGAATTCTGTCTGACCTAATTACATGTATTCCATGACAAGTGTAAAAACAGTGTTTATTAGACACAGGCATAAAAAATTGTTTTCAAACGTTGTGTTTAGCTCAGAAACCTTTGCAATGTTTGTGGCAAACACATACATGTACATGTAACATGTACATGTACAAGAGAAAGACAACCCTGAATGCATGACCTCATGAAGGGACAAAGATAAGATTTGTCCCCGAGGCAATGTGCTTGCCACAGATAAACATGCAGACATGTACAGTACATGGCTTATACATGTGTACACGTACATGTATATGTAGACCGGTACATGCACAAATACAGTACTGTACATGCACAGGCAGTACTACATGTACACACACTAAATGTTCATAACAATAAGGGGCACTATATGCTGTACATGTACATGTTTGATTTGTTTATAAATCAAACAGATGTGGTTTTATAATGGGCTTAACATGTAGGGAAATACTAGCAGTGGTATATTATTGGTACTTGACCAAGTTGGGTTTGGCACATTCCTGAAGCAAACCCCTAGGGGGTAAAAATAAAATACCTTATGCTTACATATACATGTACATGTATGCAACCAATTCCCAGTGCATAGGACATGTACTTCAGTTCCCATGCTGAGTATAACCTTTTGTATTGAGAGTATAATCAATGACAATAGCCTGTGGAATGTCAATGACATGTTCAAGGTTATCAGTGCTACCTCAGCAAATTACTGACATACTCTTGATGAACCAGGTATAAATAATCAAGTTAACAAATTTACTTACATATACCAAGCAATAATGTAAAGAGTAGCCTACATTGTATACAAAAGTTTGCTTACAAGAAGCTGTGAACCGGTCTGATATAATAACGTATATATGTCACTACATGTATGTTGTAAAAACAGTTCCCACCAGGAACCACCTGACCATGAACAAACTACATGTAGGATGTACATGTACAAATACATGTACAGACACTGATACTGAAACTCGACATGCAGCACCTTTGAACAATCAGTTACAAAATAATGGAGCATCAACTACGCATCAAAACTTACATTGAAACCTTTAAAATTATATTTCGGTCATGATTAGCGCAATGTACATGTACATTTGTAGTACATGCAGCTTGGGTCAGCATGTAAAAAGTGTGTACATGTACTAGTACATACATACATAAATGTAGTGGGATACCACCATTTTTAAGTGTAGTTTTGACAAATAACACCCATTGGTATCTCACTTTACTGCATTTGTGTCCCTGAACATTTGCAGGAAGCATGCACATGAACATACACATGTAATGACTTTGTTTAAATCCCATCTTTAATTTATAAAGCTACTGCAATGTGTATGGAGATGTACATTAATAATAGGCTGTACTATCAAGGTTGATGTGTACATGGACACACACAATCTAAATGGTCCATAAAGCTGAAATACTAGAAGTTTATGAAACAAAACAAGTCTTTCTACCAGATGTACATGTACCATACAGACAGAGTTTCTGACTGACTTCTCAGACAAAAGTTTGATTCCTACTAATATCTTGACCAGTGTCCACATGTACTAGTAATATACTGACTTGGCATTCCCACTGACATACATGTATGGGCCAGTTTCTGTGGCATGTAATGGGCTGCCTTTGGATTCCTGCAGCTATTTTAGCCAATTCTTCCCCCTTACTCAGTATATGCAGCCTTAGTAAACTCAGCAGTCCATGGCCAACTGACCTGAACTTCAAAGCACTTACAGTACATGTAAGTGGAACACATGTACATGTACTGTACATAGCAGTTCAGCACAATACAGCCAGAGTAGAGAGACACTGCCCCAGGGTTCTATAGGCAGTTCAATCAAGCAGTCATGCTGGTAGGGAAAGGGTGTCAGTTTCTGCATACTAAATGACATGTACATGTATCTACGCCTGTATGCAAATTGCAATTACCAAAGTGACATTCTTAATAATACACGTACGTGTCCAATATGTTCATATTCCTCATAAATCTCAGCTGCTATAAAAGACCAAATTGTTTACTACAAAAAGCATGTACATGTTCATGTACGTGTACAATTCACATGTTAGGCAAAGTGAAGCAGTACGATGTACTTTACCAATGTACCAGGTACATGAACTTTAAATGGTTTTACAACCCACAGTACATAATTTAGCTGACACAGCACATACTCAAAGGTGTGCGCTACTAAAATGCGACAAGGCAAGGAAAAACGAACCATTGCCATTTCCCGACATTTACCATACCCTAAATGTACCTAGTACCTGCAAACTGTATAGAGGTCTACATTTGTGTAGTACAATGTATCGGAACGTGTACGAATGTGCCAGTACATGTTTTGAGAAGGCAGAGTTTTTTGACAGCGTTGCATACAATGTACATGTACATTTACCAGTACAACAGGCAGATGTACATGTACCAGTACGTGGTATGCCTGTTTCATCTCATCCATTTACGAGCACAAATGCATGTACACTGTAAATGTACGGTAATTCATTAATTATATTCATCCATTTGAGGTTTTCTAAGATTACAATTTCTCTCCATCAGTTTCAATCAGTTGTGATGATTTGTGACCATTTGAAAACTCTCCATTTTCCATTTCCTTTTGTCTGTGCATAGTAACAGAATTATTTTGTAATGTTTGGAAGCTACCACTTTACATGTACACATACTTAGACGGTTATCGCTGATACATGTAAAGTACATGTAGACAGCATGTAGTGCTATGAACTCTGAGCTCTACACTTTCTCCAAAAAAAGACTAAATCAGTGATCAATGTCAGTTGAAGGCTATTAAGAATGATACATGAACATGGATGGAAATATTTATAACCATCTACTTTGCCTTTAGGAATAAATTTAGAATATACACACTGTATCAGCTGCAATGTCATACCAGTAGCAGTAGGGTACTCTGATCATTTGTGGCTTTCATTATTTCAGTAACTGGTGTCATCTATTGTCAAACAGGGCAAGATCTGACAAGGTGTTAGAAAACACTCCTTTACTGTACCTTCTTTGTTTTTTCCCACACATTAAATTTTCAGCATGTTTTAAAAGTATCTATCAATTTGAAAGGCCATAACCTATGCCACAGTTAAGGTCAAAGAGCACAACTGTTGGAAGGCATTGTCATGGCAACCTGGCTGCCTACAGCAAGACCAATCATCTCTTTGGATCTGGATGCGGACAAATAAACCACCTGACTTGCACAAATAAATGGTCATCAACAGGAATATCATATCATATTGAAGGAAGGATAAACAGTGAGACCTGCCCATCCTTGTATGACATGACACATGTACAGTGTAATGTACAGTACATGTACATTACAAAATGTACATGTACTACAAACAATGACATCTCTTGTTCAGAAGATTACGTGTTTGGTAGGAATGTGAATGGGCATCCATAGGCTTGTACATATTCCTAACAATGTCTGCACTACATGTACATGTATGTAGATGTGGGCCATGATGGCACACACTTCACTGAATTCGGAATATGAAATTTCTTTTTTTGTTGTTCTGGTTGACTGGGCATTTTGTTGTCTTTATTAAGCTCATCTGGTGAATTTAGTACTGATGAGGATCAGTACTGATGAGGATCAATCCTTTGCCAGACTGTCTCTTTTGTAAACTTGCCCTTTTGGATCTTGTGACAGTGTTCTTTCAACATGTAACTTTTGTATGGGGTCAAATGAAAGTTCTCAAGTGAAGAAAGAATGGGTTTGCATAAAACAAATGCAAACAGGTGTAAAATTGCAGTGGTTCTCAAATAATGTTCCAAAACTGACCTAGAAGGGTCAAGGGAATAATACAGTACTGTTAAGATAAAGCCTGCAAGTAAAATGTGGACAATACAGCAACATACATGTACCAGTACATGTACATATATGTATTCACAATTACATCTGAATGAATGTCATTAAACGGTTAAAGCCAATTAAAGTGGCTGTTAAACATTCTCAGCTTGGAGTCATCTATAGGCATATACGCTGACACTTGAATTCCAGTGTTTAGTAAATAGTGACATGGGTTTCTGTAATATTTACAACAAATCTCCAAACACAAAATATGAAAACATATTGATTGCACTTTACATGTAGATCATCACATTCTTACCACAATTAGCGTGTACTTCCACCACTATGTAGTCTGGAATAGACAACATGCGCATATCAGGATGGAATTTTTCGATCAGCGTATTGATGACATCTGTTGTATTAGCTGAGCTTGAAACTCTGATACATTTGGATGTCACTTTGTCACCTTCTTCCTGGTAGAAGAAGCGCATCACACCAAAGAATTCCAAATTCTGCAAAAAAATGAACATAAATATAAGGCCTACATGTACATCTATATGGGTATGTCTTTTAGGCAGAGATAAATTCAGTAATCTTCTGTTTGCTTGAAAGAAATCTCTGGAATTTGATAACATAAGCATTCCCTAAACCAACATGTAGGTCATATTGCATACATGTACGTGTACACGTAGACACAATAAATACAGCATGCAGTTGAACTACTATGTCAGCTATTTATCAACCTGTAATATCTCTTTAAGTTTAACAACAAAACAAAGTGAATTTGTGTTTTGAAGCCAATACTGCAGCTTAAGCTTAATCCATGTCAAGTTTTGTAGACTTGAAATGGATTGGGGACAAACATTACAAAGTAGCTCTGAGACCTTCTTTACATAAAGAATACCTGACAGACAGACAGACAGACAGACAGACAGACAGACAGACAGACAGACAGACAGACAGACAGACAGACAGAAGGCTCCTGCTGAAATGTCTACAGGTTAGAAATACATCCAAAGTTTAATTCTGAATGTCTAAAACACAGCCCATTGCTCACATTGATATCAGTGTGGAATAATTTGGACCAATCTGTACAACTGGCACAGTCACTTGGCATGTTTAAACATTCTCTAAAATCAGCTCTTCAACAGTTTTAATGTTATTTTTACTTTTCAGATATAATTTTCAGTTATATTTCATTTTCATTTTTTTAATTCATTTTAAAATTTATTTAATGTATATGTCAGGGCCTTATGGGAGACCACCTTATGGTGAATAGATTACCCTGGATAAACATCAGAAATAAAATAAATAAAAAAAAAAAGCATTAACTTTAAGCTGTTGTACATTTGTACATTGAAAAAATTAACATCTCATGTTTATGTATGAATTATTTGGCACAGCTTCCTGTGCTTTTGTCGTACCGGTACACGTATATGGCATGGATTTCAATTCCATTGACTGCATTCAGTCATAAATGTCATTATGTGGATTTACACATTTACAAATCACACCAAGGTCCCCGCATATACATGTTCCCCCAGAAGTGGGGTCCGATGTCTGGCCCACATGGTGGGAGCGAGGCCGACATTTGTATGTGTACTGTATGTGCATATTACAAAATGTTCATGTACAGTCATTTGCAAAAGTTTTGGACCGCCCATACAAAATGTATTAACCTGAAGAAAAACCAAACTTAAACCAATCAATCATTGCAACTTCTGTTTATTTTCAATGTGCAACCTTAGTATCTCGGTTAAGTAGCTACAGGTATTTGACAACATTTCCATGATTTGAAATGTTAACAGTCTAATTATTTCGTGTGCCCTCCTTTATTTCTGATTGCTTAGACTGGCTTTTTATACCCGTGCTGCCTTACAGGCAAAATGTCATACATGTACTGTACAAGATCTGCTTTTGCCAAAAAATTCATTCAAATGGGTATACAACACTACACTGTTACATTAAGTACTCATTCGATGAGACAATATAATGCAGGACCAGTGACAGAAATACCAATAAGATTCCAGGATGTCTTCAACTTTCGCAAATGACTGCACATGTAGCTACTGTATTCCCTACAGCAAATTTTGAAAGGTGGGCTTATTTTGGGCTAAACACCGTGACATTTAAACTCCATTACTGATGTCTGCATGACTAAAAGTTGTGTTTTACTTCAATGATCTAGGCCAATAAATCCACTTAGACCAAACTCATGACTATTTTAAAATAAATTGGCATTCATATTTTCAGCATTTGCAACATTACTCTTTCAAACTTTCCTCAATTTATGTCCAAGTACAGGTACAGGGTATGGTTCAAATTTCCTGATGGCACATTCTTCACATTTGAAAATGGGAAAAGATGATCCCAAGTATTTACCGGTGTGTACATGTACTGTACAGTTGTACATGTAAGCACAGTGTACACATGTAATAGTGAGTGTGTTGTATCTTCAGACTGAATTTGTTAAAATTCCACAAAAAAACAATTTTAATTTCAACAGATATGTCATATCTGCTCAAACATGTTTGTAAAACCTGATGTTCTGAAATACAGCAATGTGAATCCAACAACTGAAGGACAGGAAATTGATGGAATCAATAACTTCCTTTAATACTTCCTGAAAGCACTCGCTTTCCAACAAAAAGAAATTGACAAGAAGTTCATTATCTATAGACCTTCCTTAATGTGTAAATGTATATTACTATGCAAAATGAGAAATGTACATGTAGCTCATTGAAAAATCTTAAACAGGCAGGGATATGCATGCCTACCATGCCTACAGATATTAACGATTATTTACATTCATTAAATTATATCATTTATTTACAATTACATGTCCATGTACATGTACATTGTACATCACATATTTACAGTTTCATTGTGTATGGTTCTCTGCACTTAATTACAAGATGCTACTGTTTATCTGGGCTCAGGACAAGAAACTTTATGAGTTGTAAATGTACCACAAAATACATGTATGTACATGTAATTTTTCATGTAGTATTCGGCACGATCAGCTGATCTGCAAGATCGTCCAATTGTTGTGTGGCATCTGCACTCTTGGTCAACAGAAACCGCAAACTCTACTTCCCTGTTATCTTTCACAATGTACATTCTTCTGGAGCAACAAGTCTCACACGTCGCAAAGTCATACTCATTTGAACAACAAAGATGTAGCACAAAACATTTGACATTTAGTTTCAAAGGCCTACATACAAACATGTACATGACGTCTGCGTATGCCTAAAAAAGTAAAATCAAAGCTTTATTTGGCAGGTAACAATACTGCTTGAATTCTACAGCAATCACGCCTACTCCGAGTCATAAATACCGGTCAGAGTATTTCTCATGGTCAGGCTTAGATCAGTTTATAGGCCTACGGTCTGAAAGATGTAGTTTAGGATTTTTTTACCTCATCTGGTTCACTTATTTCAAACAGATCTAACCGACTGGCATTCCACAAATCGATATCACGCTTCAGACGGAGTCTGTCCTCTTGCCTTCCCCGCCGAAACATCTTGGTTCAGGTAGCAGGGATTCTCTATTCTTCTGCTGACGAAAATATCATTCCATTTACCCAAAAATTTTTGATTCCAACGAGTAAAAACCGCAACGTTTACTAGTGTAGTGAGACGCAAAAAGTCTACAACGAGCAACTCGTCAGTAGTTTAAACCACTATCAACTGCGCATGCGCTTAACACATCATTTGAATGGAATGCTATTTTAGAGTAGTCTGGTACTCACACGGAATTGTGGATTAGCCTTATTGGTGTATACCAGAAGCGGGTTGGGTATGGCGCTAGTAGGTGTGGGTGTCTTTTTATATCCACTTGTTTCTGGTTACTCAGTGTTTTGACATGAGTCGCCCTACTGTATGTGGGCCATTGACATGAATCACAATACGCCCTGAACTTGAAGGAATTTATGGAATTGAAGGCGGTAATGAGAATGAAATGGCTGTATCAGTTGAGGCTCCGTAGTTGAGTGGTGTGCTTTCAGTCATTCCCTGTGAAACCATGACGCATAAATTAAAAAGGTGAGGAAATTGTTCACCTGTGCCCACAATTTGGATAGGCACTTCCGGGATGGGTCCCGGGATCTCTCATTCACAAAAATCATTCTTTAATTGAAATGATGAAAACCTGAGGGGAACAGGACAGTTCTCAGTAAAACCGAATTTGGTTGGGTGTGCGTGCATAAGGTGTGATGATTATCATCAAAGTTATTTTGACAATTTCTCTTCAATTTGTTTTGGCAAACTTAATTCAGGGAAAGTTATATGTATACACCTTTTTATCTCACACACCAGCGTATTAGCTGCGATCAACGTCAGACATGCACGTTGAAACACTTTTCATCATGTTGGTGGCGCTGTTACACTTTCCTAGTGCATAACTGGGGTGCACTTATTTAGTGGCGGTCGTAACCACTGAATTGGTTCGGTTGTAATTCGTCAGAGGTTTTCTTTGCAAATTTGAATAGGGTGATTATGAAATATGCAAATCCTGCAAGATATTAACATAAGAGAAACAAGAGAACCAAATCTTGATTATGACCGCGCACCCCTGTCAAGGCATAACCCGGCTTGTGGTGGGGCATTTATATGTGACCTGTCACCTGAATGAGCTGAAAGTCGGAATTTTCAAAACTGAGATATTGGAAGTTCTGAATTCAGCAGAAAGATTGCTTTCCGATGGTACGTACATGGAACACTTCGAGCAAAGGTATTAGATGGCAATGTGACATTATTCTGGCAGCTTTGGGTCTTTGTCTCCGACATTGTTTGAAAATCTTTGACTGGGCACGAATAATTGTATTGTGGCGTGACAGAGGGCGCAAGTCACTAGGCGCGGTGCAAAGATATAGATGGCGCTCTGCTCAGTAACAGAGGGGTGCAGACCACTAATTCAAGTGAGAATTTCTGGCCAGCTCATTAGCATTAAAAGTGCCCCCCCACAGTATCTTTTGAAAAAGGAGATTGTTTGGCCCCGAAAATGATGAGATTGTGTAAATCGTTGCCGGGATCAACTCCCTAGGTCTTTGAGCTTTCATATGAGAGCAGAAGGGCTAAAAATTACGGTTGAAAAATGACCCTAAGTGCCCGTGAAAGTTGAGGATTGCCACTTGGAAAATGGCTGCAATCAGACTTCGGAAAAATGGGGGTGATTTTGTTTTGTAGGAATAATTAAAAATGTGATTGTTTAACCCACAAAAAATTGAAAAGAAATAAGTGACCAAACAAGAATTTAATTTGTGTTTCAGAAATCTCAGGGATGTTGGTGTGCATGCTACTGGGCCCTGAACAGTGCTGATTATACACTGTTTTCAATATGGGGCTTGAATTAGTGGACTGGATCCAGAGGCGCAGCAGACATTAGGCGCGCATAGCTGTGTGTTAAGCAAGCGCGGCGCATAGGCTCCGCCTTGTGCGTTATGCGATAGGGCAGCGGAAGTCACTGCTTGGTCACGTGAGCACTTGCGCGGGCGTGGTCACAGCAGCGCGAAAGCTATAAAAGGCGCCACACAGGTTAAGCCCACACGTCTTGATCAAGGGCTGATCCTGAGGAGAAGGCCGAGAATCCTGTGCAAGGATTAAAGTCACCTAGCCTAGTGTGACTGTGCCTAAGTCAGAGTGGTGCGTGTGTTGTTGAGGGGCTCGGTAGGTTAAGGGGCTAATTGGTGGTGCGGTATAGTTCCTGATAGGCGCTTGCGGTCCATGCAAGGGCGGATTGCTGGCACAGCCCTGACAATAAGCCCCGTAGACTTGCCAAAGTCCCTGCTTCGGCACTGGATGCCCACAATTAATTGTGGTGTTTGCTGCTCTGGGCGCGGCGAAGTCCGGTCACGTATAATCACACAGTTTCCCGTCAATAGCGCCCTCTACTGGTGTATTGGTTGAGTGTGTTGATGAATAAGCCAGCCGCTTGTTAATTGTTGCATATAAGTCAGGAGTCCAGGCGAAGTTTATTTCAAGTCAGTTCTGTCTGGGTTACGTCATTAAGTTTCGACCGATCAGATTAGCCATCATCTCGACAAAGACCAACTTTCTTGGGGGACGGTATACTTCGGTCCCGACGGACTCGTCCCTAGCCGCTCAGGGACTACCTCCGGCGTGCCGTCCGACACGCCTCGAGGAGGAGGGCGCCCTCGCCTTCGTCGAAGGGGCGCGACGTCACACTATAACTGAGTTTGCTGAGAAAAGTAACATTGGTAAATATTTGATCCTGCAAAAATTTTGGAATTAAATAGACAGATTAATTTCCAAATACGTGTTTTACAAAACCCAACGATTAACCTCCACTTGAATATTTGACTTTGAACCCTCAAAATAGGAAAGACTGGAATGCGACTTTACGCCAGTGGTGTATCCAGCGGGGGGGGGGAGTTGCCCCCGCTATAACTTACGAGGATATTTTCAGTTTATTTTTACTTTAATATTTATTTTGCAATTGTTAATTTTAATATTTATGTCAACCATTCGCACTAAAACAGTCGGAAAACAACACCATGAAATAAAACATAGAATTTCTGGACCGTGAGTAAGGCTTTCAAGTTTGATGCTGATTGTGGCTTCGCGCCTCGCAGTAGGGCCAAAAGTTATTGTGGTGATTGGCGGAATCGCTCTCAGTTTCAGCAGACTATCCTCTATTTTTCCGGGTGTAATTATCGCTAGTATATAGGATCGTTCATCATATATAAAATGCAAAGTTTAAATGCAATTCCAAACAAAATCTGTATTAAATAAAAAATATCGACAAGCCGTTAAGAATGTCAAAACTTTCGCCCACCTGCGAGCCAAACCGCCCTCTATTGACCACCGTTTGTTCTCTTCAGCAAATCGGTGTTATGCTAAATAACGTACCCGCTTCAGAATCACTGGCGGCGGAAGTGGGGGGGAGCATTGTTTACACCCGATATTATATCTGAGTGAGAAAGAACTCCCCCGGTATGACAGCAATAGGGTTGAACTGTTGAAAATAGCATCCCTCCTTCCAGGTACGTCATCAATGATCAGCAATCAAGTAAGTACTGAAGAATATAGATCAGTGGAACAATATTACTTGTTACACCCTATCTCGACTCTTGTTGCACTGGCGCTATATAGCTATATGCGCACGCACATATGGCATACATGTACAGTACATGTACATCATATGCTGCAGTACAACTTATTACAAGCACCACTAATTCCCGATGAAACATGGCCTTACATTCAAGTTTCCGCGCACGATTACCGTGCCTGTTACAAAGATATCTTCCGAGCAAAAGTGAGTCCAATGCACCTTTGTACAAAACTATGCTGGCACGATAATCTGCAGTGCCAGGCGGATATAGATGCGGACGGGCATGATTTGCGCCGTCTTCATGCAAATGTGCATGTCGGCCTGTGCTATGTCATTGTGTATGCTGGGGTTGTGGCGCAGAATCGATGCCACATGGACGTGTGCTTCGTAGGTTGGTGGGATGGGGGAAGGAGATGGGGGCCAGGGAGGGAAATGTTCCTCCAGCTTTTCAAGCGTGAGGGTTACCTTAAATTGGTACAGAACTCGGAAAAAGTTCAATATACAGACAACACTAATTTTCCCTTAAAATGTTGTAACAGACGTGAGACATTAGAAAGTGTTAACATATCCTAAAAAGTGAAATTTAGCCGGGAAAATTCCCCAAAATTTACCGAGAAAACACATTTTTTCAAGTAAGATTCATAGGTTTGTGCACAGAGGATATCGGGTGTTGTCCGTATCCTGCATGGAACTCTTTCCCAGAACTCTTGCATTGAGTTTTCAGTAGTACTAGTTCAGTTTACTTTATTTTACACATAATATATATTACACTACTGAAACAGTTTCATAAAGTGTATATATGTCTTGGCAAAGACATGGGAATGTTTGCTTGAGAAGTTGAGCGCTTACTCAATTTGCAAAGCAAACAGCTAATTTAAGTACACTGTAAGGCTAGGTGTGAAATGACATGCTACTTATTCATTTACATGTGAAGCAACTTTAGATTACTGCAGAAGTCACATTCTGTTTTCACAGATTTCAAATGCCCAGTATCAACCACGGGAGATACAATTACTGTAGCTGAAACAACAGCTGACAAACGGGAAAAGCATGTACATGATCAGGATGGGGGATCCTATGGACAAACAAGAGAACAATTCATTAGTCCAGAATTGCTTCCACCAATGGGGACAAGATCCAAACTCAAGGACTACTTGGAGAGAAAGGATTGCTTTACTAGGCGTAAGGTCATCAGCATCCCAGAGTTCTATGTTGGTAAGTCAAAATGGGACAGCGAGAACCATCTGTCAAATATGGAATGTGGCACATGTATTACATTCCAGATGACAGTGCCAACGACAGCACAGAGATGTACAGAAACTGGACTTGTAAAAACGTTGCATAATGAATTCAGTTTTGAAAACTGCAAATGTGATGAAAAGAAAAAACATACAAAAGTAGAAAGTGCACGCCACCAATTGAGAATACTTGTCTATAAATAATTAGTTCAGTTCCACATGCAGATTTGTCTTAATTTATTTGCAGGTAGTATTATGGCTGTCATAGTGGCAGATCCCCACGCTAAGGGTAAGAGCAGTCGTTTTGTAGGTATTTGTACAAGAAGAGGAGGTTATGGACTCGGTGCAACATTTGTCCTCAGAAATATCATCAATGATCAAGGTGAGGATATCAGAAATGAAGGACTGAAAGTGAGTGGGATATGTGCTCATATAAAGTACCGAAGTGAATACATCACGTGCACAATTAGTGTGTAGAAGGCATGAGTGCGTGAATCAGCACGTAAACCAACACGCGCGCGTACTCCATTCATTTGCAATGCACTTTCTGGTTCACAGTGACGTCACACTTCGGTACTCTATTAAGAAGGCTGTGTGAATTACATTAAGGGAAATGAATGTGCCAATCTGTTTTCATAATGGAGTTGTTTGTCCTGCCAAGTTGGCAGTTGTTACACCAAGGCAACATCATCTTTGGAAGGTAGTAGAAATGGTTTGATTACTTTTTAAATGAACTTTAATAACAGCAATCACTTTATCAAGCAATAATTTTAATGTGTAATAATTGTTTTTGTGATCAGGAGTTGACATCTGTTATGAGTTGTACAGTCCACTCATCCAAAAGATTGAAGTATTGAAGCTAGAGAAGAGGTTGGACTCAGACTTGAAATATCTTCAGGATGCATTGCCAGAGTATTCTACCATTGATCCCAACATGGTTCCCATCAAACATCCACCAGGCAAACCAGTCCCAGTTAATCCTATCAAGGTAGGCTGCCCTGATAGACTTCTAGATTGTACAAATAAAAATATAGGATTTATGTTTAAGTTTGAGCCTGACACAGAAATCATGAACAGATGTGCAGTGCTCAAGGGTGTCAAGAAAATGTAGAAATGAGGGAGTGGCAGCAGTTACATGTTCATGTACGTCAGTGGTTATTACCAGTTACTATTACATGCAAGACAGTCACTGTCCAGCTACAACAGTGCTTTGTTGGGGGAATTCACTGAAATTATTGTGTATGAAGCAAGGTTAAGATTAAAGGAATATAAAATCTCCATAAAATAGTCACCAGAGGTTTTGCTGGCGTCCAAAGCAGTGTACAGTCTGTGGTATACATTGTGTTTGCTTCAAGATGCTCCTTAAAATACCCATTTCTTGTGTTATGTATCATTTTTTATGAAAAAAAAATCTTAATGGTAAACTCAGGACTTTAAGATGTTAAAAGAGATTGTATAGAAAATCCTGAAATCAGGAAAAATTCTGATAAATCTCACCCTCGATGAAGCCTTACATGTATACATGTGTAAACTTAGGCCAAAATGATAAATCTCCAGTTTCTGGTCAGGAGCTGGATTCAAAAGTGGTGCAGTGACGCTGATTTTTTTTTAACCCGCACTTTTTTTGGGGGAAATGATGTACGTGTAATGCTTTTAATTTGGTTTCTTTTGCACAGGTTCAGATGAAGCCCAAGCCTTGGTACAAACGCTGGGAGAGAGAAGAATTGCAAGGAGTTGACTTCTCAATACTCAGTGAAGAGAAATTGGAACATGCTAAGAAGTGGTGGTTACCAATATATAAACGCATGGATCTCCTCCAACACTGGAAGCTACCTGATGAAGTCCAAAAGGGCATCAAGAAAGAAGTAGAGCAACATGAAATTACACTTGGCTATGATAAAACTAAAAGATAGTTTGACCTTTGGTACAGGTCTTTCAAGAAGTGTTGGACAATCAGAAAAAGGCCACCTAGGTCATGTAAGATGCTTTGCGTGATATGGAGTATTGCTGCACTTTCGGCTTTGACAGCACACCAAATAAAGTAATACTGTCCAGGAAGAGAATGTGGTAATTTCCACGTGTAAGCAGGTCTTACAGTGCATCACTACTCTTGTGGTAGTTTTATTTGTTGCATTTCCTGCTTGGATTATTACGTTGTCACTGCAGACCAATTACAGTTCAAAATGAAATGTTACAGGAGTACATTTTTTGTACCCATGTAAATTTTGAAACTGTCAACAATGCTTGGTCAGAAAGTCAAGTATATAAAAAAAGCCTAAAACTACTCTTCCCATTTCTGTCTTGCTTTGTGTAACCTTTTATCAAATTAATCTTCTGAAAAGTGTCAAGCTGCTATTTATTTTTAGTGAACTTTTCACTGATTTATTTACAAATGCAAATGGGGCTTTTTAAATTTCACAATAAAATATCCACTTGTCTCATTCAGAGTGGTATCAAACAGTTATAAACATTTTTATTGGCAGACTGTGAATAAATTTCAGAATGTCAGCGCCAAGTCATTTTCTTCAAGTTACATATTTAGAAAAAATTTCAATGTATTATTAAAGGCACTACACACACCCGTATTTACTGTATGTGGTACAGACTGGACTTGGCTGTTTTGGAGTCAAAATCATTCAGAGTACATATAATTTCTTCACTTAAAATGTATGTTTGGTAACAAAGACTCCAACGTTGTGAAGTTGCATCGACCATTCAAAAATATGACAAGATATTTATCAGAAAAATTTTATTTCCATAAAAAAGATAAACTACATGTAATACATTTTATATTATTCAGCTTGATTTCCGTTTTAATATTCACAATGGTATTTTACATGCTTAATACACCATGCATGATGATACTCAACTATATAAGTCAACTCATATTACTTGTTTGAATATTACAAATTTTCCTAAAATTTAGTGGTATTTGAGGTCCCTGGAGCCTGCCCCAACACCTTTTTGGTCCACATCTGCAACTGACCAAACTTTAGCAAAGTTGAATGATTTGGAAGATTTTAGAAAAACAATGAAAAAGAGAGTAGCAAATAAGCAGATTTTCATGGATTGATAGGAAGCAGCAATCATTTAAGAATCTACAGCCCAGATCTGTCTATCGGCCTTTGGCTCAAAAAACGAAAACGGTGATCATTTTGAAGTTAAGAAACTTTGTGTTTTCTCCTGTATATGTCAAATTTAATATTTAAAAGTACTCCAGTGCATCATTTTCACTCTTTGAATCTTGGCAACTGTGGAATGTGATGTCTCCCTGGAACGTCTTATGCAGCCTAACATGCACAAACTTGCCATCACCAGTATCGATCTGTAGAAAAAAAGATCATACAAGGAGTTTATCTTGATGCTCAACAGGTAATTAACATTAACCTAAATCATTCGGTCCTCTTTTTGTGACCTGCATTATCATAGTAGGAGGTCGTGGGTTTGAGTCCCACCCGAGTAAGCTTGTGAGGTTTTTTCGCAAGCTCTCAGACAAGCACTGAGCATACAGTGTTTATTAATATACGTTGGGTAAGGGCAACCCCGTTATATATAATTAACAATCTCCCCAATGCAAAAATACATCTTGAAAACATAGTAATGGTGGTGTGATGTCGGTCTCATGCATTACAATGTACATTCATACAGGTCATATGAATAACAACAATTAACATTGATTTCAAGGCTAAATCCCCCACGTTGAAATACATGTAGCTTTGTCATTGTCTGAAATGCACCGTAGATGTATGACTCATGGAATCCTACCACAAAACAATTTCATCTGTACCTTAACAAAATAGTTGATACCATTTACAAGCTGGGTGGTGTAGAGCTTTGCTTCATATCTGTCCAGTTTTCTGCCAACAGCCTCCTCCACTTTGGATTTCACCTACAGGTACGTAGAATAACAATTTGAGAACAAATTTAACAATTCATTCAAACAGGATTGATCAGATAAATCAAATCATGACCCCCTCCAACGGCAGTGTAAGCGAAAATGCAGAAAGGGGCGGAGTTACATAAGTTCACGACATTATGTACCTGATCAGCATACCCCTGAACTTCGTCATCTGCTTTCCGTGGTTCGTTCATTCCACCGACCTTGCGCTGGCTTGCCATACTGATGTGAATTTAGTGAAACTGATTCGATGTGCAAATTTAATATATTAAAGATGGGAAGCGATATTCACTAAATCAGGTAGAACATGTGAAATTGGTAAAGATTGCGTGCACCCACACGTACAGTACGTAGGCCTACGATCACGGGACATGGTGCACATGGCACAGTGAGTAAACATTTGTAAGATTGGTACCCTAATACAATACAGTTCAAACCAGCATGAGTTCGATAAGTCCATTTTGGAACCTGCCTACCATAAAAGATAAACTTGCCTAACAGTCCTGCTATAGGTAAATTTCGAGTAACAGTTGGAAATGGATTCTGTAAAAACAGCGGCGTATCCAGCTTTTTTTTTGGGGGGGGGTAAAGTGAATGCGGCTTCGGGCTTATTCAACACAATATTAAGGGTTTTGGTGCTTTTATTTGATAAATAAATAAAATTATATGTGACAAAAAATCCGTCAAGGGGCAATTCGCTTCCCCTGCCCTTACTGGAAATACCACTGACCACAAGCGCAATTTTACACTTGAACCTGAAATAAAAGGAATTATCAACTTATTTTGGGTTATTTAGTTACAAATATTCGCTCTTTGCACGCTGCTGCCGCACGCGTATGCATGCAGAGCCTCGATCTAGCAGCTTTAAGACTCCTAAATTTACATACCCGGTACGTTTTTGGGTGCGTTCACTGCGTTGCGTAAACGATGCGTTAATACGTTTCACTTTTACAGACACAAAAGTCAACCTTGTCGATTCCCGCGTATGTTGCTTATGCAATTTTGCGCCTGCTGCGTTAGTTCTTATCATGCGATTATCGGTCAAAGCCGATTTCTGACGCGACCGTATAAGCTGCCAGTTCGAGGTTCTGCATATCCCTATGGCTCCGGGCAGCGTGCAAAAAGCGAATTTATTATAAGCACAAACTTCTTCACTATGGAATTACCGGTTCACTGCATACTTGGGTTGGCAACTTTCTCAGTGGTCGTACTCAAAAAGTAGCTTAATCATTGAAGGACAGGCTTAATTGAGTCCATACCAGTTACCTCTGGAGTTCCCCTCCGAGCTTTATTCCTTGGACCGTTGCTTTTTTGATAATAATCTCCCAATGAACTTGTCATCCAGCGCCCGTCTTTTTGCAGATGATTGCCTCATCTACAATGCTGATAAGCTCCAACTTCAACAGAATCTTCATAAATTAGAATTATGACAATCAAAGTGGCTGATGAAATTCGATCCTAACACTCACAGTGTACCACTTTGTCTGTAGGGTTGAGGCAATGTACTAAACCTAGCTACCAATTGTGGTCAGGTCCTACAGAATGTGGGCTCCCCAAAAGTCTTGGTGTCACTATTACTAGTAACGTGACCTGGAGAGGACAAATTTCAGAAGTGGTTAAGAAATCTCAAAATATATTAGGATTAATCAAACGGCACTTGTGGTTCTGTAGTACTAATGTAAAAGAAACTGCCTACAAGACATTGGTCTGTCCTGTCCATGAATATGCTTCAACATCTTGGGATCCTCATTTGAAGTCAGACATTCATCACATAGAACAAGTTCAAAAACTGGCTGTAACATTCTTCTACGAAAATTATAGCACGTCACCAGGGACAGTTACATCGCTTCTCTCAAATGATTGGTGGCTTACCCTAGAGCAATGAAGAAAATCGGTCGATAGTCATACTCAATAAGATTCTGAATAGCATTGTCGATGCACCAGCAGAAGGTTTTGTCACTACAAACACACGACCATCTCGGGGACACAAATATAAATTAACCCAACTACATATATATGCCTGAACCAGTGCCTTCAGCAACAGCTTCTTTCCACGGACAATCTGGGATTGGAATAATCTCCCATCTAAGATTGTTGAATCTGGTAAAACATCACATGCAACTTTTAGAGCTGAACTTTTTAAGTTGTTCGGTGCTTGTAAGTAAGCTACCGAAGACATGTCTAGCTCCACGCCACAAACTAACCCTCAGGTTGGTGTGATGTTTCCTGATGAAGGCTTTGTCAACTATACGATTCAGATTCAGAAACCATTTCAAACTAGAACTTAAAGAAAATGTTAGTCTGGGAAATAAAACTCCATTTAGGATCCCGTCTCGATGTCTGCATAGTGGCAGCATAACGCTTGAACCATAGAATCGGACTTTTTTCAAACGTCTGATTAATCGATGGTTGTAAGTTGATACATGTAACAGAATATCTCTTGGTCCCAAAGCCAGATAGGCATTCTTCCACAGCTCTTCACCCCCCCCCAGCACTCGGCTCCTACATACAGCGCATAGCTCCATGGTTCGACCAAAGAGGTTGTAAGTTAGGACAGTAAACCAGTCTATGTGTGCATCTTACATATTGCACTAGCACACGAAATGTATGCCCACAGTCATGACACTGCGCGCAGAGCTACAGCGAGTCTACACGTATATATAAACGTTGCGTGATGCGTAAATCATGTTTCACTTGGAAACAAACGATCTGAGCGACCTAGTTTTGGCTGCCATTCCACGACTTCACTGATCGAGGTGTTGGAGAAACGGCGGAAGAAGATTTTCCTCGTCAACGGGTTTGTAGATTGAAATCCTTTTATGGAGATTTGATAGACGTACATGTAATTCACTACACGTTGGTGGGATTTTTGAGTTGTGCCAAAGAGCAAACATCCGGGACGTAGGCGTCACTTTGTACACTCTTTCATTATTGTAGGTATTGTACTCCTTACCTGTACGCGATTCCTTTGTGGATGACTATTGTCCCGATTACCTACCATGGCCATGCAGTTGTCATGGTTGTAGCATGGTTCACGGTCCTTATGGCTGTGGTTAACTTCCTACACTCTTGCTACTTTATACTTGTTCCATGGAGCTATGTATGGAGGAATTCCTCCCACACTTGTGCAGCATGTATCATGATGAGATATTGATTATCAACCCAATCTCTGTTTATTAACTGAATTTGTAGTTTCTGTGTTTGGATTTATGATTTAAACTTTTGAAGTGTTAAGTAAACGAGATGGGTTTGCGGTAGCACCATGGATATATCTCTTTTTGAAGTATGTGGTGTTCTGAAAAGAACCGGTTTTACTCAGCATTTTTTAAAGTGTTTTCCGAAAAACGTTCACAAAAAAAATCTTTTACTGCTCATGCTTTTGTCCTTGATCCCAAGACACATGTACCTAGCAGTTACTTCTGGAAATCGAAAGACACCTTTGTGGGTGCCTTTTGAATTGCAGAAGTACCATTGTCTCAGTTTCCAAATATGGTGTTGGGGCTGACGATGCGGATTGCAGTATCTTTGCACCAAAACGGTGCTGTCTACCATATAAATTATTTAATGCTAGGTTACCACTCACCAGTCCATAATGACTACCATTCTTGCAGTTGAACATCCAGATACTTTGTTGTACAAGGTACATGTACATGTACTTCATACTTTTCATAGCTTTCACTACCATGCAAGAATGTGGCTAGAAGGAACATATTTCCCTTTTGCCCGGTGGTAGACATGTGTTACTTGGGTTGCCGAGATGTTATACCAACAGTGAGAATGATCAACCATTCATTTTATAATTTTATAGCTGTTGTACAAATGGTAATGCTGATTTCAAGAAACCGAGGGAAAGTGCGAGTATTGGAGGCAGACATGACAACATATCCACTCCATAAAAAAAATCAGAAGTTAGAATTGCTTTTCACATCAGAATCGTGTAGCATGTACTTTTTGTGATGACCATGGAGCTGTGTTGTCCATAGGGTAGCTGACAACTGGCATGCTATCAAGTTACAAAATGGTGGTGGCATAGTATTGGTCTTTCTGTTCATTGCCACACTTGTACAATGTGTACCTAGTTGTTAAGTCCTATCTTGTTTGCTACATGTATGTATTCAGAGGTTTGATTAATGCAGTCTGGCATTCATTTTGATTGTTAATGATGCCTGTAAAATGTAATCTGATTTTGGGAACACTTTAGGTCATGTTCGGTCGTGTCAGGATTACAATGAATTCATCACTGAAACTTTGTGCCACCCATTTACATTGTACACAGTTTGTTGTGTTTAAAGTTTTTAAAAACACTGTGGTAAGGTTGAGGTCTTTACGCATTTAAACATTTAAACGATATTGGCAAGTTTCTAAACATTTTTCAAATTTAACATAAATTCCCATCCTCAGTATACATGTACATTGCTTGCAGTGCTATGGTCACTTGGTCCTTGTGATTACATACATGTAACACAATGATTGATCTTTCTTTTCTTACTTCCAGATGTTGATGAAGATGAAATGCTTCTGTGAACCAGTATCTCAAAACTGTCTTCCTGAACAATGAACGTTTTTATCACCTGATACTTGCTGATTGCTGAGTCTTTGCCACTTTATTGTAACTCCAAAATGAAGCGAAAAGTGCCTTCATTGAATGAACTTCATGAACGTCAACATTCCCATGGCAATAGAAGTAGAAGACCAGTACAGAGAGATAGCTCAGAGACAAATGTATCACCATCAGAAGTATCAAGGAGGAGAGATCGAGACTTGCCAGTTCTGGTCACCTCCTTTTCCTCTTCTTCAGAATCTTCAGATTCTGGTTTTTCGGATCTCAGTCCATCAACATTTATCCTGGAAAGACCAGGATATTCCCAGGAGCAACCGAGTGTCAGTAACACATCTGGCTTTGCAAGTGTTCCATCAGTTTCACCGGTCACATCAGCAGTACCTCAGTATCTAAATTCATCTACAACAAGTTCATCACATTCCCCGCTAACAGCCCAACTAGGAGCTGCCATATCAAGGTCACTATCGCAGCCATCTCAGGAGGCTCTTCTATCTCAGTCTTTGTTGACACCCATCCAGGATCCAACATCAGCAAGTTTGATAACTACACCAAGTTTGTCTTCATTGCAACAGACTGCTCAAACTGTAGCCTCTACCCTCTTGCAACCTTCAGAATTATCAGGTTCCATTGGTACAACGACAACAGCACCAAGCACCCAGCGAGTAAACCGCAGCCATCCTCTAACATTGAAGAGAGCTGGGCCTTATCTGTTGGGACCACGTTTAGGCACCTCTCCTGTCAGGAGCATCGTTCATTGTCTGGCTCGTAAAGAAGGCACAGACAATTTTTACTCAATGAAGGTACATGCATATGTGTTGTGGAATTTATTTATCAATTCAAATGCTGGTTTTGGCAGCCAATCTAAGTTGAATCTTTCTCTTGACAGAAATGTCTTTTAAAAAATGTCTTCATTTTTTTTTGCAGATCTGACTCTACACTAACATACAGTATGTTGCTTTATCCATGCAGTTATTGACCCTATCTGAACAAGGCAAAGAGAGCAATGATGAGAGGCAAGGAAAGATGTTGCTTCACACTGAATATTCTCTGCTGTCATTATTACATAACCAAGAGGGTGTTGTTCATCATCATGGGCTCTTTCAAGTAAGCAACATACATGTAGCTTGTCAAATGAATGCTTTGATCTTTAAGGCCTCTAGGAACTGCATCAAGGGTCTCTCGTTGTTTCTTTTGCAAGTTTTGAAATCTCACAGCCTTGTTTTAATTTTATATACATATATGTTGCGGGAGGTGTGGTTGCAAATGTGAAATTAGTACTGACTGATAAAGAGACTGTGCTGGTTGTGGCTTTGCATTGGTCATATGAACAGCGGTTAAAGATGGTAACTTTTTCAGTTGAATGCATGCAGTTCAGCCTGATTTCCAGGGCATTGGCCAATTAACATCCTGCTAAATTGAACACTTGGCAACTTTCAACAGCGTGTTCGTTGTTTCCAGGCCAAATTGGGACAACAAAAGCCTACTTCAATACATGTACTAGTGACTTGAGATGTACACAGGTAGTTCTGAGTTCATCAAGATACTGCTGAGTTTGTTAGATGTGTTAATGCCTAAACATTTCATAGATTAGAGTGGAGGCATTGTACAGACTTTTGCAAAATTATGTAAGATAGTTTCACATGATATTGAATTCCTGTGTCCCATTTTGTATTTAGGACCGAGCCTATGAATTAAAGCAAGACCACCCTCGAAGTAGCAAAGGACAAAGGCCAGCTCCAACAGGCAGATACAAGAAACGTCTCTGCTTAGTTTTAGACTGCCTTGCAGCTCATGAGTTCAGTAATAAGACAAGTGATTTGATGAATCTCCAGCATTATGTTATACAGGAGAAGAAACTGAGCGAGAAAGAAGCAATTATCATGTTTTCTGATGTGGTGCGTATAGTTGAGAGCTTACATAAGGTATGTACTTCAGCTTACCTTTCCTACATACTGTTTAGTTGCTTGCGAGTAAGCCAGCAATGTTAGTGTGGACTCATAGGATGGAGTTAAGGATACACATGTCTAAGCAAAGACTCTGAAATGGAGAGCCCATTTTTTTGCATGAGTGTTTTGTTTCATGAGTACTTTGATTATTTAGTGGATGGTGGTAACGAAATTAATGTACACTGACTGCTGCATCAAATACCTACACTATACATTAGGTTCTTCAACTGCCATAGCAGTAACCGTGCCTGTAGGTTTTAGGAAACAACACAGATAATGGAAAGTGGGAAATGTCTTCTTTAAGTTATATGACTGTTCAATTAAACGTTGTCTCTTTCTTTTTGGAGGGATACACATGGATGTTTTTTCTCCTTTATCTACATGTATGTTTGCTTTGTCATGATTGTTTTTCCTTTGATCAAGTTCGTAAACACAGGTATGGCTGTGAAACTAAATTTGTTGACATGACAGAAAATTTTGGGAACATGTGTCTTTTGGGCTTTTTGGCTACCTGACCTTGGTTCAACTTAGCTAGAAACTGGCAAAACAGGAAAGCCTTAAATTGTAGCCAGTATGGGATGCATTATCTAATGACTCAAACATTACATGCTGATTTAGTTGCTATGAATAGAGTTGTTGTGTCAGAGCCTTAGGCAAGCTGGTGGAGACACAGTGAGGTCAAACAGTTCATGGAGAAAGTACAGTGCCCAGGTAGGGGCTTCCAATCAACTTTACTTTGCAGACCTTTTAGAAGGGAAGAAAAACACAGAGACATAGACACCACAGAAAATGAGGATCTTTAGTAATGGCCCAAGTGCTCTTTTTTTTTACTCAATTTCTGTCCTCTCTAGTTCTTAACCTTTCTATGGATTGTCTTTCAGGACGGTGGTCTTTGTATGCACATAAATAACCTGTCCTCTGAAACTGATTTAATGACAAAAGTGCCTTTAAATTATGGAAAGTAAGATTAAAGTGTTGTATGTAAGTTGTTTTGTTTTGGGGTCAAAGGGTCAATGCTTGAAGTTAACTGATGAAAAACAAAATTTCTTGATTACATTTTTAAAGATGTTTTTCAAAGGTAAGAGTGTAATTGGAAAAGTGTAAATTGTGAAAGTGTAATATTAAATCAGGATTTACAAGTTCCAAGGTTAAAGTCATAATCACCTGATAATGATTGGAAATACATATGTGTGGAGATTAAAATCTTTTGAAAGATTTTAGATCTTGGAAGTAAAACCTACCCATCCCAATATCTCCTTCAGCTGTCTGTTAATTGCCTATGGAGGTTTAATGCACTTGTTCTGTAGTAAACACATGTACATGTAGTTAGAAGATGGTAGGCGCCATTAACTGATTTTGTTATTATGAAAAGCTGAGGAGAAGTCAGATCTAACAGACAGGAGGAACGACACTTTCAGCATGGGAACAACCACCTTAGAGTCACACACTATATCTATCCCTCTAGGCTTTATTATTACAGTCAGCTGCTGCTATATGTAGTCATCCTTGTTTGTTATATAGGAAGTCGCGGTTTGGTGCCAGCCATCACAGGATATTAGATTGAGGTCTACTGAATATGTCCTAAGCTTCGTATGTGCGCAAATATTTGTCTCTTGAAGGACAAGGACTCAGGGGTTTTTCTGGGTGTAGAGATCTGTAGTAATCGTCTTGTCATTCTATTAAGCTGTCAATTTTAAGTAGGCCACCGACATGTTTAGTCATTAATTATAATAGTGTGCATGTTTTAACCTTTCTTTTGTAGGGTTCAAAACTGATCAACAGATCTGATATTTACTATACAAACATTACCTTACCAGAATGTAACCAGGAATACTAAACTTACAGTTTCACATTGGCACAAGGCTTATACTTCGACTGAATTATTCATGTTAGGACGTGAAGCCCAGGACATTGATGCCAGATTATGCTTATTTCAACACCTGCCAATCTGACACTGTTACTAAAAAAAAAGGTCAGTTTTGTGGTGCAAATGCTGAGGAGTTAAATGCTGAGTGGAAAGTGTAAACGGAAAAGTGAGTTGAAAAACTGATGGAAAATTGCGCAACAATAACACAGAAAACTCAGCAAAAAATTGAGTGAAGAATGACTACATGTACCTCATAAACTGAGATACACAGAAGTTGGATGGTGTCAGAAAGTAGAACTCATTAATGGGAAGGGTCATGTTGTTGCTCTTACACTTAAAAGACTGGATCACATTTGTCTATATTTCTCTACAGTATTACGAATTTTGAAACTTTGTTTCTTTCACAGAAAAACATTGTCCATAGGGACTTGAAGCTGGGCAATATGGTGCTGAACAAGCGTACTCGTCGTATCACAATTACTAACTTTTGTCTGGGCAAGCATTTGGTTAGTGATCGTGATTTACTTAAAGACCAAAGAGGAAGCCCTGCTTACATCAGTCCTGATGTATTGAGTGGTAAGTTACAGTGCTTGTCTTTCAATCCAGAAGGGTGTGCTTGTAACATTGAAGTCACCTTCCAAATTGTAATACAGGGTTAAAGCTAATTTGATCAGGGGTTATATCTTTGAAGGTCAGTGTTACAGGTTAGAAGTCACAGGTCATTTTTATTTGCAAAATGTTAGCTAAGTACGTGTAATTACAGGTTAGTATTAGTTTAGGGATCACAACCCCATGGATTTTAATGTTGGAATTAGATGATGGTCGTTTCATGTTTTGAAAAGGACTCAGAAGGTTGTACTTAATATGAGGGAAAGGAATTAATAATGTGCTTGACGGGTCAGACTGGATTAGGAGAATGGGTGCTGATTATGGCCCAAGCATACATTACATACCTCATTACATCTTGTAAGGTGGCTTTATAAAACATTTAAGACCAGCCAAATAATGGGCTCTCAACCAATGGGAGTAGCTAAACTGTCTAGGTATTTAGTAAGTACTACTATACAGGTCTAGCTTTTTGATGACTGCTGAATAAATTTTGTCTTTTCAGGAAAACCCTATCTTGGTAAACCCAGTGATATGTGGGCCCTTGGTGTTGTCTTGTTTACCATGCTGTATGGTCAGTTTCCATTCTATGACAGTGTTCCTCAGGAACTTTTCCGCAAGATCAAGGCTGCAGAATATCTCATTCCTAAGTAAGTTGCTGTGTCTTTTTTCTGTTTTCCAACCCATTGACTCAAAACTCCACATAGAGATTTTCCCGTGAATAATGTAAGAAACAATATCAATGTTTCAGTTACATGTCACACATTACTCAGTGGAATGTTAGGATTGAGTTGGTTTTGTCAGTATGCAACCCATGTTGGGTTTTGTGGTCTCCTTGAAACTACACTCTGATCTGAAAAGTTATTGTATTGAAAAAACAAAAACCCAGTAATTACTGCTTTTCAGGAAAGTCACAAGAGGGCGCCACATCCATCATTCATAGGAAAGCATAAAGTCGTTTGGTTTTGGGCTATGTCCCTTTAAATGTTAGAGGGTTGCAGTTCTGAAAAGTGAACTGTCACAAGTTGTAAATACATACTTGTATGTGGAGTGTAAATACATGCACGATTATTCAACCCTCACTTTGAAGATGTCATTAACCTCAGTACAGTCTTGACTGAATCCTGTCCTTCATTTATTCAGCGATAAGCATGTAACACTTGATCTTGTCTTTCAAGTAGAAATTTTCTGTCAGGTTTCACAGTACAACAGTCTATTTGCTGTTCGTAGCTTTGCCCTTAAGACAATTGACAATGTACCTATGGGCATATCCAGTTTGACTTTCAGTGTGCATGTAATACAAGCTAAGCTGATGTTTCACATTAATGCTTAAATGCAGTCACTGAAGTTATCTTGAATTTCTAAGACAACATTGCCTAAAGAAACTGATACTTCTTACATGTTCAATCTAACCATGGAAGAATATTCCCTCATGATTTAACAAAAGTTGGTTGGATGATAGACAGATACATTAAGATATTGAGTAGAGATTAATGATAGAGTTTTTAGTGACCAAGTAAAATGCATTTCTTTTCAAGTTTTGCAAATGTGGCTCTTAGAGTTTCCTGGATATTACTAGTTTCTCAATATTTTCTTTTGAAGTGATGGTAGGGTTTCAGAGAATACAATCAATCTCATCAGGAATCTGTTAGTCTTGGATCCAGCAGTTAGAATGACTGCCACTCAGGTTGCTGAGGTTTTGGATACAACCCTGGCAATGTGGTAAGAAAGACTTCAGATCTATTCCTGAACTGTAGCCAAGATTAATACAGCAAGATTCAATGTTGGGGGGGGGCAGGGGACATGTGGGTGACGGAACTGTGTAGTAATAATGGAGTATGATAAAGGCTACATGCTTGATTTAAAGAGCAAATGATAAAAGCTACATGCTTGTTTTTGTTAAATCTTTGTTCCCGTGTAAAGTCTTCACAGGACAGAATTATGACAGTTTAGTTTCTATCTCTGGTTGTTATCATCTACACTTTTCTGTTTGTTTTAAAATCAACTTTTCTTTTCTACGACCCAAACCAGTTTGTAAGTCATAATTAAGAGTGAATTTATGAAGTCCTCCGTTAATGCATGTTATGAATATTAAGGTGTTGATAAGCTAAATTGGAAATGAAATATCACACCAAATGCCACAAGTGTAAAGTAGAAAACTGAAATCTTTCATGTTTGTTTAAATGTAGGAAATCCTTAGCTTTACAAGGAGAACAGCTTCAAGTGGTTCCAGATTTGGACATAGATGGTGATGGTGGAGAGGATGTAGATGGTTCACCACCTGCCAAACGCATGAAAGAAACATCTCTACAAACGCCACCTGATTGGGAGTTTAAACTTCATACAGAACGTAGTGTTATCAGTCTGGATATGAGACTTCAGCCACCAACAAGGAGACGATTAATGCGACCACCTGTCCATAAACTCAGTCAAGATGCACGACCTTTGACACAAGCAGAGAAAATGGCTCATCGCAACCTGTTGATGTAATAGGTTTATGCTATGGTACCTTGTAGGTAGGACTTCTGTGTCATGTGGTGTTGTGATGATTACATGTTGCATAGATTTTAATTGCACTTTAGATTCTGATAATTGTAATTTCATTGTCTGAAAATGGTTATTTTCTCAAAGATGGAATAAATCAGTCACTAAATGAAGTGACTGGAACTTCAAGTAAAGAAACCGCTTTGGAGACACCCTAAAACAGACAGCTTGTAATTGATGTGTGTAAATGTGTTAAATACAGCACAAAGGTAAAGGCGTACATTTAGTTTAGAAGGGTGATACAGTAAATTGTACATTAAGTTCATTGATCTAATTTTGACCACATGAATATGAAATTAAAAGAAAGAATATCTTTTATATTACCAATCTTCAAATAGTATTACATAAGCAGGAGTGGTTTGGTAGGATAGTTAAACTGAATTAGTAGATCAGAATTGGGAACAGAGGACTGTAAATATTTATATCAGTAGGATTTTAAAAAATAATAGTTAGCAGAGATTATTTCAGCCAGAGACGTTACTACCATTACTACGTTTCTTCTGCTGGTAACTTATATTTTAAAAAAATAGTTCAGGTTGTAATTTTTGTAGATAATATCAGAAACGTTGCTGTAAAAAGTCAAAGTTGAATTCAGATGAAACTCTAAAGCATGACTGCATATAAAGGTTAGATTAATTCTAGCTTTTGAAAGCTTTTTGTACAGTCTCTTTTGCAGAAAATAAATGAGTCATGATTTCATTTTTGACATATTCAAAGGATTGAAAACCTTAGCCAAGAACTAATCAAGTTTGAACCCAGTGTATCCATATGTGGAATCAAACTCAATTAATACTCTTAATCCTTGGATATAAGTCATGCTAACTGTATTTCTATTTGAAATTCATTGAGCAAACTCAGATGCCAAAGATATTTATAAATTTGCACAAGGAGCAAATGGAGATTACTAATTTTAGAAAATACTTGGAAATTGTAATGAATTTTTTGAAGTGAGTTATTTGACCAATATGTGTATCAATTTCTTACATGTGTATAGTGTACAACATAGATTCATTAAAGACTGTGGAATATATTAAACAAAATTGGTTTGTAAATATTACAAGTCGGTAACTGAAGTTAAGTATTTTTAATGTGTGTTATATACATACTTATTCCTTGACATTGGCATCAAACTGGTCGCGGAAGTTGTCCCACATATTTGAGCTTCCAAACAAGATGAAAACATTTGCAGATATAAAGCTATGCCCGATCTGAATGTACATGTATTTCCATTATTTTGGTTAATTTTCAGGTTGCTCTTAAACCTCTGTTTAAGCAACATAAAGGGAAACTTGTTCGAACTTATTTTAAAGTGCAGTGGACTAGTAACAGCACATACATGGTTGAAAGCATGATGTTGAGTCTGTTATTCCTCCATACTGCGCTAGACATACAGCAAGAACCTACGAGTATACTTAGCTCTCATGGGTAGGCTAACATAAAGTCTACAGTTCCCATATGGACAGGATGGTAATTAACTGTGCATATAACACACAGCTTGATGGCACAGTAATGCCTCATGTGGATCGTGGCTTAATTTAAATGGGTACATTGATGCCTTTGCTTCTGTTGCCTCAGAGGCCAAAAGCTTGTAATTTCCCTGTGGTGTTGAGACTAGACATCAGGTGAATTAATGCATTCGCAGGCAGTTTTATGTTATCCATAGTCACGTCTTCAAGAATTGCCTAGTTGAAGCACAGGTAACTGCTCTTAGGAATTTGACGTACATGCACACGTAGCTAGTGCCATCTATATGAATGAAGTGATGTGAAGCCCTAGTATGCAAGTAACTACTGGTAAATGATTAAATGCGGTTAATTCACAGGGGTCTTAGTTTGAGTTGCACATGATGCATGTCAAATTGTTTACATTTTATTCTTGTGGCCCTTTACAATCGTAGATGATGTCTTTTCTTTGTGAAACAGGAAAATAATTTAAGTTGCCAATTTAAAATGGGAATTAGTGTCACTATTAGGAGATGTTGATTGTGTTTATTTACAACTGATATTACTTGCGTGTGAACTATTAACTTTAAAAGACCTTTTCAGCAACTTTTAATAATCATCACCCAAATTGTAATGACGTCTTCTTTGCCAGATATTTCTGTTTTTCATCCCTGAATTTCAGTGAGTCATTTTGGTTGTGAGTTGGCAAATGGCTTCGCTGATAGGGTAGACCTTGCACCTGCATTTTTTGTGTTCTTGAATGATGTAGGACATGGTGTATTTTGGGCATACCGTGTTTGAATATTGAACTGGCTCACTTTCATAAGTTTTAGTTATAAGTCAGTGTGATACACAGTAAGAACTTAAGAACTTTTTAAAATGCTGAAAACTTATGGAAATGCCAAACTCAAATTTAATCAATATGTTATAAGCAAAACTCACATTTTATACTACATTGCCATTTTTGAAAAGCAATGAAATAATATGCTCTTTAGGTTTATGATTTTAATTGGCTTGGTACTTTCGTATAATAATTAGGAGGATATTTTATTTTAAAAAGCTTAGAACTCTTTCTGAACAGTTTAGGTATAAAGATTTTCTGTCATTCTTTCGTAAGTTCACTGAGGTGCATCGTGGCTTTTAACTGAAATTAACTCACAGCTGTGTGTCAGTGACTTGTATACAAAATAATGGCACGTGTTTGGAGAGTAGTGGGACTGTTTTCATCAATCTTAACTGTAGAAATAATCAAACTGTAGAATTCGAATTGTAAAATATTGAAAGTTCATATGCTTTACTCTATTTGTTTTTTTTTTCTCAGGGGCAATCCTGGATATATAAGTTAGCATCAGTGATACTGTATTTTTTTAAAAAGTGGCTGAAGACTTGTATAATTATTTTTACACACTTACATGTTTGAAACAGCATTAATAAATGAATGAAGTACAAGAAGATAGGTTCCGTTTGTTGCCATGGTTATGTCATGTGATTTTATCATGGGGTAAAATTTGACTTGCCTCACAGAAGTGTCACATCAGTAACAGCCTTTGGTTGACAGAAAAAAAATCCGATAAAATCATATTGATTACAAAGATGAACAAAGAAATTGTGGACGTAACAAAATTGAAGTATGAAACAACTGAAAATGGACGGGACTGTTTCCATGGCTACAGGATGACATTTTGGGTACCTGCTTTGTGTGGCTCTAAGAATTGGTGATTTGAGCTCAAATCATGACTTAAAGCTACCAAGTCTTTGCTATGAAGGGGTAGATCCTCAAAAAGTCATAAAGTCACAGAATCTTTCGCCGAACCCAATTGTAGTCTTGAAGAGCAGTTCCCATAATTTGTAGCAAATATTTTGTTACAAAATGGTACACACGGTATTCCAACTGAATCTTAATGTCTATTTCTGTGTCTTTGCTCTATGATTCCGAAAACGAAGGGACATTTTTCATAAGAAATAAACTGTCCGTGGTATGATTGCGTACAGATTGCGTTTCTTGTCTGTTCTGTTAATGGTCGGTAGTTAGCCATAATCACATGCACTACTGTAAACTTGTGCCAACGAACTGTTTTTTTTTTACGGGGCGGGGGGGGGGGGTGCGCAGCGGCAGACTCAGAATTGGCAGACATGCTGTGTTTCAAGGTCGGAAAATGGCAAGAGCTCTGATGATAACTTAGAATTGGACCTTCCCGGTATGGTAATGTACGTGTACATGTAGTTGGTTTGAACACAGAGAAGGTGAAGTGCATGTCCTTAAATTCATGGTCCTTTTGGCATTGTTTATTTTGTCCTCTCGGAAATTCTTTAAACTTTTATTTGTGTACGCGTGTGATTTTTTTATTCGTTATCAAATTTTGCCTTTTCTTATTGGTCTTGTGTTCAATATACGCGAGCATAATCCCGTTTCTTTATTACCGGGTCCGAGACAGCGCCAACTTGCCTGCTAAACCGAGCCTTTAACAGTGGAATGTGTAATTCGATGATCAAAGCTAAACATGCCGCTGGCCGCTGGCTTTGTGTTGTTGCGAGGGGAAATGTGAGCGAGATGGCGCGATAAGTCGATGTGCCGTGCACAGCAAATATGTAGGCTGCTGAATCGAATGCGGACACCGGATAGATGAGACGTGCCTGCTTCGATGCCCCGTACAAGCCAACACTCGACATCTCCGGTTCTATCAGCAAAATGAGCGGTAAAGCGTAGACGAAGACGCCAAAAATCGTCTGTGGGCTATTTCGAATAAGTGTATCTGTCGCGTGTAGCTGTAGGACCAGGAAACTATTAAGTCTTTGTTAAAACCAAGCAACGGCGTCGGTGAGCTATGTTTAGCAAGTAACAGCTAGCTAGCCCCCTCCAGCCCCCCTTTGGCCCCCATGCGCACATGTTCGCTGCGCTAAGCAGTAGCTAGCGTGTTGAGTGTGAGTCATTGCAGTTTGGGATGAGGTATAGTGACCTCGTGGAGGACCACCATCCGTACATGCAAATAACTTCGACTGTTGCTGTTTTCTTCTGCTCCTTGTTATCGTCAGCATGCAATAAATCCAGCAAAGACTTTGGACTCTCAACCAGTTTCTCGTGTGATCTCTGACAGCGGCGGCAAATACCGTAGCTCTGTGGTCTAACTTTCCAACAAAGTGAACGTTTTCGTCAATTGTCGCAAAGCGGAGTTCTCGTGCATTTCGCCCTGTACTGCAGTGTTTTTTGTTCCTACCGGTTCAGTTGTCGAAGAGGAACATTCTTAGATGATTTCGGCGGTATGATGGCAGAGTTGCTACCGGTGGTATTCACGGTGATCGTGGGTCTCACATTTCCTTATCTGCCCATTAGTCGGGCAGATGAGAACTCAGGTTAGTCAGAGAATATTTTTAGACGGTGTTTTAGTGGACTGTTTTGCGAATTATACGAAGTATCGTTTGTTCCTACGGACACCTCGGTACAGTATATAACTCATTATAAGAAAGCTGAACAACATTTACTCATTCACATTCACTTCAGTGTTGGCACTTCCACTACGGGTGTAAAGTGGTCATAAACAGATTTTTTGTCACAAACTCGCAATATTTGATGCAGTTTTCAATGATTCTAAGGGGTTAACTTTGATTCTTTTATAATTCAAAGAATGACTTTGATTGGGACTCACGGGGGACACTAGCACTTGCATTTTTTTCAGTCTTGGATTGTACTTGGAAATTTTGTGTCTGGGTATCAGGCCTGATGTACTGTATCAACAGTTCGAGTGCATTCAGTTGGTTCATATCTTGTGTGACGTGAGAAAAAATGAGAACAAAAGCACAGTCAGTTCAAAGGAAAAGGAAAATGACAAAAGCCCATAGATTTTATTTGTTCTGTTATTGCCAACTTTTGTGTTTTGCACACTGGTGTTTGTATCTTGAGCTCTTCTTGTTGCATTTTATGTTTATAAATCACTGGCTTAACTGCTACCTTAAATCTCACACCCACCACAGGCTGACTGGTTTATAGCTTGGAATGCCAACACAATACCCCTAGTTTAGATTACTAAGCTAAGAACAGGGAGCAGTCATGCATGATCTCCTCCTATAGAAGCTGTACAAAAACCGCAGCGGATGTAATCGATTTTTGTGGAAGAAAAGATTTAACTTGGATGGATATCATCCCAAATAGTCACTTTGAAGAATGGATTCACCAAGGTTACAGACTTTTAACCTTGAATAAGTTGATCCAATTTGGGGATTGTACCTTTGCAAGGTTGATGAGAAATGAGTCCTTGATCATAAAAGAATAGAAAAAAATCCCAGAATTGCCAACAAGGATTACCAGGCAGCAAATGCAGAATTCAAGTGTTTCGTGTTTAATCCCCGACATAACTACATGTTGGTAGACCTAGGCCTTATGAGTTCTCAGCAATAAACACCAGGATTTTAGTTGATCCTTGTTATTAGCAATAGCATAGGTACATGTACAGTGTACTAAACACAAACATGATAGAGTAACACCTCAATGGTAAGTTGAGCAAACAAGCATGAGATAGTTTATCTTTGGTGAGAGAAATCCTGACTTTATGGAATGTGGAACTTCCTAAAAATCTTAGGCCTACCTTATGTGACTGCTACACACAGCTGCTTTGTTCCAGTACAATACCTGGATATGATTTGTTATTTTGAGCATTCTTAAATGCTTTGAGAACCTCGGATGCCATTCCATTAGATGTTATGCTTGAATGATTTCATTTCTCATTACGCAAGGAGGAGAGCTTTAATATGGGTCATCTCGTTCAAGCATGGTCTAATTCAGATATAATCAGCTTTTTCATTTAGAGCACTGACCGTGATAGCAGTAGTGGACTGAAGAAGGTTCCTAACCTACATACATGTACATGTAGCACAGTTTAATGTGAGGGTACATGTAGGTATCCTATAGGCAAGACACCTTGTATGAATAAGCTAGGGTGTTATACAGCACTTAACAACCTGTTTTAACTACTGGATATTCTCTCGGGACAACAGCAGCAGGCAGGATTTAGTAATGTTCAACTCCCATCTGGCGAGATTTATTTTAGGTTTCAAAATTGTGTGTCTTTTCAATGTAATGGCACAGAAGACCTGGACCTTTCATGTCAAACAAAAAAAAAATTGCCTCTCCAGAATTGGACCTACATGAAATATTTTAATCTCAATAAAATGAGACTGAGACTAAGACTGGCGTGCTAGTGCTTCAACATAATAAAAGTCCAGTAATAAAATTGGCTGTTATTATGACCATTAAGCATGTTATTTCCTGTAGATTTCTTGGAAATTTCCAAATGTCATCTTCCAGTTAATATGTACTGTGTATGTGTAGCAACTAGAGTGCATATTTTTACAGGTCATAAGCCTGTAGTGACCAAACTGGCTGACATCGACTTAATTGATTTTAGGTTCAGGTAACAACAGGTGGATGTCTCTTGTTCAATTGACCAGTTAAAGTTATTGATTGTATAAGATAAGGGATGACATGAAAGATGTGGAATAAGTCAAACCACCTACCCACATGTTCCTCTCTGCTCACTAGGCAATCTGAATAAATGCCACATTTGTTTTGGTGGTAGACATGCTGATTTTGTATTTTTGTTCACATTTTGGCACAAGCATAAAAGATCCTCTGTAATCCTAGTAGATTTTATTCTTGTTCTAATCCAAATTGACAGAGATAAAGATTGTATCTATGGTGTTTGCTTTTACTGGGAAACCAGTGCTTACATGTATTACACTGGAAATGCTTGGTTTCTGTGAATTTGGGTCTTTAGCACAGGGTAAAGGTCACTGATCTCATCTTGCAAAAATGCAATATCCTGAGAGAGTGGGTGCTAAGTGTTCAACATGACCTTGAGGTGACCTTATATCCCCCTGGCAATATTGCAGATCCACATCCTAGGCCTCTAGACATTAGAAATGCAGGAAAAACATTTCGTGTTAAGGCTGTTTTTGGCACATCCTACCATAGGTTCCAGTTATTTGTAGCTGAGGTGTCCATACTTTGGTAAATCTTATTAGCTGTAGCCCAAGGCCTACCTATGTTGCCTGACCAGTGCTGATTGGTGCAAACTGTATACATGTATACCTATGATGAAGTAGGTGGTGTGCTGGCTGCAGTCAATGAAATTTGTTAAATCCTTGCTCCAGGCAATAGAATAAATTCCCTAATCAGGTCACAGCATTCTGGTAACCAGAGTGTGGTTTCACTGCTTAGTGTTGTAAAGTAGGTTTGTACAAATTGTAAATTTTCTGAAATGCAGTTTTGAGTTTTACGAAAATTTCTAACACTCAGTTTGCTGATAATTGTGCTGGTTGTTGAGAGAGTCTACTGTTATATGATCTTTTTGTTATCTACAGTGTAGGCCTAATTCAATCAGTAAAAATCCTTATTGTGCCATACAGGACAGATGGAAAAATATGTGAAATCTTTGTAGCCACAGTTCTCCTTAAATGCAGTGATTCTGCTTTTGTCTGAATTAAAGTTTCTTATTATTGGAATTAAACATCTTAACAGCACATCAACTGGCAAGTGGAGGAACACTTCATTGACACCGTATGTGGCTTATATTACTTGCATGGTTGACTTTAAGGAAGGCTTAGTGATCAAGTCTGTGGATCGTGTGGAACATGTTGGAGAAGAGGCACATACTGTGCATACGTGTATGTTCAAGAAAGTTGGCCTAAGTTGACACGGCATGGCTGATTACGTTTGTTTCCATGTGATGCCTCATAGTTTTCTGAGATTTTTATGAACTTGTTTTCAGATCTTATCTTACCGTTTAAGGTTTCTTAAGGCATTCTTCTGTATTTACGTTTACATCATGACATAATTATAGATGTACTGAAGGCAGTGCAACAAACTCTGATATCATGATTCTAGTTTAATAGGATACAGGTGTTGTTTCCAAAAACTTGCATAATACATTTGTGCTTGGCACATCAGTCATGCTTGGCACATCTTGCTTAGGGAGGCCATGTGTTTCATGGATCTCTATAGCAGCTGGTTCTGATGAAACTGGTATTTTCCTGCAGGCAATTCCTGGATGTAATAGATGCAGAACACCCATCACTATCAGCAAACTTCAGCTGACCTGAATACCACAAAGTAACCCCCATTGACCTGCTGGGGTCATCTGGGTTACCATGGATTCAACTTTAGAATGTTAGAAATGTTGAGCAATTTCCTGAAGATCTAATTCTCTATCATGGTTTTGCACATGTCTAAGTGTGACAAGGGAGGTGAAAGGTATATAAACATGCTCCACACCATTTTGTGAAAATTGACAAATCAAAATTATCTAATAGGGGTGTACATTTGTTGCATGGATAGAGTGTACATGAACAACTTTGGCCAAAGTTGTTAGTTGCAATATTGCAGGTACATGAAGTTGTGGGTTTTTTTGGGGAAGCTCTTAATAAACAAAGGGAATAAGTGTCCGTTTCTGTAAAGAAATGTATTAAATAGAAACTGAGTGTTTCTTGGTATTTAGACTTAGAGCAGATGTTTTGAGACATGGGCGACATGTTTGTGAATGAATACTGATAGTGATAAACATACATACCTTTTTACTCAAACTGTTCCAAATCTTTTGACACCCTCCTGAATAGTTAAATCTGTTGAGGAATTTTGTGGGTGTTCTTCATACTGTAAATGTGTTCACAGTTACAGACTGGAGGATTGAGCTGAAGTAAATCTGAGCCTTAAGTTCTATAGTCAGTAAGATTATTAACAGATAGAGAGCCAATCTTGAACAGTCTCTTTGTTACTCGTGTAATCCCATTTGGATTTCAATGGTCTTCTGGGAAAGTTGTCAGGTTTGGAAACCTCTTTTCTTGTCATTAGCACATCATTGGAATATTTCAACTTAAGGTAGTCAGTAGTTTATGCATGTTTGCTGCAGGTGTTGTCTGCAGAAATATTGTTGTAATAAGGACAGCCTCAATCAAGACTTCCAATTAAACTGGTCATTATGGTCTGTATTAGGTTTTAACACATGATCCATGAGGAGGTGAGTGTCCTTCATGGGATACTATATTGGAAGTTAAACCCTGGTATTGCCTTGTAATTTTCTAGTGCTAGCCTCCATTGTTAGTGCACAATAATGTGTTACTGCCTTCCTTGATGTGGCTCACAAGTGCCACCCTTGTGCAATCAAAGTATGAATAGACTAGAGGGAAATCTCTACACAAAGCCCCTGTGGTCAACAATAAAGCTCTACTGACCAGGGTGGACGGAGGAAGGCCTTGGAGAAAAATGCAGCAGCTTAGTGTCTGCATACTACTGAAGACAGCTAAATTATGCACACTCAAAGAATCAGTATAGTGAAATATTTGTTAGCTTAAAAACATGGGTTTCATGCATGATTCTACATATGTTACCATGTAAAAAACTTCACTTTGAATTCAATATTTAACTGGAAAGTCATGCTGGCAATGCAAAACAAGACACACAACAGTCTGTTCTCTTATTGTTGAGCATATGCCTTTTAAACAGACTTCAGAGACATTAATGCCATCATCGTGACTTGTTTCAATTTGCCTGCCAGGTTTGTCTTATGGTAAAGCATTCACTCAGTCACGCACTTAACACTAGAGCTAATCTGTTACAAATGCATTAACCGAAATGCAAAATTTCCTTGAATCTTACAATAAGCTGAGATTATTTGAAATGGAAAATTTTTGTGTTTCCCATAGACTGATTGCTAAAGACAGGGTTACTCAATACCATTGTTTGCTGGGTCTACATTATCTATACCATAAAGATGGAGTGAAAATACCATCATTGACCATTCCTGTTAATTTGACTGTAAATACTGAATGACCATGTAGTTTTACCATTTGATCCCAATTCGACCTAGGAAATACAGATTGCTCACTTTCACATCAAACTGCTACTTGTATCAGGTAAAACATCATCAAAGAGCTGTGGGAGTACATGTATCTGCATGGCTGTGTGTCCAGGTTAATTGCATCTATGTATAAATAGGTCATAGTGTGTATGGGAAGTTCAGGAGCTACAGGTGTGTTGTGGGATGTAGTCCCAGAGTCATAGAGTTTCGATCATTAGTATTACATGTACATTTAACTCTTGATGTGATTTACTGTTCTTGTTTTTAATCTGTACAGATTTGTTAATGTCAACTTTAAGAAGCAAGTTTGTTTTTGCCTGTGACAAGGATTTTCTGGCATTGAAATGCCCTAACAGCACAGTGATAACAATAGACAACGCTAACTATGGCCGGCAGGTGTCCAGTGAACGCATGTGCCCATATAGATGGAGCACAGTGGGCAGCTATCATGTTACACAATATCATGAAAACACCAACTGCAAGGCAGTTAACTCTCTTCAGGTAAGGACTTTACCTGAATCAGTATATCAGTATTTTCTGCATGTGCAAGATGTACATAGCAAGATTCAACTCAACATCTGCATTTGCTGAGAATCCCTACAATTAAATTTGACTTTATGAAGTCGCCAAACATTTTTACAAAAGTTTGTGCCCTAAAAAGTATTTAAATGTTTAACCCTTTCCAAAGATTGCTGGTAAACCCATCCTGAGAAAAATTTACAACAGTAAAAGTTAGTAGGTTCAGTATTTATAGTAAGCAGTTTACTGAGTTCAGAGCAAAAATACTGTGGCGAAGACACTGCGTGGGACAGTATCACAAGTGGGGATTTTTTTCCTGAGTCCAAATACTGTAATGCACAAATAAACATTTCTTTTACTTTGTATAGGGCTAATTCCAGAAATTAGGGGTCAAAAGTGTGACATTTTTGTGTCCCTGTTACATCTGACCTTTGTTAATTAGCACGGAAATATCAATGGAATTGTTTTCAAACTACATGCATTACTATTTGTTTGGCAGGTAATTTGCATTAATTTGTCACTCTCGGAAACGAGAAAATGCGTTCTGAACTTACAAAATCATATGTCAGAGGTGACAGGGACACAAAAAAATAGACACCTGATTTCTGGAATTACCCATAGAAAATACTGCTTTGTGATCATGATTATCATTCTAACATGCACTGAGAAGTGACCTACAGTGTACATGTCAGGACTATGCCTATACTATTTGGCATGCCCATGTTTCAAAACCAGTATTTAGCTCTATCCATTGTTGAGTGGCACAGACACATACATGTAGCCGTGAGTTTTTCAAGATTTGTACTGATCAAACAAAAGAAATGGGGGTAAAAATTCCTATCACTGTGCAGTAGCACTAAGACTGAGATAAGCAATAATAGAGGTCAACAGTGTTCAATTGTTCTCTTTTCTTTGTAGGTTGTTTCTCTCCTAAGTTGGCAACAGAAATATGTGATAAGAAACAGCTGCTGTTGAAAGATTTTAGTGGTGGCAATGTTAGGGGCATGAAAATGAAGAGCTTGCATGACCTTGGAAAGAGCTTGCATGACCTTGGAAAGAGCTGTGTTAGGAATTCAGGAGTAAGATTGGAGAATGAAGAAAATCCACAAACCATCCAGGGCAGAGGTTGTAACAATAACAGCAGTAACAAACACAACTTTCCAGGGGCTTTTGATTAACAAAGGTCAAGTTTCTACCAAATGGCTGTGATTGAATCTTAAGCTTTGGTTTTTTGTGTCAAGTGAAAAAAAGTTGCAAAAACCGAGTGTTTTAAACTCTAAGACTCTACTGTTCTTGGATATGAAATTGTGAAATGTGTCAAAATCCTAATAAACCACAGTGCTGGAATTACAATAATGTACCTTTATAGATGCACAGACACAAGAGCAAGTGTTTAAATACTTTATCATTTGATTTGTTCACAGGTTATAGAAAACATGTGTGAGAGTAGACAGTTCTGCAAGCTTAAGGTTTCTAGTGATTTATTTGGTGGTGATCCATGTCCTGGAACAAACAAGTATCTAGATGTCACCTATAAATGTAAACCAAGTGAGTACCATATACATGTACATGTATTAACACCCTCATAGACCTGCATGTATCACAGTCTTCACCTCTATGATACAACACAATGTTTATTGAAAGTTCCCTTGCAGAACCCTAAAATTAGGCCCTATATTGTTCAGCAAAGAAGAGGTATTGAATAACAGTGACTGGCATGGGCTTTACTTTGCTTCTTTTTATGTTTTTGGAATTCTGTATTGCAAGTTGATAATACAAGTACATGTACATAAACGTACATGTAAAGTTGGTCAGCGCCCACCTGGCCATTATATGCATTCCTTAAACGAAATAAAAATTCAACTGATCACACTGTAAAATAAATTTATTGAAATGCTGAGTTTGAAAAAACCCAATTTGCTGATTTCTGCTGTTTACTTGGTTTGGATGTACTGGTAGTGTTTATGATGGGACAGTAGGATTCTAGAAGCCTACCTTGTTTATCACAGAAACAGTTTGTGCTTAGCTGTGAGCATTACTTGCTTAGCATTTGCTCAGACTGCTGTATTATATGCTATTATTTTTATACCTTAAATGGTAAGCAACAAGCAATTACACTTATGTTCGTATCAGATACAAGGATAGGATATAAATAGTTCTTGGCTCACCGCATGAAAGTATTCACAGCCAGAGGCCTTAATGACATTGCTCTCAGCTTCTCTGCTTTGGAACTTAAAGGGGCACATATACCCAGATCCCATCATTTACAGCACATAAAAATGGTTATTTGGCACGCCTTAGCAATGGCCAAAGACAGGAGTGTGCATTGTGCATCAGTTCCATATATTGAATTTAGCAAAGAAATAGACTTAAATTGGATTTGAACACTTACAAACTTCCCAGCAGTGAATTTAAGTTTGGAAGTTTCAGTTACACACTTCGTATGACTATACTGGTATGACACAGAACTAAGTAACAAGTCATGTTTTTGTTTACTCGATACAGGTATATTTCAGAATATGGTAGTGTGTGAAAACAGCCACATGATGCTACATTGTAATGCTAAAGAAGTCTTAGCAATCCATTCTGCTGGTTTTGGCCGACCAATAGCTGCCAACATGAAGTGTCCGTCTTTTAGCATGGACGAGATAGGTAAGTAATAATAATACCACCCTGATTGCATACCAGCTCTGATGTAATTTGTGCTTTGATTCAGTTAGGAAAGGGCAGCACTTGTGTAGTACATATACATCATACATGTAGCTAAGAGTTGAAATTTAAATAACGGTATAAATGCATCTCATAGTTCTCAAATTTCCATGGTTTATTTAAACTACCATTGATTGGAAGTGGTCACACTGTGAATACCTAAAATGCTAGAAGAAAACTTTACAAGTTCATATACAAATACATGTACTTTTACTCCAGTTGTATTCTGCATTAGTTAATGTTTTTTGAAAGCCTCAATTGCAGTGTGCTTTTGCCATTATACAGTATCTGGCTTGAAATTACATCACGTGGCTTACAACTGAGTTAGCAGTGGGTTCAACAAACCTCAGATTCAGCAATTCAGGGGAATGGGATTGCCAGTATCATGAGCCTGCAATGCTAAATGTGGACAATAAATCACTTAAATGAACAAGGTTGAGTGGGAAAATGGTTATTGTCCAGTGATTTTAGGAGCTTAGGCTAAGGTTCATCTGTATTTTTCTTTGTGTTGACAAAACCATGCTCCGTATGTGGTAATATTCCATGAGTTGCTTACTGTACGTACTTCCCCATGGTCATACTGTCCTCAGACCTTTCTAACCTTTATTTGCTGCTTCTCCAGTCAGTAACCCCTGAGGTACCCATCAATATTTCAAAGGTTATTGCACCAACCAGCTAACTTGCAACCTTTTACTTGAACCTGTCCCTTTTGTAGGGACTGCCGGTGTAGAGTGCTTAGTAGTTCAGTTCTTGTCAGATCATCTTATTGAATGATGCATCAATTCACAGGTCTGCAGCATTCACAGAAATGAACTCAGAATTTAGAAGGTGATGATTCCTGTCCTTTTTAAAAAGTTGGGTGTGCTTTATATGAAATTATTTGATTGTATTTAACCTGACATCTATCCCAGTAATAATTTAACTGTCAACCAGACACAGTTCAAAACTATCTTTATCAGGCATAGAACATTTCTTGAAGTTTGTTATTTTAAAGCCCATGGTTTGGTCCACTTTTTAACCTCCAGAGACACTGGGTAATTTTTGAAGAATTCAGGAATTCTCTGGAGCTTTAATTCAGTTCTGGAGAAGTCTTTTCAACAGCAGCTGCTATGGATTGATGTACCAGATGTTGTCTGTCTCTCACTGTACTTTTTGTTTGATGGATAGTCAATATTCCGTTCTGTTTAGAGCATAATTGTCCATATCAAACCCAAGAATGAAAAGTAACAAAACTGTCACATCCTCTGGAGAGGAATGTGACATTGTGCATGATCTTGATGCTAAAGATCAAGCATAACTGATGTTTCTTGGAGAATAACCTACAGGAGATGTTACAAATAACATTTCTGGCATGTCAGTGGTATTAAAAAATGTCCCATGTGGTGAGGAATGTGTGACTGAGCGTGTAGTGTCCTTGCTGTATAGGAGTTCTGCTGTCAATGTTAATCTAGTTCACATGCATAGTCAATACTACCCCCTATCAGCCTGTCCATCTGTCCAGCATGTAATGAAAGAACCTGGATGGAAAGCGTGTATGTGTAACTAAATGACATAATATAACTTGAAATGTTACGAGAATGGAGCCTGTTGTTACCAGCTCCGTTTTGTTGATTCCTTAATTTGAGGCTGAGGAAAATCACTGCAGTGCTCAGAAGAAACCTAAGTGGAAACGTAGCAACAATAACTGTTATAATTACAAAGAACTTTCCATTTTTATGTTTACGAATTTCAGTCGTACTGTTTTCCCAGAACAAATTACCGGTAAGTCTGAAGTAATGACAGTAATTAACCTAGTAATGGGCATTTCAGAATGATCTATTTACACCATCAAATTTGCAATCGTGTGTTTATTGGTAATGAAGCAAACTACAATTGATAAATGCAATCAAGAAAAAATATGGCAGCTTAAGTTGCATTATACATAATCATTTGCTTAATGATATCACAGCCGTTACCATCAATTGTGTGAATATAGGTAATTCCCGAAATTAGGGGTCCAAAAGTGTGACATTTTCATGTTCCTGTTACATTTGACCTTTGTTATTTGACATAGAAATATCACCAGAAATTGATTTCAACTATTACTATTTGTTTGACAGGTAATTTGCATTAATTCATCACTCTTGGAAATTAGAAAATGTGTTTTGAATTTACAAAATCATATGTCAGATGTGACAGGGACACAAAAAAATGGACCCCTAATTTCTGGAATGACCCATATACTGAAAAATGTTGCTATAACATTATTTACAGCTGTATCGTATTGGCTTTTGGAAGGAATGTATTGAATATGTTGGGAAAACAATCTTTGGTTTTGTTTTTTTTTCTTATGTAAAAATGTTATGTAGTGCTCAGTAATTTTTCTCATTTTCATATTTTACAGAATGTTCATCTTCTTCATCATTGGAAGAGGTTATGAAGCGTTGTCATGGCAAAAGACATTGTACAGTTAAAGCCAGCACTCGTATCTTTGGTGACCCATGCCAGAGAGACACCTACAAATATCTGAGTGTAATTTATACTTGTGGTAAGTACATGCTGAGCTGTTTGTCCCTTCCAGATATTGTTCTTCAATTTCTGACGTACTGTATTTGTCTTCAATTCTGTTTTTAGAGTCAGTCATGTCAAATGTTGCTTATTAAATGAAACGTCCATGCTCAGGTTAGATTCTTAATTGAAATTTTGAATTTTGTGCTCAGATTCGTTTATTTAACACACAAAAAATTTAATTATCAAGCAAATAGTGTTTTGAATGAAATGCTCTTTTTAAACCATTTGTTACTGTATTCTACACCACTCTGCAAGGGCAACAGGTCTCTTTAGTACATGTAAATTCATTTTTCAAGATGAGATAAGTGTATCAGTTTTGGTTGTTTTTAGTCATTGAATGAGGCTTTTGTACCTTTACTTGATGAGGCAGTGTGCAGTTGGTTCTTTTTTTGCTCGCTCATGCAGTGAAATGAAATTACTGAAGAACAAAAGATGCATACAGTAATTATATGGACTTACGGTCTTCAGCTGTACAATATTTCATTTTTCAGGACAAATGAAATGTGGTGTAGCCTTCTTAGCAGATTCAGGATTGTGAAGTCTCTGCCAATTAGCTCTGACAATCATCAGCAGTGATGATTGATTCTGAATTCCGAGATTCCACTTTAGGTTGCAAAATGTTATCTTTATGTGCTGATACAAAGGCAAAGTGTTTGAAAACCCTGCATTTACATGAAGGTGTACATACATGTTTGTATAGTATGCCTTTACAACAATGATATCTGGCCTTTATTGGATCAGCAGATGACACAAGTGATGACAAGTGTCATTCACCTATTTATTTTCGGCTTAGGTTATAGTGAGGACATATTTACTTTGAACATCTTGCAATAACCGTGTAGGATTTTCCTGTCAGGCCATAAAGGATTTACATTATGTTCGTCATCGGTGATATAAACCATTTCCATTCAGTCAAACAACCTGAAATAAATATTCCCAACATGTGAAAAACCTCGCAAACCCAGGTGAGCACTCTATATTAACAACCTGTTATGTAAAATGTCATAGATCATAAAAAGTCTTTTAAGTTCTGCTTTGTTGAGACTGGCATTGTAGAAATACTTTCCTATTTGCACAGTGTGTGATGTAAATTACTAAAGAAATTCAGTCGAAAGTATTTAATTTCCCAATATTTGGGAAATAAATTCAGAATTAACTTTGTTAGTAGAGGAAAGAAGAAAGTGCTTTATTGCGCATCTTAGATTTTAAATTGCAGAAGATAATAATTACAAAAATAAAGATGTCACATGTACAAAATAAAATGTGCAGTGACTTTCAGATCCCCCCCCAAAAAAGAGAAAAAATTTAAACGTCTAGGTTGGCGTTGCGTTTTTGGTAACTATTGAGTTTGCATGTATGTTTCATCTTGGTGGTCACGGACGATTGTTGCTCCCTCTGTGAGGCCTTGAGAAGATCCTTTAATTACATTGTGCTAAGATCTGTAGAGACAGACTGTATTAGTCATTTATAATGTACACCCTTCTGAAAGGTCACTGTGTAACCAACATGTATGGGCTCGGCAAGTGATGGATTGCAGTTATTTTGTCTTTATGAATTTTTTCATTGCCTTTAGTTTATCAGCAAATGAAATCTAAATGAAGGTTGATGCTTGATGTGGTGGTACGCTTGAGTTTCACTGCCAGCGGGATATAGGCAGGGATGATTACTTTACCAAGTGTCATATTTCTGGTATCGGTGGTGCAGCAAGTAAACGCCCTGTACGGGTAGGCAGTACATGTACATGTACATTTACTAGGCAGAGTAGGAGCTTGACTGGAGAGAAGAATTGTATTGTAGAATTCTGGTCAATCAGATTCCAGTCTTCAGTCCAACAGTAAGTAAATGTTTCTCTTTATGAGGTTTAGTGAGTAGCTAAAATGGACCAACATGATTGACTGTGGAACTTGGTTACCATATTAGATGAAAACAAAATTTGCTTAGCTGTAACGATGTCCAAGTAACACTGTATGGATCCAAGTTGTTGAGTACGCACCAGCATACATTGTGCATAGTCATAAGTCACGTTCATTAGTGACTGTGATTTATATTATATCAACTTTACTGTGTACATAACCACATTGAGAGAATTATTCTTTTTCAGTTGAGTCAATGAGTGTTTTTTCCACACAAATGCCATCTGTGTGGAATGTGGAATCAGGTGAGTACAGATCAAATGTCATTTGTGGGGTTTAATGTAGGAATTTACATTCATGCTAAGACTTCACACTACAAATGTTTATATAGTTTGTACCAGTCCACAAAAAATGGCTAATACTAGAACATATGTATCTACTATTAATCATGGGACTAAGCTTTAAAATTCTGGGCTACACGATGTCAATTTTAATGATAAATGTGCACAATATATGTAGCATGCTTGAACACATTTTATATCAGTTGAGAGATCTGACCATTTGAAGACTCAGCTATTCCACCCTACATTTAAGGAATAGTAGTACTGGTAACTCCATATTTTTGTTTTTATCATCTCAGTCTTGGTAGCTTAATCGTTGAAAGCATTTACCTTATTTGCATACATGAAGACTATTATAGTGTGGAAATCAAGTTGTTTTAAATATGTTTGAAATACAGTCATTTGCAAAAGTTTAGGACCAGCCATACAAATGCATTAACCTGAAGAAAAACCAAACTTAAACCAATCAATCATTGCAACTTCTGTTTATTTTCAATGTGTAACATTAGTATCTCGGTTAAGCAGCTACTGGTAGTTGACAACATTTCCATTATTTGAAATGTTAACAGTCTAATTATTTAGTGTGCCCTCCTTTGTTTCTGATTACTTAGACTGGCTTTTTTTACCCGTGCTGCTTTGCAGACAAAATGTCATACAAGACCTGCCTTTGCACAAAATTTCATTCAAATGGGTATACAGCTCTACACCGATGTAAAAACATGTTACTTAATCATTCTATGAGACAATATATATCAGGCCCAGTGACAGAAATACCAATAAAATTTCAGGTGGTCTTAAACTTTTGCAAATGACTGTAGTAATTTTCAACAATACCCATAAATCTTTCACTGTTCGCTGCATTTGTTTTACGTGTAATTTCTTTTTTATTTTGTGTTGAATTTCCTTCATGTGGACTGAGAAAAGTGAAGTACATGTGCATGGAGAATAAGATAGGCACTTTATTATGACCTCCATAATTCTTACTTGTAGAAGGTAGTGCCCTTAACAATCCTATGTTGGTGGTCTCTCCAAGTTATGGGGTATGCATGACAGAATTAATGGAACTCATGAATGCCACACAGTCAGGGTTCAGGGCCAAAAATGCATTGTGAGATGCGGAATATACAGTATAATAGTTGTTTGGTTAAATGAGAAAAATTAATATTAATGTAATCAAAATTTTCCTGGACATTTCTGAAAGCTGGAGGTTCAATATCGACCTACTTGACCATTAGACTGACATGTAGATGTAAGAGATACTAAGATTGCAACCCCAAGGAAAACTGTTTTCATTGAAGTATCTCAGAACTTTTGTCCACATTGGCACATTTTTCCCCTGCAGAAAATCACAGTTTCTAACATTGTCTTTGAGATCTGCAGAAATCTAAGATAATTTACCCATGAAATTTACATTTAAATTTAAAATGAATCCCTTTCAGTTTTCAGGAGCAAGTTGTAACGTTGGCCCCAGCCTTGCCATGCATTGTTAGGGCCAACTTCAGAGGGAAAGAAAAGCATTCTGTCTTCTAGATCCCTGCTCAAATCTAAAGGGCAGATTTATTTTCAACCCAGAGCTAAATCTTTTAAATGATTACTTTGATCTGAGAATGAAGTAAACTTTGTAAGCAGAAGGAGACTTTAATTTTCTTTACTTCTACAGCCTTTAATAGCTACATGCAGTTCAGGTGTGTAGTTTGTGCTGTTTTGAAGTTGGCAGCTGTTTTTGTTGATGAGTTTCTTGGCACAATCAATGACAGTAAGGACTAGAAACCAAAGAGCAGTTCTCATCATTCCAATTGCTGACACTGGTATGAGCTAAGAGATGAAAACATGATCAAGAATAGAGTGCCGGTGCTTTGGGATGTTTAGATAGTGGCTTGTATTTCAGTATGGAGAGCCATTAACCATAGTGCATTCTGGATCAAGCATCTGCCACGGATCCATTCCTTGTCAAAATTGTGATTAGTTGGTGACGTCTTTGGCACTGGGGAATTTCTGTTGGATTTCAGCAACCCGCAGCATAAGAAAGTGTGTATGTGGTGCGTGGTATGCTGTGGTATGTGCATGTGCTTGACAGCAAGTAAATAAGAATCGAGGAATATAGCGGCATATCAATACCCTCATGTTGAGTGACAGGTAAGAAATGTTTACTGCATTTGGCCAGGCATGTATGTTGGGTATTATTAATAAGTGCTGGGTGAGATGGGACTTTCCCCTCTTAAAAATACTTCTGGAAAGGAAAGATTGTAATGGGTAAAATACAAGCTCTGATGAAAACATCCTTACTTCCATAGTTACCAAATAAAGCCATTTAATTGTTATAGAGTACTGAAGTGAATACATCACCTACACAATTTTGTGCGTGAAAAGCATCAGAGCGAGAACCAGCAAATGAGCCGACATGCACATACTCCATTCATTTGCACTGCAATTCCTGGTTCAAAATTATGTCGTCGGTACACTATAAGTGATATATAACGCTGAATTTCATCAGTCTGATATTGTAGTTACTTAGGGTCACTTTGAAAATTAAAGAAAGGAGGCTAATGCAGGACTTGACCATGCAGAGTTGGATGTTATGGCAGAACAACGTAGTGTTTTAGGACCTGTGGAAATCGAGCTATTCTGGTACAGGTTTCTCTTTTGTAAGACCTTAGATGGGTTGGATGTAGGACAACATAAACCACACCTTTAGCAATCAAGTTCAGATGGATTGAATCAAGTCTGAGATGCTGTTTACAACCATTGTATACATACAAGTATGGTTAGAAACTTCCAGACATTGGAATTCATGTGACGATCAATTTTAATGCATAGTAAAGCCAATAATTGATTACGGGCAGCCGAGATAAATGTTTGAATTCCAGGCCCTAGGTTTAGCACATTAACTGTCACAGTGCTGAATCCTACACATGGAGAACTGAGGGCTGCTTGGGCTAATGTAATGTTGTAGATGTACATGTACAGTACATCATTTCTTACCAAGCTGCCACTGATAAGCCTTTTTGATTCTTGTTGATGAACAGTGTGTGTTCTGTCAAGTCTTGAGCTTTTGATGGCACAGCAAGTGTCTCGTGTTATGACAACTAATTGATGTGACAACAAGGTGTCTTCACTTCAATGTCTCTGTATCTCTTCAGCAAACTCTTTGAGATGCACACTTCATTGGACTGAAATATCTTTGTGAATACATGTTGGCCTGCTAAGTATCTACAGGATGAGGAAATCAACTGTATTTTTATCGACAGAGAAAGTGGAAGTGCAAGCCAAGTGTTTTACTGAACCTTTGTATTAGGATGAATTCTGTACGCATAAAAGAAGTCATCGTCTGAACTTACAAATCAATTGACAGAGGCATTTAGTCATTTTTCTGTTTACTGCCCATATTTCAATAGCCCAAAGTGGCTCTTTACCGACAGAGTTCTCTGCAAATGAACCCAAATTACCCACCCTAATTAACAACTAATTTTCTTCCACTTATTCACAGTTTCTAAGAGGATATTTCGCAAGCCAAGGCGTTACACTGGCTCTGTTACTGTGCCACAGAACTTTGCTGTCAGTTTAACAAATCCTACTTTGAGTCCAGAGTATGGCTTAGACCAGACAACTTTCACCATGACTGAATCTACTGATCAAAGTCAAGGTAAAATTGAGTTTTGCTGCCCTTCGCATATTTTAAAGTGATGGTGGTATGCACTTATGGGAAATGGGAAATAAAGGAACTGGGTAAAACAGGGCTACCTTTAGGAAACCAAATGATAACATTGAAAAAAAGTTGTGTGAGAAATGTATTCAAATTAGCAAGTACCCACTTATGAACAGCCTTTGGATGTAAACTTAAAATGCATTTAAATTAATCACTGTTGCTAAGTTTCTGTTTTCAAAAATCCCTTCCAAAAAGCTTGAAAAATCTTTATTTTTTTAAAGTTACTAACTGTATTTAATTCCTCTTTTGGTTATGGATACCTGGTCCCATAATTTGGAACCTGTCAGTGGCCAGGTACTCAAATATGCACTTTCATTTTTCAGCCGTACATGGTGTACTTCTACACTGCATACTTCATAATTTATAGTCAAATAGTTCAGTTTCATACAGATTTGGGGGGGGAACACCAACTTCTAAAGCACAGCTATACACTTGCATTGGACTGAAGAGGAGTGCATCATGAATAGCAATAACTGCACACATCTGCAAGTTGTAGAGTGATGATCAGCCTAAGGGAAGATGGTTAGGACAAACGATTTGGTTTCAATAACCTGTAGTCATAACCATTCACAAAGGAGGAGAGCTTGTTGGAGGTTTACACTACATGTATCTGGTGCAGTGATGAATGCCATGCCTTAAGGGATGTACAGCAGTAGTTTATTGATTGCGTGTTTTGCTATGTGTCAACTATTCTCATTTATTAAATTATGGTTGCTAACCCTGGCAGTGGGAGGAGTGCAGTTGGACCTAAAAATGGCTTGCAAGTCTCACTTAGTTTTATTGTAAGATATTTGTCTAATGTTACACCCTTAGTCATGATTTAGGCACTTGAAATAACATCATCAATTGACGTATTACGCAGAGGCTTTAAGCTAAAGATACTGGATTGTGTGACAAGGCCTACATGTACAGCCTATGGGGTGGTGAATATTATCGAGGATTTGATTTGAATGAGGTAGAAGTAACAGAAGCTAAACTGGTTAGGGACTACCAAACGCTAGAAGTCAATCAGCATGTTTGGCTTAGTAAGAGTATGGCTACTTCCTATCATGACAAAACCCCATGGCATGTCTGTGGCCACTCAAGTTTGTTGTTTTCCTAAGTCACTTTGGGTGTTCAAGATGTGATCATGTGATAGACTGATATTTTAGACAATTAACATTTATTGATCATGCTGAATGTGTCACATGGATTTAAGAATAAAACGATCTCTTCACATTGAATGTTTCTTGAAATGTCGTAAGATTAATCATATTGAATAACTAAGTTGAAGGAATCTGTCAGATTTCAACTTTAAAAAGCACATTTAATATATAGCCACCATTGTTAACAGACATGGGTGGATTTTCAAAGTACATCAAACATAAAACACAGTCAATGCACATTATGAATTACATACTGTGTATCAGTTTTCTCTAAAGTCATACTTACTGACAGTCACTTACATGTACATCCATGTCAGTGCAAAGCTTGGACTTCTTAGGAATCTTAATACGGAGGATTCACAATAGTGCATCTCCAGGAGTTTGCAATGCGTTGGCCAGTCACAATGTGTGAAATCTGTTGACCCTTTCCAAGCGCACTTGGCTAACACGTTGTAAACTCTTGGAGGTGCACTATTTTGAATCGCCTGTATTACCGGTAGTTGTGAATCTCAATATTTGCATTGAATCATGTTCTTCACGTGCTTTGTTTCAGGTTTGTTAGGGACTGCTCCAGCCAATAATCATTCAGTTACCATCAGTTCAGTTAACATCAGTCTAAGCCAACAACCATCAGCAACGGATGATCAGGATAAAGCAACAGGATTCTTTACCAGTATAATAGCTGCCATAGGTAGCATTCACTGTACGTACACATACTGATTATTATAGAATATGATGACTGCCAGAATGTGTGGGCGGAATGGAGAGCACTTGAATGTGATACATAATGGTGTTTACATCAGGAATACAATGTAATTCTAAGGTTGTGCTTTAGGTTGTGTGGCATATAGGCATGGATATATGTATATTGCAGGCAGTGCTGGAGAAAGTCAGTTACACACAATAAAATTTCTTCCATCTTGCATCCTTCTGTAGCCTCAAGCCAACAGAATACATATACTTCACATTGTGACACCTGTTCAGAAAATAACAATGAATGGCTAGCATATATAATAAATATGGCTTCTCTTAACTCCTTTTCATATTTTAGTGAACACTGAAGTGTTCGTATTGTACATGTTGGTCGGCTGCTGTATTGGGACCATTATGACATTACTGTGGTGTGTTGTGAGACTGAAATGTAAGAATTGCCATTTGAAGAAGAAGATTCAAGAATCTGGTAAGTAATGCCATGTTTTTGTGAATCCTAATATGTAAAAGCAAAAAAATAGTGTAGTTCAAATCCACTTCCCAATTCTGTAGTGTTTCTTCCTTGGAGGACAGAAAATAATTTCAGTTGCTTTTAGATTTTATTTTACAACAGGATTGTTGGGGATACAGCTAGTTAATCTGAAAATGCAATCTGATCTGAATCTCAAAATGCAAATAGTTTCAAGTTATCTTGACATTTCTATTGGGAAGTGGAACATCATCAAATGAAGAGAACTGTTTTCAGGCTCCATGACTAATCCCCAAATGGTACTTGGCATCACTGCATGAGACGCGATTTATTTTGCCATACTGACATCTTTTTACAGAAGTTCAGTAGGCCTCTTGGGATTCCTCCTGTTGATCTCAAAAGGTTAAGAACTTTACAAGTTATCAAGCTGACAAAATTTCCTGATTTCTCCTCCCCATACTGACCACCTTGACCCATCTCTAGTGATATTACTTGCTTTATTCAAGCAATATCATATGATGTTCTTTGTGGGCTTAACAGGGGGTGCATCCAGTACAACTGAGGGCAATAGAACACTACCTAGGAATGGTTCAGTGCTTGAATCAGTTCGACAGGAGAATAGAGTCGACATTAATGAGATATGGAATACACCACCACCCTCAGCATCAACCATGAGACCAGAGAATGGAATCAGTGCAAACCGTAGATGGGAACCTGCCAATACACCACCAAGGGAAACTCAAACTCTACCAGCTGCACGCAATCTCAACAGCTACTTCTCCTGACTAGGCCGGGAATCCCATCTTTCAGCTCATGAATATGCATTAAGTCAGGATGATGATGGTGTCTGAGCTGACAGGTACATGAGAAAGATGGGTCTTGCATGAACACATAAAATATGCCATATGCTGTATCAACTTAACTTGGTTCAAAGACCACAAAGAGGTTGTCTCAGGTCACGCTTCAAAGTGCATTTGAAAGTGAATCAAACTTGTTTTCAAAGGTGATGTATCACCCAAAACCCACCCAGTGTCAGCCGACTGATGAGATATCATGTGCCTCTTGGAGGGATGCCAAATATATCGTTCAGTCTGTAATTGAAGCTCTCTGGATCTTTACTTTGTGTCCACAGTACTCATTGTATGCTTCATACTTATTCTCTGTGACTTAAAACACCTGCTCAAAGTTAATTGCATGTCAGTAAAGTGGCTCATTAAATGTATTGAAAATACATGATCATTGTCGGGGAAATGTAGTGCCACTTACATGCTGATGTACAGAAGGGGCATATTGAGTGATGAACAAATTGCTCTGAAAATGGGTGATGGGTGAGGACCAGACTTGGGGTACTATAAACAACATCATGATACTTTGGGGATCTTTTGGATCAGACAGACCAAATTCTGTATAAGAAATGTTTTATTCAGAACAGGAGGTAGACAGCAAATTTGGATGGATTTGCTTCTGCAATGTAACTAAGCAATCATCACAATTCAGAGAACTTGCAACATTGCATTAAAGTAAACTGGCTTGACTTCATCAAAAGCTTGGTCATCAGAGCTTTTCATTTTTTTCCCAGATAATTTTCAAACTCAGACCAAAGTAAACAAAACAGGGTCCCTTTAAATCAAGCCAAACATTCCACAATGTTTGCTGTTACTCTGCCAAAGTGTTAAATTTTGTAAATAAACTGTTCATTACAAATTATTTATAAAGTTATGTAATATATGTATATGAGTACAGTAGTGCAAATGTTAGTGGTCCAAAGGTTGTAATGTACTGGTATGAACCTTATTATACACTAGTATTGTAAATGTCAAAATCCTGCTTTGAGTATTTACTCTTTTTCCTTAAATGTTTATTTAACATAGGTCAATATTGGAATTTCTGTCTCGAGTCTTATTGGGTATAAACTTGTAATGCAAACAACTAATTAGAATGCTGTTATCTACTAAATAATGCCTACCTGTGTTACAAGCATTAGGGTTTAAAGATTAATAATGTACTACACTTTCATAAATCTGTACCTTGAAGGAATCAGAACAATGGACATGTACATTGTACATGTTAATTTGTGTTACACTTGGCAAAACTTACATGCAAGGGGATATTTGCTTTGAGTATAACTAGGGGATGACAAGCCTCCCCCTGACAGGTTTACACCAACCCTCAGTGTATGTACGACTTCCAAGGCATGCAATTGTATTCATTTTCCAAATCTACGCTCTAAATTTTACAAGAATTGACTGAAATATTTTCAAGTACATGTATCTTTATTGAGTTCTACACTATTATGTGTTGCACCTTTTCGGTACTGGTACATTATTTGTGTTACCCTTTTTGACTCTAGTAATAATTGCACACGCTGACAAAATATGCAATGTGAGAGATTTAAGTATGTTCATTTATCTCAGGAAGTTCAATGTACTGATTAAATCATTCTTGAACACAATGTTCTAGCAATTAACTTATCCTTTTTCCTGTAAACAGTATCACTGTTTCAAAATGTTCTCTGGTTATTGTACTGATCATGAAATGCAACATGAATGGAAATTCCTTGTGGGAATCCAAACATCTCATGTACGCAAACTTTTTTGAATATTTGTAAATTTACATCTCCAAGTTACTGTATGTTGCATTGGAATTGTGCTAAAAAATTCTAGGGAACAGTACTTAAAGAGGCCCATAAATTGTCAAATTTTTCCCATGTATTAACAACTCTTAGAATGTTCAAACAAAATATGTGAACAGATAATAACAGCACTTATCTTACAGAATCTGTCATTCAAAGGCACCAATATATTATCATTATTCTAACTGGAAGGTCTCTCCACATCTGAACATTTCTAAGAGCATCTCAGCTCCCTGGAGAGTATACTAGCCTGATGCCACCATTCCAGTCACAGATGGCTATATCTGCCCTCATACAATGTAGGTACCCACTTACTCCTGGGTGGAAAGAGGCATGTAGGGGTAAAGTGACTTACCTAAAGTCACAACACTTACAACCATCTGACGGGATTTGAACCCCCAACCTTTTAATTGAGGCTACAGGGCCTAACCACTGGGCCGTATGTCCCTGTAATGAATGCTTCAAATGACATACATTGTATTCTTAACTGAATGAGAAGTAATTGCCCCATTTGTCAACAAAAATTCAATTTCATATGTTGGGTTGGCAGAGACAAGAGTCAGCTGCAGTTTAAGAGCTAAATGTATGTGGGTAATTCCAGAAATTAGGGGTCCAAACGTATGACTCTTTGTGTCCCTGTTAATCTTACCTTTGTTAATTGACATGGAAATATCTCCAGAATTGACTTCAAACTATTACTACATGTATTTGTTTGACAGGTAATTTGCATTAATTCATCACTCTTGAAAATTAGAAAATGTGTTCTGAGCTTACAAAATCATATGTCAAATGTGACAGGGACACAAAAAAATGGGACCCCTAATTTCTGGAATTACCCACATGTATTCCAGCATTAAATATAGTAGCTACAGCTGAACCTATCAGGGTAGGGCTACTTATGTAGTAACAGTTTGGAATTGCTCAATACCTTGGCCTGATTTTTTGTTGGGCAGTGTTGAACAACTGTATAATTCACAAATCTGGGTATTTTTTCATTAGGTATAATAATGCATGCTTTTGTATGGCAAGCTGTCCTTAAATTTAATGTTAGTTTTTGGTTAAATTCCTACCTCATTATTAATATTTGCCAATCCATAATTTATGCATACTACTAATTAGGGAAATATATACGATCATGGCAATAAGCCATTGGAAATGGGAACATGTATACATTCATCAGCAAGGAGGTGTGTACATGTATATATTTATGTGGGCATCAAACAGTTGTTACTTAAGTGTTGCTCAACTTGAAGGAAATAAATCTCGTAACGGACGTGGTGTTATTTGTGAAACTGTAAGGAATGTTCAAAACAAACGCTGGAGCATCATAGATTGTGGTGGTATGCTGCTGGTATTTTGGTATTCATTTTAATACCAGCTTTTGAAGTGATTCTATTCAATGTAACATATCCACTTTCTTTGCCTTGGCGTTTTTACTGAGACAATAAATGATTCATTATTTATGATCCTTTCTAATTAATTTTAGATTCATACCTGTGCATGTAAAAAGAAATAGCCATATTGTTAAAAATGTATGCATAAAATAATTTCACAGGTGCAAAAAGGTGTTATGTACAAGGCAAACAGAGGTGATTGTCTGTGTAAGTTATTTGTGCATCGTTAGTCAGTCATTTTCACTTGACAAATTCTATGCTTCCATTGTACATACAGATATTTATATTATAGTTTAGGACTGTAAATAAAATACAGTGTATCTCAGTGTATGTCTCCTTCACTCGATTTGTATTTTTATTTTTTCATAATTCTCAGGTGAATTATTTCACCTATGTACAGTGTATGTGCTGTTTACATGTCAAATGAAAAGATGATCTTCATTGAAAAAGCTGATTCAATGAAGTCAGTGCTTTGATTGATTAGCACTGATTCATTAGTCATTTGGCAACTGCAATATGGGCTCAGTATATGGCAAATACACATGGGAATTTCCCACTTTTTACTAATGTACATGCATGCCATATTGGGAATTGGAAGAATTTTAGATATCATTGTAGTATTTACAATGTAATTTGAAAGTCAATGTTCACTTTTCATAAAACCAGAGGGAATGTTACCTGCCTGTGAGACAAAGTGATTCATTCCTCCTGAAACGTGGATATTTACATGGATATTTACATTACTGATGTCACCCAGAGCCGTCAGCGTGTGCCTCCCCATTTCACATCTCGTAGTCCATGGAACTGTCGCTTCAAGCTATTTGGATCTGCCCATTCAGCCCCAAGATGAGAATCATCCATTTCAGTCTCTAGTTTCTATAAAGAGTACAGAGTAAGATGCTTAATACTTGCCAAATTTCACTGAGAAAAAAGTGAAAAGTCAACACTATGACAAATACTATATGCATGTTAAAATGTGCTAACACATGATTCTTCAAACTATTCATTTAAAAACAACCCTGCCATTAAAACTTCAGTCTTCCAATCTAGCTTGCTGGTTTTGAATGGATGAGCTTCCTAATTCATCATGCACCAAGTCTCACAAAGAACATGAGAAGATACAGGAACAAATTTGGTATTTGCATATTGCAAAATACATGTGACAAGTACCATACCATCACTGTTAATGTTAAGAGAAGGTACCGAAGTTGGTTGACGTCCCACTGCTACAAACACAACTATTACCTTCATTTCTTCCTGTTTCCTGTAAGCATAAGCCATCATTTCTTTCTGTTCATCCTGACTGAAGACTGGTTCTCTACCAGGAGCCCCTTGTCCCTTCTACAAACAAAACCAATCACCAGAATCAGTATCAAACAGGAAATACATGTTCAGATAAACCGATTAGCTTGCAGAAATCTTTGTTAATATTTTTGATAGTTTCAATGTTTGCCAAAGTTACATGTATGCTGCTTACTTCAGTCATGCACTATTGTGACTCCAATGCTACTGAATTGGTCCTGGCCCATCTATTATGTTGTAGTTCCATTTCAGCAGCAGAAACCAGTGTAACCATACTGAATGTCAAATGTTATTTTTAAGAGGTAAAGCAAGTAAAATTTATGGGAAGCTGTATTTAATCTTGCAAGGTGACTTCCATTATAATAAAAGGTGAAATATGGAAAGAAAGACACTGAAGAAAAAAACAACAACTTTCGGTATCATTTGTTTTTAACTTGATTTTCTTGCAATGGAAGTGTTGGCCCAACACCCTCATACAGCAACATTTGTGAGGCAGGCCACCACATATTTGAATTGGCCAGAGTCAAGACCAGTGATGACTGATAATTACTTTACCGCATGACCACTACATAGGCTATGTGTGGTAGCCATCTTGTGGGGCAGTTTTTTAGTTGTAGAGGGTATGCACAAACGGAGGTTCCCTTGTGGAACCAAAGAACTGCCATAACATGCAAGATGGCTATCATGCAGAGCCTTTATACTGAACATTTTGTGTGGACTCTATGATGTTTGCTGCACTGTGACGCAAAAGTTTTAAGATTATTGTTACAAGAGTTTTACCTTTTGTATCTTGACAATAATCTTTGTCTTTTCATTCTTCCCTACAATATCCAAGAGCTTCTTTCCTCGTTGCATTTCTTTTCCTGAGAACCATAAGCAAGCATTAGCCTCTTCGAGTACATCAAGAGATGCCTACAAAGACAGAGAGAGAGAACGTTTGCAAATAGATAACAAACTACAACATAAAACCAGGGACACAGTCCATCCAACCATGCCAAGGAACAGTGACCTGTCGCAGCAATGTTTCATAGTTACATGTGCATGATCTTGTCAAGCAAGTGCTTTTGACTATTAGGAAATAATAGAAGCCACTTTAGCTTGTAAGTGATTTTTCATTCTCCACTGCTCACCTGAGTACCAGCTAACTCTTCTTTATTCTCAAACTCCATTCTGATAGGATCATGTGGTGGTAGTCCCATGGGATACACTATCATTACAGCTCCTCTCAACTGATCCAATGAATCTTTCACTGTCTGCTCTGTCAAGTACATATTGCTCTTTACAAGATCCTGTTGAAGCACAGAAAAATCAAAATTTCAGTATGCAAACAGTCAGATACTATTCAAACTTGAGCTAAGCCAAGTCCAAACTGGCATAAGTTTAAGTGTCAAAGACCACAGAAGAATTAGGTCTGTGTTACGTTTATGATCGGATCTCCAAATTGACTCATTTTGAAGGCCTCAACTTAAAAACAGCCCTCGCACATCTGTGACTCATTTTATTATGTTCAGTCATACATATGCATAACAGTATTTTGAAAGCACGGCGACCGGTACATGTGTCTAAATGGAAACATAAGACATACCTTGGATACAGCTTTAGTTGCCTCACTTATTGTCTTGGAGATTACTTCCTTCATCTTTTCATTACAAGCTGTAAGCAGTAATAAAATGCTTTAAGTTAATTTCTATATTTATGAATTGTTGATTGATTTTATGTGCTGACACCAAATCGTCTCAGGAAAGATTTCCATGTATGGACACCACTTAGTTTTTCCTTTCAGTGACCTGTTTGCCATCTGAAAGCAAGAAAATGTCCTAAAAAGTCAAATTTAGCAGCAAGGCATTGAGATATTGTTTAAAAAACACTTTTTCAGGCCAGTCTCATAGGGTTTGCACACAGGGTGAGAAGTGGCGGCTTTATATGGAATTCTTTCCTACTCTGAAAGATTACGGAAAATATGATAAAAGTCTGCGTGAGAACAGCTCAATGTCTCAAAAACTGTGGAATTATTTCTGAAATAAGGGAGAAAAGTGACTCACACTTTTTCCAATACTGCATTTTCATGGCCCAAAATTTTACATGTGAAATATATGAATGCGTAACAGTGCGGCACTACAAAACTGTTGTGTTCCTAATACACTATCCCAGAAAACATGCAATAGCAACAATATAATGTACTCTTCTTGGGTCTTGTGCATAGAACACACTACATGTACATCTGTATGAGACTTCCATTGAGCCCATTAGTAAGAATAATGCAATGGTATCTAGGGATGCATTGATTTCATACCATAACCATTCCTCCTGCCAATTGGATCCTTGCTAAATATAGCTCCACCACTTGGTACACATTTGGCTTCCCACTCATCCTTCAATTTGAGTTCCTCTATCTGTTCCTCAGTTAGTCCTTGCATGTTAGGTGGTAAGCTGATACCGTGTTCAGATAGCTCCTTCATCTCTGAATGGAAATTGAATGTAGAATAAAATTGATCAGGGTACACTTGGTAACTTGTAGCATTATAAACTACCAGGATACAACCTGAATTGAAAATTCTGGTCAATGACATGTAATTTGTGATTAACATGATACATGTTCTCTGCTTTCCTTGATAACTATCCTCAGACATACATGTACCATCATGGAATCTTGTTTCTAATCAGTAAATTCACTGAACTTAACACTCACTCTGTAAATTATTCAACTGTACCAAGCAATTACTGAAATGAATGAAAAGATCAACCATTCTCTTTCAAATAGCATGACTTATACACACCTTGACATAATCTGCCAATCTTGAGCCTTCCATTATAGATAATGACTAATTCCTTGATCAGGTCATCAACTGTTGTGTTGACAGTGGTATCATATAAGAACTGACTTTCATCTCTGTGTTTGACGTGCAGTTTCACCATGATGATGCCAAAATTGTATATATAAGCACTGATCTAAAGTGAATGAAAACAAAAACAAAACAGCATGACAGTTTTAACCTAGTTTTTGCTTTAGACCTGTGCTGGGCAAAATTTGTAGATATTCATCAGTTTGGGTCTTTTTGCTAAAATATGTATGATTAGTCGAAGTCATCTGTAGTTACACCAAAGGTTGGCTTATTCATTTGCATGCTGGATCAACAAATCTGGTTGCTTGTCAGGAAGTCATCTGACATGTCTGATGTACTCGTATATGGAGGTCTTAGTTGCCTCATCTGTTAGAAGACTCACTGGCTTACAGATTCGTTTTAAGGCAGTTTATTTCATAGCAAACTGGTTGAGCTATAAAAGGAAAGATACTGCCCAGGTAATTAACTAGGCATTCAATTTAGCGAAATAAGAAGTCTGTTGCATGAATCATACCACAGTTCAGTGCCCTTGTTGGAATGTGCCATGACTGCCTCATGCATTCTTTTTGTTCTGTGTGTTCTACTTACTTTCTTTTTTTGCAAGGGCAGAACATTAATTCTCCATGCACGGTCAGGGCGGTTAGCACCTTGTCCACACATCTTTATATACTAACAACAGTCAGGCTGCTTTAGCAATAATGTGGATATCTCCATAGGCCAGAGCTCGGGCAACTGGACCGTTTGCCAACTCAACTTAGGAAAACTCAACCGTTGAGACAACTCGACTAGTGGGACAACTCGATTGTTGGGCAACTCGACCATCCGTGCTAGGGCTGCGCCAAAGATCCCAGTGACCGAATATTTGATCAATTATTGAATATTCAAATATTTGAGTAAAACGACTGCGGTTACACCATGGAAAAATCTCTTTCTTGAGTATGTGTGGTTCTGATCATTTCACTCATACAGTTCTTTCGCCATGAAAACGTTCAAGTCTTATCTATTCATATACTATTTTCCCAATTTGAATACTTGAATGCAAAATTCATGAAAAGGGAAAAGTTTTCTTTGTTTTAAATGGAAACAACTGCACTATGGTGGATTATTTCAAGCAGATTCAAATGAAAAGCGGCAAAATCTTTCAATTCAAAAAGTAAATTATTCAGTGAACAATTTGAAAGGAATAGAAATTTTTAACACGGCAAGAAACTTATTGTTCATCTCTTATATCTTGCTAAATCAAGGCTAAATCGATACTCCTCGATGTTGAGAAGCTATCACATTGATTATAATGTACATTTGTGTGCATTACTGCAACTGATTTTGTACATGTATATGGTTTATTCATGAACATATCTGCCAGTTGGTATGACTGAATATTTGATCAAATTGTAAGTTGAATATTCGAATAGTGAATTATTCGAATTGACTCAGCCCCAATCTGTGCCTCAAATTCGAATAGTGAATTATTCGAATTGACTCAGCCCCAATCTGTGCCTCAAATGGACAGACAGCTTGACTGTTGAGTGTTGGGACGAGTCACTGATTGAGACTTACATGTATGATGAGTGTGTATGAACTTTACAGTAACTTTGCCAACACCTTTTCTCCAAATTAAAAAAAGAGTAGGGATTGGGAGGGTCAGATTTACCATCTCCCACACTGGTAAAGAGACTAGATCATCGGTGCGGCCGAGGTGCTGCAATGTGGATGGTGTGCTACACCACTGACCACTGTGCATGCCATATCTCCATCACGGCCACACACCGTGCTAGTTAGGGAGGCTGACGCGTCAGCCAATGGTCCTGTGCATGCTGCATCATCAGATCCCAGAGCCTTTACGCATGTTATGCCCGGTGAGTTGAGTCACAACGCAATATAACACACGGAAGTTTGCCCAAGCACATTTGATAAGCAATCTGTCTTTACTGCCATAATCTCCATAATCTTCATGCCTTGCACAGTCGAGTTGTCTTAAAAGATGACTTGGTGCATGTAAAATATCAAGTTGTCTCCCCACTAGTCGAGTTGGTTGACTTGTCCTGAGTTGTGTTGGTAAATGGTCGAGTTGTCCAACATCCCAAGTTTAAGCAATGTACATCTCCACCGTACCAGGATTGGTTTTACATGTACATGTCTATTGCTTTTTACTGACACAAAACTTAATCATGTTTCTCATAATCTGGATTAAATTTAGCACAACATTCACAATGTAGATGACACAATTGCCTTGATGGACGTAGGCATAGGATAAAAAAACAGAAAGGAAAGTGTTCCACATCAATCCTCCAAACCCAAATTCTCACATAGGCCTACCATATTATTATTGACAACTTTCATCTCACCTTGAAGCCTGATTTTTTTTTATGACACTTGAGAATCAGAGTGGCCAGATACGGAACTTGGAAAGACTTCTATATCCAGACAACACTTGATGCCCCTGTGTACAAACCTTTGAGACTTGTCTGAAAAAGCCTATGTTTTTCTAACTACATGTAAATGCTTCGGAATTTTCCAAACTAAATTTCACTTTTTAGGACATGTTATCACTTTCTAATGGCTGTTACAAGTTTTTAAGGGAAAATTACTGTTGTCCATACATGTATATGGAACTCTTTCCCAGGACTCTTTCAGTCTTTACAAGCTCTTTCATTTTTATGCTATTTTGCAAATTCACTCAAGCAGTTGTTGCGATTGATTCAATCCCAACGACATTATGTATACACACTGGTGCCCGTGACGAGTTGACTCGTAATGTGTGGCCATCAAAATCATAATTGCCGGGTTGACCCGTTTCCATGAGCACGGGTGAATTTCTAAATACATGTAGGGATGTAGGGCCTAGGCCTACTTTTCAAAATCAAATACTCAATTTGTCAAAAACATTTACAAACGGTCTAGTCAACTGTCCTAGAATGTACCTTCATATGAACATAGCTGCTGAAACCAAGCAAGCCAAAGAAAAGACAAACGTGAACATGGTTAAGGTTAATTCCTACCGTTGGTTGTCGCCGCTATCTAAGCAACGCAAGTGGCCTCCATTAGCCCCAGTCGAATCGAGTGTGGCGCTGGCGTTGGCGGCGCGGTAACAACTTAACTGGAGATACCAACAACGTTGGTTGAAAATGAGGGCGCTATCACAATGATGCGGCCAGAGCTGGAGCTGAATATGCGCGCGCCGGCGGCTCGTGATTTTTTCCCCGTTGGTGGGCGAGGGGCAATTATTATCATGGGCGTGGTTAACAGCAAGCTCGATCAATACTGGCGATTAACATTTCCACACGTGCATTGGGTCGACAGATTCGCGCATTGTGATTGGCCAACACGTTACAAATTTTGGAGGTGCACTGTTGTGAAACGCTCGTATTTCGTGGTCATTCAGAAACTTTAGTTCGAAGGCAAATATCGGGTTTTACTTTCCTATTATAAAACATCCTCAACCGACCGATTTTCCCCCAAGACAAAACAAAATTCCCTAATTATGTAAAGGTTAATTACCTGAAATATAATTAGAATTATATGAGATAAGGGAGGAGAGACTCACCTCGTAGATTGCCCCTCGTGATGTAGTCTGATCCACCTTAGAAGTAATGGTATCGTCTTCAATTCACATTCACATTTAAGTCAGTGCCCAGGTTCAGGCCAGTGCACCCTGACTCCACCTTGTAACGTTCTCTTTGAAGCTTGAATCGCTGCATCAGATCAGGACTGGCGACGGGTTAGATTGGATCTAGGGAAGGGTAATAAAAACTTTGCGTGTAGCAAAAGGAGAAAGAATAAAAGAGGGAGGGAGTTGAGTCTCTCCTCCATCATCTCATACAATTCTAATTATATTTCAGGCAATTAAACTTTACATAATTAGGGAATTATATTTCGCTAATCTCGGAGAGACTCACCTCGTAGACTTCAAAGCACATCTGCAATCTAAGCCGACGCCAGCACTCCTTGATCGTAGATCGTCTTGTCAGGATGTCTGCAGTAAAAGGTTGCAAACGTCTTCGATGAAGACCAATCTGCTGTCAGAATGTCACCCATTGTAACACCAGCACGTTTTGCTGCTGAGGATGATGCACTCCTAGTAGAGTGTGCTTTATAGCACGAGGTGTCAATACCAGCCACTGCCATGTTAGATTTCAACCAGCGCGCAATGGTTGATGACACAACTGGGTGATACGGTTTTCCATAAGAAATGAAATGTTGTGTGAATTTTGTACTCCCAGAACCCCACAGAGAACTCGTGCGATCCAGGTATTCATCCAGCGCCCTGACTACACAAAACTTCCTGCTAGTAGGGTACTTACGGAGAACTACTTGGCCGCTGCACTGAAGCACACTTGGCTAACTTTTGTAGACAGAACACACAAGTACTATCCTGTTCTCTTTTTAGAAGGAGATGTCTAAAGCTGTCAAAGATGAACATCTCCCAGCTGTTACAAGGGCTATTAACATGGCCAATTTCTGCGAAAGCTGTATGATATTGAGACGACGGTTGTCAGGGAGTTTGTATAAATATCTCAAAACAACACCGACATCCCAGGTAGTATCATACCTCGGTTTAGGAGGTCTTAAATTAAATTAATTTAATTAATTAAATTAATCTGGTTATTAAATGGTGTTGACGAATGGGTTTCCTATCAACAAAATAATGTGTAGATGAAATAGCAGAACGGTAAACATTGAACGTCCTGTATTGGAGACCATATCAAACAACTCCTGTAAAAAAGGATAACACCTTGGCTACAAATGCCTGAACAGGATCAACTTTCCATTTAGAACACTAGCTGCACCAGCATTTCCATGTCGAATTGAACTGTTTGTGAGTATTCTGCCTCCAGGATGACAAAATTGTGTCGAACACGTTAGGTGGAATTCCTCCTGTTGCCATGGTATACCGGATAACCTCCAAGCGGCTAGTTGCATCTTGTGTGCTAGTGGGTGTTGTTCCAAGTTTTGCGGTAGGTGTAGAAGATCTGAGCGCCTTGGCAGGAGGAGAGGGCTGCCAATAGTCAGTTGCAATAGTAACGGGTACCAATTACAAGGTTGCGCCTTCCAGACGGGAGCTATCAGAACTACTTCTGCTCTGTCTCTGCTCACTTTCTGAAGGCATCTGGCTAACAGTATAAACAGGGGAAACGTGTAACCTAATATGTCGGTCCAGGTCAGCATCAAGCGTCTACGGCCCAAGCAGAGGGATTGGGTGTCCACGAGACAAACTTCTGAAGTTGGGTGTTTAACCTGGTTGCAAATAGGTCGACTTCTGGTTGTAACGCAAAGCTGTCCATGATCTTCCGGAAGATTTGAGGAAGAAGACACAATTCGACACTGTCATTGAACTGTCTCGACATCATGTCCGCCCTGGCACTCTGCGACCCTGGAAGATGCTCTGCCGAAATCACTATGCCCCGACGAAGACACCAAACCCAAATCTGTACCGCCAGACGTGGCAACCGTTGGTTGTGTGTTCCTCCCTTGTGAGAAATATATGCCCCTGTCGAAGTGCTGTCCGTGTGCACCCGAACGTGTTTGTTGCTGCAACAGGCCACTTGAGCGCATACCACACTGCCAGAAGTTCCAAATAATTGATGTGACTGAACTGTTCTTGGCGCATCCAGCGACCTCCAGTTTGGGTCTCGCCGAGGCACGCACCCCATCCCACCAGCGATGCATCTGTTTGGAGATGAAGGTCGGAGATGTCCTGAACAAATCAGTGACCATTCCAAGCGTGAATGGAGTCTATCCACCACTGACGTTCCTCCTTCGAATCTGCCGAAAGAATTGTTGTCGACTCGTAGGACCTGTTCTTCTGAAGAACGCAGTTCTGGTCGTTCTGCAGGCAACGATAAAAAAGAGGCGCTGGAAGCACCGTTTGAATGGTTGATGACATATGGCCTATAAGACTCGCTATATCGCGAACGGTGAGGTCGTTGAACTGCTGAACTTGATGGCAGTGAGATACAATTTTGTCCGACTTTTCTTGTGTAAGGGATAGTGTCATGTGCTCGGAGTTTATGACGAACCCCAAGTAAACAAGTTCTCTGCTGGTAGGCTCCAGATGAGACTTACAAAAATTTATCACAAAGCCTAGACTCTGTAGAAGCAGAAGAGTCCGTTGCACATTCTTTCTGCATACTTTGAGTGCAGCTTCTAACACTACAATATCGTCCTGGTAGAACACAACGGATTTCCTCCTGGCGAAGGAATGCTGTGACGGGTGTTAGAATTTTTGTAAATGCCCGAGGAGAACTGGACAGGCCAAACGGTAGGCACGTAAACTGGAAAATCTGTCCTAACCAAACAAACCGGAGAAATTTGCGTTGAAGCGGATGTATCGGTACCAAAAAATAAGCATTCTTCAGATCTGTGGAGGCTAGGTAATCGTGCGGTTGCAGCAAACTTTTTACACTTGTTAGGCCCTTCATCTTGAAGTAATGATACTGAATAAATCTGTTCAGGGGCCGTAAATTGAAGTTAGGCCTGGATCTCCATTTTTCTTTGGAATGAGGAACACAGGAGAAATGAACTGACCTGCAACTTGTTTTTCTTTGGTATTTGCTCCCTTTTCCAGCATTAACTCTATTTCTGCTGACATAGATGCTTTCTGTGCCTGGTTTTGTATCTCTGTTACCGGAATGTGATGTTGCACCGGTGTCTGGAGAAGCTCGAGATGATACCCTTAGATGCTCTCTAATACCCATGGGTCCCGAGTCACTGAAAACCATTGATGAAGAAAATATTGAAGGCGCCCGTCCTGTGGACGGAGTGGTTTATCGCTTAGTTTTTTTTAACTCTGCTGCTCGAACGAGCGAAAGCTACGTGTTGCGAAAGAAACTGCGGCTGAAGGCACCACGACGTCCCCTGCTCTGCGAACGTGCCATTGCATGACGGTACGGCGCAAACCGCTTCTCCTTCTGGGTTGTAGAAAAGCCCTTCGTCACCTTTGTCGCTAATTTATTCGCTTTCTCAGTCTCTTCGATGTCTTTCATAATCGAAGAACAAAACAGTTCACTCATGGATGGGGAATTTTTGCGAAGGACATCAAAACGCTTATCAACAATCTCATCAAAAAGGTGTTGACGTGCCATAGCCAAATTCTGGCTTGCCCAACCCAGTAGCATCAAAGCTGAAGTCAAATGTTCAGCAACAAGATTTTTACTTACTGAGTCAGGGCACTCTGTATCCACCATAGCATCAAACAGATGAAGAAGTGGCAAAGCTGACTTCAAACATGTCCATGGGCCGACTTAAAACGGTCGTCCCCTGAAACAACGGACGAATTAGCTTGCTTGAAGACCTTCTTAATCCCAGTTGGCAATTCTGGAGGTTCAAAGTGGCCTACTTGATCAACTGTTACCACATGAGACTTTAGTTCCTCTTTAAGGTCGTCTGGAGACAGCTTACTCGTTCTAAGATACTTCCACCAATCTAGCACTTTATCAGATAAAGGCGTACCCGTGTCTTTACGATGAGGGTTGCGAAAGGAGTCTGATGCACTCGTCGGAGTAAACGATGCTGAGCAGGATGAGCAGGCACATATTCCTGTTGCATGGGCTCCATCCAAGGAACACACATACCATAAGGAAACACAGGGTTGGTTGAGTACCGCCCGTTTGTAGCAGGCCGGGTCCCCTAGCGGCATACATAGGAACGTGAGGCTGCATAGGTATATTGTTCCACATATTGCCGAATGGCGCGAAAGTTGAAATGGGCGTTGGCAGGGCATGGGTAGGAACATGGCAGCTTCCGATGCTGGGTTGGGTGCTCGGCTGTTGCACTGGATATGGTTGCCCGGGGTAAGTACTGCTGCTATGGCTCGATGTTACATGTGGGACCGGGTATGGCGGCCCGACCCCACGCTCAACATTAGGTGCCACCAATGGCGAGGTAGACACTTGTGAGCTTCTCTTTGCGGCAGGAGCGACCCTGGCGAGGTCAAACCTGCAGAGAGAGCCATTCCTGTCCTCTTCATCTGGCAGAATCTCTTTAGTTGCCTTGGCTAGAATTTCCATAGATTCATCATCATCTGAAGGACGAGAAACTGGGGATGTTGCAGGAGCTGATGAAGATGATGAACGTGAACGAGTTCTCTTAACTTCCATATTGAAAAAAGCGGAGAGATTTTAATCACGACTTATCAGACTGCGCCACAAGAAACAAGGACAGCGTTACAAGGTGGAGTCAGGGTGCATTGGCCTGAACCTGGGCACTGACTTAAATTTGAATGTGAATGGAAGACGATACCATTACTTCAAAGGTGGAGCAGACTGCATCACGAGGGGCAATCTACGAGGTGAGTCTCTCCGAGTTTAGCGAAGTATAATCATGGCTGCATACATGCAGACTTCTGAGCTTCCGTGCAACTCGGCCTGAAAAGCAATTTTGTTGTGTCTCTCCGAGCAGAACAAAAGAGGGCGCGTTTGTAAATGAAATTAATGGTCCTTTTGGGGAGCAGTGCCCCAATTCAGGGGAAATTCTCCGCCAAGCGGAGACGCACTTTTGAAAAGAGGGGTCTGTTTGGGCCAAGAAATGGTGGGATTGTGTCAGTGTGACCCGGGATCAGTTCTTTTTATTCAGGGGCACCCATCTGGGGGGCAAAGCAGACAAAAATGTGATTGAAAATTTGTCAGGAGAGCCCAAGGAAGGTGAGGGATGTCATTTGAAAATGGCCGCTGAGAGGACTTGGGAACATTCACTTTTTGGAGGCGAGTTTATTTTTTGGCGTATAATTAAAAAATTCATTGGTTAACCTACTAAAAATTGAAAATCAAATGAAATCCGAAGGACCAAACAACACACTGTTTTTTGTTTGAGATGCCTCAGGGACTTTAGTTGCCTGCCACGTACGGGGCTCCAAACTTGGTTGGTTTTACACTATTTTCAATGGAGCATGAATTGGTTCAGTGCACCCTTTGGTACCATGAGTCATAGAGCTTTACTAAAGGTGCATTCCACCAAATGTTTGTATTTCTGCGCGAAAGCTCATAAATATTTTGTGATCCCATGGGGTTTCTATAATAAGACATGCCATAATCAGGAGAGATCATAGAAATATTTCTAGAAATCCCAAATTTGGGACTGATCCAGTTTGGGGTATTGCTTTCACAAAAAGCCCCAAATTGCTGGCCTATTTTGGATAGAGGTGGGCTGCTACATTCATAGCTGAACGCATAATTTTACTACTATTTTTGCGGTATCTTCGGGAAAAGGCAAATAAAAAGAATTTCGTGGCTAACCCTCATAAAATTGAAACGAAAAGTGATCTCCAGGCTATAATTTTGAATTTCCAGTGCAAAACAAGAGAGGCCAACCTCTTCACGCTATTTTGGTCCGATTTTGCACTGTTTTCTCAATAGTAAAACTCTATGACTGGTACCAAAGGACCGTTAATTTCATTTGCAAACATGCCCTCTTTTGTTCCACTCGGAGGGACACGTAAAACAACATTGCTTTTCAGGCAGCTCAGAAGTCTGCGTGTATGAATTTTTTGTCCGAAATTTGGGGCTTTTAGTGAAAAAAATACCCCGAACTGGACGCCTTCTGATTATGGCCTGTCTTATTGTAAAAATCCCGTGGGATCACAAAATATTGAGTTTGCGCGCAGAAATACAAACATGCGCGCAGAATGCACCCTTGGGGGGAACGGCGTTCCGTTGGGTCTCAATGGTACCAACTCACCACATAAGCGCACAAGTATATGCGCGTTTGACGCGGAGTACGCGCAACGAATTTATTCCAAAGTATATGGTCTTTGCACACACAGAACGCGTACAAGAACCCAGTTGTAGCCATCTGTCTTTCTCTCGCGGACTGGGGGTGTTCGTCCACCCATTAATGTTAATTGCCCCAACCATCCTAAGAGAAATACGCACGCACAATTCCTGCTTTTGACGCACCAACCCGCGGAAAAAATCTGCATGCTGTTCAGGAGTACTTGGGCATTTTGGCTCGGTGCCATGCCTGACGCACATGCAGGCCTACTACTGTTATATATTCGGCCAAATTAATTGAAACGTCTGATTTTAAACAAAGTACCCGCTTAAGTCCTAGATGCAGCAAACGTTTCATGACAACAGCCTTCGTGTTGTGTCCTCTGTTCCTACCATTATCACCTGAAAACATTTTAAAAAAGCCACTTTTTGCCCAACTTATGAACAGTTATTTTGCTCACCAAGCAGGGCTGCGGTAAATGGCTCTCTTATGACAGTGAAACCACTCAAGCCACAAAGGAGTCGTTTACACCCTGTTGGTATGGCTGCCCTTCAAGCCCCAACAAAGAACTTACAGTCCTTGTATTAGGGTGTAATCTGTAGCGAGTGTGACAAAGCTGAAATTTTTCAAATGTTAATCTCAAAAACATCGTCAATGAACTGGCTATATTCTTTTGTGTGTTTTGGCAAACACCAACAGTTACTTGGAAATAGCAAGACACTGTTGTGCAGCACACAGGTGTGTTTCTGAATATACAATGTAATTCCATCACTACATATCACATTGCTACAAGCCAACACAAGAATGTATGACTGGCATAATCCTATGTACAGTGATGTAAACTGTATGTACATACATTTACTTTCCAGTAAAGGCAACAGTCATTGATCAAGTTACCAAAACAACAATGCAAGAACATTTTGTCATTTTGAAATATTACCCACAACACCACAAAAATTCAGCTTTCATGATACATGATACATCTCTATTACATTCAGACGTTTTGCCCACAGCTAGTGGTGCTATTCTGGTTGTGAGAGTGTTCCCCCTCCAGATGCCACCATGATTGCTGGATTTGGACAATTGTCAGGTGTTTAGATCTCATTTGGGCGAAATGAAGTATTGACATGCAGATGGATCCCTACGGCTACATTCTCATATACATGTACATCCCTGAAACAAATATTCCGTGCTAAATGGACACATGCTATGAAAGGCCCACAAATTCTAGCTCCACCAATTGAAATCAACCAAAAGTTGCCAATGCAATTTGGGAAAATTGTCAAATTGCATCCTCTTCAAATATAAATGTCTCCCTGAATGTTCTTTAGTTAGTTCATCCCTAGCAATTTCCTCACTTGTTTTGTGTCTTTTCTTTATCCGTGTTCTCTTAGGATGTGAAGAATAAAACCCTTTTATGAAGTTACCAATTCAAAACGACTCCTATTTTAATCTGCAATAATACTGATGCATAAAACATATGAAATAAAATCAAATCATATATATGTATACAGTTAAAATAACGAACAGGCAAGGAACATTGGTGGCCCATACAAATAGATACACGTACTTCCACAAGTGGACTAGTTCAAAAGAATTCAAACATCCCTTATGTTGATGGGTAGACAATGTTACAGCATGCCAACACTCAAAGACATCATCATGAAATATGTCACTGCTACTGGTCCCTTCGATCCTTAGCCAACGGAAACAGCATATCAGTGCCACTTTTAAACAATTTTTGTCAAGACTCTTTACGTATTACATCAGAGATGAGGGTGCAGTCAAAGTTCACACAAAATGCATTGGCTGAATTTGACGTCCCAGTTCCGCAGTACCTAATAGAATTGTTCAGTTTAATTTCACATTGATTTACTCCTGAAAACTGCTTAGCATGTAATATAACTCAACTTTTCTTTCTCGGTGCAATTTAAAATACAAAACAAACAAACAATATCCCAATGAACAAATTATTGACTAATTTTTCATTGTATCCCACCACAAATGTTTGGATCATGGACATTAACTTAATTAGTTCCAGGCATCGCAATTTAATTGAAGACTTGGAAGGAGGATTTACCCTTGAAAACGAAGCATTAAGCTTGCTGCATGACATACACCATTATCACCCATTCGGAGACAAGAAAAATAGATTGTGATAGACTTGCATTTTTAATTTTCTCTTTGCCTATTGGCCCTTCATTGGAGAAGGCTTGTAAAATGAAAAATCTGTACACGCAGCATAAGTGACTTCTGGTTTTTTGTGTTGCATTACAATTATATACAATGGCCACACACGGAGTATGTAAACATGTTTTCTAAAACAACTGAGTGACATGTTGAAAAATATAAAAACACTTAGGAGAAATGTAAAAAAGTTCTATACAACTTGTATTTACATGTACATACTTAAAATTATTAATGTTAAAATAAGAATATAAATGTGTAATGTCCTGAAAGAGTGGTGAACAAGAAGATGCAGTAATGCAGGCTTGAGACAGACTAGTCACAGGATGAGCTAACGACAAGGAGTTATCAAACATGGAGCTCACAGTAGTCATCAACTTTACCATTACTAATCCTGCAACAAAATAATGAGAGAAGATTTCAGTAGTTTGAATAAGATCATTCTAAAACAGAGCAATTCAAACCTTTTTCAAAACTAACATCACTGACACTTAGTTTTGGAATTTTGCCCTGCCCGACGTGTATTTTAACACTGTATGCTCAGTTTATGCCCCGAAGGCTTGTGAACAAACCACAAGCATTCTCGGGTGGAACTTGAACCCACGTCCTCCCGCTTACTAGTGCAGACGTCTTAAGCGGGTATCGCGAACAACTAAAACTTGATTTACATTTCCCCGGCAAAAATCCATCCTTGAAATCACTGACACTGTTTCTAATTAGACTTACTAGACTGCAAGCTGGATCCATCATCATAAAACAGGGCCTTGTCCTTGTATCTTTGCATCAGTCTTTTCTGGCTTTGTTTTACACATCATTGAAACCTGTTTGGCAAGTGCACGGTTCTTGGCCTGCACATAGTAAATAAAATACAGCATCTTACAAAAAATTTCAGGTTGCACAGTCCTTTTTTCAGTTCAAATATATCCCTCTACTGACCATACATGTATAAGTCTGACTAGCTTAAGAGACCCAGAAAGATATTTGTTGGTACAAATACATCAACTGATCCAGTCCATTATACTCTACATCTTTAAACATGTCCCCTGCTCTCCTTCAGTCTTTCATCTTAAAGAGAGAAAAGAAACTGAAAAATCTTCACTAATTGGAGGTAAATAAACATAATGATAGGAGCAAAAGGACGTCAGGTACCTGGACATCTTCCATGGTTTCACCATGTTGTTTCTGAAGAACTGCAAGCTTGTTTCTCAATTCTTTCTCAATCTGCATGTGAGTTGCTCGTAATTCAGTTATCTAACAGGATGATAACATCAGACAATTTAAAAAATCAATACAATCATAAATGCAGTCCAAAAACAATTAAAGACAAGGGTTGGGGTGTGCAGCAAGTGTTTTTCAAACTAACCTTTTTATCTCTCTCTAAGATGATCTTCTCCTTTTCTGCCAAGAGCTTCTTAAGAGATGCAATCTGCTCCCGAAGTTGAGTCATGGCTACCATATGATCAGTATTGCCAGGATCCACAAACATTAAATCTGATTTGTTCCTAAAGAAAAACACAGGATGCGAAATTATTGGAAAACATGACAATACTCTGCAATTTGACGCATCTTGGAGTGATAGTTTTCTGCTGAGAGAATAAGGTTTGCAATTTCTTTCAGTTTGGAAAACGATGCCTGTTGTACGAGGTAGCTTGTTACAGTTCATGCAGTTAATTGAAAAGGATAATGGAGTTTACAATTACAAGTTTGCTTTATGAACAGAAATCATAGAATGTATTTTCTGGATAGTTACCAGCCTATTATTGTTCTCCCTGAATATCTACCCCCCTTTCCCTCAACATATTCCTTACAATGGCACTTTATGTTGCATGTTACTACATCCTGTATTCATGCTCATACATGCATGTTTTTTTCTGACAAAATAGAGGTCTTTCCATATAAACCAATTTGTTCATAACCAGTTTACATGCATACATATATGTAGCATTTGCAGAGGACAAGTTGCAAGTGGGATATTTCCTGCAATAGATCCTATTTTGCTGAAAATTCCAGATGACTGATCAAACTCCACTTACACTGATGATGGAAGTACACCATTGCTAGAGTAGTCTGACTTCACTCTCTTAGTGTCATTGTCATTTGATGATGACCTACAATTATGAATGGCACACGGAAACAGGGGCAAGTCACATTACGGTAAGCCACCAAGAGATTGCCACAGAAAGGCCATTTTTAAGTTTGTGGTCAACAAAAAACATGCCTCGCCATGACTTGCATTTGAGTTTACATCACTTGAAAACCTGTGTGAATTTTTGATAGATTGGGACCTTCCACACAAAGGAAAGAAGAAAGGACTAATTAAAACTGCTACATGAAATATTTTAATTAATCTTCTTTCTTAAGCAAAAAATCTGGAGTAATTAAAGTTCTCCACACACAGCTGGCACACAGAATATGTCTGCCTTTCCCCACAATGCACTTCAACAAATGGCCGATTTGTGGCAACCTCACACTGAACTTTAGATTGACATTTCACGGAATCAAATATTAATTTTGGGGCAAAGCTTGGGCACCATTTCATTCTGGCTTTATGTTGGATTAATTTGTTTCCTTTATTGATGTATTTCAAGCAATATACATTTCTGGAAAGTAGGAGAGTACAACCATACAAAGTGAGAAATTTATCCAAGATTGAGGGTAAGTGCAACTGAACATAATGATACTCATCAGGGGTATGTCTGAAAAGTTTCAAGCAAGTTCCTCAAGTCTCACTTTGTACAATCATTTGCAATGGCACAAAAAATATGTTAATCAAAACAACTAGTGTGCATAAAATTTTTCTGACAATACCAACAGTGATTAAGAGAACTTTCGGATATTCTCATTGTTTTACTGTTGTACCTTACTGTCAGAATCAACACTACTAATAACCAAATGAGGAAATTTTCTCATGCTGAACACGACCTCCTATGATTTACTGACCTGCTATTTAACTTTTCTAACTTGTCATCTGGTTTGGCAGATTCTCCGTTGTTTGCTTCCTTTGAGGGCTGTGAGGAACTACGATGGTGGCTGCTGACAAGCTCATATTTACGCTTCTTAGCTTTCTGAAGAACTCTTTTGTAGGAAAGTGTGCATAACCAACACAGAAGTTTTCCATCCACCTGAGGTGCAAGTGCAGAATTTGCTACACATAAATGTCCATAATTATGATTAAATTATTGGTTATTAAGATGCTTCTCATTTCAAAAGTCAGACTGCACAAACGGATTTGGGGGTCAAAATGAATAATGTAGTGGTTGAAAACAACCTGCCAGTTACAAATGTTCCTGAGAATTTGAATAAATATAAACACCATGGAAATAGATACAAATGTGAAATGTAACATTATTAAGGTAAGCCCGGCCATAAACTCCAAATACTATAACTCAAGACCATGCAGAGAAACTATTTTAAGCCTGAATCCATCAAAATCATTTTCAACTATTTAGTAGATTTTGATGGACTCAATCTAGGAAGGCTGAGGTGAAAAAACGTTAGTTTATGATTGATTTTGTCCAGGAGGCATTCAGTACATGTTGCCATGATGATAATGTCATGTAAGCCGTGTGTAAAAGGTCTATAAACAAAGACAATTACGTCAGCGGTTGACAATTTAGCAAATGTGGAATACACAGGGAGTGTTGGATTTCGATGGATTTGGTCCAGTGCCTAGTAAAAGACACTTGCAAGTTAAGTTTAATCTAATGCCATCGTTTATTTATAATAAATTAACCATCAATCAAGAACTTACCTTCTTTCTCTCTTCTTTCCTATCAAATCCACATTTCTGCTTGCACTGTTCACATGTGTGTGGAGGACCATACTTCTTTTCCGAGTTGGCACAACGTTGACATTTATTTCCAATAAAAGCAGCGATTACATTGCAGTATTCACATGGCTTTGGCTACAGACAAAGGAAAAAGTAACATTAAAAAATTGGTGTCACCTGTTTTAATTAGCATCTATACTTTCATTTTCAGAACTTGTTTTTCTGTTCATTGGTATTTTGCAAAAAAGTTATTTCCTGAATGGACAGGACCTGACACGAACAGTTAAAAAGGGTCGTTTTCTGAGATTATTTGACATAGATTATATCAATGAGCAGTTTTATGCATGCAAGGGAGGGTTTTGTCTTCATTTTAAGCATGGGGGGGGGGAATCCAGGAACATGTAGTGCACTGCTGTGAGTGCTGTGTTTGCAATACCTAAAAAACAAGTTGTCTTGATATGAAATTTTGCAAAATGTTCTTATTCAATATTGTCTTTTTAAATGAAAGACAAATGTGACTGTAAAAAAGCTAGTACCTGTGAGGGTTTTGACATACATGTACATGACACAAATTTCACTACTTCTTTGATGTCATCAAAACCCCAAAAAGTAATGGACTGCAGCTAATGAAAAGTGGCTGTTACAATGAAAACCTTGCTTCAAATCTAAACAAGAGGCAAAACGCCCATCTTGAAACAGAATACCTGTCACTGCTCACATTATAAGACCAGATTTGCACTAGAAAGACAAATTCTGTCATTATGAAGGTCAGTTTCATTTATTTCATACACTATAGGTGAGAAATTACAGACTGATGTCCATATGCTAAATCAAATACAAGACATTCGCTGGAAAACCCTGAACTTACAGTGCCGTAGAGCTTGACATTTTGTGCACATTTCTTGCAGATAGTATTTGTGCTGCTTTTACTGGGGGGAAAGAAAATAAAATCAAGAAACTACATGTGATATTAGTTCTGCCAAAAAAAAACGATAGTCACGTTACACAAATTCATGCATCAAATACATACATGTATCATCCAAGATGCAGAATGTACCACAAAATGTGATTTCTAAACTTTCCATTACTATTAGAGGATTTGAATGCAGTGCCAACTTGGACAGAAAAATTGCCAAGTCTGTAAAGCAAAGATTGGCACTTTCACGTACCATACTTGTATCATGTGGTATGGTGCATCACACTACAGTGTATTTGTATTTAAAAATCCCAGGTACATAAAGCTAGAAGTTTTACAATTACATACTTCTCTTGCTGAAACTCTGCCCTGCAGTAAGTGCATTTCACCACTGGATAGGAACCTCTGCAGTCCTTTGACACAAAAAAATGCTTCAGTATGAAAATGCCATCCATAAATCTTCCAACCATGCTGCATAATTCAAATGCATAATGTATAACCTCAAATAATTTGTCACCTCAAGTTGCACTAGAACTTTCTGACTGTGAGACTGCAAAAAGTGTGACTTAAACAAGTTATCATATTCAGAGCACAGATTAAATACACATCAAGATGTCTGTGTTGATACACATGTAGTAGTACATGTACATGTAAAGCAATGCAACGGTTCACATGTTTGGTACACCTGAAATGCATGCTTAAATGTTCATATAAATGAACTGTTAGCATCTCTTGTTCATTACTTTGTACTTAATTTCAAATATGCCAGATGTAATAGTTCCAGATGAAAGGGTAAGAAAGCTTTTTGCACTAAAGTGAAGAGTAGTTTTCCATTGTACCTTACACAGTTGCTGCCCTTGCGAAAGCTCCTCAAAGGGGTGACGACTGTTGCACTTAGTACAGGCAAACAGTGGGTTCGTTGTGGTTGAAATCGACATTGCACAGATCCTTATCTGGTTTGGGCAATCTCTTGACTTAACATCTAGATGAAATATATTCTAGCCACATCCACGCCCCATAGCACTATACTACAATACACGTACAAATTCCCTTAGTTGTTGCATCTGCATAATAAAATGAAGTAACAACATTAACAATTAAGGCACAATTACAAAATACTTTGCAACTCAAGCATCCCAACTTGTAGCCGGCTACAGAGCCATGGTTGACTACCTACCCACGGTAAATATGTCCTCAATGTGCTACGACTTTGTATCTGGGTAACCAGCTACAGGATAGTCCATTGGGACTTAAAATGTGGAATAATTTCCCTCAACAATTCCTATTTGTTGTGCGTTCCTTTGAACTCCAAAGGCACCTTGACTCCTTATCCATGCCCGAGTACATGACAACAGGGTACTTGGTTAGGACTTAGAATATTCTCCCACCTTAAGCCCATATACACATGGCTGGCTGCACTAGGTAGTCAGTTTGGACTTAGAATTTTTTTACAACTCCTCGTCATAGTGAATTCCTTCATTCTCAAAAGTGCCCAACTCTGATGTGTCATGTTCGAAGCCAGGTAGCCTATGTGGTCAAGTATAGCAATTTAGGAAAGAGTTCCATACATGGACATCACTTGACACAAACAGCATGTGCACAAACCCAATGAAACTTGTCTGAAGATGTTTTCTAAGTCTGTAAGACAAATGATTTAATCTTTCACTGCTAATTTGTTAGGCCATCGCTTTTTGGTCATGCTAATGGCCTCGTTCTATAAGATGTAAATAGAAAAATAAGTGATGTCAGACTGTGTTTGGAACTCTTTAGGGCCTACTGCAATAGCGATCAGCTTAATCTGCAAATAACAAAACAAAAATGATTTTAGGCCTAGGCCCAGGCCCCCCGCAGGCTATATCACTGAATAAACATGATGAACGAATGTTATAATTATTTATTGGCTCTATCCAACATGATCCATGCACAAACAGTTAATTACCGAGAAACTAGGCTTTACGTTTCAACTTTCAATAACAATTAACGTCAGAAGCATGATACTTAGTCATAGGCCTAGTTAAGCGGTAAGAATAATTTTTACGTTTAAGTTTAACAATAACATGTTCAATCTTTTAATTCATAGTCCCAATTTATTGGAAATACGTAAACTAACACGTACACCAGTACCCATTTCTACAGTCATGGTGTCTAACTTTTAAGTAAATGTAGGCATATATGAGATGAAAAATACGACAGACCGAGTTGATCGCCTTACCTTTCATGCCTTTTGCTTTCCTTGAATGATTGATGGCGCGGGTGCCTCAAATTTGGAAGGCGCCATCTACATTGAAGTAAAGCAGTAGACTGGCTACATGAATAAGTATCTCTCCGCAAGAGTTCATTACGTACTTCCGTAAAAAGGAAAGTCTATTCACTTCACTGAAAATTCATCAGGTTTGTTCCCAAGCGCCTTTCTTTGTAGTGTGAGTAATTTAGTTGCTTCCAAAGAACCTAATGCACAAATGACAAATGATGGACTTTTGTATTCGGCATGGTAAGATGGCCGCCGGTGGCTTCATTGACCTCTGTGTACCGCAGACAACATTTTCGGATTCTTTACACACTTTTGGAAGGAAAAGGAATAATACAGCCCCCTTACCCGAAGAAATTCCTTTCTCCCAAAGGCTCTTTTTAGGGGAGGGGGCTCCTTTGGCCCCAGATCCACCCTTGTAAAAAGAATCCAACTCATGTTTAAGTGTGTTTGTTTTTTGCATTTAAAATATGAAGAAGATCGAATCAAAACGAATGAAAAACGTGACGCTTGTTCAAAAAAGTTAATGTACAAAGACAGGGATAAAAATCCTAGAAATTTTTCGACTTTTTGGACTAAAGGGAACTTTAAAGAGTAACTTATCACAACAGACTTTTTCAAATCTAAAGCATTTTGTAGGCTTTTGAGTTTAAGTTGACAATCTGGTAATTGGTCCAATGAATCTTATTTGATCAAATTTCTCCATAGGTTAATGTTGCACGCTGCATGCAACCTGATGTCGGAAGATCTAAAATATTAGTTCGGCAGGTCCAGTCTCAGCTATTCCCTATTTATTAATTTTGACTACCATGAAAGTTATAAAGGTAACTTTAAACGAGACATACTCCTTCTGACACTTTAGGTGCACTTTTTGCTACAATTTGTCCCCCATATAATAGTCAAAAGAACAGTTAACGTGTATTATTTACTATGGTGAACTATTTTCGACACACATTTCTGCCCCTCTCTCTCTAGCCTCCTCCAAGGAGAGGGAACTACACAACGCGACGGCACGACGGCTCCCTTGCGTCGTGCCGTCCCGTCGAACCGTCGCCTTCAATTGCCATTACGTTTGTACACACACGGTGCATCGCATCGTGCCGTCGCGTGGCCAGCGGTGTTGTGCTGTCTAATTAACGTTTGTTCCTTGCTGCATTTTTTCTGAATGTGGCTCCTCCGTCGACACGACGCCGGACGACTCGACATGTGCTGTCGCCCTTTGCTTCATGGTGTTTATAGAGGGCGCCATTACTTTTTTCTTTCATTCCTTTCCCCCGTACTTGCAAATGAAGTACATGTACATGTACACTGTACGTGTACATGCCCCGGGTTGTAAGCCTTGATTCTGTTGTTCCCTTTCATGCATTCTTTCCAACTTTGTGTTTTCATCATTAAGAGTGAATTGCGGTGAAGAAAAGGTTATTGTTTTAGTTTGTTTTTAGGCAGAAAAAAATGCAGCTAGGAAAGGACGTTAGACAGCACGACGCCACGGGCGACGACGCGACGCAAGGGAGCCGTCCTGCCTTCGCGTAGCGTAGTTCCGTCGCCTTGGAGGAGGCCCTGGAGAGAGAGGCAGAGATGTGTGTCGTAAATAGTACACCATACTAGTACCGTGCTGTACCGGTACCCCATACAATATACATGTATGAGTATACTGTACATGTACAGACCGGCGCTTCATTAACTTCCTCGTCGTTCCACGTTAGATATGTACGAGTAGTTGATACCAGTCTAACGGAAGCTGCATTTGTCAACATGGCCGACAACAGAATGGAGGTGGTTGACGAAATGAGCGTCCATCGATTTGTAGAAGACGAACGTGAATCTGAAGGAGTTTGTATGAAACAAGATGGAGAGTGCTCAAGCACCGGAAATTTTGAATTTGACAGAACGTTTGTGTATATAGAACGCATTGGGGAGACAAGTGGTGGGAGCAGTCACGTCATGCATGTCGCTGAAAATCACCAAAACGACGTAGGCTTAGGCCTGGCCCATACTACAAGCCTCCAATCCCATGTACGTAATGTACATAATGTAGGCCTAACCGGTACGACAAGTCATCAGGAAGTCGAACATGTAGATTTAACTGCATGTAGCACTCCATCTCTTCACCAATATTCCGTGGATGCTCCATCATCTGAGTCGGGCCGTGATGTTCTGCAGATGCATGAAAATGACCAAGTCAATAATCTTGGTCATGTTGGTGATGGTTGTGATGGATTCATACATCACACAATATCACCAGATCAAATACAGACACAGATCAGCCATGTTGGCCCAGGATATCCATTCGATATGCCTGATGACATAGCCGGGGCAACCTTAACTATGGAAAGAACAAATCCCAAGACTAAGAAAAAAGAAATTAAGAGATATAACTGTGAGTTTGAACGATGTAATCGGACATATAGTACACCTGGAAACTTGAAAACACATTTGAAAACCCACACTGGGGATTTCAGTTTTGTTTGTAAAGAAAAAGGATGTGGTAAAGCATTCTTGACTAGTTACAGCTTGAAAATTCATGTCCGTGTCCACACAAAAGAGCGTCCATACTCATGTGTTTCAGAGGGATGCCAGAAGTCCTTCAACACATTATACAGGTGAGTAGATATTGGGAGCTATTTTTGAGTATTGAGATTCAGATACCTTCATTTTTTTTAAGTTCCCAAAATGGAGGATTGAGGATGAATGCAGTTTTTGAAGTTGGGCAACTGGAGGATTTTGGAGGATAGAGGATGTGCCTTAGTAAAAAGTGTTAGGGTTGATATACATAATATATGCCCAAGGACACATAGTTAATTTTCATTTTCACTGACTCTAATTTAAAAACCTGCCTCATTCAGGGTGCACTGTGCAAATTCTAAGTAAATGCAGGAACTCCCTTCAGGTGGACACAGCTGTACAAATTTTGTTAAGAATTTAGATAGCAGTCATTTTGTGGTTACATGTACATGTATGTTTCCAGACGCTTTTCCAAACTTTTTCATGCACGCTTAGATTAAAAGCTCATCAGAGACTCCACTCTGGATCAACCTTTAACTGTGATTCAGAGGGTTGCACCAAGTTCTTCACTACACTGAGTGATCTCCGAAAACATATCAGAACACACACTGGTGAAAAACCATTCAAGTAAGTTGGATCAAATGCATGGTATTCAACTCATTTAAATCAAATTTTTGCAGTAGGTCTATTTACTTTGATGTTATACATTTAAATATATGGATGCTAAAAATATAGGAGGTGAGAGTTGTTTTGAAAGTTTGAAACCTCTTTGTCTTACGTTTGCAGATGTGAGAGCTGTGGAAAGGCATTTGCCGCAAGTCATCACCTCAAGACACATGTCAGGACACATACTGGTAACGATGCATACGTAGTACATGTACATTCATGAGTTTCTAAGTAACGTGAAACTGAATACATACATACATGTAGCACTGATGTGAACTTGATTGAATAAATGTAGCAGTCAGCTTACCCCCATACAACCAGACCATTACCAGTTCACATGACAAACTGATTTGACATGCTTGGCTGACAGTTGTATTTACCTGGCAACCTGTTGAGTAACTCACCCAACAACTCAACTGACAAAGTTGCTTCATGAAGTACATGTAGCTTGACAAACTCACATTATAAATTCACTTTACAACTCACATAGTGAACCCATTTGCCAAACACACCTGACAGACTTATATGTACCTTTTATCTGATGGCTATCCATCCACTTGACTTTGACAAAGTAGGACTGGCACAAATCTAATCTGATAGATAACGGTGTTAACAATGGATTAATGCTCACAGGAGGTCCAATAATACATACCCAGTAAATCTAATATGCACTGAGTTAGAGAGTTTACCATTGTTGTTCATAGGGGAGAAGCCTTATTCATGTCAAGAGGACGGATGTGATCGTTCCTTCAATACACAATACAGCCTGAAGAGTCACCAGAAGGGGCATGATAAACACTCATCCAACTCAGACCCTTTGAATGCGGACAAGCCACAGGTAGAGATGAAATTGTAGTAATTGGCGTGTATCAATTAGTGTCTTAAATTGCTGTTATGGGTAAAGGAATAATTCAGTGTGATGAAATAAAATCTTTGTTCCACCTACAAAAGATTTTGTGATGTTGATTTGGTTATTAGCCATGAATATTCAAGTCTTCCCCTGGTGACAGTTTATAGTGGTCACCCCAGTATTAATTGTTTTTGTTGAACTTTAATTATGAAGGCCAAGTTCCACCACTAATCATTTGTTAAAAGTGGTCGATTTTGCTTGGTAACCTACATGTGTGCATAGAACACATTGTGAGTACCAGGTTAAATTGACTAGTAGTTAAAGTGGGCTGAATGAACTTTGCCAAAGAGTGGCATGTACATATACATTTGGCTAGAATTTGGACTTCCTTTGTACATTTGTATGTGTACATGTACGTAATTCATGTCTGTGCATCTTTATGTACATGTATACAGCACATTGATTGTCCCCATTTGCTCTTATTACAGAAAGATGATTCCATTCAGGAGAATAGAGTGGCCAGTTCAACCTCCGTTGGTTGGGTAGCTACACCAAGTTCAGCTTGCATTTGCACCTGTGGCTCTAGAAATGCAACCATGATAGCCACAAAGCCAACTGAGGTATGGCATTGTACATTTTGTTGTCATGCAGTCTTAGGCGTTTGTTCAACCCAGTGAAGGGATTAGCTGGGGTCAGATGACGCATACTTCCTGTAGACCTGGAGTATTTTACAGCATGGACTTGTTCATATTACAGAAATAAGTGGATACAGCTGGTGGCAGAAATGGATTTTTAAAACTCAAATTCGACATTTTCATAAAACCTGTTAAAACCAAGTAAATCAGTTTTTTGTTATTCATTTATAAGCAATTTATGAATTGTACTAGTTTCACACCCTGACTGTGCAATCCATCAGGATTCTGTCACTGAAACTGTAACAGTTTGACCTTTGGTAAATGCTGCAGTCACAAACAGACGATTTCAATCTGCAGATACTAGCACATCTGAAGAGTGAATGTCATTTGTTTTGTTGCATAATGATTATAACAAGCCTCATTCCCTTTATCATGTCCTTTTCCTGTAATACAGATACCTGTTGGTGATGTGGTTACCACTCCTGCTGTCCAGCGTGCTAGTACAGCCAATTTTGAAGTAGTTAACACTAAGGAACTACCAGTATTATCGCAGTCATTGAACCAGCAAACAGGTACATAGCTCATTTGAATTTGTCTTTTACTCACAGCACATCAACCAGCACTTGTGTTGTCATTAGAACTATGTTAACCTTCAGTATTCTCAACTGTCACATTTTAATACAATTTTTCAATTAATTGTAATTTTTCACATGCCCCAGGAAGTTAGGGTCAATAAACACTCAGAAGGATCAACAATTGTACAGTCCGTAAGACTTTGTAGGTATGTTGTATAACTCACAGCTAAGTGACAATCGTATAGTCTGTGTGTATGATGTAATGTTTTCACTCTCATTTTATTTTACTGTCGCAGAGAAGAAGGCCCAACACACTGGTCAGTCTGTGATTATTCACAGCATTCCATCTGGCTCAGCTGGTCAAAATGTGATAATTACAATCAATCAAGATTCATCAGCTCCTACACAAGTTGTCATTGCACCACAACATCAGGTTTCTCAACAGACATGCAATGCAACACAGGTCATGAGTATTAAGCCAGATAATACCAGCAGTATTTCAACAAGGATGGTTCCTTTTGGAGATTCAACTGGTCAACCAACTGTTGGAATGTGTGTACATCATACAGAAGCAGCCAAGTCACATCTTCCTGTCACCAATTTATCAAGTACATCAGAAGTTAAAACTAATGGGACAGCAATGATCCCAGTACCTCCAGTAGGTTTATCTATAAATCAACCACGTACAGCTGCTGTACCAGCAAATCCTCCAACCGTAGTTCCTAGACCAGTGGTTCTTACTATTGCTACACCTGATCATGCTGTCATGCACTCCCATTCTAGTGTTCAACAACAAACCTGCATCCAAGTCATAACAGATGAAAGTAAAGTGCACAAGTCGGATTCCAGTGGTCAAGCAGAGTGTAAGCATGGCATAAGTTGTGCACCTCCTGTGACCACTGATATTGTGGTTGCTAGGCAACCTCCCGGTAGCTTTTGTGCCGCTAATCAGAAAGCAGGACAGTCGACTGTCCAGCAGACTGTCCAGCAAGTGGCACATTCACATCAAATCAATGAGCAAATTCCGATGATTAAAGATTCCTTCTCTCTAGGTTCAACCAATTCCATTTCAGTCCATTCAAGTGACCAGATGAAATCATGGGTCACTAATTTTCCGCATACTTCCTCAACATCTCCAGATGTTGCAACAAAGTCTTGTACATGCAATGACTCCTGGAAGAATCAACAAAAGAGACAGACTGATGATATGATCAAATCTTGGTTGAATGATAAGAATGCGAGCATGTCACAGCGTGAAGCTGATGCTGAATCCAATGCAAACAGCTCAATTAGTACTGAGGAAATAGAAAGGCAGCCTTGTCCCTTGTGTAGCTGCACCTGTCCATGTGAATGTAAGACACCACTATCCAAAAGTGACTTCCAGGATGGCATGTCAGTCATTTCATCCTTCAGTTTAAGTAATTTCCCGGACTTTTAATTCAGATGGATGAATGAAAAAATTAAGTAATTGAAAGAAACCTGAAATTGTTCCATGTTTCTGTCTCACTTTCTACATACTAAAATAAATTGTTTGTAATCTTTTGTAAGTCAAGGTTTCAGATGACAAACATGTTCTTGGTATCACTACATTTTTGGCCAGACAAGCTAAACCAAGAAATGCATGGCCAGCAGCATATCAAGCTTTTGGTGTGGGGGGGGGGAAACATTCAAAAGGGAATGCGGCTTTGGGCTCATTAAAAATGATGTTGGGGGAAAAATCAAATTGCGTTGTTTTCTTAGGGTTTTGGTGCCAATGTTTGAGAAATAAATATACCGATTACTTTCTTTCCTTTTCACCTATAAAGTATTTTAAAAAACTTCCATCGGGGGGCAAGTTTCCCCCACCTCCCCCACTGGATATGCCACTGTGCATGACTTCTTATAAAGGAAATGACTCGGTGAAATCTTCAAAATTATTTTGTACAGGCTCTTAGAAAGTGAATATTGGATTCGAATGCATGTCCATAAATTAGGTAATTGTTAAACACAAATAAGAATCAAGGCTGGACAATTTAAGGAATCAAATTTCAGTTATGTGCTTCAAGTGAATGCTATGCATTTAAAAGCAATATATGTTTGTTTTAGGACTGTGAATGTAGATACATTGTACATGTAATATTTCATAACATGAAAACCTTAACATATAAGTATAAATTTGAAAAAGGAAAACATTTTATTAAACTTTACCACAACCTGTCAAATTATTTAGATTTAAGAGCTGAAATGAATACATGTAATAAACAAAAATTTGATATTTTATGGATCAAAACATTTTACCTTTCAGCTTTCATTGGTTTAGGTACACTGTTCATATATTTCAGCGGTTAAAAGTGAACATGCATGCGTCCAAAGTCAATGTGCATAGATATATACATGTATTACTTTTTAGAGGTGATTGTGTCATTGTTAAGGACTGCATAATTCTTTTTAAAAAATCTCTGGATGTTTTTTTGTGATAATTTGACATGGTATGTTACTGGTACTGAATGCATTAAAAAAGTAAACAAATGTTTTATCTTAAAAGCTATCTCTTAGATTTTGATCAATTTTATACAGATATACAGATTTCATGACTTACAAAATAGTTTGTCAAGAGGTTGTATAAGAAAAGATCACGGTAAAAGACAAAATTGGATGACAGTTTGCGATCCAGCGTTGAGTCCTAGTGCATGCGAAAATGCAAAATGCTGTCTTAAATTGTGTTCCAGTAATTTAAGTGCATTTAGCGTTGTGCATTTCGGTATAAAATGTCTTGTTCAGAAAAAAATGAGGAAAACTTGGGAGTTAAATGCACTTAATTTGATAAGAGGAATACATGTACCAAACCCTCAACATGCATGTTTACAGTGTAGAAATAAAAAGTTGGGCTTGTGAAGTCATGGTTCTCTAAGACTATGGAGAATTATTACATGTATTACATTGTCCGAATTTCGTTTTATGGTCTAATGGAGGAGAATGCCTAATTGATTCACAGTATAACATGAAACTGATACAATTTAAACTGCTGCAAACTTCAACTACAGCATTACTGTATGGAGGTGAAAAAGCAATGATTACTCTGTAATTACCACAAGTGAAAACTGGTTTGCAGTTGAATAAAATGACATTTTGTGCAGCTGTGCTTAGCTTTTTTAAGAATCAATACAAAGTTCGCACTGCAGTTGGTTTCATCGTGATTTCAGTTGAGTCGACCAGCTGATAACAGGATATTTGCAAGTGTACACATTTGTTCTGTCTATTCATGCAGTTTGTTGCACATGTAATGTCAGGTCACTCTTGGCCGGAGTGGCTTGTTGTGAGAGCCTGCATTTTCATGCTCAATATTATGGCAGGCCAACTAAAAATTGTAATATCAGTTTCTAAGTTGTGGCAGCTGAACAGTCTGATATCATTGGTACAGTATACCTGCATCTCTGTGAAGATACTACAGGTATTCCAAATGACTTGTGTACGGTCTATATACCAGCATGTGTAGACAAGCATGAACATGCAGTGTGTCAACCTCCTCCCCCTATAGCTGATTAAACTGGTTAAACAGGCAAAGCTTAGAATCCATTTCAAGTTCAATTGTTTCGTCTCAACCAATATATGAAAATGTGTTCTGCCTCTCTTCTCCTCTCGATGCTTTATATTGCTTCACATTACAAATAAATGTAGTTGCTTGACAGTTGTGAAGGATTTCTAATAAAGGTTTGGATGTTCAAAAAACAAAAAGTACATGTGCTTCAGTCCAAAGCATTTTAACAGCACACGCATGTACATTAGATTTCTGGACATTTGAAGCAAGATATGGATAGAGAACACCCCTTTGTGTTGGTCATTAGAATCTCAGGAATTCTTTTCAAACATCTAGTGAGGGATATGTTAGGTAACAGTAGTCTAGAGTGTCTAATGAGTGTGGACATGTGGGAGGGGAGGACAGATCAAGCTTTCAGGAAAGGGGGGGGGTGATGGATATATTGAAGGGATGCCCTGTAAAGGAGACCCACCAGAAATCTATGTAACTGTGTAACTAGATAGGTGGATCCATATCTAGGATTTTTTTAGGGGGTAGGCCTACTAATTTTCCATCATTTCACTGGTAGTTCCATTAAGTCCATGGCTGAACCACCCCTCTCGATCTGCCTCTTGGGGGTACCCCTCTGTCCCATATCTTGCTGGGTATATTTCTCAAGGTAACTTGCAAGAATCTTTGTTTTCCAGAAGCTTTTCCTTGAAACTGCCAGAAGTACACGTATAGAAACATTAAAGGTGAATGGAATTCTTCAAGTAAGGATTTTAGTGAATTGTTTTTTACATGCTGGAAAATATCATTAAAAATTATCTACAAAATTTTAATTTCATAAAGTAAAGTTTTCACCATAGCAATCTGTGTTTTCTTTATTAGAAGCAAATCAGCAAAAATTGAGAGAATTGCATGATGTCATATTATTAACTTAACACAGATACATTATAGGGATCATCAGATTATTTTCTAGAAAACGGTAACTTGCAAGTAACAATTGTTACGCGCTTGCACACTATCATCACATATTCTGACCTGTGACACCCCCAAAAAAAGCTAAATAAAGAGTGCGGCAACAAGAGGTATCAGTGGTGAATGACAGTTTGGAGTGATTTACACAACAGTGTATGCAAGAAACAGATAGATGTTGACATTTCAAATATAGTTCTTGAACTTCGGGAATGCTGAGGTAACATAGCAGCTCAACTTAGCCAATTGGAGACTAGGTCAAATACTTCATTTGTCGATTTCTAATAGTTCATTGCCTGCTTAACTGTCTGGCTAGATAAACCTCTACTGTTCAATAAACCTCAAAAATTTTGCCACAAATAATGATCCAAAAAGGTAAAACTCAAATATATAAAATTTTACCTCAATACGTTTTGTCAAGAACACACTTTCACAACATGGCCACCTAACAGAAAGCACTGAATAAGGTCAGTCATTTGGCCAAAGATTTAGTGTTTGAAGAATTATCACAAAATATGTTTACAAATGCTACCACTACATCCAAGCTTTTTGCATGTTTCCAGTGCCGAAAAAACTGGTAAATGGAAGACTGAAAATTTCCTGTGTCCATTAAGTTGTAAAAAGTACACCAAGTAAAGTATTACATATTGATAAGAGGTTAATGTTTTTTTATACATGTAGCAGTCATTCTATGGACATGGTATCAAAAACTCTTCTGATAAGTTAAGACTCTTGATATTCAGACTGTGCAATAAACTTTCCTACACGTATGAATCTTTTCAGATTAACACAGCATAGATGTGATTTCGGAGTATTCAGTAGATATCTGGACCACTATGTGCAAGCAATGTGGCAGTGGATTCGTTACATCTGTAAGTACACCCAAGAAAGACTAAATGCAAATTGACCACTCCACATCAGTAACATTTTATTAATTTGAAATCCACTTTCTCAATCACATACAGTTTTCTCCAATGAGCACAACTTCTGTGCTATCCACTCACCTCTAGGGTTGTGCTGCACAGTGCAATCATATATTCTTGGACAGAACCTGTACTGCCACCTGCTTGCAAGCAATTTCTAAATAGTTGTTTCTTTTTTTACTGTGTAAATAATGTAGAAACCAAAGCAAATTTGTACACTCTTGATCCTCAACACTGCAACTAGTCCTACAAATGCATTTGTACAGCACTCAAACATATTAAAAACCCCAAACAAGTTAGTATTGAATGAAAAGTCCTCCATATGATATATAACAACTCTTTAAGGGTACCCGATTGATTTGTTTCCCAAAAGCATTGGATATTGACTTCAAGTATTATATTCTTTCCCTTCATACATGCATTGTGTAGCAGGTCCTGTGTACTAAAGTGTGATGTATATCTCTGTGGATGTGATCATATTTATGCCTCAAATCAAGTTCCTGTTGCACGCTTCAAACAGTAATGCAGGATTCTAAAAAGAAGCCACAATCTTCCATCCAGATGTTGCTTTAATCCTAACAGTCCTCAGTCCTTCACCTGTTAAAGGACTGAGGACTGTTAGGGTTACGGTTCCTTCATCAAGTCAATTTTATTAGTCAATATCTTGTATAGAGCTACAAGCTTCTTGTAACTTGCTACTATCTTGCTGGCTGGATTCCTCAACATTCTCAGCCTTACTGTCTTCTTGACTTAAACAACTTATCTCCTCTCCTCTTCGGTTTGCCTCCTTTTCTTCAACCTGTTGCTGACAAGATGTTTCTGATGCATTAGATTCTGTGGAAAGGATGTGAGATAAATGCTGCAACTTAAAAATGTTGGCAATGATCATGTATATATTTTTCTGGTACAGAACATGTACTAGTTTAAACACACTGTGTTCCAAGGAAAAAATCCAATGCCGTTCTATCCCTATCTCTCTAGTTGAAGTGCTGAATGAAAGGCAAAGTACACACTGTAAATAGTTGAAAACCTTATTCTGGGTGAGCATTGCAATGAAACTATTTACTGCAGCAAATCCAGTTACATTTCAAACCTTTCATGTAGGATATCATGAGTTCAGAGATGCCAACTTTTTCAAAATGAAAAAGTGTAATCCTATCACACTTCCAGTTCCGGTTTCCCAACCGGCCATAATTTTTATTATGGAAGTGTGAATGGTCCTTATTTGTTAATTATAATTCCACATAAATTCTAATAAGTTTTTATTTCAATCACTTTTGTGGCAATTTTTGGCAACTTTAGTCCCATTCAATCAGCACAAAATATTGACCAAAAATCCTTACTTACCGACCCTATCAGAAGCAGAGCTATTTTTTCTGGGCCTAACTAATGTACCTCTTGTTGTCGTAACATCCAGCATGAGAATTATTTATCACGTCACAGTTACAAGAGTTGCAAAACACGTAAGCTTCTCCATGACAAGACTTCACAATAAAGGCCCATTTTTGTGGTGTATTTGTCTCTGAACTTCAGCCGACTTGTTGCCATTGTGCAAAACAAGTCCAGTTGCGCACCAAATATCCAAGAATCAAATCCTCGACAGTCCTCTGCTCACGATCATGAGGTTCGACACACGTGACTATGAATGATATTGGTACATGTACAATGCATATGGACATACACAATCACATTGCGTATGAAGTGTATTCGTGCCTATTCGCCCCCGTTCATCAAAGTGTTAATTGGGGCTAATGGATGATTCAACCACACTGGTTTCTACCACTACTCACACAGCTTGTATGCACAAACTGCAGGATGCCAGTGACACATTTCTGACACACGCATTACAAGGCTGGCTCCATGCTAGCTTATGTGGAGTTTATACCCACAACTGTATGGTTTTGCAGCTTCGAGTTGGAAATTGTAAAAAATCAAAGTCTGGATCGTACAGTCATAAACAGACAAAACAAATTCTCAAAAATATGCCTAATTCATACAAGTTGGCATCTCTGTGAGTTTCATATGGATTTACACCCTACAAAATGTACCCATGATTTTGAGGATTCAGGATAAGGGTTAATACAAGTTGAAGTAGCCATCTATGGATTTACCTGCCCTGGCCTTGTCAAGGAGAGCATTTCGTTCACCCTGCAGTGCACGACATAACTTCTCTAATCGTACCACCTTATTGCGATTTTCTGCCGACTCGCGCTCATGGTGATTTTTCTGAAATGAGTCAAGAGGAAAAACACTTTAGTGGTATTTTTTAAACAACCTCTCCTGACATTTCATGCACTGTTAGACATGAAATACCTGTTCTGCTGTTGCCAGCAATGATTTGTTGGTGTTTTCCCAGCGAATTCGCCACATATTTGTCTCCTTCTCCAATTTCTTGATCTTCTTTGTCATCTACAACAAAACAGGACAAAACCATGATGAATAAAACCAATTTTTTCTTTACTGAGAACTATTGCAATGAATCTCCATTTATTGCTTTGTGTACTTCAAATCCTCCATCCTAGCTTATTAGTAGTGAATGTTGGTTATGGAGGGGTTTATAGTGCCATTACCTGAAATGTTACTTTAAGCTATGTTGAATTTTTAGACAGATTTTGACACCGTGCCACACTGGGATTACAAATAACATTTTATTACAAAATTTAAGTCTGATTATGAGTTATTAATGCGCACAGTTTGGTACTCTAATTTCACCAATAATATACTCTCTGGGTGTTCAAATGTACCTTGTCCATTTCTTGCTTCAGTGTCTGGAACACATCATTGCTCTTTGTCAACGTTGACTGAAATTCCTCGAACTTTTCTGTATATACAGTCAGCTTTAAAATAACCAAGAAAAGAACAAGTAATTTTTATCGGTACAGGAAAAGCTAGAGAATATGTACATGTTATTTAAGAATGACATATTAAAGATTTCCAAACTTTATGAAATGTTTAAATTGTGACAATAGTTTATCTAAAAACAATCATCGCTAGTTTATAAAGTGCAAAGGAAGAGCTCAGTGATTTCAAAATACACATTTGAAAACAAAAGCAAGAGTAGTTAATAGTTTGCAGTTGTATGAACCATCACACAAACAGACAGATAGCCTAATTAACAGACAGGCAGATTAGTGGCCCGATATTGTACACACCTGTGCTTTTAGTTCAGATTCTTGTTTAGTAAGCACATCACATTTCCTCCGATTCTCAGCAGCTTCTACCATCCACTGGAAATAACATGATACAACTGGTAATAATAATTTACAATGTAATCAACTGTTTAGCACGTCTAACCCTTTTTTGTACTTCACATTTGTTAACCACGATGTCATCTTCATACTTACCATTTGTGGCTTTATAACGCAAGTTTGCCTTAGCAAAGAAAATATCCAAATACATGCAGTTTGAAAATTTTGAAGGTACATAATTATGTTTATGGTAGGAAAACCTCAATGTGGAGGATCTGGAAAATATCAACTGGTTTTTGTACGTACTGAAACCTTAAAAGAAAGTGGCTTTTTTTGACCATCTCACAGCATTGAGTATGGCAGTGAAAAGTTCACATTTTTTGCCAACCTGTCTTGGGAAATTAGCGCTGTATTTGAATGATATGCTTTATTTTCACAAAATTTGTGTCAAAATGATTGAAAAGAGATACTAAAACACTCCTAAAGGCAAAGCTCGATACTAATGCACAACAAAATGTCAAGAGGGGGGATCCATCCCCCCCGAACTCTGTTTGGGTTACACACATTATTAATAACCAATTTTTTTTAGAATGCATGCATTAATGCTGGTGAAAAAAGAAGAAGCACATTCACATTTTAACAGATTGAAAGAATGGGGCATTATGGTGTAAAATACAGCAGGCCAGAGACAATACTTTTGAGTAATTCTATACATTAAAGGTCCAAAAGAGTAACTTTTTGTGTCCCTGTTACACCTGTTAATTTGACATAGAAATATTACTGATTGACTGAAATTGATTTCAAACTATTCATATTTGTTTGGCAGGTAATTTGCATTAATTCATCACTCTTGGAACTTGGAAAATGTGTTCCGATCTTATAAAATCATGTCAGATGTGACAGGCACACAAAAAAATTGGACCCCTAATTTACGGAATGACCCTTTTTCTGTTTGTTTTAAACTCCAAAATGTGCTTTCTCATGAAATAAATACAATCTCAGCACTCACCAAAGCTTTGTCTCTCTGGTACTTTTCCTTCTCTTCAGCAAGTGCAATATTTGCTTGTTGTATCTTTGCATCATAGAGTTGTGATTCTAACTCTTTGTGCTTGAATAATTTCTCTATGTGCTGTTAAATGGACAGAACAACTGAGATTCAGTTATAAAAATGCTTTCCATTTACACAAATTCAGAAAACTTCATTATTATGTATTACTAAAGATGATGCAAACAGACATACATATAACAGCAACTTGTGTAAGTTCAACTGATCTAACTTGCTCAAATGTTAAAGGCCTCACAGAAAATCAAGATTACAACATTTTTAACCTAATGTTGTTTATATATGTAATCAGTTTGCTTTTAAGATTTACATCTACATAAATTCATATGATAAAATTGAATGTAAAGTTCATAGTAAGATGGATCCAGAATCTGCAACCTTCATATGAAAACTGTACTCTGCAGCCAATACTCTCCAGCCCTATACCAAAATATACAGTATATTGGTGACAGTATTTTTTTCTGGAGTACGGCTACAGCACTGGCTACAGAGTAAGGCTTTTCCTGTTTTTGGCTACTGCAGACATATGGTACATATACATGCATCCTGGGCTCCTTCAAATTGAAACCTTTGGATCGTAAATCAATGTTGATCCTCTCTCCTTACCAGTGTTGTTCACCGAGTCAAGCAACATGCATGGACGCAAGTCGGACTCAAGTTGTAATTTTTGTGACTCATAACTTGGCTTGTAAATCTACAAGATTTTACTTCTAACTTGACTTGGAAATGCAAAACAAATGACTTGTTGCCATGTTTGCTTGAAGTAGTACTGTAGTACACACGAAAATTGAATAAAGTATACATATACATGTACTAATCAAAACAGTCAAATTTAAGTCCTAAACTGGTCACAATTAAGCTGACACCAGGCCCTGTATACTTATTATAGTTGGACAAAATAATGCACTACTTGACTTGTGACTTGAATTGTGCAAGTTTAGACCAAATGACTTGTGACTTGACCTGTGACTCAATGATTTGTGATTTGAACTGAAAATTTTGCAAATAATGATTTGCTAGCCATGTTTATTCCATACCTCTTCCCGCCGCTCATACTGCTCAACCAGACTCTTCAATTTAGTTGCAAGATCCAAATTTTCTTCTTTAAGCTTCAGGTTACGTGTATGGTTTTCCTGCATTTGAGTTGTTATGTCATTTATTGTTTGCTGTAAAGGAACAAAACAAAACATTCAAAATGTAATATCCAAATCCTCTAGAAACATATAAGGAACTTTTGGCCAAGTCTTACAGGTGACTAATCTTTCTTGAATCAGAGTTTAGAAGCATAGCCAGACTCAAATCAGCAAATTAAGCCTGTTTCTGCATCACAAAAATGTCAAGGTTTCTCCAGTTGTCAGACAACTTTAATCTTCAGATAAGAAATTGCTTTATGTAAATAAAGCTACAATGCTCTAGACAACCTTGACACACTACATGTATTTACTTGAAATTTAGCCGACACTTCTTTCCTTTTCTCTTCCTCTTCCTTGCTCCTCTGTAAACTCTCTTCCTGCAAAATTAACATCATTATACATCATCTTTCAAACTCAGGTTCTTATTTTGCAACAGTATGGCCATTAATTCTGTTAGGAAATCATGTTCTTAACATACTGGAAAAAAACATGTAGAAATGTATTTAACAACTTGAAATCCTGGGCATAGGCTAAAGAGGCATCACATACATGTACATGTACCTACTTTAATTGTCTTGTTGTGTCGTTGTAATTCTCTGCATAAACTTTCTAATTTGCTCTTTGCCAACACTGCTCGTCCATGCTCACTCTGAAGATGATCCTTTTCTCTTTGCAATGTAGCGTACTGTTTCTGTTGAACCTTGACTTCTCTCTGTAATGCCTTGTGTTCAACCATCTGCAAATAAGCCACATCATAAACTGGAAAGATCATCCAAAAAGGTCACTTTTTCAGCTTTAGAAATATGCAAACTTGAAAACTCTCAGTAAAACATGCACCTGGAGGTTGAAGTGGGCAATAGAAAGCATGCAAGGAGATGTATCTGTACATGCGCGTCCTTTACTACTGGAAAAGTAGAAAGGTCGAACACATTTGAAGTAAAGTACATGTATACACAGGAAAATCTAAAAGTCTACTGTACATGTATACCATAAAAAGTACATGTGAATGAGAAATGTTTCTTGACAGTCTGGTGAACAAAAGACTCACATATCCTTTACAGACAGAGTGAATCACAAGAGAAGTATTCATTCAGGAAGTACCTACTTGTACCTTGTAGTAAGCACTGTGTTGGCTAAAATTCAGAAAACCATCAATGGCCAATTACAGTTAAAAACAAATTTATTCATTATAAATTCGAGTTTTTTTGTGTTTTTCTGCAGAATGAAAGATGGGCACATAATATTTGGGACATACATGTACATGTAGTTGAATTCTTCTAGCTTTCAGGTATAAACCCTGATAAATGACTAATGGCTTAGGTTTTACCTCGTTTGCAAAACAAAAAGAATGCTACATTGTTTAACTCCTGATATGCTCAGAAATATTCATACCCTTCTGCATGTCATGGTATTTGGACACATTCCTCTGAAATGCGCATGCTCCAGACATTCCTCAGATTCTGCATGTCATTTTAAAATATACCGTATGCGACAATACATAAATCCTCTAGTAATCTGTTACAAATGTCACCTTTTGCAATCAATTTGTGGAATGCCATTGTCAGTACTCTGCTTCTAGAGTATTTAAAGCAAAGTGCAATCGTGGGGTCTTCCTCAGTTGTTGTGAACATGGTGAAAACTACAACACTATAAAGCCATTTTCAAGCTCTTCAGAGTATCAATTTCCACTGTACAGTGCACCCTCAAGAAGTACAAGAAGTTCAGTGCTGTGAAAAACGTTGGCACGTGTGGACGGAAGCCGAAGGTGTCTCCTCGTCTGGTTAGGAGAGTGTGCCGCGAGGCTCTTCTCTTCTAACCCCAGAACAACAATCAAGGCACTTCAGGACAACTTGGGTGAGATGGGCACCAAGGATTCAACGTCGACAATCCGCCGCATACTGCACAAGGATGGGCTACATGGGCGTCATCCAACAAAGGCCCCTCTCCTCACTCACAGGCATCGAAAAGCTCAACTTGCATTTTCCAGAGGTCACCAAGACAAGGACCAAAGTTTCTGGTCAACAGTTCTAAGGTCAGATGAGACAAAAATGGAGCTGTTTGGCCACAGGGCTATTTCCTTCATTTGGTGCAAGAAAGGTGAAACATTCAACCCAACGAACACTGTGTTAACCGTGAGGTTTGGAGGTAGGAGCATAATGTTGTGGGGTTGTTTCTCTGCAAGTAGGCCTGACAATCTCAGAAAAGTGGAAGTAATTGTGAAGAAGATGTACAGGACAATGTTAAGCAGTCTGCAGAAAATCTCCACCTCGGCCCCAACTAGACATACATGTACCGGTACCAACAGGACAATGATCCTAAACATAGCGGCTAATTAGGGCAGTAAAGACATTGTTTCAGAATTAACAACATGAAGGTGCTACCCCAGCCATGCCATCCAAAATCTGTGGAAACCCTCAAGTCCAAGGTGCATGCCAGCAAACCTGAAATAGGTAGAGGTCTTCGCCAAGGAAGAAGAAGGGCCGAGGTTCCGAGACGCTGTGCTCAACTCTCATGAACAGCTACACAAACTGTCTAGAAGCTGTTATCAAGAAAAATGGCTTTGCAATTGTTAACTGTGGTATTAACTCTTACAGGTACAGGTGCATGTACATGTAAAGGGTATGAATAATACGGGTGATTCACAATAGTGCGCCACCAAGGGTTTGCAACACGTTGGCCAATTATAACGCGCGACATTTATCAACCCTTTCCACTGGGCCGACAAATTTTGCACATTGTGATTGACCAATGCGTTGGTGGCACACTATTGTGAAACGGCCATATTCTGAATGTCAGAATTTAAACATTGTACATGTAGATTTGTAATGTAAATGAGGTAAAACCAAAACCATTAGTCCTTTATACCTGACAGCTAGAAGTATTCACATTTCATTCTTTAGAAAAACACAGAAACCTAAATTTATGAGGGGTATAATTTTGCGTTAACTTTACATGTAAATGTGTACTTTGCAGAAAGGTTGACACCATGCTTACATGTACACCGTTATTGGACATTTTAGAGTACAAAGCAATCATATACATTTATCAGAGAATCACTGACTTGTAATTCTTGGAATGATGCTTATTATCAATGAACATGTAAGATAGGATGTACAGATACATGTCCACTAACTGCAGACAGGATATAATGTGGATACTGGATTACTTGATGCTGATCTTTACTCACCAATTCAGCATATTTTTTGCTGAGACACATAATCTTCTCCTCAGATGTGTGTAGACTACTTAGAGTTTGCGTTATTGCTCGATTCATGTGCTCTGCATCTTTAACTGCTAAAGATAAATTAATTCAATTCAATGTACATCAAATTATACTGAGATAGCATCATCATACAAGAATTCTTGCACCTAATTGGAGCCAATACATGTACGAGACACTCACCCTGGAGGTACATGTACATTTAAGTTAGATTTTTTAGTGCTTAACAAATGGAACCTGGTTAATTCCCTAGTGTTAGTGATAACGTGAACTTCATCATACTGGTATTTTGTTTCAGGCCTAAGTTCAATAAAGAGATAATAATGCCCGATTAAAAAAATCAACAGGACAGGAAAAGATGCCAAGTAAACAGACAGGTGGATACTCAAAGCCAATCTTCACATGGTCTTCATACTGTGTGCTTACTGGATAACAAATATGCAAATACTCCTGGAGTGCTAAAATCGTTATTTAGTTCTCACTGCAGACACGTAACTTTAATGATAATGTCAGTGAAGATTGGATACATCAATGTACATATCATTAAGACAAAATATATGATGCAAAGGATTCTTAATGTGTTTGCTGACCACAGTGTTTAGAAACTCACCTCTTTTGCCCTTTTTCCCCTCTTTGTCCTGACTTTTCCCCTTTTTTTCCACACTCATTTCACCCATTTTTTCAAGAATTTCCTCTTCTGAGTGGCTCTGTGAATCATTGCTGCTTTTTTGAATGCCAGTGGTTTCTTCCATTCCAGATAAAGTTGCTTTAACCTTTGGGATATACCTTGATACTTGGTACGTACCGTATCTAGCTTTTGCCTGTGTTTAAGAACAAAAAAGCCTCTCATGTTACAAGGTAAATACATGTACATTTGCACTTTTTAGTATGTTTTTAGATTTTTGAAAATGGAAGGAAAACCTGACTATGAATTAAGTACTGTGACTTCAGATATTAAGTTTTACAATTCTTCAATTGCAAATGAAGTCTGGTTACCTGACCTGGATGGAGATTTGTTCCAAATTGCCTGAGTTGGGTAACCAGATGAAAAAAATGGCAGGATTCGACTGAGTGGTTGTCTTTTGCCAAACGTAACACAGGTTAGAAATTTGAAGTTTTCTTGCTTAAATATTGTCAAAATTTACCTAAACTGGACCTATCAGGATTTAGTAATCTGATAATGGTTCCATAAGGTCGAAATGTTAGTTAGTTTGAGAAAGTGGACTTTGTTTCCTTATAATAGGAATAGGGTGCTAGCGCTAATGGTCATGAACCCCCATAATGCCCATACATGTACATGTCATGCATGTAGGCCCTAGGCCTCGGTCTACAAGTACAATTTACAAAGTAGCATGTGTGAAGAAAGATCATGGGCCCGGGTAAGACTCACTAAGATAGTGAGAAGAGTCCCCGTTGCCAAGGTCCCCCGAAAACGAGTTTGGAAATTTTTTCCAAGCTAGAAAGTCCATACAGCATATATTGACAATGTTACCAATCCCCGAAAATTTTTTTTTGTACCTTAAGCCGTCTAGTTGTCTTGATATTTCGAAGCAAATGTGAAAGCACAAAGTCACCCGAAAATTGTGAGCAGTGTGGCGGCCATTAATGCTGTGATGGGTCTAACGCGTACGCGTACACGTACGAAAGCATGGCACATTCGTAACTATCTTACCTACGGCTGTTGCATGTTATTTTTACATTCATTGACTGAATCTGAACAAGGCATAGTGTTGTTACAGATAGACATAGAACAGCCATCGCGCATTACCACAGCGTAGCAAAATATGGCACAAGCCATCACGAAGTATTTGGGCGACATTGCCGTAAATTTACTTCAAGATTTCAAGACAACTGGAGGGCCACAGGTATAGAAAATAGTTTTGGAACTGGTAACATTGTCAATACGTGCTGTATTGACTTTCAAGCTTGTAAAATATTCCCAATCTAGTTTTTTGGGGGAGCAAACGTGTCCTGATAGGATCCCAATGGAAACCAACTGCCGAGTAATACCAACACAGTGACCAAAGTACATCTACATAACGTTAGGCCTAACCATGCTAACCAACCTTTTTTCTCCATTGTTAACTTTCCATGTAGATACAGATTGACTTAAAGTGTGAAGATTCCTGAACATCTAACAGATGCAAAATGACTTCAGCAGGTGTGGCTCCGGAGTCTATTTCTTCATATCAAGACTATCCATCCAATCTGTCATTGATCAGTGACAGATATCCAGTAATGAGAACCCCAAAGAGAGTGAATTCCGCAGCAGAAAGCAACAACAGAGGTAACTCCTCTTTGTTATAAGTACAATAGGCTTACCTGCCTACTCTTAACAAAATGATGTTTCGAAAGTTAACTTGTAAACTGGTGTCTGTCGTGTGCATGTGCAAAGAAGTGTCACAAGTAAGGTATTTAGGCAAGGTTCCAGCTTATTCGAAGTCATATTGGTTTGAGACTGAAAGATTGACTCAGACCAAGCCATAGACGTACACAAGTTTTCTTTACAGTGACCTGAAGCAATATACATGTACAGTATATGTACATGTAATTAGTGAAATATGTAAACATAACTTTACATGTTTTGTCGTTTTACTTACACAGCTGTAATATCAGCTTTATTAGGACTCCAAGAAAAGATACGCAGACTAGAAGAGGAACGCACTGAGGCTGAAGGCAACTTAAAGTCATTGGCCACGGAAACAGCTCATTATCGTGACTTGATGAAAAGACAACGTGCGGTTAAGCAAACTTCAGATATGCCTGGTTCAAAGGAGACTCAAGGTAGCAAATCGCTGGTTGAAAGTGCCTCTCTTCATATGTATAGTTGCTGTTGCTGTTCAATTTGTGTATTTTTCTATGCATTATAAATATTCATGATGAGGCTGTACATTAGGTTTAAAAGCCTTCATTGGTGTACCATTCCTCTCTGTGTTTAGCATGTTATTTCTCATGTACATGGAGAAATACTTGTACCTGTTTGCATATGCGTTAATGTCTTTCCGTCACCACTACTTTGAACTTCTTCCTGTTTGTTTAGTCATTCATAGCTACTAGTCAGTCAGATTTTATTCTGTTTGTTGTTTGAATAATGGCTTACAACGAGCAATCTTCCATGTGAAATTTTTTTTTAACACTTTATAGCAGTGATTTGACTTGAAAGCACTAATTTCAATCTGTCATTGAATTACTCAATTTTAATGTTTGTGGTTACATATCCAATGGGCTGATTTGTTTCCATAAGTTGAAGACAAGTTTTTCATGGTACATGTACTTTTCTTTTTTCACTCAGAGTTGCAAGGTCAACTTGCTTCTGCAGAGAGTCGTAGTCAGTTGTTGGAGAAACAATTGGAGTATATGAGGAACATGGTACGTAGTGCTGAGCAAGCGAGAGACAGTGCCCTGAGACAACAAGAACTTCAGAGTATGCAACTTACTGAGAAAGCAAGTGAGCAAGTTCGTGTTGAAGAAGAGAAAATACGTGAGTTGGAAAGGGAACAGGTCAAATTGAAGGCAACGCAAGCACTTGCTGAGGTATGTCAGAAGTTGTACGGTGAACAGAGGAAACTTGTGTTTGAACCATATTTAAAAGAAACACTTTCACATTGGCTGATTGTAAAAATGCTGTGCTGTTGTACACATGTATGTGGATCCCTTTTTTCATTAGGGTGTGGAGGGCATTGTACCATTATTACTAAAGACAGAAACCTGTAGACAAGTGTAACATGGTTTTCTTTTCACAGAGTAAACTCCAAGACTTGGAGAACAAGGTAAAAGAAGAAAAACACCATCGTGAAATGCAGCATTCTAAGGAAGCTCATGTAAGTGTTGAGAAGTAATGTCTTTTATTGTTGACAACATTGTAAGCTCCAGATTAACTCCTTATTTTTATGTGCATGCTATTACCTATCCATAAGTGTTTCACGAGAGACAATTAATAAAATTAAATCTTTTATTAAAAGTATTTAAGCATAAGCAAATTAATGGGGAAACTTCTTGCATGTTATTCCCATTCCCATTCATCATACTTACGTTTCAGCTTCAGTATTGGAAAGTATCGGATAAGGCGTTGCAAGGCACTTCAAATAAGGTGAAGAAACCAAAGAAGAAAAAAGGCCCTTCTACAAGTATTCCTGCATCTTCCAAAGTACACGTACCTTCCCATAGCAAACGGCCCTGCTCATCAAGACACCTTCGATTGAAAATGGAAAATGTTCCATTTGTTGCTGGCAAGGTACGTGTATTTTAAATTAGGCTTCCAACTCGATTTACAGAGTTATACACCAAACCGTTAAACCTCCAAAGTGTCCCACTAGGGTTTACTTTTTGTTTTGTATGACTGACTGGCCTCACCACTTTGTTTTATTGAATTGTGTCTTGTGGATACTGTTTAATTGTTTTTGATGTGGTCTAACTGCAAATACAGCGGTGTAGTGCCCTTTGTGCTATTAGTTTGCAAACTGTTTCAGATCAGGCCAGTAGGAATTCAAAGTTCAATACTAGTGGAGAGGTACAATATATGTAAAGACTCGCTCAAAAGCAAGTAGTACAAAATCCTTACAAGACAAACGAAAAGGACAGGCAGAAAAGAAGTCACTGATTATTAAAAGGTATGGAGGTTGAAGTAGGGGTGCTGTTTTTTCTATAGACAGGCAGTGTTACTGCTGCCCTGCAAGGTTGAACTTTGTTCCATGCAATTTAAGAGCCCAGACATCACTGAGTTCTTTGCAGACCCACAATACCACTAGTTAATGAAGAAGCAACACTGTGACCAGCCAACCGCCAACACTCCCCTCTCCTGCAGAAGTGCAGTATCCACAAGCATCTATAATTCAATTGTACATGTGCATTCAGTTATCAATTGATAGTAACCATCATCTTCGTGCTTGTGTTTTTTTTTGTTCCTTGTTATAACCCCCATCTTTGTCAGAATGTAACGCCCACCTAAATGATTAACCTTAGCAATCCGCCATTCCTCACTTGTATGAGAATGGAGGACTGTTGAGGTTAATGATCAGCCAGCACTAGACAATGTGTGTGCCCCTGGTGAGTATGGTCATGCTGGTGCTGTAAAGGATGTGGCCATCCAAGGAAACCTTGAAGTTTGTAAAATAATGATGGTATTTTCTGTTGTGTAATTTACTTATTTTTGCTGTTTCAGGCAGTCACTCCTAGTCATAATGTGAATGTGAACATGCAGAGTTTAATTGCTCTGATGAAAACTCACCATTCTGCTTGGTGTGGGAATGCATCGGTGAAGAAACAACCAAACCGACTGAAAGCAATGTCCAAGAAGTCTCAAGCTTTATCATCAGGAACTAGCAGTGACAGTGACCTGTCTGATTTATTGCTTGGATTGCAAGATGAGTTTGGGCAGCTAGCTTTGTAAGTGTTGTTCATCCTCGCTGTTATGAGTGTGGTTTCACAATGATGACTTCATTGCTGGGAAGTAGATTGAAGACCCAAGTTACCCATTTAAATTCCTCTCTGCCCAAAACTAGAGGTGCATTCCGTGATCCCTCACCCATTTTATCCCAATCAATGTATACTCACGCAGGGATTTCTGTGCTAGTTACGTATTATTTACTATTTTCCCTTATTCTCATGTTCCAGAGAGCACCAGGAACTGACCAAACAAATCCAGCAGACAGCAGAGCTGCAGTTGCAAGACCAACTAGAACAAGAACTTGCTCAAATTTTCTCCAGAATGGAAGCTAAGGGCGAACAGATAAATAAACTGAAAAAGCACAAGCAAAAGGTAAAAATTTCTTCTCACGTTGTCAGCATTGAGCTCATAGTTTTTTGAGCATCATGTTGATAGGTTAAGAAGTACAGGTGTATTTAAAAGTAAAACTACAAGTTTACATGTATAAGTGGTCATTGATAGTGTTTGTACTTCCTGAAGATGCATCATTAAGTGTTGTCCAGAGAGCATAATGTATGGATTGTCAGGGTCCCCCTTCCTTTTTAAGGGTGAGGTAGCCTTCCTTACAACTTTGAGTAACTTACTTAGCTTTTTTAGCTATCTCAATGGTGATAAATGAATGACAAATAAGTAATGTGGAAATCCCTGCATTTTTTCATGAATTTATTATTTTTCTAAATGTACTTCACCGTCAGTTTATTTTTTTCTTATTAGAAGGTAAAACATAAGTGGAGTTAACATGTAAATTATGTCCTAATGAGAAGACTTGTATTGTTTTGCATCGGGTTTCCACGCAGGCACAATTACGAAACTGTAGAAATCTAATCTCTGGTTTTTGTCTATCAAAATACAAATGCCAGAATGAAAAAGGCAGGGAACCAGTCTAAAGCCCTGGATCCCTCGATGACAACACAGTGCAATTATTTACATGTGGACGTATGTCTGAAGACAGCAACAGGAGATCTGTCACACAATCATTGCTTGAATGGATTGAACTGCCTAATCACTAATGAAGATTTCTTTTTAGCTAAACCACTAAACTTATAGTCTGTCTCTCTGTATTTATTTCCCCGACATACATTAATTTTGGAAAACAAAATTGTTTAATAAGCAGATTGACCGAAATGCCAGCATGAATTTATCACTCTTGCAAACTGAAATATTAAGAGTCTTTTGGATAGTTTGAGACCCTATAATGCTACCCTGTAGGTTTATGTTTACAATAAAAATCATCTTGATGATTGGTACTTTTGGTTTTTATTACAAATGTCTGGGGGATTATTCTATAGCTTATCATCTCTTGAGTAGGATGAATATATGTGCATGCATGTTACCCTTCCACACTGTACTGCTGGATTCAAGCCCAGCATGTGTACATGTACATGTTTAACTGTTTATGAGCTGCGCTTGTAATAATTCAACAAGAGATCAGGGATCATCAGCAGCTCTTACCCTCCTGAATTTCAATCTCATAAAATCTGATTGATCCATGGTTTTAATTTTTGTTAATTTTTCATTTACATGTTACTGCAGATAGCAAAGAAAGTGCCAAATTATTCAGCAAAACCAAAGCTGGAAGGGAGAGGTAGACGATCTCCTAGTGTACCGTCAAGGGATGGTGAAGTGAAAGTTATAACAACAGTTACCACCAAAGGCAGCGGAATAAAGACTAAGTCATTTAAAGTCATAACCCCTGATACCAAAAGCAATCAACGTGTTCTTCATAATATGAAGACATTGCAAACATCATTATGCAAAGATGATGTGACTTGGGATTAAATTTCGTAATTATTACAGTTCCTGAATAATTTGAAGTTCATTGTTCAGGGTACAAAGTGGGTTTTGTAAGTGCTGGAAATAAAAATTTGAAATTGATTGTTACATGTACATGTGTCAGTGTTCCTGCTGAAGACATAACACTTTTCGTGGCATCTCAAACATGAACGTATGAAGTGCACAGTATACTTTGTATGTAATTTTTGAAGTAGAATCAGATGTGTTGTAGAGGGAATAAATTTATACCGTTTTGCCCCAACTGTACCATTTGTCCCAACTATTAGGACATCCTTGAGTATAATGCTGCACTTGGAGTGGTCCAGCTGTGGTTAGTTCTTAAAAAGCATTTCCTAACCTCCAAGTTTATGTGGCAAAAACATCATAAAACTAGTTCCTGCAAGCATTAGCTGCCGATATTCATGTACTTGAAATGACAACACATGCTGTACCGCAAAATGGTAGTTTGAGCTATGGTTGGGCCAGCCCAGTCGTACCACTATAATCCTTACTTGTTATAATTTGGGTGTAATAGTACATATATCACACAAATGTGTAAAGGAGTCATGGCACAGAAAAGAGGTGACTTGTGAACTCATTGGTTTTGCTCTAGGACACCAGCTGAGGTGTTGTCTTTGATCAAAACTTCTTAGATGGTTTGGCAAAGATATGACCACACTTTTTCTGTACTTGATTCTTCAAAATACATGTACACCGGTGTATCAAAAGGACATTTTCATGATAGTGTATTGCCACTAAATCCAAGTGACTGGGATATCTGAACTATTCCATATGGGAAACAAGTGTCTTGAATATTATTCTTAGGTCGTTTTTATTCAATATCAGATATTTGAATGTTTGAAGGAAATAACAATTTTGTAAGTGTATGGATTTTAGCAGAATTGAATCTGGTAATAATTTTGGAAACTCGACATAAAATCTTTTAAATAATAGGTGTAGACAGCTGGTTTTGGAGTGTTCAGTGGAGATTTTTCTTATGTTTATTTTGTTTAAATGGTTTTCCTTGAATGAACAAACTGATTACAGTTTCCGACAAATTGCAGACATATGAAGTGTAGATTGCTTAGTTTCATGTATTCCTTTGCAACAAAATGACAAATTGTCATTGTTACAAGGAAGCCAACTCCGAATTGTATACTGAAAATGTGGGAAATGAACTGTCTCAAGTTTGTAGCATATATGGTCTATGTATTAGCGCAATGACAAACAATTATTGGTTCCTAGCTTGCCTTTTATGATAAGCGTTTCAGTTTTTTCGGTTCATATGAAATTCTTATTACTGCCACAAGGTTGAGTGAGTACATGTACATGTACACTTTGAAATCCAAAATTGGTAATTGGAATACATGTCCAGCTGATTTGTGTTTGCCATGATAGGCCTCTATTTATTAGCCATGCCTGTTTTTATTTGTTGTAAAAATGTCACGGTTGATTTTTTTCTGTTCTTTAGAAAGAATAGGTTAAAGATTTTTTGCATTTGGCTAAAATAGATAAAACAAGTCGTAACCTTAACGATTTCAGATGTGATACTATGTGGTAATTGCAGCTTGAATAAGCATTTGTGAATACATCCATTTATCATTATAACTTTCAATTCTTACCCTTCATTTAACGCTAGGATGCTACAACGCCATTATCCCACCTTGAGGGGGTTCCAGAGAAAGCATCCCACGCTGCTGTAGGAGACATAACATCAAAGATTAACGATTATGATCGAACTTGATGAGGTGGTTCAAAGTGCCATTTGCATAACAACATTTTGTTAAAAGAAAAAAGGAACTATTCTAGATCAACGTGGGAGATATTTTTAGTACACAAATTGATTGATTCCATGTGTACTTGGAAAGGTTGAGTTAACTAGCATGATTTTTCCCGGAGGGTCTGAGAAACATTCACCATAAACCTATCAGAACCAAGAACTGAGACGTCCCCTAAGTTCGAGTACATGCAATTTAGGAAACTTCTCTCCGAAATCATGTGTCCGGCTAATTAATTGAATTACAGTAACTTATCTGAAGGTAGGCCAACTCCCCTGAAAGAGTGTACAGTTGGTAACGACGCTCCCATAAACGGGTGGTTAGAAGGAGTGTTAAAAGCACCTGAAGGAACATTGTTTCATTTTCTTCCGTAGGGCTGCATAACAGCTCCGAGGTTGCACTCCCTCTATCCAAATTCCTGCTGGCTGAAATTTGGAACTTTTTGTTTGTCCTGAAAGTAAAATCCAAATTTCTGTTTGACGAAATTGGTAAATTTTGGTTTGGCAAGAAAGTGAATCCCAATTTCTGGTTGCTAAAAATGCACATTTTAGTTGGACCAGCGAGTAGAAGCAAAATACAAATCCAAATACAAGAAGCAAAATGTACAAATTTCTGATCAAAGAATTATCGTAAATTATGGTAAATTCAAATTTTTTGCTACCCCAAAAAATTGGAAAATTGGGTTGCCCAGGGCAGATGTTAGGCGACCAAGGCCCTGTGATAAGCGAGTGCGGCGCTTAGGCTCCGCCTTGCGAGTACGGCGATTGGTTAGCCGAAGTCGCTGCTTGGTTAAAATCCTATGATGTTCTATAACTACAAAAATTGTTTCGCGTCGCCCCGACGGGACGACAGCTCCGTCGCGTCGGGTTGTGTTGTTTCTTATGGTGTTCTATAGCCGCCAAATGTGCGTCCCGTCGCCCTGACACCACGACACGACGCCAGGATGGCTTTGTCGCGTCGTGCCGTCGCGTCGTGGTGTCGCGATCCTTTCTCATTACTTTTACGCTGCGTATAATGCATTACGCCTTGCCGTCGTCGGCGTCGCGTCGTGGCGTCGTGACGTAGCGTTGTAACGTCGTGTTGTGTCCTTCTGTCTTGCCGTCACGTCGTATCGTCGCGTCGTACTGTCGCGTCATGCCGTCGACCCGTTGCGTCGTGCCGACGGTGCGACGACACGACGCGACGGCAAGACATCAGGACACGACGGCAGGACGGGACGGCACGACGTAATGCATTATATGCAGCATAAAAGTAATGAGAAAGGAGGTGACGCCACGTGACGACGCGTTGGCACGACGCGGCAGAGCTGTCGTAGCGTCGCGTCGTGGCTTCGGGGCGACAAATGTCATCATCGACCTTGGCGTCCAGCGATATCGTGCATGTCCCTACCTAAGTCTCCTTGTTCATACACGTGTGTTTCAGCTCCCCGTACTTAGGTGAAAACGAGATTGTAAAACTTTACAGAGATTTACCTACCTGCAGTCGAGGGGTTGCATGTTCCGTTGCTTTGACATAACAGTTGTTCTCAGCAAAAGTTGAGTAGAATACTAAAATGTTTCAGAGATTATTGGTTCCTCATAAATCAAAATAGTTTCTGAAATATTTTTATTTGCTTTTATATCGGCTTTATCAAAAGACGACCATAAAATTTCAAAAAAGCTCATTTGCGTGCGTGACCGCCGCATAGGATTGTTCTTTCTTTTTTATTTAATAGATTTTCGGAAGTGATGGGTCATTTTTGGCAGGATGTTTCTCTTTTAGGGCAGGTAATGTTTTAGTGTTTATAAATTGATATAGTAGCAAATACTTTGCACAGCCCTTTTTCCAAGTTGGACTTTTTAAAGGAGCTGAAAGAAAAATATTACAAATTCTGAAATATGTGCACGTTTACCTATCCTAGGGTTCTGGAAAGGCGCCATCAGAGGTCAACTTTCAGGCTCTGTTATGTGTATAGGCTAGGCTGGTCTTGTTTTACCCAACGGTTGTAGAAAGTGTTATTAATCTACCACTTTTTTACCCAGTGTTATGCTCTTTTTGCCCACCAGTCCAGCGACTCACCTAGTTTTCTTCCGTGTTGGGCAAACGTAATGTCGGGAAAGGACCAATTAAGAAGATGGCATTAGCAAACCTTAAATTATTAAAGGAAAACCGCTGACCACCCCCCGGGCCCCCCCAAACCTGAACAAGATTAACCGTGCACGTGAAGCCGCCATGCTGTTCGAACTTCGAAGTACAGAATACCAGGGCTATAAATATTTAATGAACCATTGGTCATTTGCATACAACTGCTGCACCCCCAATTCCAGCACTGGATTCCCAAGACGTTAGTGAAAGTAAGTAAAAACTAGTTGTGCGAGGGCGCTCTTCAACAGATTTAAAATAAATATCGATCACTGACGTCTCGGGCCAAGACCAATGGCGCCCATAACGTTATATATAAATATATATTCTTATGATTCTTATTCTTATAATTCTTATGATTTACCTTACGAAAAATCACACCCGTTTTTGTCGTGGTTCGAGCGGACTGATATTGAAAAGGGAAATCACCAGCGCGTTTTGGTACCTTGCTTAATGGTACCCCGCTCATTACTGTACTTACTGTAAGGAAGTTGGTCGACGACCAGTTTTCCACGTGCTGATATGATCGCAACATCAGCGCGGTACTTGCACGAGCATTAGCATGACAATGCCTACGCTCGAGAACGCGGGATTGTTTGAATGTGACTTCAGAGGAGGTGAGTTTAAAAGTGAGAAATGTTACTGATTTAGCGGGGTTCATTACCTTTAGCACCCAGTATTATAAGGTAACAAATTCTACTTTTTCGAAATAACTTATCTAAACAAGTTGTTGATGATGCTCTCTTTCATATCAGAAAGAAAAGAGAACACGGCTTTTGGTTTTTGAGGGCAAATGGCAACGTACATGACCGCCCCGAAGGTAGCTGTGAACGACAAATAAAGGAATGTAGTCTGGTTCCTTTTTGAATGGAGATTTGTTTTGATGAATCCAAAATCTTAAGTCAGGTAACCGGACGAAAAACAAAATGGCGTGATTCGACTGATGATTGGTTGTCTTTTGCCAAACTCGGGTTAGAAATTTGAAGTTTTCTTGCTTAAATTTTGTCAAAATTTACCTAAACTAGGCCTAGTAGGGTTGAGTAATGGTTCCTTAAGGTCAGAATGTTAGTTAGTTTGAGAAAGTGGACTTTGTTTCCTTATAGGAACAGGGTGCTAATGGGAACCCGACTTTAATACCAACCAGTGAACTAGCCCAGGTGGACTCCCTGACCGTACTTAGTCGTAATGAAATGAAGACAACGTCCAACCTGGGCTACCATTGAACCAACAATTGAAAATGAATGGGAAACGACGCCCAGGACGATAATGAGATTTACGTATGACAAACTTCATTAATGTGGGCTTCAATGTGGGTTATTTTGCCCTTGGCTTTGTTGATTTTACACTGCCTTTTGCTGCGGTAAACGTAAAGTGCACCCTCTATTTTAATTTAAAAATGGCGTACCCCACGAGTGTTAGGCTGGGATTTTAACAGGGTTCCTTTGGTTTCTGCTTTAGCAGTAGCAGTAATGGAGAGATGAGAAACACTCCTGTGGGACCATTTTCTGGATTGCTGCACATCTGAGATATCATATTTCTATTATATTTTCAACAATTGAAAATGAATGGGAAACGACGCCCAGGACGATAATGAGATTTACGTATGACAAACTTCATTAATGTGGGCTTCAATGTGGGTTATTTTGCCCTTGGCTTTGTTGATTTTACACTGCCTTTTGCTGCGGTAAACGTAAAGTGCACCCTTTATTTTAATTTAAAAATGGCGTACCCCACGAGTGTTAGGCTGGGATTTTAACAGGGTTCCTTTGGTTTCTGCTTTAGCAGTAGCAGTAATGGAGAGATGAGAAACACTCCTGTGAGACCATTTTCTGGATTGCTGCACATCTGAGATATCATATTTCTGAAACTTTACTACCCAACAGGTATGCGGAAACAGTTCGTGTGATAATCTGTTAACAACCTGTTTAAAACGCCAATGGTAATGGTAGTAATAATAGGCCTAGGTGCCTATGTACAGTTTTGTAAATCTGAAACATGACTTTTGTCCAATAAATTTTTAAACCAATGAAAATCTTTGAAAAAGTTCCATACACGGACGCCACTTGACACCATGTGCAGAAACCCTTGCAACTAGTCTGAAAAATTCTAAGTGTTTTCTCAGTAAATGACTTGGTATTTTCCCTTCCAAATTGATCTTTTCTGGACATATTTTTGCTTTCTGATGGCTATTAAGTCACCATAGGGAAGAATTAATGGCAGCTGTATATGGAAATTTTTCCAAAATATCCAGCCAGTGGAGCCGAGGTGACTAATTTTATAGTCGATGGGTAGTCTAAACAAACAGGAGAATAGTATGATTTGATGTAGTAAATTAAGAGGAAACATTAATTACTTTATACCCCACGAGATTTTGTCAGGAACCCAAAGTCTTTGAAAATAACTATCTACTTGTTTTCAGAATTAGGTACCATTTCAAAATTCTTATCGAGTCGGTGTCAGACAGATCTGTCCAACTCATACATTTAAAATCGGTTGGCTATCAAGTGAAGTGTTCTCAAGTGGCCAATTCTAACCGATAAATGCCTCTACACTGGATTACTCCCAAGGCCATTTGGTTTCAGTAGAGCAACACCCCCCTCCATTATTCACTCAACACAAGTCACTGTTATTATTTATCGGTCGGATGGCCCTGTCCTAAAGTCATCCAATAGGAATTTTGAAATGATGCCTTATATACATGTAAATACATGGCAAAAACTGTCATTTCCACATTTATTTCAGTGAAGCTGGTAAAAAATTGGGTAGAAAGTGGGCCTGTTTGAGTCAGTTTTGGTTGGAGATTTGCACTGATTGCCTGATGAAAATCTTTAAATTGGAAGTTGTGCTAATCATTTCTGAATACATGTTGCTTAGTTTCAAAATTCTGCTGCGCCGAACTGATTTTGTTTGGGGTATTACAGTAAAATCTTTCTGTACTGAAAATACAAAGGGGAGAGGTCTACTTTACAGCAAAACTGTCCTCTTTGTTTTTTCATCTATTTATGTGCAGTCTTTATGTTTGTCAGTCTATCATTCATCTGTCTGTTGTTCCGTTGTCTCTCCCCCCTTTCTCTCAGTCATTCTCTTTCAAATACGAAGGTTATTGGGCCAGTACTTACGAATTCTCAGTCAGCTTTCTCCATCTCTCCGATCCTTCACAGACCTCTGAGAACTGGCAAACAAGCTCCTCTACTCATTTGCATGTTTTTTAATGACTGTTATGTGCATTTATTTCAGCCAGAGCACAAGCCGCTGATGAGTTGTTACTTACAGGACGATCAGTTTCTTGGCATTTCTTGATGATGGCCGCTGTTGTTGAGGTGATTGTACTGTGATCTCTTGCTGTAGCCTTCTTGGTAACATGTGAGTGATTCTTTGTTATTGGGATGATCCCAAAGGTATGATACACTGATTGAGTCTTCTGTGAACTCATTCCCTCATGTCCTGTAGACCTAGCACATTAACGCCTAGGACATGCAAGCAGCTCCATCGCTACCAACAGAATGAATACTCCCAACCTACACAGCTCTTTCCAACCAATTAGGTAGTGCTTATACTCAAGACATATCATTTGGAGATGGCAGTGGAAGAGATTGTTTGGCTGAAAAAAACAGGTGGGATTTTAAATATAGCTCAAGATCAACACTCCTTGTTTTGTGAGCTTGCAACTGTCAATGGTTGAAAATGGATCTTAAGAAATGCAAAAAGTAGAGGGATTCAATTTGTTAGATCGCTGCTTACAGGCTTGAGGAAAAGGACTTTTTGTGAAGTGTATATAGGGTGTTTTGCAGAATAAAATATGCTTAGCCAAGCAACAATCCAAAAGACATGCAAAAATGACAACTAAGATGATGAGATTTTTATATGAGAAACTCCAGTGATGTGTGCTTGACCTTTGTTGATTTGATGCTCCTTTCAATGATTCTTCAATTGTTGTAAAGTGCAACCTATATATTTTGAAATTGTGGCCTCCATGTTCGTGTATTAATACAGATTGGAATTCAAACACGGTTTGTTTAGTTTCCCTAGTTTCAGTAGCTTGATGGAGAGACAAGAGCAAGCTAGTCCCTGGAGGCTGTTCTCTGGAGTGTAACAAATCAGAGATATCACTGGTGACACTACGTCACAGGTATGGATTGGAAGCATTCTACATCAGTGATATTAGTCCATGGTATAGACCTTTTTTCTGTGATGTCACGATCGTGCTGGACCTCTATGTGGTGTAATGGTAATGAGTGCATGGTGTTGTAATGGTAATCTGCCTACTCAAGATAATAGTCAAGCATGCAGCGTTCGCACGTGTGCTGGCACGTGCCCTTAGGAATGTATGCGGTCACTTTGACCAAGGCGGTCCACACTTAGTGTTGTTTACAGTTAGCACAATCCAGTCACGTGGGTGAAAAAAGCCTACTGGTAATAATGAAATGCCAAGTTGTTTTGTAGATCTTGACCTTGCGCTTTGTCTTATAAGCTTTTCATCTAATGAGAATCTCCGGCCTTTGGGGTTGGGTTGAATTTGACTACAAAAAATGGATGGAATTATTTGATGTAGTCGTGCAGTTTGCAGCAAAGTGGACAGAAACAAGACAGGACAATTTGCTCTTAAATTTGCATGCTGCTACCCCAAGAATGCAGTCTCGATCTCGATCTTTACAAAACCCGCTCAGTAATTCCGATGTACAGTACGTTGCTTGGTAATTCTGCGCATGCTGTGTCAGATCTTATACCATACAATTGGACAATGTTTCAAAAGTTGAGTTAATGCGATTAGGATGCGATGTACAAACTGCCAGATTGAGGCTCTCCATGCCTATGGTGGCAGCATGAAGAGTGAATAACAGTTTCTTTTATGATGTCCTTGACACAGTGTTTACCATACACACCAAGGATTCAACATTGGTTGGAAGGTATGATGTAAGCTTTCTTGCCCATAATTCTTTGATGTCAATTTCAGTCACATCTATCTGGAACCCCATGCCTGGAAGGAGGTCATTGAGGAAGCTCTTAAAACTTAGTTCTCTCCACCTTTCTCATTCTCCACTAGCCCTCTGTGAATTAGTTAATCCAGGCTAATGCAGTCATGTTGTATTATTGTCATTGCATGTTTTTGATGACTGTTTTTTGTGTCCATTTCAGCCAGAGCACAAGCTGCTGGTGAGCCGCTGGTCATGGTACATCCAGTTTCTTGATATTTCTTGATGATGGAGTAATCTGTTCCTGTGCTTGATGTTGAGGTGATTGGTACTTTGATCTCTTGCTCCTGTGAACTCATTTCATACTTTGTTTTTTTTAAATACCGTATATATGGACCATGAACATAATGACGTCAAGCTATTATTTTGTACTTTGACTATTATTGCTTCCCATCTCACTGCCTTAGGAAATGCTGCTACATGCACATGTAAACTAAGCATGACGTCATTATGTTACAGGTCTCTTCACTTTCCCCAAAGTTGACAGGAACGGAGGTCCTCCTTGAAGGATAAATTTGCACCTAAACCTGGGTGATGACATACATGTCTATGGGGAGTCATAATTTAAGACCACTGATAAATTTGGGAATGGTTTCTACATAACATGTGATCCCTGCATAGCAATTGGGGATGACAGGTAAAACATGAATTATCAGAGAGTGTTGGCCCGACCCCCCTTGGTGTATGCGAAATCCTATTGAAATTGAAGGATTTTGGACTGTCTTAATTTTCTACTCAGTTTCTGGGGCTGTTAAAAGAGCCCAAGAAAGTAGAGGGGTTGTCAGTTGTAAAATGGCTGCTTCTAGGCTTGAGAAATATGACTTTTCAGGAGTTGTGTTTGCTGACCAACCGACAATTGAAGAGAGTAGAAACAAAGGCCAATAAGAAAATTTGAGTTTTATATAAAGACATCCCAGCCATGTCTACTTGTATGTTATTCGGCCCTGATCTTTGTTGACTTGACTCTGTTTTCAATGTTGCCTAAAGTGTTATGGTGGCTCCTCAGTGAGTAGTCATTCAGGCTGTGATAGAAAAATAGTTTTTTGATTTTGTTAGTTGTAGCATTGATGAAGAGACAAGATCATACCCCTGGGAGACAGTTTTCTGGATTTTAACACATCACTGGCAACTGACAACACAACTCACTCGGTAAGCACTTTATATCATGTTCTGATTTTAGCCTTACACTGAAAGTCATGTTCCAGATTTGAAACAATAGCTGTACATAATTTTGTATACATGTACAGTTGTTACGGTAAAATCTGGAGCATGGCTTATCAGGCTTCACTCTTGAGGACGACGAGAGCATGCTGGTTGAAACGTCAAGCACATACTCTACGGTTCTTGTCAGAACCATACCTCTTCCAAGAGAGATCTATTCACATGATGTAACCACAAGCCCTGTTTTTGTCACCACCATGTAAAGCTTCAAGTCTTATCTAATGAACGTGAATATTTAGGGCAGTTATGCTTCCTACTTTGTATTTTGCATTTGTAAGTTGCTCTTGTAATTAGATGGTTTTGCAACAAAGTTGGCTCTATATAAGACCTAATCCTAGTTAAAATCAACTGATCTTGTTTTCATTTTGTTGTACATGTCCACTGAAGAATGTTTCATTCTGATATTCCCACATTTAAGAGAACTATACACAAATGAAGGAGAAAGCTTGTGTCAGTCATTACGTTTGCTAGTATAGGGTCGTCATGAGAGTCAGTATTGATTCAGCATTGTTACCAACTTTATTCGCAATAACGACCAAGAAGGTTGCGATAGAATTGTAAGCTAACTGTTGACTGAATTGGAGAATTGAAAAGCAGGCTAATACTGCATACTGGATACTGGATCTGGATACTGAATCCTGAGGAGCTGTACAATGATGATGCAGGACTTATATACGGTCAGAAACAGGATGTAGTTGAAGTCACATAACTTAATAAGGGAAAGTCTTAGTCACATGTCTTCGCTGGATTCTTAGAACAATGATTGTGAATGAATAATTTCACCTTAAAACAAAGTCCTTGGTGGATGATAGTACAAGCTTAAATGAAGCATGCTGAAGTGTGCCACAGCCTCTGGGCTAACAAAGTCAAATAGGCCGAAACAATATACACTGTACAAGACACTATGTAGGTGTACTCTTACAAGGAAAACGCAGTGAGTAATGTGTCTAAGAAATGGCAAACAGGATAAATACAGGATATTAAAAAGTTATCAAAGTTAAAAATGAAGATTATGAAAGCTAAATTCACTAAAAGAAATAAATGCAAATAATTCAAGTAATTGTGCAGAAAACGCTACACTAGTAATCTTGTCCCTCTTGTACTTGTTAGTCAATCTGTTTCAGTAGTTAGTTTGGTCTGTATATATGAGGATAGTCTTCAAATGGTCAAAACTTGTACCTTGTTTAATCGTAATGGGTACCATCCTTCGATTATTCTTATTATTTATTTGACCATCACAAGAACAAAGCAAAATTGAACAAAAAGTATATAAAAAACAACAAAAGCACAAATACAAGTAAATATAAGCAGTAGCAGGGACCAGGGACGAAAATCTGAATACATTACAAGACATAAAACAGTTATGTGGGTCAGGGACTGCAAAAGTAAAATAAACTACTATTACCCGTGCTTATGCTGCCCCGTTTATAATGTTAACAAGACAAATTATACATAATAACAAAGAAAACAACGGTCCCCACACAGGTGATAAAAATGACAGCCAAAAAAAAGAAAAAAAAGCTGCAGAGAATGTTTCATTTCCTTATTTCCAAACGTAAGAAAATTATCCCGCAAAATGAAGGCCATGCTATAAAAAGAATTTTTCTTACTCGTTCTTTTTAATCATGTGAATTTACTCATTTAAACAACTATCCAGTTTTAATCAAGTCCTCTAAGCCCTCCTTTTGAGGTTATTTTATTGGCTTGTCGGTAATTTTGTCTTTTTGTCATTTATTATTCATGTGATGCCTTTAATCTTAAATCATGTCATCCTAATTAAGCATTTGTCTATGATTTTTTACGCCTGTACTCAGTACCACAAGCACAGCCAAGATTTGGACTCTAGCACTGTGCCTATCTGTTCTACTTGCTAGTCTTCTGCTGATGGTTGAACAGTGATATGCTCCATGCTGTGACATGTTCAACCTCTCACATCATTTTCTTATTTTGTCTGTCCTGGAATAGCATGAGCAAATTCGGGGTGCAATTTCTGTTGTATAAGTGCATTGAGCCTTTTAAGGGCAATAAAAGTAACACCAGCATGATTTGATTTCCTCAACATAACAGAACTGGTAATTTGCAACTGTTGCAGTGACCGTTTGTCTTGTGGTGGCAACAAAAGGTTTTGTTGAAAGGTTCCTATTTTGCATGGTTTTTCTGTACCATCTGGTGTACCTCAAGGAAGTGTCTATTGTCCAATCCACTTCAATTTATGTATGTCAACGACCTTCCTTATCATATCGTGTCAGCTAGCACTTTATTTGGTAACAATGCTCTTGCATATATAGGCCAATATTATGTCAGTCTGATGACCTTCATCAACAAGATGTTCATGGCTTCCATAGATGTTGTCATGCTAATATGCATCTCAATAAATTACGAAGGAAACCAAAGTTATACGTATAGTATGGTTTAAGAAAATAGTGGATCCAAAGTATACTTTGGTTAACATGCAGTTTTGAAGTTGAGAATGAGTGCAAATATCTTCGTGTAATAATTTCAACTACTAAATTTCTTGGGAAAATCATGTTATGTCACTACCAAATCAACCAGACTCAGTATCTTGCTTTCATTTTGTCAGTTTATAGTGTTGACTGTTCTGGAATACCAGTAGCCTACCTTCACAACAGAAACCTTATATATTAACAAATTAGACCAAAATTCAACATTGAGCAACCAAGATAGTTCTCTAGCAAAGAAGATTTGAAATGGAACAGTGATTGGTTGCATACGTACATTGAATTTGTCTTTATGAGAATCTAAATGCATCCATATTTTGCTTACATTTGTTGTTAGAGGTCTCCGTGGAGTTTTTGACAGTGAAATAGTCTCAGTGAACAGTTCGAACATGTATATTGGAAACGATCAGGCTGGACAAACCTTACGGCTCAAATACAAAAACCTTCACATTTTGCCAATTGCATGCTTTAGGATGAACTACATGTACATGTACCTGAACGTATGAGAACAAGTGGTTTAACTGACCCTTCAACACCGGATCAACTTAACCAAGTGCCCACTTGAATTTGAAAGTTTATGAAACTTTACAGAGTGCTGATTGAATTTGCAGTTGAGTACCTTTGTAATAAGTTCGTTGGGACTGGCAGGTTGTGGGAGGGGCATTGTTGTTTGGTGTAAGGGAGCACAACATTTGGGGATTTGATACCCAGGATTTGCCATGTGGACCAGATGTGTCGATGGTTTTCTTTTTGTTGTTCTTCAACTGTATTTTGTTATTTCGTGGTGTCCTTCTTTCATTTGGTTTTACACAATAAATTTCTTTCATTGTTTTGAAGGTACTTGTCATTGATTTATGTACTTGTTTCTGTAATTATTTTATTTTCATTACTGTAATGTATTTGTGTGTCATATTTATCTTAGTTTTGCCGACTGAATGTACTTTTTCTGTTCGATTTATTTAGTTGTTATTTCTTGAATCATATTTTCCTTGTATAGTTACTTTATTGTGTATGTGTGGTCACGTTTATGTAAAAGCTGGAACTTCAGAAAGGAAGGCTCACGTCAAACTCTTTCCTCTCTGTGCATTTGTAACGTTTGTGTTCGTGATTTCAGTGTATATGTGCTATGTGTTTTGTTTAATGTTCTGTTCTTTATCCTGGAAAATGCTGAATAAATGAAAGTGTTTCCCCCATTGTACACACGTTATTTCTCCCTGTCTCATTTGCTGCATTCCGATGTATTCCGCAACGAATTCCAGTATAAGTAAAGCTCAAAAAAGTTTTTTCAAGAAATCAATTCCTCAATAGTCCAAGACTCAAATCGCGCAGCTTTTAAAATTTTTTCTATTTTCTGAGACAATAATACCTGCACCACTCCATAGATTACCGCCACTATGATGTATAAGCATGGGAATGTAGGTACATACATCTCTCCATAGATTACCATCATTATAGGAACTCCAGTGTATAAACAGGAAATACAGATACATTCGTTACTCCATAGATTACCATTATTGTGGGGTCCGGAATTTATAAGGACCAGAATAAAGATACCTGCACCACTCCATAGATAACCATCATTATAGGAACTCCAGTGTATAAACAGGAAATACAGATAAATTCGTTACTCCATATATTACCGTCATTATGGGGTCCAAAATGTATAACGACCAGAATAAAGATACCTGCACCACTCCATAGATTACCGTCATTATAGGGACTTCAGTGTTTAAGCAAGGGAATATACACTGAACAGCAAAAGAAACTTGCCACTTTTTTCAAAGGCCACGCATAAAAATTCACTGCATAGAAATAAACAGATTGTGTACACAGGTATGCTGCAGTACGCCTAACTAATCACATGCCCCAAAGCAAGTGAATATCTTACAATTAAGAAAACTTGACATGAACAGCAACTGACCTTCGATTATTGAATCAAAAGGCACACACAAAAGCACTCTCAACCAAGCAAAAATGACCTATGAATGGACAACATTTTAACAACCAATGACAAGTGAACACCCGTTTCGTCAAAATGATGTGCATGAGTGGTTTCCGTATAGGGATGCCATCCTTACTGACTATGCATACACATTATTGAAAAGTAATGATTGTGACTTCGTCCTGTGACATTGATAACTGCGTAAAACGTAAGTCTCATTCTGTTACATTCTAGTAAAGGGTACGGAAGCATATATGTACAAAGACTGTTTATTTCTATGGAGTGAATTTTTATGTGTGGCCTTTGACAGAAGTGGCAAGTTTCTTTTGCTGTCCAGTGTAGATACATAAATTACTAAACAGATTACTGTCATTATGGGTCCCAAATTTATAAGGATGAGAATGAAGATACCTGCATCACTCCATATAGATTAACGTCATTATATGGTCCCAAAGTCATAATTGAACTTTGGGAATAAGTCAAGCCAGGCTTGTTATTGTGTTCTTTTGATAGCCCTAAATGGCCGGGCCGCGCCGCAGCAGTCGCATTTTTTGTTGGGATACCCTTTTGAATTGTATTTATTTGACCAAATACTGACGAACAGGAAGTCATAGAGACAGCAATAATGCAATGCATAGTGCCTTATTACGCAACTTACAGTGGACTCAGAGTGACACAAGCTACCACTTCAGCGTGTACGCAATATGGATCACTCTTCAAAGGGTTAATAATTAAGTGAGGCCTGTGCAGCAAAAGAGGACCACTTTTTATTTGGGGTAGACTGTTTTTACGAGACATTTTACTGATGAAAATGTGCATCAGATGTTTCGAAAATTTTTTTTTGGGGGGGATGATGTTTTATTCCAATGGGAACACCATCTAGGCATACAAAAGCAGCAAAGTGCTGGACCCCCGATTGCTTGGAAAAGAATTACAAGTGAAGAATAAGTGGTCCTTAATATTTTTGCGTAATTCTGACTTTGCGGTTTACCGGGTCGTGTACTCGCACAGAAAGTGCTTTATACATGTATAGTCGAGCATGAAAGACCTAAAATTATCTAAATCTTGCAATCTTGGTGTCATCTGAAAGGGCACTTGCTTCTCTATTTATTCCTATAAGTTTCATATCCATATTTGGAATAGTAAGGGAAATATCTGCAAAAGGAAGTGCGGGTTCTTGTACGACTGCTTTGTATTTTAGCTTACATCTGACTTTGCGGTATACCGGGTCCTCTACTCGAACGGAGAATGCATATTTTAGTATAAAAGGTCTAAAAATTATCTTAATGTTGCCGTTTTGGTGTCATCTGAAAGGGCATATATTCCTCTATCTGTTCATGTACGTTTCATATCCATATTTGCAGTAGTTAGGGAAATATCTGCAAAATCTCGTGCGGATTCTTGTCTGACTGCTTAATATTTTTGCGTAATTCTGACTTTGCGCTACACCGGGCCCTGTACTCACACAGAGAATACTTATTCGAGCATAAAAGACCTAAAAATTATGTCAGTCTTGCAATCTTGGTGTCATCTGAGAGGGCATATGTTTTGCTTTCTATTCATGTATGTTTCATATGCATATTTGCAGTAGTTGGGAAAATATCTGCAAAAGAAAGTACGAGTTCTTCTCTGACTGCTTTATATTTTTGCGTAATTCTGACTTTGCGCTACACTGGGTCCTGAACTCGCACAGAGAATGCTTATTCCAGCATGAAAGACCTAAATATTAACTAAATCTTGCAATCTTTCGGTAATCTGAAAGGGCTCATGTTTCTCTATCTATTTATATAAGTTTCATATCCATATTTGCAGTTGTTAGAGAAATACCTGAAAAAGGAAGAACGGGTTCTTGTCTGACTGCTTTACATTTGTGCGTAATTCTGACTAAGCGCTATACCGGGTCCTGTATTCACACAGAGAATGCTTATTCAAGTATAAAATATCTAAAAAATTATCTAAATCGTGCAATCTTTCAGTCATCTGAAAGGGCACATATTCCTCTATCTATTCATATAAGTTTCATATCCATTTCATATCCATTTCATATCCATTTCATATCCATTTCATATCCATTTCTTGTCTGATTGCTTTATGATTTGCGTAACTCTGACATGGCGGTATACCGGGTACTGTACTCGCACAGAGAATGCTTATTCCAGCATAAGAGACCTAAAATTACTTTCATCTTGCAATCGTTCAGTCATCTGAAAGGGCACATGTTCCGCTATCTATTCATATAATTTTCATATCCATATTTGCAGTAGTTAGGGAAATGTCTGCAAAAGGAAGTAGAGGTTCTTGTCTGACTGCTTTATATTTTGCGTAACTTTGACTTAGCCTAATACCTTTTCCTGTACTTGCACAGAGAATGCTTATTCCAGCATAAAAGACCCAAAAATTATCTGAATCTTGCAATCCTGGTGTCATCTGAACGGTTACATGTTCCTCTATCTATTCATGTAAGTTTGATGTCCATATTTGCAGTAGTTAAGGAAATATCTGGAAAAGGATGAGCGGGTTCTCGTCTGACTGCTTTACATTTATGCGCAATTCTTACTTAGCGCTATACGGGGTCATGTATTCGCACAGAAAATGCTTATTGAAGTATATAAGATCTACAAATTATCTAAATCTTTCAACCTTGGTGTCATTGGAAAGGGCACATATTCCTCTATCTATTCATGTACGTTTAATATCCATATGTGCTGTAGTTAGGGAAATATCTGGAAAAGGAATAGTGGATTTTCCTGTGACTGCTTATATTTTGCGTAACTCTGACGTGGCGATTTACCGGGTACACTTCTCGCACAGAGAATGGTTATTCCAGTATAAAAGATCTAAAAAATTATCGACATCTTGCAATCTTGGTGTCATCTGAAAGGGCACATGTTCCTCTATCTATTCATGTAAGTTTCATATCCATATTTACTGTAGTTTGGGAAATATCTGGAAAAAATGAGCGGAGTCTTGGCTGACTGCTTTATTTTTAGGAAACTCTTCCATGGTGGTATACCGGGTCCTTTTCTCGCAGAGAGAATGCTTATTCAAGTATAAAAGATCTCAAAATTATCTAAATCTTGCAATCTTGGTGTCATCTTAAAGGAAACATGTTCCTCTATCTATATATGTAAGTTTCATATCCATATTTGCTCTAGTTAGGGAAATATCTGGAAAAAGATGAGTGGGTTCTTGTCTGACTGCTTATTTTTTGCGTAACTATGACGTGGCAATTTACTAGGTACAGTACTCGCAAAGGGAATGCTTATTCAAGTATAAAAGATCTAAACATTATCTAAAACTTGCAATCTTGGTGTCATCTTAAAGGGAGCATGTTCCTCTATCTATTTATATACGTTTCATGTCCATATTTGCTGTGGTTAGGGAAATATCCGATAAAGGATGAACGGGTTCTCGTCTGACTGCTGTACTTTTTGCGTAACTCTGACATGGTGGTATACTAGGTCCTTTACTTCCACAGAGAATGCTTATTCAAGTATAAAAGATCGGAAAAATATCTAAATTTTTCAATCTTGGTGTCATCTGAAAGGGCACATGTTCCTGTATCTATTCATGTAAGCTTCATATCCATATGTGCTGTAGTTAGGGAAATATCTGGAAAAGGAATAGCGGATTCTTGTATGACTGCATGTATTTTGCGTAACTATGTCGTGGCAATTTACCAGGTACACAACTCGCAAAGAGAATACGTATTCAAGTATAAAAGATCTTAAAATCATTTAAATCTTGCAATCTTGGTGTCATCGGGAAGGGCACATGTTTTTGTATCTATATATGTAAATTTCATATCCATATTTACTGTAGTTAGGGAAATATCTGGAAAAAGATGAGTCTGTTCTTGTCTGACTGCTTTATTTTTTGCGTAAATTTGACGTGGTGGTATACCGGGTCCTTTACTCGGACAGGGAATGCTTATTCAAGTATAAAAGATCGGAAAAATATCTAAATTTTTCAATCTTGGTGTCATCTGAAAGGGCACATGTTCCTGTATCTATTTATGTAAGTTTCATATCCATATTTGCTGTAGTTAGGGAAATATCTGGAAAAGGATGAGCGGGTTCTTGGCTGAGTGCTTTATTTTTTGCGTAACTCTGACATAGTGGTATACCGGGTCCTTTATTTGCAGAGGGAATGCTTATTCAAGTATAAAAGATCTCAAAATTATCCACATCTTGCAATCTTGGTGTCATCTGAAAGGGCACATGTTCCTCTATCTATTCATGTGAGTTTTATATCCATATA